AGATTGATCAGATATGCCGCCAGTGGCAAACCTACAACCTCCGTGACACTAGATACTAACCGTTGCTCTTTTATGCATCTATCCTGCCTGAAAAAAAAAAAAAAAAAAAAAAAAAAAAAGCAAAGAGCTGGACTGTAACGTGCTGGAAACCACTGACTGCTTGATTGCGAGTCGATCGATTGGGTTCGATCCCGATGAAGATCCATGGATGGGATGGCAGGACGAGAAGAAGTGATTAGACCAATTAGTTCCAGATCCCGTGTGACGGAGAGCGGGCAAAACAATTGAACCAGGGTTCAAGTTGGCAGCAATAATAATAATGACAAGAGCTGAAAGCGTCAGGTACAGCAAGTAGACCGCAGGTAACAGCAGTAATAGACCAGTCAATCAAAGCTAATTTCGCAGACAATTGGAAGCCAGGAGGAATCCTTAAATAAGATAAAATGAATCCAAGTGGCTCGACCTCAAGTCTAGCCTCCTCCATTGATAGAGCCTCAGGCCTCTAGACTAATTATTCTTGTCTACGGTTGTCTCGACTACTACTAGTCTAAGTACAGTACTTACTGTAACTACCAATTTAGCACTCCGTACTCCGTACTCCCACTTCTCGACTCTCTCTAGATTCTCCCTCTTTTCCCCCCATCTTCATCCCCTCCTCCTCCTCCTCCTCCACCCCATCTGAATCACTTCCCCGTTCTTTATGGGCCACAATTCTACTCCCACTCTTTTTTCACCATTGCTTCTCCCACCTCACTTGACTCAAATATTCTTCCCTCCTTCAATCCTCTCGAACTTGGTAAGCTTCTCCCCCTCCCCCTGCCTACGTTTCAGTTGTGTGAGGTTTCTCCACAGTTCCTGCCAAGTCAAAAATTGGGCTCCACTCCCATTCCACTGTTTAGGGGAGAGAGAGAGAGAGAGGAGGGGGGCGGCGCGCGCACTCCCACGAATTTCAGCCAAGCTCACGGCAGAAGCACACAGAGCTAAGTCAATGCTCTGGGTGCTGACAACCACCAAATGTCTAATTGACATACGTTGTACCTTCTGCAATTGAGTGTGTGCATGGTGGTGGTGGTGGTGGTCCCGGTCCCGGAGACCCTTCGCGACCTCCCGCTCCTTCATAGACAGAAAGACAAGACACTCTCTAACTTACTCTTCCGCTTATCATGACCCTGCTCCTTCGAGTCTCATTGAAACATTCTACGCGTGCGTTTCGCTTACTGGAACATCACACTCACTAACCGCACATTTCCGCGCCGCATTCTAGTGATACTTTAGAACCGCGCACCCCTTAACGAAAATAACCTTAAGACACATACAACACGCCGCCGTGTCGCAATTGAATCGCACTCGCTCCCACACGCCTGACGAACTGCCCGCATTCCTTTCCTTTCCACTTGCTCCAGACAGCTGCATGTAGCGCCGCCCTCATTTCGATCGATCAGGCCACAAAGTCCCTTCGAACCCCTCGCGACCCCGCTTTAGTGGTGCACTCCTCATTCCTGAGTCGATCCCCCTCTCCCTTGTGACGACCACCGCGGAGGGGTGTTAATCGAGATTGCCGCCTCTCATCGCAGTTATGCCCTGGCGGCCTCTGCCTCGCATTGCTTTTGCTGTGGCCATCTATCCCTTCCAGCCCTCCACCCCGGCAGACCTACCCCTCGAGCTTGGTGATGAGTTGTACATAATTGAGCAAGGAGGCGCCGATGGAGAATGGTGTCGCGGATATCTGGTCGCTCCGCCCTCGCTACTGGCAGGGTTGACCAGCATCAAAGGACAGACACTAGAGGCGAGGGTCTTTTCGGGAATTTTCCCGCGAAATTGCGTCGAGATTCGCGAGGTCCTGGGCGACGGAGAGCGGACAATTACCATTGGAGACCGGTCGAGCTTGGTCTTGACACCTGGTACCGAGGGGGATGTGAGAGATAGTATCACCTCCTACCACGACGATGAGGGCCCGCTCGGGGAGGTGTCCGATGTAGTGATTGCGAAGAAAGGAAAGCCGTCGCAAATCTTCATCCACAAGCTCGATGAAGACGACCAATCGAGTCCACGCTCACTTGTGAGCCACACCCTGGGAGCCGTCTCGCTACCTTCTACACCCATTATTGTCGCTCCGCGCGACCCGAACGCACCGAAACCGGCCGCGCCCGTCCCGATGCTCAAGATCGGTGATGAAACCCCGACATCACTTTCGGAGCCGCTCGTCGATGAGATCGCATCCTGCCTCCGCGAATGGCATTCCACCAATTTACACCAATTGCTACTCTCCCGCCAATACGGCATCGTCGAGGAGATGTCGAAGATCGTACAAGAACTGGACCTCGCAAGGCGGCAGCTCCAGTACAATGTGCTTACTGCCAAGGAGAAAGTCCAATTGCGACAAGAGGTGGTCTGGAAGCTGGTACAGGGAAATAAAACGCTGGGCGGAGAAGTCATTGTTAGGGACCCTCTACAGAGGGGTCGTCTTCTCACAGGCGAGGACTCTGCCATTCAATTGACCAAGCTGCAGTCCGAGATGAGTATGCTTGAAAGTACTCCCGTGCAACAGGCAGATGCAGCCTCTCTGCATCATTTTCTTTTAGAGGTGAATGCGGTATCTGGGCATGCGCCGGGCCCTGTAACATTAGCACTTTACTTGTGTTCACAGTCGGAGACTGGTGCTTTGACGCCATTGTCAGAGACTTACCTCTTGGATATTCCTTCTCCTGACAAATTCGCCAACATGGGTCAGAGCAACAAACTAAAGACGCTTTTCACCGACTTGAGCAACACGGATTTCGGCGATGAGACTTCGAACGGCCCAAAGCTGTACCTGATCGCCGCCGTTCGGGCATCGGAAACCACCTCTGTGGCTAGCGCCGCAGCTCAATCGAGATCATCGCTCTCGCGCGATGGCTCCACGATCAGTCGAACGCCGACTGTGGCCAATCACTCGGCGAAGGCAAGTCTGAAAACCCGTCGCAGTATGATGTGGACATCCAAGCGCGGCGCGACAAGCACTGAAGCGATCAAAGAAGCCAGCAAAGGACCGCCTCGTTCGTCAGAGAGTGTCTCCAGCAACAAAGAACGGCCTAGCGGTAGTCAATCTACGAAGGACTCGACCCATATCCGGACATTAGGAATTGGCTTTTTGGAGGTCTCCCAGATCCTTCGCCAAGAAAAAGATACGGAGGAAGTCATCAACATCTGGTCTCCGTCGGATGATAACGATGAGAAAGAAGGACGCGCCGACGGCTTTGACGGCGTGGTCCGCACTCTTCTCCCAAGTTCCAGTGGCAAATATGTTCGATCCCAGCCGGCTGCTCGGCTGCATCTTCATCTCTATCCACACACCAATCCCGACGCAGATGCCTTGGTCCGGAAGAACCCCACGACTATGCTCAATGTCACTCAAACCAGACGAATCGGGTTTTCCCAAGCCCCAACAAAACCCAGATCCGATATCTACGTTACGATCTCGCATGCCACATTCCCTGCCGATGCGCTTCTCTCCCATCCCCAGTCAGGTCAAGTTCCTGTACCGACGCTTACTGGACTTCGGAACCTGCAACTAACTCTTGAGGTCCGGACCTCGTCAGGAGCACGTGTTGACCGCTGTGTTTTCCCTGCATCTAACCAGGCTTCCCAGACCGCATGGCGAACCACGGTGGCTGAACGAGGAGCACCGTGGAACCAAACCATTCGTCTGAACATTCCAACGGACGAGATTCCAGGATCGCATTTGATAATGAGTATCGCAGATGCTCCAGAGTTCCCGTTTGCTCTTGCTTGGATGCCTTTATGGGACAACAAAGCCTTCATGAGAGATGGCCCGCATTCGCTTTTGCTGCATGCTTATGATAAGTGCACCTCTAGCATCGAGAACGGAAAGGGCGCCTATCTGTCTCTTCCATGGAGCTCACTCGGTAAGAATGAGTCAGCAAAAGACGAAGCCATCACAGGACCCTTGGCTACATTGCGCCTGGAGACGCACCTATGCAGCACTGAATACTCCCAAGATCAAGTGATACTGAGCCTTCTGAACTGGAAAGAGCGACCTGTCGATGAAGTCCTCGACACTCTCAAGCGGGTGCTTTTCGTCCCAGAAATCGAAATTGTAAAGCAACTTAGCAGTGTCTTGGATTCGTTGTTCGGGATATTGGTCGAGAATGCTGGAAACGAGGAGTATGAGGATCTGATCTTCAACAACCTGGTGACGGTCTTAGGAATTGTGCATGACCGACGTTTCAACCTTGGTCCGCTTGTTGATCACTACGCTGAGAACCAGTTTAATTTCCCTTTCGCTACGCCATGTCTGGTCAGAAGCTATCTCCGTCTTCTCCAGGCTAACTCTGATCCCCAACAGTCGCGCAGTCTTCGCGCCACTTTCAAAGTCGGCCGGCATGTTCTGAAGTTTATCATCAATGCTCGACAACAGCAGAAGGCCAAGGAAGAAGGCATTGGCATTACCCGGGTTCAGTCAACCTTCAATCGCGACCTGCATACTATCTTCAAATTGCTCGAAGCTCTCATGAAGGACACATCGCCCGCGACGGTGGGCAGTAAGACGCTTGTGGTCCAGCATTTTCACACGTGGCTGCCTGAACTCTCCAAAGTCCTCGGACGAGATGAGATGATCATGATTGCGCTCAGCTTCATGGATGCCTGTAAAGACGTCAAGGGTATGCTGATCCTTTATAAGCTCGTCCTCATTCAACACTATACCCGTCTTGAGGTTTTTAGCTCCGGCTCGGAGAGACGGAGCCTGGTTTCCAGCTGCATCAGCTGGTTGGCCCCGTACTGGGGCGCGACAGGCGCCGTGTCTGACCTGTATCGCGACCAAGTTCGCCTGTGTTGCGCGGTGGTAGCGGAGTTGCTGAAGCAACCAGATTCCCTTATTTACGAGTTTATGCCAAAGATCGTTTCATCCTACTATTCTATCATACCCGATGGGGTGGAAGAAACAACCTACCTCTCCTTGCTTTTCAGCAAGACGTTCCCGTTCCAAGTTAAATCCTCGAAGCACTCGCAGCGGTTCGATGAGGCATTGGTCGAGCTATCTGCAATCATGGCCGCTACAGCAGCCGTACCCAGCCCCAAACGGCCTCGTTTGAAGGGCTTGGAGCTATCCACCTTCCTCTCCCAGGCGTTCGAGGTTCACACTTCAATACTGAACTGTGAGGCTTACCCCGAAAGCTGGCTCAGCGTTCATGTTTACAACCACCGTGCGACGGTCAAAAGTCTCGAGTTTCTCGCAACAATTCTTATAAAGAAATTCCTCCCAGCTCCGGAAGAAGCCGAAACTTTCGACACAAGGCTCTGGGAGAATTTCTTCATGACTCTGCTCAAAGTGGTCTCAAGCGAGGCGCTTGCTCTCGAGACGTTCCCGGAACAAAAGCGGCGCGCCATCTGGAAGATTGCTGGCGATGTCCGAGAACAGGGCGCGGATCTACTGCATTCCAGCTGGGAAGCTATTGGCTGGGACACCACTGACGAGGAGAGCGAGCGCTACGGGCTGAGTAAACTGGGCGGCTACCAAGTGCAGTATGTGCCCGGGTTGGTGGCACCTATTATCGAACTTTGTCTCAGCGTCCACGAGGGACTGCGACATGTCGCTGTCGAGATCTTGCGAACGATGATCCTGAGCGAATGGGGACTCAATCAGGATCTGTCCATCATCGAGACGGAAGTTATTTCGAGCCTCGATAACCTATTCAAACGAAAGAATATGAGTGAGAGCGTGGTGCAGAAGTTGTTTATCCAAGAGTTGATGGACCACTTCGAGGGCTACTCCGAGTTCGATGAGGACCTATCCGAGGCAGTCGGTGCTTTGATTGCCACGGTGGATGAGCTTTTAGATCTTTTTGTGGCATCACAGGGTGGATCCATGGCTGAAAGCCTGCATACTCTTCGATTGATGAAGTACATGAAAGACATGGGCCGGGAAGATATCTTCATACGTTACGTGCACGAGCTTGCTCAAGTTCAAGCTGCTGCGGGCAATCTTACCGAAGCTGGCCTGGCGCTGCAATTCCATGCTGATCTATATGAGTGGGATCCGAGACGGACGCTACCGGAGCTGCTCAATCCTGCATTCCCTGAGCAAACCCCATTCGAAAGAAAGGAGTCACTGTATTTCTCTATCATTCAGTACTTTGAGGATGCCAAAGCCTGGTCGCATGCGCTCGTCTGTTACAAGGAGCTCACGCAACAGTACGAAGACACCATTATGGACTTCGCTAAACTTTCGAGGGCACAGAGTTCCATGGCCAAGATTTACGACCATATCGCGAAGGAAGATAAACAGATCCCGCGCTACTTCCGGGTGATATACAAGGGTCTTGGCTTCCCGCCCACTCTGCGTGACAAGGAGTTCATTGTCGAAGGTGCTCCAAACGAAAGAATGGCGGCCTTCGTGGACCGCATGCAAAGGGAGCATCCGGCGGCGCAGATCATGTCTTCGGGTGAGATTCAAGACTATGAGGGTCAATTTCTGCAGATCAGCTCTGTCAGCATTTATCGTGAAGTGGACCATCCAGTTTATCAACGGTCCAAGATACCGCAGTCAGTCAGAGATCATCTGCTGGTTTCCGAGCCTTGCCAGTTTACAACGACGCTGAGGAGACATGTGCGCGACGCGGACGTGACGCAACAGTGGGTGGAGAAGATTATCTTCACCACCGCAGAACCTTTTCCCAACATTCTGCGCCGCAGTGAAGTGGTGGAGGTGAAAGAAGTTGCCTTGTCGCCCCTGCAGAGCGCTCTTGAGCGGACCTGGCGCAAGACTCAAGAGCTGACCTTGCTGCAGAGACGGGCCGCATCTGGTGAGGACACCAGCCTGAACAATCTGACCGAAGCAGTGCAGCAATTGTTGGATCTGCATGCTTCCACTCCGAATTGTGTTGCGTCCTACCGGCAGTTCTTGTCAGATGTGCCGGACGAGGACGAGGGTGGGTTGGTGACCCCCAAGCCAGCGGATCCGATGAAGAACGCACTCGCAGTAGCTCTCATCGACCATGCTTTGGCCATCAAGCACGCTCTGGCACTATACCACCGCCCGGCCCATCAAGCCACGCAAGCGGAGTTGATGCGTCGGTTTGAGGAGGCTTTTGCGCCGGAGATTGCCTCGCTCCGTCCCGCCGAGCCCGCAACGCCTCCAAGGTCACCCCGGAAATCTCCTAAATCGGTGGAAGGGCGCCAGAAGCAGTCTCCCTCGCGAGCCTTAAGCCCGGAGCAGGAGCTGATCCGCTCTTCGCGGAAGACTCATGGTCGTAAGCACTCGACGAAGCAATCGGTCAGCCATCGGATCAGCGTGATGAACCCTTTCAAACGCACCAACCATGCCGCAAGCAATTCAGTGACTACAGTGCAGGATGAGCCTAGGAAGCAGAGTACCGCCAACGCAAACCAGCCAGGGGAGCAAGGCCAGGGAGAGTCGACTGATCACGATGATGCAGCCACGATTCACAGTCGCACTACAGTTCAGTCGCGTGATACTCAGACTAAGCGGCGAAGTCTCTTTGGCGATGTTTTACACAAGCACGGATCTTCCTTGTCGATCAGCAGCAACGCCCTCGAGGAGACCCAAAGCCAGAAGGAACAACGGTCCAGAAGTGCTTCTCGGGATACGGTTGCCGTCTCACATGATTCCGTCAGCCGCACTACTTCCCGTACCAACGGGGCTGCCGAAGGGCGTCCGTCAGTGAGCAGTCCGAAAAGTGGGGGCTGGTCGACTATCCCTTCCATCAGCGACTACCCCCGGCCAGTCACGCGAAGCAGCATGGCCTCCGTCCGCAGCCCGGAGATCGCCAGCCCGACAGGCCACAGTAACGGACACAGCACTAGCCATGGGAAGCGCGATTCAATGATGAAGCGATTCAGTCTGCTCAAGGGCGTCAGTCGAAAGGGCAGCCGCCATGACTTCAAGACGGAAACTCCTCTGCGGGAGGAGTGATTTCTCTTTTTCATCTACTTTCAATTCTTCCTAATGTCTGGACATTAAACCTTTTTAACTTACATTGTTACCGTCTTGTTATTCGGACCAGCGTTGGCTCAGCCTTGTCTTGCATTGCAGCGATGCTTTGATTTCACTTCACTTCACTTCTCTTCTCTTCTTACCCATTCGTCCACCGATCCAGGCACGATCTTTTTTACTATACTTTATTACCGAGATACCTACTTCTCTTTCTCTCACTCTTCTCTTCTATTGGATCTCATTTGTGACTAGAATATTTGTAAGATACTTTACTATCTGTCCAGACCTTGCTTTCAATTATACCCCGGAGAAGGCGGTGGGATTACGGAGTGAGACTGATAAGGTGTATGCTATTGGTATTCGGATTATCAAAGAATGTTGCACAAGTCAACAGTAGCCTTCCTACTTTAGTGGTAGACACAGCAGAGCAGAGTGTGCGTCCCGGGGGAGAACCCCCGGTCCCCCCTTCCTTTCAGCTCCCTGGTCTACCTCAATCCTAAGACCAGAGAATGAGTGTATCCGGGGGAGAACCCCCGGTACCCCCTTCCTTTCAGCTTCCTGGCAACCGCAGTCTTGACCAAGTCAACAGCAGTCTCATACTTCATATAGACACAAGCACAGCAAAGTGGATATATAACAGAAACGCAAAAAGCAAAGCACAGTAAACCACTCTCACTCTCACTTGGGACCCTCCTCAATAACAGGCAACTCAAGATCCACCAGCCAAGGCGCATTGATAGGATGATACTGCACGTTCACCACGCACGCATTGACAAACAGCGTCTCCTGCCCCGGATTCAACGGCATCGCGCTCCCCCGGCTGACGTCCACGCGCGCGCAGTGCTCCGCCCGCATCTGCTGCGCATCGCACTGGATCATCGAGTCGCTGCCCGTGCTCCACTCGCGCCGCATCGCCCCGTACCCCTCGTGGATGTGCCCGAACACATGCAGCCGCGGCCGCGCCCGCTTCACCGCGCGGTACAGGTGCTCGCACCCCACGCTCACGTGGTTCGGCACCACCTGGTCCAGGATCCCGTACGGCGGCCCATGCGTGATCACAATGTCGATGTCCTCGTCGTCTGGGATCGGGTGCGGCGCCACGAACCCTCGCGCGGAGTTGGCGGCGATCGCGCCCCGCGCGCCTTCGCCCCGCGAGCCTGTGCTGCCGTGCGGGCGGGTGCGCTCGCGGGTTTCGGCGGAGGTTTCGTTGGGTTGGTTTTGGTTCTGGTTGGTGGTGTTGGTGTTGTGTTGGGAGTGTTCGTGGGACGCAGGTTGATGTTCGTTGCTCTGCGTCTGCGTCTGCGTCTGCGTCTGCGTCTGCGCATGTGTATCTGCATGTGTATCTGTATGCGCATTCGCCTCCTTCCCATCCTGCTTCTCCCTATCCCCCCCTCCAGAACCAGAAGCAGAAGCAGAAGCAGAAGAAGGAGAAGGATTAAACCGATCCACACCCCTCTCATACCCAAACGCCCACTGACAGAACTCAGGCGTCCAACTACTAGCATAAACCCTGAACCTCCTCTTCCCCTTCCCCTTGCCCTCACCATCCCCAGGAATCTCAAAAGAATGAACCCCCTCCCCCAGCAACCGCACCCCAGCATCATAAGCCTCCGGAGAAGTATACAACCCCCGAATCTCCGCGGGATCCTCCAAAACCCCCGGCTCCTCCTTCCCGCTGGAGATATTCCCCGCGGAGGACGCCATCGCCGAGGGCGCCGTATGATCCGTCCGATTCCGGTGCCGATGATGGCCCAGCTCGTGGTAGTACGGCTCGTCGAACGTGATGTCGTGGTTCCCCGGGATGACCAGCTTTAGCCGCGCGGGATGGGATTTCAGCCACGCGAGCGTCGTGAGGTGCTCGTGTCGTCGGGAGACTTTTGTCAGGTCCCCGGCGTGGATGAGGATCTCGGATTCCGGTAGCGGCGCTAGGAAGGAGGTGTCTTGGTCGCTTTCGGGGCGGGGGAGCGGGGTGAGGCTGTGGGTGTCGCTCAGTAAGAGGAGGGTGGTTTTTTGGGTTGGCTGGGTGCGGGATTTGGGTTTCATTTTGGGACTTCCTTTGGTATTTCTTTGGGTATTCGTTTTCTTAGGTATTCCTTTTCTTTGGGGGGGAAGAGATTATTCTTTGGGTTGGGTTGAGGTTGGTTTTGTGGTGGGTTTGGTGAAGGTGTCCTGTGTATGGATTGTGTGGGTTGTGTTGCGTTAAGTGGAAGCAGTTGGGGAAGTGAGTCAGTAAGTGAATGGTAGGTGGGGGAAAGTATGGGGGTGGTTATATCATAGCATAGAGCATCAATGGGTTGTTGGTAGGTAGGTAAGAAAGTAAGGTATAAGGCGGAGGAGACATAAAAGAGAGTACTCGGAGTGGCAGTGAGGTTCCTCTTTCGTCATTGTCGATCGACTAAGCCTAACTAACCAACAAGGTAACTAACGCTCTAACCATCATACCCTCACTTAAAAAAACTACACTTACACACCCACTTTTGCACAAAGTATACTATTGATGTTTGCATAATTCATCCATTTATCAGAGCTACCAGTTCAATCGAAATTTCTGGACATTTGCTAACTCCGAAGAAATAATTCATTGCCCTCCCCCGGCCACCACAACCCAGGGACCAACAACACAGCGCGCGGAAGATCCTTTTAGTAACATTTTAAATTTTGAAATGGTGATAGAAAATATAAAATAGTTTACTTGCGGATAGCACGCTGGTAGAAAGCCAGCTCCTCACCCTCCAGGATGTAACCGTCGACACGGCCGCTCTGGCCAGGACGGGAGGAGACAACGGCGTAGAGGCGACCGGACTCGAACTGCTTCTCAACAGCACCCTCGACCTTGCCGTGGTCGGCGAAGCGAGCAGCCTGCTTCTTCTGGACGCTGTTGCTCTTCTTCTCCTCGGTGACCTCGCCGGTCTTCTGCTGGCGTCTGCGGCCCAGGGCCTGGCCGTAGTGGGCCTCGTACCATTGACGGAAGGGGGCGGCGTCGATCTGGACAACGGCGGACTTGGTCAGGGTGTTGGTGCGGACCAGCTCGTTGTTGGAGGGGTGGTAGGCCACGACGATGACACGGGTCTTGCGAGAGATACCCTCGGAACCCCAGGAGAAGTTGCCCGAGTCGATACGGAGGGCACGGAACTTCTGGTTGCCACCACGGGTGCGGACCAGGTGGATTCTCTTAGCACCGATACGGGTGTTGGCGGCCTGGCGACCCTTCTCGAAGGCTCTTTATCGGACGTCAGTATAACCGGTTCCTCTGTCTCGACTGGCTAGCTAGCTAGCTAGCAGGAGTATCGTTGTTGCATACCTCTTCTTGCGGTAGGTGGCCCGCTTGGCACCGGTGGCCGAGCGCTTGTGGCGCGAATCGCGTGAGATACCCATATTTGCTGTTCGTGGGGACTGACCAAGAGACAATTAGCGATCTGGTTCGGTGAGATAACCCGGTTGCGACCCCTTTGTGAACGCAAGAATCTATCCTTCTTTTCTCTCGAGTCTCGTAGTCGATAAGATCGTGGTTGTGTGAGCGAGCAAGTATCAAGTCGGAGTCGTCGTCGGAGTCAGGAGATATCTTGTCGAGGATGCGGGTAAAAAGTCGATGTTGCAATTGTGTGCGATCCAATAGTAGACGAAGAAAGGCAATCAATCACCCAAGGAATTTTATCGATAAAGTGAAAGACAGAAAAAAAATCTTCTTGTACCAGCGTCTTCCGAATTATCTTGTGTCGAAACGATATGCCAATAATCCTCAAGCCTTTTCTTTCCGCGTCCTTGATGATAACGGCTCCAATTCGAGATCGAGACTTGCACACGCGCACCAACCGATTTTGTCGAAACGAGACCGGGGAAAAAAAGAAGAGAACGCAGCTTTCAAAAGGGATCGCAAATTATCACAGGAACTGTTGCAGCTGAACTCACCTCTAATCCTGCAGCCCTTCACCAGGAACGCAGCGGGCAAGGGTCGATGGGGTTGGTCGAAGAGTTGTTGTTGCTGGTCGTCGACTGTCTCGTGAATTTCGCACTGTGGCTCGCTTGTTGGGGGGGACACTTTGCCCTACCCCGGGCTAGGCTCGATGGGGCTAGGCGGGTCAGGTGATTGTGTTCTCGGCAGCACACTGTCTTACCTAAGCTTTAGAGCTCGGCTAGCCCTCTTTCGGCTGATAGACACTAAACCCATCTGGGTACAGAGATTACTGTCTGAGCCCGTGTCGTGGCAGAGAGTGCTCACTGCAGTCAAGACGGGGGTGTCTATGCGCTGTGTCTATAGTAGTGTATCACAGTCACCTCGATACCTCAATTCCTAGACTAGACCTATCGTACAAACCACCCAACACCCATCCACAAACCAAGTCCACAATACCAACAGCACCGCATTAACTTACTTCCTCTTCCCCTCCCCCTCCTTACTAGCAACCAACCGATCAAACCGCTTAAACCCCTGCGCGCCCTCGACAAAAGTCGAAACCAGCCAAGCCCACCACACGAATCCCGCAAATCCAACCCCATGCCTCCTGAGCCGCGAATACGCCAACCAAGCCGCCTCACCAGCATGCACCGTCACCAAAAACCGCAGCACGAACGGCTGCATCATGGCACAGAACGCCGCGAACCCACGCGGCCACCACCACCCACTGCCCAACCGTAACCCCTCGTACACCCACCCGCCCGGGAGGAAGTGTTCACGGCGCGTGAATGCCACAAGCCCGGACAGACACACCAGGAAGATAAGGATCTCGAGCGGCGTGGACGGGAACTGGTAGTTGGTGATCTTGGTGTCGGAGAGGCCGAGCTGCGCCAGACAGTCTCTGTGCATGGCGACTAGGCGGGCGCGCGTCTCGCTGAAGGATTGCAGGGGCGGGTCGAATGGTACTATATAACGGTTTGCGTTGGCGGTGCGGATTATGAGGTCCTGTAGGGTGATGGATTCCAGGGTGGCGGTTGAGGCTTCGGAGGGCGAGACGTTATTGTAGACGCGGAGGTAGTAGGTTAGGGAGTCGCGGTGGCTGGTGTTCATGTGGTTGATTGTGAAGGTTATGCCGTTGCTGTCTTTGCTCGAGGAGGAGGGAGAGGGGGTGGTTTGGGACTGTGGTGGTGACATATTGTCTTCTTGCTCGCTCTGAGGCTCTGGTGATTTGTTTGGATTGTCCGCGGTGGTGGATATTCAAAGTAAATCGACGGTCGTAGAAAGTCACGAGTAGCGGTCTGAGAGCTGGATATATACTACCACTCAGCAAATGGTGAGTCCCAATGGAGTTGTGCTGGTGTTGGTAGGACAGTGTTGAACATGCGTGACTTCCTGAGACACTCCCAGGTAGTTACGGAGTAGGTACTCCTTTGCGATGCCAAGCATCTGGTCCGAGGCCCCGGGCTTCTCCTGCCAAACATCACCCCATCCTCCCTGGGTTTTCCCGGTGAAACCAAAATATGGGTTCATGTATTGAACATTGGATAGTGATATCTGCTTTTTGTGTTCACAACATTCGGGCAGCAGGCTCGCTTCTTTGTCGGTCCTCTTGATGATCCCTGTTTGCACTACATATCAAGCCAGGACCATATAGCTGACGTCCACTACATGAAAAGATAAGCATCTGGCAGTTTATTCAAATTAGACATGCCAGCCACAAGGCTGATAACTCTTTACCACCCGGAGTAAATAACGCATGGTTCACGCATGCATGCTTCCTGGTAACTATAGAAGATAGACATAAGCAGCCGTGCCCGTGCACGACTCACGAATCACGATCGCCAATACTTCAAGCCAAGGTCTGTCTGCATTGACTAAAACTGAAAAACATTACATTTACCGCTATAACAAAACAGCCAACGATGGGAGTATAATTAGGCGCAATAACACACTAGCCAAACTCTATGAAAAGAAACAGCGGAGAACACAATAAATGAATATAGCAACAGTATCAACCCGTCAACTAACAGGTCCTTTCATAATCGTCATAATGCGACAAGCACAGGCGGCGGATAATGGATCGTTTTTGCGATGGCGAGGAAAACTCTCGATAGGAAATTCGGGTGGAATTGGTCGCTCTCGAAGCATAACAGAATCAAAAATCGATGGGGAGAGCATGCCGGATCATGCGCTGCGTTCATCAAAGAAAAATCGTCAATCCGTCAGGTTCTATTGCAGTTTGCTTAAGCAGAGTCCAACGGGAGTTCGGTGGTTGTTGTTTTTCCATTCTTGCCAGGTAGAAACCCCCGAAGAGACTCTTTCGAAGGAAAGAAACCTCGAAGATTCTCTCCGAGGCGGATCAAGAGAAAACAGACAAACAAGAAGGAGCGGGAGGGGAGGGAGGTGGGTTAAAGGCTCTATATTCAGGGGAGGTCACTTACAGCAAAGCCAACGTCAAATCACCATGGATGCGAGCCTTCAGCTCGACCTCAATCTCCAAGTTCAGTTCCAACTTCAGGCGCATGCCCTCCTCGTCTGCGCCCTTCTGGTCGTTCGAGGGCGCCGCGTCCATTGCGCCGTTGGAGATGTTCTGGCCCTTGTTGTCACTGCTGCTTATCGTAGTGGGCTGCCAGCGTTCCATCGCTTGTTGCACTTCCTCTTCCCCGTCGTAGTCATCATCGTCGTAGTCGTCATCGTCGTCATACTCATCCGACGCATAGTCATCGGAGTACTCCGCATCGTCATCGTCATCATCGTAAGTTTGGCCTTTGGCCGGAGGAGGTTGCCGGCGACGCTGGGCCGTTTGCTTCTGCGGTTGCGGCGCTTGCTCTTCCTCTTCGGAGATGTAGTCGTCGGAATCGTAGTCAGTCTCGGATTCGTCCGGGTCGTTAGTGTAAGTAGGAGGCTGTTGAGTCTTTGGTTTCTCGGCTTGTGCGGTGGCCATTGTGTATGTGGGTTACTGCTTGTTGGCGCAGAGGGGAAGAGAAGATAATTGCTGAGGAGGGGGGTGTGGTTGCTTGGCGACAATCAGGTCAAATTGCGGTTTATACTACTCTTGTGTATCTGTGTATCTTCCAACGGAACAATTGAGGCTAGTGACTAGGCGCGTCAGGTCAGAGACGGGTATGTAATCAAGCAAAATAAGAGAAACGGAGAAAAGAGGAATAGAATGGACGGGAGCGACAACAGTGGGTTTACATACGAGATGGCCGAAGACGGATGGGACGGGACAACAAGTGGCAGGCGAGTCGTCAGAAGGCAAAAGGGTCGAAGAAGGGCAAAGGCGAATAGAGTCGTACGAGCTGGAGCTGCAGCAGAGAGAGGGAGAGAGGGTCTGTGAGGAGGGAGAGAGTGAAAAGCAGGCGTAATGGATAGGGAGACCATATTCGCATGACAGACTGGGGAAGCAAGCGATATGACGTCGTGGGGACAGGGAAGACAACGAAAGCGCCTTTGCATCTTCGACAGCAACGACATCAACGATATCAACGACATCATCGCTCCAGCTTCAGGTCAGGCGATTCCTGATCGGCTGGCCACGTTGTCTGGACCCTCGATTGAGAACGCAAGGGGTGGCGGGGGGGCGGAGGGGAGGAACAATGACCGTCAAATGAATTCATCGTCATGTTGGAGGAAGATTGGAGTAGTGAGCCATACAGTACGAGGATTAATTGCAGCGTAGAGTGAAGTAGACGTAACTAGCAACTACTAGCGAGTATACGGTACATACCAGGCAATACAGTACATACTCGGGTCCTGAAGGATGGACGAGGTACGGCCGAGAGAAGAGCCATGGAAGAATGGAAAAGCAGTGGGGCTCATTCCGAGCGACAAAAGGCAAATCGGCAAAGCGTCTCCGACTCCCGCTTGACACATTCTTTGCCTTCTAAATATCTTGCCATTGTAAAGAGCAGCAGCACACATTTCAGAAGCAATTCCCCAGAGTATACTTCTAGTCCTGACTACAATGTATACCTGGTAACAATGGTCACAACGGTGTAATGCAGCCGTTGGCAGTGACGTCTGTTGGCGTCATCCACAGTGGAGACACACGGCACAGGCAATAAATAGCATATTGTCCGATTCTCAATCCTATTGGATCCGATTGGCAATCAACCCTACAAAGGCCCTGTCACTTGTTAGAACGTCCCCCTCCTTTCATTTCTTTTTGCTCTCTCCCTGTCAGCAAACCGACGTCATCGTCCGCTGCCATCTTTGGTTTTTGTGCTCCAGCCCTGGCAGAGAGGAAGCGCAAGCCGACGACGACGATCGCCTCCCTCGTCGGCGGCGCAAGCTGACGTCGATGGCAGGAGGGAGATGTTCCTAACCAAACAACGTTTACTCTGCCCAGAACCTTGCATAACCCAGCGGGGCTGAACCTGTCTCTCCATTGCGAATAGAGTACGTCGTAAGAAAAAAAAAAAAAGAGGAAAGAAACAATCCCCGGATCCCAAAATAACCGGCTGGGATTGGGTGTGGGTGTGTGTGCAAGGAGTGGTCTGAGTGTGGTAACGTGTAAGAAGCCCTATATAGATCTGCGACCCCGTATCACCAGACCGGACCAGATCCCTCTAGATATATTCATCCCCGTGCCCCCGACAATCCTCGATCTGATTCTTCTTCTCTTTTTCTTTCTTCTTCTTTCATCATGTCCGAGCAGACCAACAACCCTTCGTCCAACCCTTCCACCCCTCAACAAGAGAACACTCCCGGCTCCCCCCAGCCCAAGGAGGAAGAACAGTCGGAGCAGCAGCAGCAGCAGGAAGATCAACCCAAGGAAGAAGACAACAAGAACGAATCGGAGCAGAAGCCCGACGCAGACAAGGACGAAGACAAGGATAAGGATCAAGATCAATCCGAGTCCGCAGATCAAGACAAAGACCAAGACAAAGACCAAGACAAGAAACCCGAGGAGAAATCTCCCCAAGAACCCGAAGTAAAGCAAGAAGAAGACGAGGAAGAAGAAGAAGAAGAAGAAGACAAGAAGCAAGAAGACCCTCAACCCAAACAAGAAGAGCCCGAATCCGACGGCCCTCAACCCAAGCAAGAACCGCAGTCCGACAGCAACAGCAAACCCAAGAAGGACCCGCAGCAGCGCAAACGCCGTTCGCGTCCTCCAAAACTGCGCCAACAAGAAGATTCCGACACAGAGACTATTCCCCGTAACAACAGCAACAACATGGACAACGGAGCCGTTGAGAAGCCCCGCCGTCAGCGCCGCCAGCGCACCCAGCAGCAGCAGCAACAAGGAGGCGGGCAGGATGGAGGCCTGGGCGGACTGCCGGGAGTTGGACAGGCGGGCGATCTCGTGCAGAACACGGCGGGCCAGGCCCTCGGCGGCGTGACGGGTGGCGCCGGCAAGACCGTTGGCGGACTGCTCGGCGGCGGCGGCAAGCAGGAAGAAGGCGGCGATGGCAAAGACGAGCAATTGCGTCTTCGTCTCGATCTCAACCTCGATATCGAAGTCCAGCTCAAGGCCAAGATTCATGGTGATTTGACGCTGGGGTTGTTGTAAGTTCCCTCTTCCCCTTCCCTTTCCCCCCCCCTTCCCCCCAATCCCCCACGTTTATATTTGAAGCCAGCTCATAGTGCGAATAGTAGCTAACCTCGTCGGAATTCTTCCCGTAGGAACTAACACGCCTTCTTTTCGACTCGATTTTCTCCCTCTCTCCCGTGCTTTTCTTCCTTCTTCGAAAATTCCAGATCTACGACGATATTGCTTTCCGAAAGTGTTTCTTTTCTAAAGGAGGGATTCGATAGAAAAGTGTTAGCCGCACTACTACGCACTATATGTTTCCAACCACTTCAGTTGTTCCTTGTGATGCCTTGAACGGTTTTGATACCTCACCTCCTGTTCCTTTCTTGATCAGTTGACTTACTTGTTGGCCGTATTGCTGCTTTCCTACTGTCTATCTCATGCTTGCGTTCTCTAGATTCTTGTTTCCTTGCCATTGTCCTCTTAATACTCGCTATGTCTCCTGTTTTATGTTGATGAATGTGATGAAACCATCTTGTCTACTCTTCTTCGCAGATGAACGAACGTCTTTGTGGTTGGATTTGTCTGGGGTCGATGGTGGATGTATCATACTTCAGTATACTTCCTCTGGGGCTGGTCTAGCCTGTTATATCATTTATGGTATGTAACTTGAAGATTGAAGGATTGTCGGATCGTCATTCCCAACACTAGTATCATTGTAAACTTATCATGATCTAGTAAAAAGAAAAAAGAAAAACTAACATATTCATAAATGCTCTATGTATTTCGATCTAATTGTAACAATTATCAAGTGAAAGAAGAATCCACCCCCCCGTATACAGTCTTAGCCTGTATGCACACCTCCCACTTCGCAAATGTACTATTTCGCCATCGAAAGAATCAACAACTAAGTATAAATTTAAAGTCATCACAAGCACATCATATACGACACGCACTATACCCCACCACGGCAAACCAACCATCATCCCTGCGCTTCTACAACCCTGCGACATACATCAATCCATATCCTACCGTCACAACCACAACAAACGCCATCAAACTGGCCGGAATACCGCGGGTGAAGAAGTGGCGGACTTGCAGGTACCGTTGGCCGGTCTGCGGCACTTCGGTCATGATAGCAGCTGGACTCATGTTAGACACATAGCGAATGGAAGGGATGAGTGAACGTACTCATATTGGGGAAGCCACTGGTAGGCAGTGCCATGGCCACCGAACACATCAAGGCACTGGCCATCACAAGCAGATTAGGGTGGGGATCCGCCATGCTGACTCCGATTTGACGGACCAGCGGGAGCATGATCAGGGCGGCCACCGTGTGGGAGATGAAGGTAGCAACCACCAGGATCAAAGCAGAGAAGACGATCAGCACCCCATACAAACTCAGATGTTCGACCCGCATCCGGATGCCGTTGGCGAGCGTTTGCAGGAGTCCCGATGACGTGACAGCTTTGCCCAGACAGAGGCCACCGGCCGCGAGAATGATGATCGTCCAGAGAAAGTTGTTGAAGTCTTCCTTGTTGAGGATGCCGGTGCCGAAGAACAGAACCATCGGGATGATCGCGATCACGCCCATGTCGCCGAAGATGTGCTCAAGCTGGTGGCTGCCACACCAGAGGCCGATCGTAGACAGGGTTACGATGGTGATGAACCATTGCACGCCGCTGAATTTGTCCTTGATTGGTCGAATCGGCACGATAGTCGTCTCCCGACCCACGTGGAAACTGACCAACAGAAGCACCCAGATGAGGAGAATCGAAATGATACAAACAGGCAGCGAAATGAAGAACCAGGTACCCCAGCTGATACCCGGATACATGTTCTGGAGTGCAATGATGTTCTGAGGAGAGGCAATCGGCGATGCTGCTCCTCCGACATTGGCCGCAAGCGCAATTCCGAGGACAAGAGCCTTGGCGAAATTCGAGTCCGGAGACAGATTGCGCAAGAGAGGCTGGATGATCGAATAGCACAGCACTGGGGAGGCAACGTTACTGATCCACATACTCAGGAACATGCTCACGAACATGTTTGTGAGAAGGACCACGCGAGGATTAGAGCCTGCTTTGCTCAGCACAAACATGGCCATGCGACGTGCGATATCGTATTTCGACAAAGCGGCTGCGATGGTGAAACCACCGAGCAGGAGCATAATGACCGGTGTCCACATGGCGCTGAAAGCGGCGCTGGTAGCCTCCTTCGGTCCCAGTCGCTGGTGGGGCTTATCCTCCGACTTCATGATGCGAAGCATCACAACGAGAAAAGGAATGAGCAGAGAAGTCACAAAAAGGGGAATGACCTGCAACAGTTAGCGATGTCAGCGGTTCTATCCACTCGCAATAAGCATTAGTCTAACATACCTCCGTAGCCCATAATAAACTGACGAAAACAAGCATAGCCAGGCAATTCTGCTGCTCCGGTTTCTCCAGAATAGGGATAGAGAGCAACATCGCGAAAACGACCAGGATGAAGACAAGAGTACCGAAGCTCAAGCTGCAGACCCACTGAGGAACATGGTAGACACCGATCGGGGTCCTCAACACCGTGGGTTTAGCCTCTTGCTCGTCACCCTGGCGGCGTGCGGCTGCTGGGTCCTCGTCTCCTCCAAGGAGAGTACGACGAATTCCAACATTAGCAGCCTGGGCTTTCCGTTCAATGCCAATCATCTCCCTCCAGACGGTATTCCTCTCCCAGACGACATGTTCTCTCAGATGCAGTCGCAGTTCACGTTTGGCCAAAGGCAGATTGCCCGTCGTGATCACCTCAGCATAGACAGCCTCGATCTTGTGGATGTGATCATCCACTCTCTCCATGGTGTAGTCCGTGAATGGGTAGGCCGGAGCCACAACCGCGCTCATATAGTCCCGGCGCAGATTACGGTCCATGATCTTGTCGTACTTTTTCAGGGCCTTGGAGAAACCCGTCTTGTTCAACTGGATGTAGGACTTGAGTCCACAAATCGAAACATAGGCTGCAACAGCTTGTTTTTTGAGTGTGAGGCCCGTAGTATACAGATCCACCACAGAGGGATCGGAGAATTGCTCGTCCTGGGCGGCTGCACGGCTCGTAGACTGACCATTGTACCCCAGAAGCCTGGAGTCCGCTGCCCAAACGCTGGAGTCTCTCATGTCTTCAGTGCGGCTACCATCATGGTTGCTAGATTCGGCGCCATGCGATCGAGGTCGGTGGCGATCTGTTGGCGCGGCGCGGTCGTCGTCACTGTCCGCATCGTCATCATCGTCGTCATCCCCGATAGCGTCGCTGAACGTGCTACGCCGCCGTTCTTGTCTGTTCCTCGAACCAGAACTCATCGTCCTCGCCTTGATAATATTCTCGCTCATCGGGTCGATATTTGCCGTGTCGGCCCTGGAAGCATATTCCTCCGCAAGTCTGGCTACATCTTCCACCTCCTTAAACACTTCCACCTCCTTGACTTGATAGAACGAGCAGATCTTCTCTAACTCTGCATCCAGAGCTCGACGGAAGATCGCATCAGGGTTTGGTGTGCTATCCAGCAGCGGCGCAGACTCGACATCGGGGTGGCTCTGACCAGCCGAGCGGTGCGCTTCCTGTTCTAGGGAATATATTCTACCACCACAAGATTAGCCCAAGTCTTTCGACCCTCGACAACAGACAATCGGATGCAACGACTCCACCTCCCCCGAGTGTAATGTCGCACGACGCACGACGCACGTAAAACCAAAGGGGGAAAAAGAAAAGTGGACGACGTACAATTTCTTGAGGTTGCTGTAAGCGAGGTAATAGGCGCTCCAGTCGGGCACCGCATTGAACTGGATGCTGTGCGAGAACTTCATCTTGGGTGAATGAGCGCTCTGGTGGCGGTGAGCGCGACGCCGGAGAGCTTCTATCCAAAACTTGAGTCTATCCGGTCTGCTATGCTGGGTGCGCCGAGCGGCACTCTTCTCCTGGTCTGTGTGGTGTCCTGTACTGCCCGGGTGGTGGTCAACGGCACGAGACGACGGGTGGTGTGACTCGGTTGATGTCGTGACAGGGAGGGATTGGGGGAATTCGACGAGTTCGATAGCTTGATGACCAAGAGGGGCTATGTTGTTATCGTGTGTGGAGGCACCCCTCGCAGAAGCGATGCGTGCCACAGATCGACCAACGGCATTCGACGACACGGTGTCGGACGAGAAAAACGAGGCGAGGGGGGGAGAGCGGGGGCGAAACCGGCACTGGACTCTATCTGTTCAATGCAGTCGTGGGGACGGTCTGGCTGAATTGAATAATGTGTGGAAGGTTGCACGTCGACAGCCCTCCGCTAACACACTAGCCTGTTAATAGCGACAAGTCGTGGTATCGTTATCGTCACCGGTGTGGATGGGCTGTGCGAAACTGACTCCGATCGGCGGACAGCCAACGCACGTCTGGGATTGCAATGCGCCAGTACAGCTGTCAATCGGAAACGATCAATGAGATGTAGGCCATGCGCATCCAGAAGCTAAGTTTTAGTTATCCCAAGGGACGAAGTAGGCTGGGGGGACGTAGGGATCGTTGGAGCTAAATTGCTACGGTACAGCTGACGCCGAGACAACCCAATCGGGAAGGCTGCGTTAGTCATCCGGAGGCTAATCGGCGAGCTTCAACCTTTCCGGCGATTTGCTGCAGGGGGGACCCTGAATTCTACTTGAAACATGATCATGCAGCTAAGTATTCTAAACAGTGAACTGATTTGGCTGCTGAAAATAACTGGTAGCAAGTAAGAAATACAGATCGGGGAAGAAAATGAAATATACAACGTCCAACCAAGCAAGTAGCCCAATTCCCGAACCCCATCCCATGGAATGTATTTAGAGGGAAGCCCCCCATCGCTTGGGTCATGGCATAATCGACTCGTGATTCAAAGCAACATTCACCGCTTGGCCAGGTTCGACCGACCTGCAATACCGAGCTTGTGCACCGCCTCTCTGCGATCCCACACACCACTGCGACCCTCAGCAACCGCAACCAGCTCCTGTGCAACTCTCATGGCGAAGTTGCTGTCCCGGCGCTTGTCCGAGGAATCAATGATCCACCGGATAGCCTGCCGCCGCCGCTGTCGGAGAGCGAGGGGAACAGGGATCTGCACCGACGCACCACCACCAATAACACCTTTCTGTTGGCGGATCTTGAGCAGAGGAGCGACGGAGTCGACTATGAGGGTAAGGTAGAGGACGGGGTTGAGGGGTAGTTGAGAGCTCGAAGGGCCAGGAAGCAACGGTCGCTTCATGCTCGTGTTAGGGGGGGGAGAAGTCCGCAGGTGATCCAGAATGAAGGACATATCCTGCCAGAGGATCACAGTTAGCATGTCTTGTCAATGACTCAGCGGACCAAGTCCCTAGAAATCGTAGCGCATACATTGTAAGCCTTGGTCAGCTTGCCATCCCGCATAAGTTGCTTCGTGAACTGTTCCAGCAATGAGTCGTATCGAGAACGGAAGTTATCAGTCTTGGCCATGGCCTTGGTGGGCTTCTCGAACTTGAGCCCTTCGCCAAAGTGCAACTCGGCCGCTTGCTCGTTGACGGCGGCAACCATGTTGGCGACCATTGCGGCGGAAGCGTCGTCGAAATTAGTCGACTCTAAACCTGATTCCATGCGACGAGCAGATGTTGAGAACGAGCGCTTGCCCGATTGGTTCTTCATTTGGTCTTGCATGACCTTGGGGGCATGCTTCTGGGCATTCTTGTCACGCTGCAAGATCTGTGAAGGGACGGCGTCCATGTTAGTTTCGGTGGCTGCCAGAGGTACAAATGAAGCCGTGGCATTGAAATGTGCAGCAGTATAGATGAGCTACTCACCTCGGAAACCGGTGTTCCCTGCTCCAGTTCCGGGCTGGAAGCAACGCCATCGCATCTCTTATCCATGATTTTGCTGACCTCCGCGGCCTCTTCACTGACATGGGGCAAGGGGTCCTCCGTTGGGCCCTTGTAGCCCTCTGGCTTGTCCTTTCCATCGCTACCAGACGAGTTCCAACGCTGCGACATCCGCACCGAAACTGAAGGGACGAATTTCAGGCCATTGGTGGTCGATGGCCGGTTGGCGTTCACAATAGTCGCAATGCTGCGGCGGGCAGCGGCCGAACCGTTGACAGCGGACGTCGAAGGCTGGCGAAGGACGGGAACCGCCCTTGCGGTGAGAATATTGAGACGTGGCGGCATAGTGAGAATGAACCCCTTCAATGACCGGAGGCTGTCAAAGAGGGAATGAAAGTGGATGAAGTCACTTCTATCAGCCTGGCTCCCTGCCATGAAGTCCGGCGAACGATTTTCCTCTCCACACTTGCTGAGTCATCCCATGCCAAGATTCTGGCCGATGAAAAGGAAACAAGAACCGCCACACTCACATACTTTGAAGATACTTGCTTCACAACATCATCTTGAATTAATCTCAGCTCAAGCGCCACGACTCCGCTTAGATCTATAGTATAGCTTGCAGTCTATGTCCCACATATAAATTCACACGAATAATCAGACACGCTAAGCCTAGATGAATCACACTACCATGAAGACACACTTGGAGAAAGAGAACATGTGATACTACTGGTATTTTAAACTGACCTGCAGCCCTCTCACGGTTCGCCCGTCAGAGTAGAAGCACAAGAGCCGCCAGCTGAAACATAGAAGAATATTGTCGCCACTAAAACGAAGAAAACGCAAACAAGCACGGCTGCGATAGGCACAGCATAACTAGGGTGCACATATGGACAAAACAGAAGTGAGATGGAAAGATGTTGCGTGGGCGCAATTATGGAAGAGGAATACATGCTACAGGCATGGACGCAAATCCGATGTGTCACATGGCCTTGGGATACTCCAATTAATGATTGAACAAGGCATCGTCACTGGCACTGTCCGGATAAACGTAGAAAGCGAGTGCGAGGATGATATACCTATGATGATAGTAGAGTTAGGTAAGCGGCCAAGGTATGACGGGTGCACGGATACTTACATTCCCAGGCATAGCCCGCCTTCAAGATAGTTAGACTTTCCATCCTGAATGAGGAAAGTAACGACCAAGCCAGAGATGAAGAAGGCGACAGTCTCGAAGATATGGAAATGCAGAGTCATATCCACATTCATGATCCAGCCGAGAATAACAAGGAAGGGCGTAACAAAAAGCGCAATCTGGAGACTGCTGCCAATGGCAACCCCAATAGCTAAATCCATTTTGCCCTTCCAGGCAACCACAACGGCGGTAACATGCTCGGCAGCGTTTCCGACAATCGGGATGAGAACGAGACCGATGAACGTACGGCTCATGCCAGTTTTCTGCACGATGCTGTCAATACTACCCACGAGGTAGTCGGCGCAAATAGCAACGAGAATCGTCACGATGATCAAAGCCACCGTGGCAGCCCATGGGCTGAGCAGTCTTTCCTCTTCTTCCTCCGCCTCCGCATTTCCTGCCTGATTTTCAGCATCGTTGAGTTCCTCGTTGGCTGCTTCGAAGAGATCCGCGTGCGACTTAAGCTGGAAGTAAAGGTACATCACGTAGAGGATCAAAAGGATGATGGCAGTGCCGTGAGAAAGGATCAAGATGTTGTCTCTCCTTTCCCCCTTATCAGACCCGCTCAAGGAGGCGTAAAGCGTAGCCGGAATGATTAGCGAAGCAGACGCGACCGTCATCAATGAGGACATGGTCGATGCTACTGTACTATTGAACGTTTGCTCGGAGTAACGTAGTCCGCCAATGAAAAAGCAACAACCCAGGACAAGCAGAATGTTGGACAAGATACTTCCAAGCATGCTTGCTTGGACAACTCGGATCTGATTGTCCTTGAGAGCGATTATGCTAACCTGGCGGCAATCATTCGGGTTAGCTCAGATATTCTTACACTGGAGCTATAGCGAGCGAACTCACGATCAATTCAACAGCATTACCAAAAGTTGCATTCATCAAGCCACCCAGGGCCTGACCCATCGTCGCTGCCAACTCCTCAGTTGCGAAACTCAAGAGCGAAGCCAAAGGAATAATTGCCAAGAAGTTAAGAGTGAAGATGACGGTGCTGTCCCAGTGAAGCGCGCCTGCGACGATGCCCAATGGCACGAAAATAAGGAGGATGTTAACATAATCGCGAACAAGAGTCGACCATGTCAGATGAGCGACTCGTCTAGGCCAGTGAGACCAGTGGTATCGAGGCTTTTGACGTTGCTGGCGAAATCCAGAGTTGATGCGAGCTGTATCGCTGATCAAAGCCTGTCTCTCATCCGGCGGCTCCACGGAACCATTTCTCGACGAAAATCCAGTCATGTTTTTTCTGGAACCCCAAGAGACCCTGCGAACAGTCGAGCGAAAGCTTGTAGCCGCTGCGAAACCAATGCCGGAAACTTGTTAGCTAAGTTATGGTGTTGCGTGGACGGAGAAAGGTGGATGGCGCAACACGGGCTGGAGTGTAAAGAGGAAATAGGAAATCAGAGGTGACAAGAGAATGTGGGGTTAAAGGTAGATTATCGGACTTGTGCTTGCTTTGCAAGCTTTGGAAGAAATCTGCAATGAATCCAAAAGACTGGAATAATAGTTGGAGGATGATAAAAAGACTAGTCTTGTAGGACTGATGGGTCGACTGAGTACTGCTGAGGGAGCAACCAACTGCGCCGATCACAGCGCGGAAGGAAGGAAGAAAGGACGCGAAAAGGATTGTAAGGAACGAAAAGATGGCAATACCTGCGCCAATAAAGTAGATAATGGTGAGGAAATGGGAGTGGAGAAATTGGAGGTGGAAGACACTTGGGCAAGGTGGTCGCACTACTGCTTCCCAGAAACAGTCGAAACATGGATTGGCAGAGCCAAGGAACTGTGGTTCAAACACTTACACATCGGGAAATGATGTAGTGTGGCAAGGAAACAAAGCCACAACTCTGCGACAGTCGGGGGATTATAACAAGGGGCGATTTGACAGTATGGATTGTCCTTGGACCTGCAATCCGGGGTTAGTCAAATCGCAGGATCGATTGACGCAGTCACAGCTCGTGATCGGACGAGGTGGGAGTGAATGTTGTGTGGCTTGTCGCGCTGGGTGAAATTTCCCCCTTACGAGTCAAAGCAAGCCTAGGGCACAAGCCACGTATTTCCTGATGACCGGGAAACCTTGTAATAGAGGGGGTGACTGGCACGATTGTGAGGAAGCTCTCAGTCTAACAACGGCACAGCTAGGGTCCGGAAGGAGGGAATCAGGGAAGGGTACCTAGGGGGGAGGCCAAGAGGATGATGGGTTCAAGACAGTCGCAGTGTCGACGTACCGCAATCAGTCGCTAAATACTGAACAAGATTCCGAGAGTTCCACTAGTCACGATAATTGGTTGTGCAGAGTTGAGTGGATCGAGATTGATGGCTTGGACCCAAGAGCAGGTGGCAGGTGCGGTGCACAGCCCCAATTTCGATCATCCCACGGTGGTACTGGACTAAAGGACCTTGTGAATGTCAGGTTGTGCGGGATTTCAAATCTCGTGCCAGATTCAGTTTGGATGTGGTGCTGGCCACGCACCCTTATACTCGTAAGATCAGGATGATCCTTCGTTGAGATGACGTTGGGCCACATCGGTTGCGAGGAGGAAGAGGGGATGCGGAAATGGCTTGAGATGATGATGAAATCATGGCGGGCTGAAAGAGACATGACACGACAGTCGATAACTTCGTGACACTCACTAGCTTTCCAGCGAAACGAAGGTTCGGCTAGATAGATTGATTGTACGACTGCAGCCAAGCTCGTGTATACCTCAAGAGGCACATACCCCCTCTCTCGCTCAAGAAAGCTTGACAGTGCATTATTGAGATCGAAAACAGACGTGACCAGGTATAATAACTCATGACTAATGCATGCATCCATCGGCAGCTTCACTCAAGCTTGACCCGATCGGGAATGCTGGCTGGTGGGCGGGGCGGAGCCGAGCTTAAAATTTAAAAGCCCAGACATAAGTACTGTACAGTACATACTTAATGCATCTAGATACAATACTATTTTCTCGCTCATTATTCTCATTAAACTGTGTTTATGTAGATAAGAGCCTCTTCCAGTTGATGAGTTAACCCAATCGTCTAACTACCGGTGCCCATTCTCAGTCAGTCTAGATCAATCCACACCCTGATCAGCCAAACCATGGGTCCGGCCCTTATTTGAAACAAATGCGAGTCAGCACTGCCACGACTGGTTCAGAGGTCTCATGTGTTGGCGGGTAGGACATTCACTTGGCATATGTAAAAAGCCAATAACCCACTAATGCGTTTTATCGTCAAGATCTCGAGGTATGCCCAGCATCAACAACGTGACTTCTGCAGTGCACCTATACCCATAGGGAACTGAGGGCCGGCCCGCCCAATAGGTAGTGTGCCGGGAGTATCCGGTGCAGCTGAAAGGAAGAGGCGCCAGACAAAACCAGTATCAAGAGAGCAACTTGGTTTATACGGGCGCGCTTCCTGTGCACCAATCACTACACGGACAAGGAGAAGCCATATTTTAACAGATGTTTAAGATTGTATAGATTAATAAGAAAGTCTTCGGGCAGACACACAAGCATCTTGACCAAGCAGAACGGCAGTCGAAGCAAGATACGAAACAAATGAAATATATCCGAAAATCATCACCCTCACACTCTCAAGCTCCTCCCAAACCTATTCAGATGGTTAGCCCCCCGGTCTGTTTATTGTTCTAAAGGGTCATCAACATACCAGCTGCATAGGCCAGATACCATGTTCGTGAGGCACCACCATCAATCCAACTGTAGTCGAAGTTGGACTGGGCGAAAAAGTTCCAGGACGTGGTGGGGTCGACCAGAGCCAAGTTGGCATACAAAACACCCTTCCATCCACCAGTTACCGTTGAAGCAGGGGTGGTGGCATTGCTTGCGAAAAGGGCATTCCACTCCTCAAGGACGAAGTTCTGTCTTCGAACGAACCCAGAAGATGGCAGAAGAGGCAACATATGAATTCTATATGGATTAGCACTTCAAAAAGGAGAGACATGGAAGGCTTCGACTTACCCTTGAATATATTCTAGGTTGCCACCGAAGTAGGTAGTGTGATCTACCTTGTTCTCAAAAAGCTGAAGGATAGAGTTAGTCATGGATTCAGGAAATATGAGTCTCGGCTTCACTCACAATACCAGTGACCTTGTTGGCGATGAAGTTAGCCGGCTGGTTCTTATTGTCGCTCTCCAAAAGGAAGTAATTGTGCAGGCTGCGCCTCAAGATACCAAGCATCAGGTTGCCTCGAGCTTCCAAGCTGGCATCACCAATCGTCTTTCCCCACATCTTGATTGCATAGGCGAACATGGTGTCCTCGGAGGTGGACTCTTGGTCCTTGCCATCGAAGGACTCGAATAGTCCCTTAGCCCACGAGTGTCCATTGAACCAATCAAATGCGCGCGAGAAGGGGAAGTAAGGATCATTCGCTGCAGAATTTCCGGCATCGCGGACCAGCATGTTGACCCAGTCCTTGCTGCTTGACAGCCAAGTTGGATCCAGTGAGCCTATGATAGCTGCGGCATGGATGAAGTAGCCGTAGTGGAAATGATGGTCATTGTAGTATGTGTTTCCGAAATCGGCACCCGAATCCCCGCCATAGCTTGCCGAAGACACAACTCCCTTCCAGACAGTGTCATACACCAACGGGAATTGTTGTTTATTGGTGATGAATCTCGAAAAGGCGGTTTTGAGATTCTGCAACGCTGAGGCAGCCAGGTCAGGGTTTCCGCCTAGCTTGTTCACCGTGTAGACCAGAGTTGCGAATTTGCTCAGAGCCTTTCCGCTGTAGTACATGCTGTTCAAGTTGGTCTGCGCATCGATATTCTGGTTGAGCTCTGTAGGTGCAACTCCTAAGATGACCTTCTGTGCCGCCGTCGAGATCCCGTTGACATTGCCAGACGATGCGGACCATGGGGCGAATCCCATGTCGGTAGGAAGATCTGGCTCGACCATAGTCCACGTTTCTCCAACGACCGCAGTCGCCTTTCCCTTGGTAGTTGTTCGAAGACTGATGCTTGTCATACGGCCCTTTGTGGTTGCGTCGAATGATTCAACATGATGAGGTAGAGCGTACATCATCAGAGGGGTGTCCTGTGTCTTGGTCCCTGATTTGGCCCACGACAGCTGATAAGTGCCTGTGCGGGCACTTACGGTTCCCGAAATGGCGGCTTCGAGCGCGAAAACGCCAGCCGACCCGTCGAGCAACTTTTCCCCAGAGTCTCCAGCGGGATTCTTAGTGACCTGGACAAAACCAGACCACCCGGCCGGACCACGAAGGTTGGTGTTCGACTCCAGCTGGAAATTAGGATCCTTGCCATCTTGTGGCACAGCATAGAGAAGCCAGCTACTTCCATCCTCGAGGGTAAGCTTATACTTGAAGATGCCGACCCTTGGAGAGGCAGCTGTAACAACTTGCCTAAAGAAGACTCCAGTCTGAATCAGAGGCTGCAAGTTCGTATACATACCAGTCACGAACCCCATGCCTTGAACGAGGGGAACAGTAAGCCGCTGGCTTGACCCGCTATCTGGTTTCAAAACGGCGTCCGCAGAGAACGGTAGGATATTCTCTCCGGTGAGCACCGTGGAAGCCTTCAATTCTGTGGCAGATAATATGAGATGTTGAATGCCAATAGGGTTGATATAATACGAAATTGGATTCCCGGGGATGTTCGCATTTGTTGGTCCGTTGGCAACCACGTTGGCCTCGTTGTGCCAGAGCGCCATTCCATAGCTCTGCGCAGTACCAGACCCTTTAGCCCAGGCCACGGCATATGGGTGAGTGAAAGTTGCATTGCTCTGCGACCCTAAGAAAATGCCACTGTAGAACTTATTGGTCTCGATCGGCGTGTTGACGTTTTCCTGTGGCAATTAGATGGGCATTGGCAGTTATTATGAGTGTACTTACGATTCCTTTCTTTGGCACGGGGTGGTCACCTCTCGATGTGACAGCTTGAGGGATTGCCCCCGTAGCCAACGGGACAAATACATCCTGACCGCCAGACATTTGTGTAACTGAGCCTAGCGCCAGTCAAAGTTAGACCGCATGCCACACATCTCTCGGAGCACAACTTACTTGGTAATACTGTCGATGGTGCAGAGGTTTCGGTGTGAGAGGTCTCACTTGGCTTAGTGTCGAAATCAGTTGGGATGGGGGTTGCAGATGAAGGCTCGCCAGTAGAGTATGCAGAAGTCGGACTGTCATCCGAATCGTCAGATTCGTCGTCAGAATCGTCAGGACTATCAGAGTCGTCAGAGTCGTCAGAGTCCGTTGCAGTTTGTGTGGGCCTATGGCCAGTCGGTCTGTGCAAAGGCCTATCTGCTGTTGGAGTAGGATCTGCTGCTGGGGCGCTCGCCGGGACCGTAGGATCACCTCCTTTGAAGTCTGGTAGTAAGAGACCAAGCAAGTCTGCGGGACTCTCTAAGTCATGCAACAGGTCGTTCAGATTATGCGGAACATTCGAGACTGTGGGATAGGGTTGTAGCGACGGACGGCCTTCACGTTCGAGACTCGTGGGGTAATACTGGCTCAATGTAAGCAACAGGGAAGTCCAGGTGCCTGTTCGGCTAACTTACACCCTGAGTTTCGGGGATAAGCAATCTCTCGCCTTGAGCGGGAGGAAACTGAGTTCTCAATGCAGTCGTCGTTGACGATGTAATCTGCGGTGCTGAGTATACCTTCTCCGCGGCTAAGAGCCAGGTCAGCAGGAGTGAAGGGTGCCATTTCATCCGTTTCTCCATTGCAAAAGTGGGCAGAGCAATATCAGGCGCAAATCAGAGGTCGTATCTTGGAAGACAAATTGCGCCGACGGTGACCAACAAAGCGATTCTCAAGCGATCAGGAACCGAAGCAATGTGCATATGAGATCCAGCAAGCAGCAAATCAAGGATTGATTAAATGGGGTATATATGATAAAAAGATGGAAGAATTGGCGAACGAGTGTATCCAATATCTCCCTCTAGTGGTGGACGGCAGTGTTCTAGACACAGAGACAACGCCGGCACACACCAGAATGACTATGAAAAACGAGTGTAAAGAGGGGTGGAAGAGAAAAGAGATAGAGAGAGAGAGAGAGAGATTGAACCCGACGGTAGAAGGAACACATCTCCAAATAAATAGAAGAATGTCAACATTGCTTACCTGGTCCAAAGTATAGATTCCCGTCTCGGCCAACAAGAATCTCAGCAGGCGCGAGATAAACTCCGTTCCGCGTGCAGAAAGAATACCAAGAAAATACTGATCTCCCAAGTCAATTTACTGAAGGGGTATCACAGCGCGTCGATCTGTCCAGGCATCAGCGACCGCGATGGCTATAAAGGCATAACAACAATATGGAACGGAATGCAGGGTCGAGGAGGGGAGGAATGCATTTGGAAAGTCAGGCACAGCGGCAGCGGCGTATGCAGTGCGCCTTGAGACCTGGAGTCCGGCCCCGAACTGCATGGGTATGTGCATGGGATCTGGATGGTTAAAGTTTACAGGTAGACCGTAGACAGATGATGAGAGCAGATGATTGCAGTTGTACATACAATTATGGACAAACTGACAGTAAGTGTGTATGTAGTCGGTAGTGTAGAAGTAATCTAGAAATGTAAGCCTGGAGATGATGGGGAGGGGATGAATTGAACCAGGGACGGGGCAGAAAGCATGACGGCAAGCGCTTGCGGGATGGAGCCGGGAAGGAGTGGAGCCCTAGGAACAAGGCAGCAGTATCAACATCTAGTACCTTACAATCAACACAATACTTACAACAACTGAATAATACTTACATGCGACCCCTCCCTCTGACCACCACTTGCTCATTATCATCCTCCTCTAGCTTGACTCTTCTAAGATTGTCATCCTTCCTTGAATCAACTACAGTCTCAATATTACAGTACTCTCACCGTGCCTTTCCACTCAAGACACCAACCAGCCTTTACGAAGGCTGGAAGGAATGTTCCCCCATACTAAAGAGAGCCTAAGTCTAATGTGTGCCTCCCCAGCCATCACTCGGCACATTCCACCAGACACGACACAAATCCAGATCAATCGGGATTGATGTGCCTGTGTCCATGGTTCGTTTCAACGCCAACGTCCATGTGGCCCGGCCTGCAGCCCCCGAGCTGGCTGGATCATGAGGCTGACGGTTCACCCGACCAGATCATCTCTAGCCAAGACACTGCTACTCCAACAACTTTAAATTCAAATGGGGATGACCAACCCCGGAGACTATCACCATGTGCGGTGTCACTATTCTTCTTCTGCTGCCTCCAGGAGGCAGATGCTTATCGACGATCGCATGCACTTACATAGACTCTTGCACGTTGCTTATTGCCGCATCATGCGGGGATCGCTGCAGAATCAACTTTTTAGTCAGTATTCATTTAGCTGACTTGGTATCATGACCCAATTCCACACTACACTCAATCATGAAGACAATGTACAACATGGACAGGACGGTACAACCCCTGCCCAACCCGACAAAATGAGAAAACCCCCGCCAATATCCCGTAAAAGCCACTGACCGGCAGCCAAAGTATTGAAATGCATTTAGGCCATAGGCTTCTGCATCGGCTTGATGACACCCTGTTTGATCATCACGCGCGGCTTGGTTGCACTCTGGAAAGTTTCCTTGGTAGACCATTCAGGTCCCATAGGCAGACGGAGAGACCGTTCATATTGCTGTCTGTTCTCGAATGGGTGAGGAAGCTGAGTAGCCATATACTTGTTGTTCTGGGAAGGCACAAGGCATTAGCTCTGAATTCACATGTAATTGACCTCGAAAACGTGGTTATGCTTACCTTCTTAATCCGTTTCTCATTGATGATGACTCGGGATAGCTTAGCATCTTTCCGGTCTTCAGGCTTCACACCCTCCACCTTGGTCAAGAAACGCTTTTGGCGCTTTTGTTGTTTCTTACTAATGCCATCACCAGCCCAGCTGCCCCAGCCAGGTAGAGTGTTGTCAATCACCTGGTCATCCTCGTCTCTGATGGTGTCAAGCTTCTCTTGCTCGAAGTCCTGCACAACCTCGTCGCCCGCAAACGCTCTCTTCACGAGGTCGTGGTTCTTGAGAAGTACTGGTACATCGTCTTCGTCGCTGTCGTAGTCTTCTGCATCGAGCTTCTTGCTTGTCGCAGCTGGCTTCTTTTGAACTTTAGAAACACCCTTGGCACCAGCATTACTTGGTTTGGCATCTTCAAGCGTTATGTCGACAGTCTGCTGAGAGTCGTCGGCTGTCACTCGGCGATTGTTCCTGGTAGTCTGCACCAACCATGGGTTTTCCTCGACGGGGGATTCCCCTCGCTCTGCAAATTGGCTCGAAGGCCGAGCATTGCTTTTGTTTTTGCTCGGGGCTGGTTCTTTCTTCTGCGGACGATCCAGGACGATCTTGACGTCCTGATCCACCTCGTGCACATCAGGCTCATCGTCAGATCCCGGAGCTTCCTCGAACTCATTGCGAGGGGCTGCTTGGGTCTTGTTTTGTTTGGCGGACGCCTCCGTTTCAGACTTGCCAAACTTACGTCGTCCGACCTCAGATTCTGCCTCCGACTGAGATTCTTCACCATGTAATTCACGATTGAGACGCCGGATCTCTGCATCGTTTTCTGCTTTGCGTGCAGCCTGTGCGTTCTGCATGAACTTCATATTCATCAAGTTCGCGTGAGGGCCCTTGTACTCCTCATCATCGTCGTCGCCTTCAAGTTTGCTGAGTTTCTGGCGAATCTTGCGCTTCTCCGCATCCGAGGCAGCCTCCTCGTCCCAGGGATCCTCGTCCTCCGACTCGGAGCTGGAAGAACCGAGATAATCTTCATCACCATTTGTGACCCGCTTGCCTTCAATTCTCTTGCGTAGTTCCTCTTCGCGCAAGGCTTGATCCTGTGTACCACGTCGAGCGTCTTCGTCCCAAGCCGTGCGGCCAGTTTGCTTCAAGCTCTTCGCCCACTTGCTTTCCTTATGCTTGGAACCCATTCTCGCCTCCGCTCTTAATCGCTCGTTCTTTTCTCTCTCCATTTCGTCGAGATCAACGCCGGCTTCCAGCAAAGCCTGTCTCTCCTGAAGTTCCATTTTCTCGCGCTCCTTTCGGTGCACACGACGATAAGACTTGCTCTTGATCTTCTTGATTCGTTTCGCTCGTACTTCTTCCCGGAATAAAAGATCACGTCTCTTCCGTAGTTCGGCTCTGCGGGCCTGAATCTCCTCGATAGGTAGCCTACGTTCCTGTGATTCTTCCAGTTCCTGCATCTGGTCTTCGGCCGACTTTCCGTTCGTCTCTGCAAGTCCGCTCTCGACAAGAATATTCTGGATTGTGCTTTCGAGGTCCGTCCGGGGTTTGGGGGCGCTCATACGATGCACCTGATTCGCATCGGGGTCGGGCAAGGGGAACATAAGATGCTCGGCCCGGCGATTAGCCTTGACGGTCTCAAGCCATCGGTCAAGTGTTTCCTTGCTCTTATCATATGCGGCTGCGCGGTCGAGGCGATCTTGTTGACGCTTTGCAAGGGGAGCATCCAATTTGCCAGGGATTCCGGAGGACTTCTTCGGGGCAGATGCTTCGGAGTCGACGTGCTTCAGCGAGCTTTTGAGTCGAGAGTCCGTGATGGAAGGGAGCAGGTCGGCAACGGTTAGTTTACGCGTAGAAGCCAAGCCAAATTCTGTAGGGGTCCCATGTTCTTGACCGCCACCTGTCTTTCGGTTCGGTTTGGAGGCAGTTTGGGTATTCATTGAGTCGACAAAGCTCTGTAGTTTCGCGAGGCCATGCTGTTGGTCGCCGTCATCCTCGTCTTCGGAGAAGGATAGATCGCTTTCATCATCGGAGTCGCTTTCTTCGGTTCCGCTGGCGTATTCTTCCGAATCGTCGCTTTCTGCCGCCTGCTTCGACTTCTTCTTCGCCTTCTTGGCCTCCGCTTCCTCCTCTGCCTCCATGGCCGTGTTCATGTCCCAAGCAGTAGCCAAATCAACTGCGTCCTCTCCGAGATCATCATCTTCGTCTAGCTCGTCGTCGTCGTCTTCCTCGGACTCATCCACATCTTCAGAGAGGGTAATCTCACGAGTGCGCTTCTTCTTCTCGGGTAATTTCTGTTTCGGCTTGGAACTGCCACGAAAAGTGAAGCTCTCGAATCGCTCCTCGTCACTAGAGCCCAAAGCTTCGTCACTGTCGATATCCTCATCATCGTCGCTGTCAACCTCTCCCAGTCTCCACCTGTTTCCTTCACCGTCGCTGCCAAAATTAGATCCCATCTCCGAATCGTCATCGCCGGTTCGACGGCGCTTGTTATCCGGCGTGTCCGAATCTTCGGGGTCGCGACCGATGTTCCGCTTGCGTTTGAACTGATCATCTTCCTCGCCAAAGCGACTCCGTCGCATCTTGACTTTCGTGGGATATTGACTTTCGGCGATAGAGAAAGCATTAAGCATCTTTGAGGACGTCTTCTTCTGGGCTGGTTTCTTGGAGGACTGGTCTCGGTCCCGGTCCTTCGGACCGCGCAGTTGCGTCTGCTTGCGAGGCATGGTTGTTGGACCTCGCACTTGGGAGGCGCTGTGATCGGGGAATTATTTATGTGGAGGTAAAAGCAATGAAAATCTCGGCGTGTCGTATATTAAGTAGATCACACGCACCGAGGTTGTGCAGAGGTGCTGTGTACTTGACTGCAATACAGTTGATTTTTTTTCTGTCTAATGCGGAACAAGAAAAAAAGGTCTTGGCGGGGCGGAGATACTCCTAGCGCCGCCCGACTTCCAGAAGAGCCTTTTTGTCCGCTAACCGTCCGTCCGCATTCTCCGCAGTCATTGAACGCGAAAGGCCCAAGACCGTCGACCGCCCATATTTGCACCATGTTCAAGCCGACCAAGCCGTTGATGCGCATGCGCCTGCGCCTGACCACGAAACAGGTCAATGGCGGTTACTACAAGGGAAACCGGACCGGCGCCATGGGTTATTTCGCTAAGAACGGATCCTACGTGATCGATTGGAAGAAAGTCCGCACATATGTCGTTCCCGAGGCTTTGGACCAATTCAAGGTATGAGGCTCTTCTCCTTCTTCCTTTATAAATCGACGAAACAAAATCCCTAACGTGTCAATCCATAATCAGCTCACCCCGTTCGTCACGAAAGTCATGGACCCGACGCAATCCAAGTACATCCGCGAGATCGAGAAAAACGACAAGATGATTACGATCGAGCGTGCTCTCGGGGGCAAGGACTATCTGGATATGTGGGCATTGGACAACGGCCGCGAGGTCCTCGAACAGGAGATCGCAGACAGGGAGCTCATAGAACTCGAGCATCAGAAGGCTCAGAATGCGGCTCAGAAGGCGACTAAGAAGGCTAGGAAGGCCAAGAAGGCTGCCGCGGCCCAAGCGACTCAATAGACGACATCATGAAACATTCACACCGAATTCTCTTCCTTCCCGGGCCACTTCACTTGCCCTGTTTCTGGCCGGCGCAGTCTCCTTGATCACAGCGGCGACTGATGAGGTGCTATGACAGTCACGCCGGGGGACGTTCCGGCTTATTCTAAGGATCTACATCCGCCGACATGTGTTGGGTTTGTATCATATGTATAGTAGTTTGTGGTGCTAGATGATGGGCGACATGATCCACTTGGGCTACATCGGCTAGGGCGCAGCGAGAAGACAGATCATCATCGCCTTCCGGGTCAGCATTTCATCAATGCATGTATTGGTTTTGGGGCGTATCTCGGGTTTTTTTTTGCCATTCAGCAAGTGATTATACAATCTTGCTTTCTTCCAATACAGGACTGTCCAAAATCGAGTGAAATGGCTCCTTGATATAGGGATAAACACTTGGCTTCTGAGCTGCTCGTGACTACTAGTATCGAGAGATCACGTCGAAGGTGAAGGTCGTAAATTTCCGTTTCCGCTGACCTGGTGTGATTTGCAAGTCATTGGCTAGTCTGCATGCAAACATGATGATAGGGAAGTGCTGGAAGATCAGGTTGTTAGTGAATGCACGATAAGTATATATATTGCGGTGTGGACGTGTGCAGATTCAATTTCACCCGCCAGGCATATTGCTACAAAGTACGTCTTCGGTTTACATTTACAGTATCAAGCAAACCTGTTGCCTACCTGATTCTAGCACCATCGATATATGTCTCGATAAGCCAACACCAGCATCAGATGGGTTTGTAATCTGCAGCAAATGCAAGTTCAAGTCCTAGGCTCTGTGGCGTTGTGAAAAGTGGAACTAAGCCAACGCAGCGACCGAGAGTGCGTGGCCGTAAGGCAGCTCCGCACCTGCAAGACCAAGTCGGCGGCGCAGTAGTTCAGTTATGGCGGGTTGGCATAAGAATGGCCCAATTCATCATCCACACCCCATTTCCCCTGCAACGCTTCGCTGCATATCCGGGACACTTCCTTACGTATTGCGGCATGGGGCCGTCTGTGTCATGTTCATCAACTCCCCCACAATAAACCTCACCCTGTCAGATCGATCATTGCTTCCTCCAGACACGAACGACGTGAACTCCGGCAAGCAATGTTCCAGTCATTTACGGGGAACTCCCGCCGTCCGCGGCAGGTCAACCTTGGAGGCCGCAACACGAACCCTTTCGCCGCATACCCCTCCGGCAGACAGAATCCCCATGGCGCGGGGCCTCAGAACACCCTTGCAATTGCCCAGCAGGAACGGTTACTGAGACAGCAGGAGAGGGAGCGGTTGGGGGCGACTCGGATCATACAACGGACCTGGAGGGGCTATCGAAGTCGGAAGATAACGCGCGGTGTGTGGCGCACCGAGTGGGATGCTACGGAGAAGCACACAACAGGGGGGCTCTTGTCCTTCGAGAACCTCCCCAAGCAGCAGGATGTCTTTCCCCCAAACTCTTACCGCTATGGGACGGCGGCAGCTTGTCTGTCACAGCTGCGCCTGCTGGTGCATTTCTTGGAACCGTGGAGTAGCGACGATGTTGTCCGGTTGGTGTACTTCTCGAGTGTCTTCCAGAAGACCTTGCATGAGATTCCGACGATAGCGACCGAAGGAGAATGGACGACGCCTTTGAACCGTCTGGCGAGATTGACGCTTCGTGTGCTCCGTACCCCGACGCTGCCGGCCTTCGCGGTCGGCCCCCTTCTCCAGCTGCTCGTCTTTCTCACGGGTCTTATACCGAAGCAAATGGCCCGCCTCGCTCATGAGTATTATTCTGTCATGGTGACCCTCACGACGGATGAGAAATACCAACTTCCCAGAGAGAGCCTCGTCGAGTGCGTTCTAGCTGTGCTTCGGCCCATCACCTCCGAAACTCTTACAGCCTATGAGTGGTTTGCGAAGTGCTACTTGACGATCGCAGATCTCCCGCAGTATCTCGGTAGCTTGGATAGCCTGGCCAACAATATCAACTACAAGCTTTTGACCTCGGCTTTGGGTCCATTGCAGTCGTATTTTCGTGATCGTCAACGTGAGGATACAGATTCTTGTCTCTGGATGCTCGCCTACTTTATCTACTTCCATCGCTATGCATTGGGAAGCCAGGCTGGCCAGCAGGCTCCAGATTCTAGCTTCGTGAAGGTTGTGTCTGAGTTGCTGAACTCCACTGCAATCCACATATCACGCCGTATGGAGCCGGATGACTCTAATGGCATGGATGACGACTCCGAAAAAGTCCCGCTGCATCCTTTCATCAAAGATCAACTTGTCAGTCTTCTCAATCAAAGCAGTATTACAGGTCTTCTCTCTCAACTCCAGTCCACACACCTCTCTCAAGGTGAGCTGGCAGATTCTCAGTCGGATGCATCCAGAGAAGCAAAGATCCTTGCTACCTATGCACTGACTTTATTGAGAGTGTTCCCCCGACGCGGCGACGATATCCGCATGTGGCTCTATCTAGGCTCAGCTACATCGGACCAACAAATGCCAGGCCAACAGGGCACGAAAATCCCAGCTATCAAATACTTCTGGCATGCATCTAGATCTAGTCAAATCTTTGCTGCCATTAGCCAGGACTCGACCAAAGTCCTGCCTTTATTGAAGCCCGTAGGCGAGTTGGTGGATCCCAGATTTCGGGGAGTGTCGCAGGAAGAGAGAGATGAAGAATGGACTATCATCCTTCTTTTCCTTGAGCTTTATACGTTTGTGCTCAAGGTGATGGATGACGAAGAATTCTTCTCCAATGAGTCCTCCTTCACTGCGTCCTCCAACACCCGAGTTTCATGGACCAAGGAGAGTGCGTTGCCGCTGACAGACATCAAAGAGATGACGCTTTTCCTTAAGAACCTGGGCTTTACATTGTACTGGAATTCAGCCGATCTGAACGAGCATGAGACTGCTCAGGACGCTGGCGGGATCCGAAGTTACTTCAGCTCTTCCGCACTTCCGCCTGATCCCGTGGCGAGCGTGAGAGAGATCGAGACCAAGAACAAGGAGAAAGGACTTCCTGGCGTCACGGGAATCCCACTTGACTATTTCAAAGGTCTTGTCACGGGTCTACTGAGGATGATTCACGAGCGCGATTCGAGAAGAAAATTCCTTCCTGATGGGCACTGGCTGATGACAAGCCGTTTCGATATGGAAGGATTCATCCCTGCCGTTGTGGCGGAGGAGGAGAATCGACATCAACTTCAGGACGAAGACGACGAAGAACTAGGTGATCTTACAACCGATGCCCTTTTTGAGCAATCCCTAGGGCTTATTGGTACCGGCCGTGCCCAGCAAACGCGTCGAGTAGAGGCTCTCAGGCGTCGACAACAACAAGCGGCTCGCCGAAAGCAGCTCGAGGCTGTAGCCCCGCGACTTGAAATTCTGAGGAATATGCCGTTCTTCATTCCCTTCGCAACAAGAGTTCAGATTTTCCGCGAGTTCATATATCGCGATCAAATCCGGAGGAGGCATGGCTTTGTTGATCCAGACGCTTGGCGTATGTCCGTGGCCGACGCCACCATGGGCCGTATGATTGACGGGCGCTCTGCTGCGCACGATGTTCTAAGTCGGCACCATGCGAATATCAGACGTGAGAGTGTGTTTGAAGATGCGTTCGAGGAGTTCTACGAGCTTGGAGAAGGTCTCAAGGAGCCGATCCAGATCACCTTCATTGACAAGTGGAACAATGCGGAAGCTGGTATTGACGGCGGTGGTGTGACCAAGGAGTTCCTAACCAGTGTCACCAGTGAAGCCTTCAAATCCACCAGTGATCTGAGCTTGTTTGAAGAGAACGACCAACACCTGCTCTACCCTAACCCGGCAGCGGTCGAGCAACGGAAAGAGCTATTAAGGGGTGTGGGCCTCCATGAGGACAGCCCGATTTGGAAGGAGAAAGTACGGGAATTGCTCAGACGCTATGAGTTCCTGGGACGCATCATTGGCAAGTGCATGTATGAAGGCATCTTAGTTGATGTCAACTTCGCGCCGTTCTTCCTGCTCAAATGGGCGTTGACGGGGGGAGCAGGGTCAGCTCAACGAGAATCTGCATACCGTGCTAACCTCAACGACCTCAAGGACTTGGACCAAGGACTGTATCAAGGCTTGGTGAGTTCAAATCATGATACCATTTTGTGCTACAGTGGCTAATCCTTCTCTGATTGCAGCTCCAACTGAAGAACTACCCGGGAGATGTGGAAGACTTCTCCTTGAATTTCACCATTACCGATACTATCCCAATTCCCAATGTCGGCAATCGAACGATCACTCGCGAGCTGAAAAGCCAGGGATCCGACATACCTGTCACCAACCAAAACCGACTGGTCTACATCTCCTACATCGCTCGCTATCGCCTCCAGGCCCAGCCTGCGCTGCAGACGAACGCCTTCCTACAAGGACTGGGACAGATTATACAGCCATCATGGCTGTCGATGTTCAACCAGACGGAGCTGCAGACGCTGGTCAGCGGGGATAGAGGGGAAATCGATGTCGCCGATCTGAGACGTAACACTCTGTACGGCGGGGTGTACACAATCGGAGACGACAATGAAGAACACCCGACGATCAAGCTATTCTGGGAAGTATTGGAGAGGATGACAAACGAACAAAGGCAGAAGGTGCTTCGGTTTGTGACGTCGACTCCTCGGGCGCCTTTGTTGGGTTTCAGCCATCTCAACCCCCGCTTCAGCATCCGGGACTCAAGCGAGGACCAGGAGCGGCTGCCCAGCACCAGTACCTGTGTGAATCTGCTTAAGCTTCCACGGTACAGCAGTGCTGACGTCTTACGGGAGAAACTTCTTTATGCTGTCAACTCTGGAGCCGGCTTCGACTTGAGCTGAGCTTTGAGAAGTGCTTTTTGTCTTTTGCAAATAGAGCTTTGTACACGCGTGTAATGGTGTGTATTGAATGGACCTTTGAATCGAGTTGCATAGCTGAGGCGTCATGGCGAATTACCTATCTATCATTGTTCTTGTCGTTCTTTTGTTTTTGTTCTTTGCTCATCATGGTCCTGTCTTGCACCCAAGAGTATGGATCATAATTTGTTTCAATTCCGGAATAGCTTTTAGTTACCAACATGGCGGAACAAGAACAAATGAGAAACCGAAAACATGTTTATATACATAAGTCACTGTGCAGTTATGATTGTTGACTTCAATTCTTTGCCGCTGGAAGCTAAAGTCACTAAAGACAAACAATGCCGCAAAGAGCCGTTGAAGCGGCGACGACTTATCCCTAATTCGGTTTAGCGCAGGCGTCGGACCCAAAGAGAGAAAGAGAAAATTCTCTCTTTGACTTTTCCAGAACAGTGTAAAAAATTAAGAAAAAGTGAGTGAAAAAAAGAGAGACAGACCAAAAAAAAAAAAAAGAAAGAAGAAAAAAAAAAGGTTGTTTCATTCTTCGCCGTCTTTTTTCTCTCTCTTGTCCTCCTCTTTCCTTCTCTCTCTCTCTCTCTTTTCCCTTCTCTCTCCATCCGCTCTTCTTTCTTTTCCTCCTTCCCCAAAAAACAATAAAAGCCTTTTCTGCTGCCTCATCCCCAGCAATCTTCTTCCCCCCTTCTTCTCTTCCCTTTCCCATATTTCTCTCCCCCTTATTTTCGATTCCCCCATCGGAAAAAAAATCCCTAAAAAAACCGGAAAACATACAAAAAAACTAAAGTATAGCTCCCCTCTTCCCCTCCTCCTTCTATCACTCACTCTCGTGATCTGGTGGTGGTGGTGCCGACTGTCACTTTTTTCCCACTACTTCCCCCAACTGTGCGGTGTGTGTGTGTGTGTGTGTGTGCGTGCGTGCGTGCAGCTGGAGAACTCTTACCACTCAACACCTCCCCTTGTCCCGCCATTGCTTCATCTTCATCTACCTCGTGCTATCGTGTTCTGCTTCTTCATCCTACTGTGGTCTGTTATCTCGTTATCTCGACTGTCCTCCAGACTTGCCTGGTGTCCCATCTAGGTTGTACGTCTGTCGCGTTGATCGTCAACTACCCTCCTTCCCCCCCCACTACACCAGACCTCGCTTGTGCTGTCTCTATCCTTCATTGAGAAGAAGGACAGTGTCTTCATCCCTGACATCGCGCATTTGCCTTGCCTATTACTCCTGCCTGGCTGCTTCATTATCGAATCAAGTTGTTTGAACTATACTTGGTGGCTTGTGATTCTCGCTTACAGCCGAAGCCCTCCGCTTCCGCTGCCTGGGTCTAATCGACTTGAATTTCCGCTAACCTGCCTCCTCTTCAACAGTAACACCACAAAAATGTCTGCTGACGCTGCTACCACCCCCGCCGCTGACAACACTGTCAACGGCGCCCCCGAGGCCAGCCCTGCTGCTGCTGCCCCCAGCGAAGCCCCCGAGGTCACTGCTGTTGAGAACGCCGCTCCTGCTCCCAACAACAACCAGCCTCACTCCGCCTCCCTCTATGTCGGTGAACTCGACCCCTCCGTCACTGAGGCTATGCTCTATGAGCTCTTCTCCTCCATTGGCCAGGTTGCCTCTATCCGTGTGTGCCGTGACGCCGTTACCAGACGCTCCCTCGGATATGCCTACGTCAACTACAACAACACCGCCGACGGTGAGCGCGCCCTCGAGGACCTGAACTACACCTTGATCAAGGGCAAGCCCTGCCGTATCATGTGGTCCCAGCGTGACCCCGCCCTCCGCAAGACTGGTCAGGGCAACGTCTTCATCAAGAACCTCGACAGTGCTATCGACAACAAGGCTCTCCACGATACCTTTGCTGCCTTCGGTAACATTCTGAGCTGCAAGGTCGCTCAGGATGAGTTCGGCAACTCCAAGGGCTACGGTTTCGTTCACTACGAGACCGCCGAGGCTGCCAACAACGCCATCAAGCACGTCAACGGCATGTTGCTGAACGACAAGAAGGTCTTCGTCGGCCACCACATCTCCAAGAAGGACCGTCAGAGCAAGTTCGAGGAGATGAAGGCTAACTTCACCAACGTCTACATCAAGAACCTGGATGCTGATATCGACGACGAGGAGTTCCGCAAGCTCTTCGAGCAGTTCGGTGAGATCACCTCCGCCACCCTGAGCCGTGACCAGGAGGGCAAGAGCCGTGGCTTCGGTTTCGTCAACTTCTCTACCCACGACAGCGCGCAGGCCGCCGTCGAAGAGATGAATGAGAAGGAGATCCGTACCCAGAAGCTCTACGTTGGCCGTGCCCAGAAGAAGCACGAGCGTGAGGAGGAGCTGCGCAAGCAGTACGAGGCTGCCCGCTTGGAGAAGGCCTCCAAGTACCAGGGTGTCAACCTCTACGTTAAGAACTTGACCGATGACGTCGACGACGAGAAGCTGCGCGAGCTCTTCGGACCCTATGGCACCATCACCTCCGCCAAGGTCATGCGCGACAGTGTCAACGGTGAACGCACCCAGTCTCCCGACTCCGCTGGTAAGGAGAAGGAGGCCAACAAGGAGAACGAGAAGGAGGCCGAGGAGGCCGCCGAGAAGGCCGAGGAGAAGGCTGAGGAGAAGGCCGAGGAGAAGGCCAGCGAGTCCTCCGATGAGAAGGACAAGGAGTCCAAGAAGTCCGACAAGAAGGGTCTTGGCAAGAGCAAGGGCTTCGGTTTCGTCTGCTTCAGCAGCCCCGATGAGGCTTCCAAGGCCGTCACTGAGATGAACCAGCGCATGATCAACGGCAAGCCTCTCTACGTTGCTCTTGCTCAGCGCAAGGACGTCCGCAGAAGCCAGCTTGAGGCCAGCATCCAGGCTCGCAACACCATTAGACAGCAGCAGCAGGCCGCTGCCGCTGGCATGCCCCAGCCTGTACGTATCTTCTATGGAACCCCTCCACAGGCACTCTGACTAACATGATTTCCAGTACATGCAGCCCGCCGTCTTCTACGGTCCCGGCCAGCAGGGCTTCATCCCCGCTGGCGGCCAGCGTGGTGGCATGCCCTTCGCTCCTCAGCCCGGTATGGTTATGGGTATCCCCGGTGGACGCCCCGGCCAGTACCCCGGCCCTTTCCCCGGTCAGCAGGGTGGTCGCGGTATGGGCCCCAACCAGCAGATGCCCCCCAACTTCGCTCAGGGTATCCCCATGGGCGCCATGCAGGGCCCTGGTGGCATTCCTAACGGCATGGGCTATCCTCAGATGGGTCAGGTTCAGTTCGGTCGCGGTGCTGGTGGCCGTGGCCAGGTTCCTGGCATGCCCATGGGTCAGGGTATGCGCGGCGGTCCCGGCTACGGCCGTGGTGGTGTTCCCCTTCAGCAGGGCCAGATCCGCCCTGGTCAGGGTGCTCGCGGACAGAACGCTGCCCAGCCCGCTCCTACCCAGGAGGGTGCTGCTGGCGGTTTGAACGCTCAGACTCTCGGTGCCGCTCCTCCCGCTCAGCAGAAGCAGATGCTTGGTGAGGCTCTTTACCCCAAGATCCAGGCCCAGCAGCCCGAGCTTGCCGGCAAGATCACCGGTATGCTTCTCGAGATGGAGAACACTGAGCTCCTCAGCCTGTGAGTATATCCCCGTCTTGTCCTATACTTTCGTACCTCGTTACTCGAATTGAAGCTAATGCATTCACCTATAGTCTTGAGGATGAGGAAGCCCTCCGCGCTAAGGTCGACGAGGCCCTCAGCGTTTATGATGAGTACATGAAGAACAAGGGTGGTGAGCCCGAGGCTGCCGGCGAGGCCGAGAAGCCCAAGGAGGAGGCCAAGGAGACCACGACCGAAGAGAACAAGTCGTAAATTAGTGTCTCAATGCCTACCGCGGTGGCCTGATACTCCAGCCCGCCATGTCGGATTTTTGACTCCCACCTACTTTTGATGACCTCGATTACTCCTTTCTACTCAATTAACGATTTTTCCCCCATTTCTCAAACCTCTCTATTTCCTCCTCGACCATACCTTTTCCACCTTTTCTATCTCTTCCACTTTTTTTTTTTTTTTCCTATTTCCGTCCTGGTCTGATATCCCTGGGTTCCTAAAAGTTACTTTGTGCGTGGTGTCGTCGGGCCTTGTTAAGTGAGCAACATGTTATTGGATCCTTTTTATCATACCATTCAATTTTTTTCCTTCCCACTCTTCAAGGAGCCCAGCCTCCTTTGTGGTCAACCTCTTTCTTTTCACGATTCAATTGATGGAAATGGTGTTGCGCGCAAAACAGGTTGATTCCATGATGCCAGCGGGGAAAAGAAAACTTCGAACTGTGACAAGACTGGGATCGGAGATAAAAGTTGCTTCGGATATGCCATGGTTGTTATTTTGTGTCTTCTTCATTTTTTTCATGTTTATGAACCAGACAATGGGGGGAGAAAGGAAGTTGCGATGTGGCTTAGCTCTCTCTCTTCCCATACCGTCAGAACTTCCAACCTATCTCGTATCCGATGATATGACACGAGTGTAATATAGACTTATGACTTCCTCACGGGATTTATGATCTCTGGTTTATCGCTGTAGAATGCCGTAGGCGATTACGTATGACTAGATTATCATAAGGATGTTTCAATGCATTTATTTGCATTCTTCGCTCTAGAAAGTAGGGATACTGCTGTCCGAACATATCAGCCAGAACATCGAAATTACTCCCCTGCAACAGATCAATCATATCAACGTCCACACCCTCCAGCGCCGAGAATCCCTCCGACAACGACACCCTATCCTCTAATTCGTTGTAGCCACCCCTGCTGGCTCGCTCGTGATGATGGCCAAGCACCCCCGGATCCAGCGATTGTTGCGCCGATGCTGATGCGTCGACATAACTGTTACGTGTCGCCGGTTCCGTTCTACTGTGCTCATTAGTGCTAGTCGCGATGGGTTTATCGATGTCTAGATGGTTTGTCGATGGTGGATCGTGTAAGGTTTGTGGCTGTATAGGTAATGCTCTGCGATGATGGGTGCTCGGTGCTGATCGGGCTGGGGCTTGGTGCTGGTTATTTGGCTTGCGTTTGCGGGTGGTTGAGGGTTGTGTTGTGTTGTTGCTTTTTTGGTGATGATGATGGATGTAGCGGGAGAGGAGGGAGAGGGATCGATGGCATTGTTTGGCTGTTTCCCATTGGTGGGACATGCTTTCGAGAATTGAGAGGCATTTGGTGATTTCTCTGTTTTGGGCGTGAGTATGGGGTGTTTTGTGTTGCGGGGCGTATGAGTGGGCTCTCTCTCTCTCTCTCTTTGTGGTCGGGCTGTGGGGAAGACTATGGAGGAATATAGGGGAGGTTGCAGCTGGAAGAGGATTCAGACACTTACTGGGATGCTTTGGTCAGGACGTATTGTTGCAGCTGGCATGCGGATGCGAGCATGAGACCGGACATCCACGCTGCCGAGAGAAAGCCTGGCCGAAAGAACGCCTGGCCGCTTTCTTGTTGGGTGGTTAGCGCGGAGAGAATCTCCCGCGCGGCTCCGGTGCAGGTTTGAAGGCCAGAACAGAACTCAGGGCTGGACGGGTTGAGGGAAAGCGAGGGCCGGTTGATAAGGAGGATGAGATGTTGGTATAGGACGGTGAAGAAGGGGGCGAAGTTGAAAGGAGTGTTTGGGTCTGTTGCGGCTGTGGCTGCTGCTGCTGCCGCTGGAGTGGAGGAGTCGGAGCATGGACCGGTTGATGTCCGCCTTGCTGCAGAGTCTCGATCGAGAGACTATTCCACCACTTGTGGACATCAGTGATGAGGAAGAGCACGGAGCTGAGGCACGGTGCGTACGAGGATGGACTTGTGGAAGAGCTCGAGCGCGCGTCCCGTTAGTTTGCCCGACTCGACGTAGCTTGCAAACACGAGTTCTCGGCGGTGCTGTTCGTTGTCTGCGGTGGTACTCCTCGATGCCGGATAATTTACTGACGCCGCTGGTTGGCCATACGCTGATCTATCGGGTTGGATCAATTGGTCGGCGGGTGCGATAGGCGATGATCTCGAGGAGCTGGGGGAAAGGGCGCGTCTGATAGCATTGATCCTCTCGTAAGAACCTGGGACATGGATCTCAGAAGCCAGCGGTGGGCAAACGTCGATGTCGGAGTCTTGAATACCAAGCGGCATACCAAGGGTCTGGCTTAGCGATCGATGGCGTATGCAGACCAGAAGATCCTCTTGCGTAGTTGCCGATCATGCGAGGAAAGTTCCTTGTAGCGGAACGGGCAACGATGGAGACCCGCGTGCAGTATGGATCGAAGCATACACCCACCAAAAGTAGACGCTGCCCGAAGTGACATCTTAGCTACAAGATATAGCTGGAAGGCAAGGAGCGCCTGCACAGAGACAAGATCGTGCCTGCAAGAGAGTGTTCCAAATAGGGTATGCATGTTGCTGGACCACTCGATGCGCGATTCCGGAGGGAGATTGATCGTCGGACACAACACACTAGCCAGATTGAACACACACTGGAAGATAGTCGTCCAGCAAGCACTTCGATGCTCTTCTACCGGAGGAGCCTCGGTGGCCGACTGGCGTTCTCCAGAGCATAACGCTTCCATGGCCTATAAGAACGATGGACCATGGAGAAAAGGAAACAGCGGATGCCAGACTTTGAAGTACATCATCATCAGCTCCCGAGCTATGTCCAGCGGTGGAAAGTTCCCCAGACCTGCTGCTACCGTGGGGTCATATCTCCATTGGCGCAGGGAATGGTCATCCCCTGAGCGAGTGGAGATGTTGCGGAAGGCACTGAAGCTGATCGTCGCGCAGGTGGCAGGTCGTCACTGCCCACAAGAGTGTCTTCCGGGGGTGGGAACGTTTGGCTGGAAGACGAAGCATCTAATGGGTCCAAATTTTGGGAAAAGGCCCGTCGAACTGTGTTGACAAAGTATACGCCACTGGAGCTGCCCACAAATTCACTTTCTTCCAGGGAGTGCGCAGTCAAGGATCCAATTTCCGACGGGCCAGACTCGGAATTGGAGTCCGCATCTTGACGGGACCATGGTGTCCTTTCGTAATGTACCCGATCAGAAGAATATTAAGACTTGAGCGAGGTTGACTACCAGACCGATGCGAAGGTCTTCCATGACTTGGAGATCAGTTCAGGAAATGCCGCTCGATACTACTATTTGGATAATTAGTTAGTGTCGCGAACCGCTTAGTAAGAATGGTCCGTGCATCCTCGTCAAATGCATTAAAATGGTTTCATTGATTGTTCTGCCATGCATAAACTGGCAATGGCTATATAAGTTGACATAAGTTGACAATATATCAGATTTAAGCTTGATTGGCCGCCAATTGTTCAATCTCCTTCTTAATTGCATCGACAACGCCTCGAGTGTTGACAGTGCCTCCAAGATCTGCCGTCAAGATTCCAGCCGCGCACACTTTCTCAACACAGTCCATTAACTTCTTAGCAGCCTCCTTCTCACCCAGCCATTGCAGCATCTCTGCAGCAGACCAGAAAGTAGCCACTGGGTTGGCGATCCCTTTACCCATAATATCGAAGGCACTTCCGTGTACCGGCTCAAAGATCGAAGGATTTTTACGCGTAGGATCCAGGTTTGCCGAAGGAGCCACGCCAATCGAACCGGCGAGCCCAGCAGCGAGGTCCGACAGGATATCCATGTGCAAGTTTGTGCCCACGATGGTGTCTAAAGACTGCGGCTTGTTTACCATACGGATGGTCATGGCATCCACCAACATTTTGCCCCAGGTCACGTCGGGGAACTCCTTGGATACCTCCTCTGCGATCCTGTCCCAGAGGACCATACCGTATCGCATGGCGTTACTTCTGGTCACCACGGTGAGATGGCGACGCGGCCTCGAGCATGCGGTCTCAAAGGCAAACCGCATGATTCTCTCGATGGCGACTCGCGTGAAGATCGCGACTTCCGTCGCAGTCTCCCATGGCTGATTGATATGATTGATCCCACCTTGACCACAGTATTCGCCTTCCGAATTCTCCCGAGCAAGCATCCAGTCGATTCCTTCAATTGCGGTGGCTAGATGCGATTTGGTGCCCGGAAAAGTGCGCACCGGACGTACGTTGGCATAGAGCTGCAGGGGGCCACGGATGGCCAAGAGAAGGCCCCAGAGGGAGACATGATCAGGGACATCCAAGGGGTTGGCTGTCAGTATCACTGCACGGCTAATGAACGTTGTTCTAGCGATAGCGATAGGGTATGGGCTAAGTACCTGGGTGTCCTACGGATCCGAACAAACCTGCGTCAAATCTCCGCAGAACGTCCAGGGCGTCCTCGGACACATAGCGACCGTGCTGCTTGTAGTATTCCGTCCCCCATGAGGTGTGCTCGAATTCAATGTCGAAGGTACCGAGGGTTTGCGCGAGTTTGTTGACTACTTCGATGGTCGCACTGACCACTTCCAAGCCTATCCCGTCACCAGGGATCGATGCAATGCGGTAGGAGGGCTTTCCAGCCATTATGTTGTCCCGAGAAGTAGATTGTGAGAGTGAATCTGAACTCGTTCATATGAGTGTGAGCATGCATTGTTATTCAACTTGTTTATTCTATACATCCTATGTCGTATAAAGTTCTGCCTTAATGTTCATCCTGTCGCATTCAATGGGGAATGTATGCGCTTGGCTTGCATCTAAGACTATTCATCGCCAAGCCACTGTGCAATATCAAACTGATTAGAGATTTGAGCCAAGCCACATCGCCGTTTTTCACTGCCTGACAGGATGATTTATGATTGATACAGCTGTCCTAGCGCAGGTCACGTTAACTAGTGATTTGCATAGTCCAGTGTACCCGGCTGAACCCAAAAGAATCATCCTTTGCACTACCACATCAGACTTAGACATCACTACAGAGACATATCCTCAGATATACATAGTTCCCACAAGAAACAGAATGGACTACTCACGTACACGAGAAGAGGGAGGATGATCGTTGATCCATAAAGTATTGTCAGGGTTCTCTAAAGGGAAAGACAGCAGGTTTCGGCTAACCGTTCAGCCGGCGACTTCTCCACTACTGCCGCAATTAACCGAATCGGCGAACCTTCTCCATGCCATGCGATAATGATATGGGGCAAAAGGAAGTAGAACGTCGTCGTCGTCGCGCAACTTTTGGGCTCTTGACTCCCAACACTCTTCCATACCCTCAGCCTATTCCTATGCTGCTGCAATAAGTTCATCCTGAAGAAATGGCGCCGAGCAAAGCGACCAAAGTCTCCCGAATCACCGTGGCTTGCAATTCCTGCCGGTTCCGGAAACAGAAGGTAAGATTCGGCTATTGGCGATCAATTGAGTTCTTATCGGGAAATGCGAAATGTGATCAGATTCTAACATGCATCCCGCAACCTGCAGTGCAATGGAAACAAGTGAGTAACTTCACTTGAAGCTTTTGGGCCTCACAGTGAAAAAGGCGTGCCAGGACTAACCCACGTGGTTGTCAAGACCGATTTGCACACAATGCCACCAAAATAATCGTCGGTGCGACTGGCCCGAGCAGCTGAAACGGTACGGCAAAGCGTTGCTTCTCTAATCATGGCCAAGCTTTGACATCCAGACAGAGGCCCCGCCAAGGGCTACATCGAAGCTCTCGAGCACCGACTCCAAGAAACTGAAACTCTGCTTCTCAAGTTCCTCTCACACATGTCCGACGCCCAGTTATCATCCTCGATTCAAGATATCCAGTCCGACATCCACAACGGGATAGCTGCTACCAGAAGTCCTCCGCCCTCGTATACACCGTCATCGCGATCAGGGAAACGGGGAACGGAGTACTGGAAACAATTTCCGCTCCACACCGTGCAAGACGTCCGAGCGTGGCAGCAGGACTGTCTCAACCAGGAACAACAACAACATCAGACAGGCTCGGGACGCAACTCAGCGGACCGCGTGATCAGCAGTGTCTCCGACATCCTCAGTTCCAGAAACAGTGAGCCCTTGGGAGAGACGTCGCATGAAGCCGGCATCGAACATCGACCAGCGGCTGTACCCAGGTCAGAGCTTCCGCCGATAAACGCATTTCGGGTCAACATGTACGAGAGATCGGACGAAGTCAATGAGCAGGCGAAGGATCCGATCGCTAGCCTCGAGAATCCACTGGAGGGGTATAAACAACAGAACGCCGAAAAGCCGCACTCTGGCCCGATGTTTCCCGCGATACAGCTCCCGCGCATCAGTTGCTCTCAGTCGGACCACTTACGAGGGCATGGCCTGAATGTGCCGCAAGCACCGAGTCTTTGGCGGGGTGCGCCTTCTGTGAGTTTCCAGCAACAGTATCTCTGGTAGAGACTGCTGCGTGGTGTATAGATCTTTCAGACGGAGCTTATGATGTTAGGGCCTTTAAGATTGGCCGTGGTATGTAAAGAAGTATTGATATGATTCAGTGTGCTCTACCAACGCTGAGCGGGTGTTTGGAATGATGCGCCTGAGAGGCCTGGTAAGCATGGTTTCATCGCTACATGGAGGAACTATCTACATAGGCAAGCTCAGGGCGCGAGCGATTCAGCCCATAAGGGCCGCAGGACCACGCCAATTTGAGATGGATGGTGCATCTGTTGGCTTGAGACAAACATAACGGAAGATAGTTTGATGTCGTCTCAGCCCAGAAGAGCCCTTGACAGGGTTGTTGTGTACATAGAAGAATACCCTCAGTTCAGGCCAAACGCTCGGCCCCACGACCAAACCCCACATTGCGGGGAATGACATGACAATCAAACCTTACAGAGAAGAGAATCCAATCGATACATTCCAGCCAGTAGCAATACTTTGTCACATCGGAGGCAATCTCCCTAGCTATTCTAACTCAATGCAGCTAACCCACGCAGTAACCCGTACACCCACTGCTAAAACATCGCACTACTTTCTCAACGCTCAATCGCATCTACTCATCAGAACCAACAACACAGCCCTCAGCAAAGCCCACTACAATCTCCCTGCAATACCCTCCGTAGTCATCACCGTACCACAATGCTTCTTAATGAGAAAAGAGTAAACCTCAAACTCACCCAACCAAACAACACCTCACTTCCTTACATCGCCATGACGCCATCCCACACACTCGATCATACAACATCCAATGCCTTCAGCATGATACAATAACCCGATAAATCCCATCAATCACCTCCCACGAAGTGCCACGAAGTGGATCTTTAAGCCATGAGGATACCATGATCTCATTCCCAAGGACAGAATCTAGCGTACCCTCACGTCCAGCTATAACAACCCCTAACTACTCGCTCCCTCTCACATCCTTAACAAATTACCTTCATCCTTACCTACCTCATCTATCTACTCTCCTCATAACGAGTACACTTTCCCAACCCACAAGGATATACCTCCAAGTCATAATCACCCTCTACCACCTGAACAGAAACAGAACAGAAGAAAGGAAGCAAGGAACCATGCCCTCCAAACCCATCAACTCGCCCCCGCAGCAACCAAAGAAGGCCCACGGCCACGCCCTGGACGACGCCCCGATCGACGACTACGAGGACGAGAACGCCTGGAATCTCCAGGATGAAGACGATGCGCAAAAAGACCAGAGCGAGCGTCTGCCGTTCGACGCGCCGAATGTCGCCGCCGCCAGACGCATGAATCATCCGCAGGTGGAGCGGGATCACTATGGGACTAGTGGGTCGAAGAATCGGTCGAAGACGGGGCATTAATTTCTTGTTAGTGGGTGTTTGATTTGCTTAGCCTAGGCCGGGGGAAGGGGAGAGGGGTTTAATCGTTGGGGTAGATTATGTGTCCGGTTTTGTGTTTTATCTTTCAGTAGGTTTGAGTTGGAGATGGAGGTACAGCACTAGGTACAGACTAAGTTTGAGTAGGAATCATGAAAGAGATTGTTAAGTTGTTTATTTAAATGGGTTCGGTTCAAGTCATTCTCTCATTATATACACAATTCTATAAACCAAAATGATATCATCTAAAGGGGGAATGGAATCTGATTTACAGCATGGGCTTCAAGTCGTCGGCCACCTTGAAGGGAGCGGCAGTCTTGCTGCGGATCTCCTCCACGGACACGCCCTCGGCGTGCTCGACCAGCGTCAGACCCTCGGTGGGGCTGACCTCGAAGACGGCCAGGTCGGTGATGATCTTCCACACGCAGCGGGGGCCGGTGAGCGGGAAGGTGCACTCGGACAGGATCTTGGGGTTGCCCTTCTTGTCGGTGTGTTCCTGTTCATCTGAGTTAGGAGCTGCCTTGTGGGACATGGGTTGGTGGTTGGATGCTTACCATGGTGACGACCACCTTGGTCTTCTCGGGGTTGGCGACCAGGTCCATGGCACCGCCGACACCCTTGACCTTACCGGGGAGCATGAAGTTGGCCAGGTCTGGAATTGTTAGATTACTTGCTCGCGCGCGGGGACAGGAATTTACAGTGCATACCTCCGTACTGGCTGACCTGCAGGGCACCGAGCATGGTCAAGTCAATGCGACCAGCGCGAATCATACCAAAACTCTCGTGCGAACCGAAGAGCGAAGCACCGTTGTCCAGGGTGACGGTCTCCTTGCCGGGGTTGATCAAGTCGGGGTCCTCCTGACCGGGCTGGGGGTAGCCACCCAGACCCAAGATACCGTTCTCGGCCTGGAGGACGACCTCCACGCCCTCGGGCAGGTAGGCGGGGGCAATCAGGGGCATTCCGATACCGAGGTTGACGTACATGCCATCGCGGAACTCCTTGGCGGCACGCTTAACGATGCGCTCGCGGCGGGCGGTCGCCTCGCTGTCGCCGGCCTTGAGCAACTCGCTGGGGTCCTTGGCGAAGGTGAGCTTCTCGATCTGCTTCTCGCCGGTGCTCTTGATGACCTTGTTGACGTAGATGCTCTGGATGTGGATGTTCTCGGGAGCGATCTCGCCAACCTCGACGATCTCATCGGCCTCGACGATGGTGTACTTGGCGTTCTTGGCCATGGCCTCGTTGAAGTTGTTCATCGCCTTGCGGAACTGGCAGTTGCCCAGCTTGTCGGCCTTGTGGACCTTGACCAGGGCGTAGTCGCCGAAGATCGATTCTTCCAGGAGGTATTGCTTGCCGTTGAATTCGCGGGTTTCCTTAGGCTTGGACGTAAGAGCTACGGTGCCATCCTTGTTGTAGCGCACGGGGAGTTCACCAGTTTGTACTAAACCCAGTCAGCAGTGTCCGGACCCCTCCCCATACAGGGACTGCGGCAATGCGCAACATACCGATAGTTCCATAAGCAGCGGGAGTGTAGAAGGCAGGGACACCAGAAGCACCAGCAGCGCACTTCTCAGCGATAGTGCCCTGGGGCGTCAATTCCAATTCGAGATCACCACTCAGGTACATTTTCTCGAAGACCTTGTTTTCACCGATGAAAGACGCAATCATCTTGGTAATCTGCTTGGACTCAAGCAATTGACCTGCCTTCAATTAGGATCGAGTCTTCTCAACGTTTCGAGCCTCAGAATTGACCTACCAAGACCACGACCAGGCATGCCAGCATTGTTAGAGACGACAGTCAAATCCTTGATATCCGGGCGATCGCGCACAGCATCGATCAATGTGTTGGGGACACCCGAGAAACCGAAACCTCCGACCAGCACGGTGGAGGCGCCCTTCATTTCCTTGATGGCTTCCTGAGCCGAGGGGCAGATCTTGTTAATCGCTCTTTGAGAGGTGGACGCGGAGAAGTTCCGCCGCCATACGGGGCGGAACACGGCTGGGACCGCAGGGAAAGGCCGCGACATGATTGCCAATCAGTCTGGCCAAATGTGTAATGAGTACAAAACTGGGGAAGGAAAAAAGAAAAAAAAGGAAGAAGTCGAAAGGGAAAAACGGGGTGTAGAAGTAGAAGAATGAATAGTAGCTGCATAGCTCCGTTCGGCTAGTGACCGCAGCCACGCAGCCGACAAAAGCGATTATCCGCCGAAACTCCAACTTCGCTTTGCCGCCTTCCGAAGCCGACCCCCACCGCTGCTGGCTGGGCCACCGACTGGCGGCGCGTATTGTCCTGTACGTGTTGGCCGCCCATGGGGGAGAACATTCAACCCTGCGGGGGAGCGCACAGGTCTCACACGACTCCGATCAATCTCGAATAAGGTGTTTCGTGTTCCGAAGCGTAGCCACCGAGGCTAGAACAATTTTCGGGACCATTGTATTCTGATTGCAGCAGATTTCATGGTTTCTCCCGCATCTATCACAGGAAAGATTGATTAGATCTGCCACTGACTGAAGTCCGTCATGGAAACGGTGTAATTTACCATTCCGAAAGCGGGAGTCGCATCGGCAAGCCTGGAGCCCTCGTAGGAGGCGATGGCAGATCACCACTGGCGATGTCGGGTGAATTCGCTATTGATTGCCGATGGAATTCGATCACGAGCCCGGGAACAGTTTGTGGGGTGGATCTGCCGAATCCTGGGGTATTCTTGCCTGTTGCCTGGACGCTACAATTCGACACCTGAAAAAAAAGACTTGTAAGGTTGCTCTACCTAGTACCCTCGTGCTGCAACTTGAGGCGGTAAGTACTCGGTACCTACGTGCTCTATCGGGTATCTCAACATCTCTGCTTAGGCATACCATGTTCTGCAATAAGATACATTACTCAAGGCTTCCCATGGCGGCTGCTGGGCAATCAGTGCCATCACTCACAAACAATTGAAGACATTGTATAGAGCCGCGAGAGGTGAAATAGCTTGGATGCCGAATGTTATATCAACAGTCCTCGGTGTGCGTTTCACTGGGCCCTGGCAATGTGACTGATTCCCTTCACAAAAAAAGCGAAGCAAGTTTATTGCCGCTATTAACCAAGATGTCTCTGGCTTTATGACCGATATGTTAGGTAATGACTATCACTCTCCCTTGCACACGAAAAATCGCACATATTGTCAAAGAGCAGGCGCGCGGGGGTGTAGTACAGTACCTATAGTAGTTCATTCCGCTTACCAAGTTTAGCGGTTTTCTACCCCAATTTCTTACCCCACCTCGTTGCATTACCATCCTGATTCCTATGATAACATCGATACGACTAATAAGACTTACGCAATTTTGTTAAGAGCACGAACGACAAACGAATACGTCGAAGTCATTTCAGAGGTTCCGTCGAGCCTTCCGACACAATAGCTCACTGTACCTCTTAACGATAACCCTATTCGAATCGCGCCACCATGAACGGACTAGCCCGCAAGTATGAAATCAATGCTGATATGGGCGAAGGCTTCGGTCGCTGGAAAATGGTTAGTCAGGGTCAGCTGTCATTCCACATGAGTCATCCTGTCGCTGAAACAAAATATCATCATGACCACAGGGCCCGGACGAGGAATTGATGCCATTCATTGACGCAGCCAACATTGCCTGTGGCTTTCACGCCGGTGATCCCACCATCATGCTCAAGACCATCCGTCTCTGCAAGCAGTTCGGCGTCAAGGCAGGCGCCCACCCGGGCCAGCAAGATTTGTTCGGCTTCGGTCGCCGGAAGATCGAGGTCGACCCCAAGGATATGTACGCCCTCGTGCTCTACCAGGTCGGCGCTCTCAAGGCCATGCTGGACGCTGAGAGCGTGGCCCTCTCGCATATTAAGCCGCATGGGGAGCTCTTCTTTTACATGCAGCGCGACGAGACGATCATGAGGGCGGTGCTGGAAGCCTGCGCGATTTTCCGGGTCCCCGTCTACGCTTCCCAGAACGCACAACAAGCGGCGATGTGCGAGGAGTTAGGCATTCCATTTCAGGGGGAGGTGTATGTAGACATCGATTACTCGCCGGACGGTCGACTGCTCCCGGTTGCACAGTCCAAAGTCGCGACGCCTGAGCTCTGCTATGAGCGCGCTCTGTCGGCCGCGATGACGGATACTGGCAAGGATATTGATGGAAATGAATTTCGATTTGGGTTCGATGGGAGGCCGTTCAGTATCTGCGTTCATTCAGACATACCTACTGTTCTGCAGAATGTCACGGGAGCGCGCAAGGCAGTCGACGAGGCGAACACCCAACGATTCCCACAGGAACCAGGGGATTCCTGATTGTATGGTTCGCAATTCAAATTTGATCCGCCGGTTTGTGGTTTGTGGGATAGACACTCTTGCAAAACTATTATCATCACTGTCACCAAAGTCAACTAGTGCCTCTGGTACGCAATCATAGTACTACGGACGTGAGGTGACCTTCCGCGTTGTCTGTCAACCCCGCATCACACCACGCTGCCAGTAATGACGCCCGATGTTTCACCGAATACTGCATGAGAAGACGATCTTCCTTGTTGACAAATGATACATATCAGGCAATACTTACCATAAATGCAGGCTTCGTCATCGATCTACAAAATGCATACCAGATTGATGCTTAGCCATAATTTGACTTCCTACTCCAACTCTTATCGCTTTCCTTTCATGGTGATCCTACTCCGCGCCTGTCAAAACCATCCCACCATTGTTGCACATCGAGAAGCTCATCTAGCATCGAGTCAACCCACGAGAATGCTGTCAGGGAATTGAGCTGCCAACATAATAGGACACGGTCTCACCTGCCATGCTTGAATGCCTAGTTGTTCATTTCCACCCAGCATAATTCAGTGTTCATTACCACCACGAAGATGGATCCAGAACCGCTTCACCATATTCGGAAAGTCTTGGTAGCAAACCGAGGAGAAATCGCCGTTCGTTGCATCAGAGCATGTCGCGAGCTGGGCGTACAGAGTGTCGCCGTTGTGACAAAGGCAGATGGATCCTCACTTCATGCTCAATTGGCAGACGAAATGGTTACATTGCCGGGTAGTGATAGCACAGCTTATATCGATGGGTGAGTGGTGGTAGTCCTCACTCAGCAATAAAGACATCAACCCCTCGCCTTGTATTAGTCTGGTTACTGACCAACCCCCTCTTGTCGATGAACAGAGACTCCATCCTTAAGGTCTGCCTTGACTGTGGCGCCGATGCTATCATCCCCGGATATGGCTTTCTCAGCGAGAACTTTGACTTCGCAAGTGCCGTCACGCAGGCAGGCATCACTTTTGTAGGACCCTCGCCCGCCTCGATCAAGGCAATGGGTCTGAAGCATGAGGCGAGAACGATCGCCGAGTCTGCGAACGTCCCAGTTATTCCTGGCACGCCGTTGCTATCATCTCAGGGGCATGCGCTTGAAGGTGCAAGGCAGCTGGGGTTCCCTCTTATGATGAAAGCCACCGGAGGAGGCGGTGGGATGGGCTTGCAGATCTGCCACAACGAAGACGAAGTCCAGAAGGCATTTGTGCATGTGGAGAGCCGGGCTGGAGCACTGTTCAAGAACAGCGGGGTCTTTCTCGAGAGATACTATCCCCACTCGCGTCATATTGAGGTGCAGGTGGCCGGCAATGGCGAGGTGGTCGTCACCTTTGGTGAGCGCGAGTGCTCTCTACAACGGCGGCATCAGAAGGTGATCGAGGAATCGCCGAGTCCATTTGTACAGCGCACTCCCGGTCTACGCGAGAAGATGTTTGCGGCGGCAACCCGGTACGCTTCATGCCTCAACTACAAGAGTGTTGGTACTGTGGAGTTTCTTGTGGATGATGAATCGGCCGACTTCTTCTTTCTGGAGATGAACACTCGTCTACAGGTGGAGCATGGCGTCTCCGAGCTATGTTACGGGGTCGATTTGGTTTATCTGATGCTGCGACAAGCCGACTGCGAACGTGGGGGGCAGCCAGGTCTCCCCTCCGAGGTACTGAAGACCCTAGGGCATCCACAACCCGTGGGATGGGCTATCGAAGCGCGCCTGTATGCGGAAGTTCCATTGCGGAACTTTGCCCCTAGTCCCGGGCTGCTACAATCAGTTCTATGGCCGGAAGGAGAGGGCATCCGGGTCGATACCTGGGTGAAGAGTGGTCAACGCATCACGTCCCTATACGACCCGTTACTTGGAAAGGTGATGGTACATCATTCCGACGGTCGAGCCGCCGCCCAGCAGCGAATGCTAGCCGCCTTGGAAAAAACCACCTTGCAAGGTACACAGACCAACTTGAACTATTTATCCAAGGTGTTCCAGTCTGAAGCCTTTACTGCGGGTGCTACCCTGACATCTTTTCTCCCGCAATTCGGATACCAAGTCTGTGCTGTGCAAGTACTCGAGGCCGGTTTCTTCACTACGGTCCAAGATTATCCTGGACGCATCAATGTTGGCCATGGAGTACCCCCAAGCGGGCCAATGGATGACCTTAGCAGTAGACTGGCCAACATTTTGGTTGGCAACGAAGTCGGAACAGAGCTTTTGGAGGTTACCTTAACGGGGCCAGAGCTGCTATTTCACGAGGCAGCGGTGATCGCCGTCTGTGGTGCCCAGCTTCCCGTCATGGTAGATAAGACTGAGCAGGCGATGTGGTCCCGTATTGTTGTCAGCCAAGGCCAGACTCTCAAGCTAGGTACCGTGACAGGCAGTGGGCTTAGGGCTTATATTGCGATCAAGGGTGGCTTCCCCCAGATTCCTACATACCTTGGCTCCAAGTCGACCGCCCCAGAACTACAACTTGGAGGTCTGCAAGGACGTCGTCTGCAGACTCATGACATTCTCGAGTTGTCCAAAAACTCGGCTGATTTCGCGGCTAAGTGTACGCCAATGTCTCTACCGCGTGATGCAATTCCTGATTACCGGATCCGAAAGGTCTACTGCCTCAATGGCCCTTTCGGCTCCGAAGAGGTCCTTACACAGGAAGGTTTGGACACCATCTTCAATGCTGAATGGACGACCAGCTACGACAGCAGCCGTAGCGGCGTAAGACTCACCGGGCCTCGACTCAAGTGGGCTCGTGGCGGCGGCGGCGGCGGCGGCTCTCACCCTTCCAATGTCTTTGACTACGGATATCCCAACGGCGGTGTCAACTGGACGGGGGAGTATCCTATCATTCTCACGCGTGACCGTCCGGATCTTGGAGGCTTCGCATGTCCTATTACTGTATGTTCCGGCGAAATGTGGAAGATTGGTCAATTGAAGGCGGGTGACGCGGTGCGATTCTGTCCGACCACCTTCGACAACGCGCTGGAAGTGGTTCTGGCCAAGAACGCCTACCTGCAGGCTGTTGCTTCGTATGCTCAAGGCCAAGAGGAGGCTACCATCCCTTCGCTCCAGCTCGATCTGGGTAACGAAGCGACAGCCTCTATTCTTCAAGTCAGGTCTGCCTGCCTCGAACGGCCTCGCGTGACCTTTCGCCAAGGGGGTGATACCAGCATTATCGTCGAATATGGCGAACAAGTCGCTGATCTGCGAAATACTGCTTGTGTCAAGCTTCTTACCGAACAGCTACAGAGTCGAGACCTTCACGGGGTCCAACTCGAGCCGAACATCGCCACCCTAACCGTGCATTACGATCCGCTCCAGTACCCTCAAGCTGCAATGCTATGCACCCTCGTTGAGGCCAGTGATCAGATCGCCGAGGTATCTGGACTTCGCATTCCGGTGCGCGAGATTCACCTGCCCTTGTGCCTCGATCACCCAAGCATTCGGGAAGCCACCCAGCGGTACATCGAGAGTATCCGGCCCACGGCCGCCTATCTTCCGGACAATGTCGACTACCTGCGCGAAGCCAATGCCCTCGAGTCACGCCAAGATATCTTCGACTCCCTGCTCAAGACCCCATGGCTCACGGTCGCGGTGGGCTTCTTCGTCGGGACTCCGATCATGTTCCCTCTCGACCCGCGCTACCAGTACACCGGCCAGAAATACAACCCTAATCGAGTGTTTACCCCGAGTGGCGCGATCGGGCTCGGCGGCTCCCTGGTCGCTCTTTATCCCGTGGACTCTCCAGGGGGTTACCAGCTGATGGGCCGCACACTGGGCGCATGGGACACGGCGGGCACGCGGCCAGGCTTTTCGCCCACCCGCCCCTGGCTCTTCGATCAGTTTGATATTGTTAATTTCTATCAGGTCAGCGAGGCCGACTTTGACCGAGTGGAACGCGACTTCTTGGCTGGCCGATACAGCTTCCAAATCATGCAGACGACGCTTGATATGGACCACTACATTGCCAAATTCGATGCGGCCGCGCAAAATTCGGCCTACCGAGAGTGGCGGAAACGGCAGGCCGTCGCGGTGGAGGAGATGAATCGGCTCGAGCAGCGGCTGTTCGACGAGTGGAGAGCGGCCAAGACTGCAGCTGCCGGCCAGAATGAGGACAGGGATGATGAGGGATATTGCTCTACCAATGTTGTGAGAATTGCATCCCCTGCGGATGCCAACATATGGAAGGTGCAGGTCAATGTGGGCGATGTGCTGGAGAAGGGCCAGGTGGTAGCAATTCTCGAGGCGATGAAAATGGAGATCCAAGTCTCTGTGGCCGAAGCGCAACATGGCGCTCGCGTAACATCTATCCCTGGCCGCCCCGGCCGTGTTGTTGCCCCGGGCACCACCATCATTACTGCCACCCAAGAGTCAGCTCTTTGACTGATTCAATGTGCTAGACACGAATATCTGGTTCTGATGAGCGAGCGGGAATAGCTTCCAATTAGCTCGACATCCCTGCAGTTGAGGCAGACAGACTCAGCTATTACGAAAGGTTGAAGAAATCTATCACCAGCTGGAGATAAGAGAGATAAGGGTACGCCCATATCTGCCAGTTTGAACTCTTTGGAATTCTGTTGGGGCTGTCATCCAGATCAATTATGACGTCAATTTGATGCACCCATGTCCCCTCATCTTGTACTATATCAAAGTGAAACCCCACCCATTGTCCAGCAAGACATCGACGTCCTTCAGCTTCACCCACCACGCTTGACATCTTCATTTCATCAAAATGCCCTACTACGTCCATATCTCCAACCGCTACACCGGCAATTTCCCGGGCGAGTGGCATCGCTGGCTCTTGACCGCTGCTACCCGGGAAGACGCGAAGAGGTTCTTCTGGGGCCTGGACAAGTACGCCCGGACCAAAGATGCACGGATTCGATCTGTCACGGCCGTGACCATGGAGTGGTGGAACTACGATGCCGACGACGGCTATAGTCTCAAAGTCCTCTATGAATGGATCCAGCAACAGAAAACCAGTGAATACAAAGACATCCGGGAACTCACAGACACCCGGGACACTACTCTTCTTTCCATCTTGCCGGACATCGAGTTCGGAGACAGGTTCTGGCTGTGTCTGCCCCCCGGGCAAAACATTTCAATTGCAGATTTGTGGGAGGTTCGCCCTCGTCTTTGACAGACGAATTGAAAACACGGGAAGGCATAGCAGTTTTCATGGCAAAAATTATGCTCAAGTCTCGATATTCTTAGTTATGAGCTCGGGTCATTGCTGTTATGCTATATCTGATGTGAGAGAGCTGTTATAATCGAGTCTGGCACTTCATGTGGAGGGATTACCTCAGGGATTGCTCTATCTGTTTGGTTCCAGAGCGACGACGTTTATCAGACAGGACCATGAATGCTAAATGCCTCATATGCGAAGCTTACCAGTAGTTACCCCAAGCACAGGAGGAGACAATCGGCTGAACCTATAGCCGATTGGCCTCCGTCTGGGGAAACCGCCCCACCACAATCATCACATCCTTAAGTGGTATATATTTGTAACATAAGAGGTGATCAGTTCGTTCCTGCTCCGTCTCACCTCCGCGCGCTGTCTCGCATATGCGACCATCCAGTTACTGTTGGTCATATCAAGAACGCCCTCATCGGGAATCATGTGACTACAGCCTGGAGATCTTACTACTTGAAGTACGCGTAAGTGCATATAACTGTCCGGCCCCACACAATGACGACAAGTTGCTGGGTCGCCAGGGGAACTCTAATGTTCTCCGCATCCCCGCAATAGATGCTTGGAGATTCCCAGCCTGGCCGAGGAGCTGGGGCTCGAGAACCCGCCGATCACATGGCATGTGGCGCGCGACGGGGTAGCGGAGATCGTCAACTTCCTGGCGCTGATGGGCGGGTCGATGGGTAAGTTGGCCCTCGATATCATCCTCATGTCGTCGAATGAGCTGTGCGAGGTCTCCGAGCCCTTCGTCCCGCACCGCGGCGCTTCGTCCACCATGCCGCAGAAACGCAACCCCATATCCAGCGAGGTGATCTTGGATGCGTCGAAGATCCTCCGCTCGAATGCGGGTCTGGTTCTCGCTGGCTTGGTGGCGGACTTCGAGCGCGCCTCCGGCCCCCGGCATCTGGAGTGGGTGGCGGTGCCGGAGAGCTTTGTCATTGCGGTTGGCGCGCTGGCGCAGACGCGGTTCGCGCTGTCCGGGCTGTGTGTGCATAGCAAGCAGATGATGGCCAATCTGCACTCCACTAAAGGGTTGATCGTGGCTGAGGCGGTGATGATGGGCCTGGCGCCGCAGGTCGGCCGTCAGAAAGCCCTGACGTTGTCTACGAGGCGTGTCGCGAGAGTATCGAGACGCAGCAGACGCTTTTACAGTGCTTGCTGCAGAAGCCAGAGGGTCACCTCCAAGCTGACGGAGGAGCGCCTGCGCCAGCTGTGTGACCCTGTGAATTACCTCGGGGCATCGATGCGGATGGTGGACGATGTGTTGGCGGTGGAGTAGATATGATAATGCTTCTGTAGATAGATCGAAAATTGAACGTATTATTCCTACGGTATAGAGGAACTTGGCTCAACAGCGCCCGAGTCCCTTCCTTTCCCTCCCACATGGCTTCAGGCTCTGTCCTCCCCTGCTGCCAACTACAATTGTCTCTTGGGGTTAGACCCGCAGATGAAGCACCACCCAATCAGATATGATGACTCAATGACTATCATGACAGAGAGTAGTCAACCTTTCTTACTCTCGGGGCAAGTGCGTGGACGATGCCGCACTTTCAAGAATCAGGAGTATTCCCAAGGTTTGGGATGCCCTTTCGGTACGTTCGCAACGGTAACCGTGGAGACTTCTCACACCATGTTGACCTGAAGGAGGATAAGTTTTCTGCTTGCCTTAACTTGAGGAGATACTCTAGCAAGTCAGGACTGAGCAAGAAGCACGGAACCAACAGCTCGAAGCGTATCACGTTCCCCAGTCGTCTGTCTAACCGAGTTGGATGACTGTAAGGGAGCTACTCCAGGAAGCAGCTATCGAGCAACTCCAGTATGCCAGGCTGTTAGACTATGTAATCGACACGGGCTATCAATGACAGAGTAGCCAGCAATGTAAGGATGTTTCGTTTCAACAGTGCGTTGGAAGGAACTGTGGCAGATGGATTAAAAGTAAGAAAGCTAAGATAAGAAAGTCAACGAGGAGATTAGCGGAGAGTATCGCATGCACTAAGCCCCATGGGGAAGCTACTCTTAACACACACTTTGAAGTTGCCTTGGTTTGAAGGAAGAAGATGACGCTGCCATTTCCAGTTTTGCCCATAGTTAGGATGACTGAGTGAGTAGTGAGCAGTGAGTCCCTAGTAACTTCTTCACTTCGACTACAACTACTCCTACCACTTCCTGCCCCACGCTTTCTGCGATCGGCAAAAAATCCCACGCTTGACCAGTTCGGAGTTAACTCGCCCCATTTCCCGTTGACTTTAAGCTTCTTCTGCTTCATTCTCTCATCTCATCTCATCTGCCCCTCACACTCTCCTCTCACTCTCTCAGATCTCTATCTCCTCCCTTCTCCCCACCTCCAATCTATCCCTTTCCCACATGGTGCAACCTCAATGCATCCTTCTGTGTGACTGTCTTCTTGACACCTCCACTCCAGTGGCTCTCCCACGCGCAAAATCATGGTCATGAAGCAGTGTACCATCTGCGACCGGCAATTCAAGAAGACAGAGCATTTCAAGCGCCATGAACGGTCGCGTATGTCAATCTCACCTCGGTGCTTACTGAATTGATGTTCATCCTTGCTAGACACGAAAGAGAAGCCGTACCAGTGCAGTGTCTGTCTGAAGCGCTTCTCGCGGAGGTAAGTGCAATTGTCTCTCTCCGGTTCTTGCATACAGAGTCTAATCATTGACGCTGACACTCTCTTCTCTCACAGTGATGTCCTAAGTCGCCATGCCAAAGGCCACAAGAACCCCCGCACCGAGGCGACGGGCGATGCGCAGAATCTCCAGACCGTCACGCCGGCCGCCGCATCGCATGATGATCGCACGTCGAGCGTGTCGAATGGGACTCATCAGCAGTCCTTACCGGAGATGAGCCCCAACAATATCCAACACATGCAGCACCTCCCGACAGCCCGCGGCATGTCGCTATCGGCGACAGCGGGTATTCCGTCCTCTTCGCTGGATTTTCTGGCCAATATAAGCACCCATCAGCCTCGCACGGAACCAGAGGCCAATCAGATGATGACCGATGGGCAACAGCAGTACTTCGGATGGAACGATATGTCTGGTTCTGATCAGCAATGCTATCGAGGAACTATCCTCGATCCGATGCAGAATGACTTGCTGCAATTTTGGCTGGAACCCCGCGGTGACTCGCTCTCACACCACGGTTCATTAGACATGATGTTGGACCCGATGACTAGCCTGTCAGCCGAAGATTCCGTGGCAACACCCCAGCAGCATCAACAGCAGCAATCATCCGCCGACAGCGAGAATTCGAAAACGGGGGTGGTGATTCCAAATGAGCGATTCTCCCGCGTGCAACGCTATTGGCTTGCTCCCTCGAATAACACCGGTCGCCTCATGAACAGCCTGTGGCGCGATGTCGCCGGCAATGACTTGCATAATATATTCAACCTACCAGCAGCACCAGTACCCAGTGGGCCAGCTGGTCTTCCGCAGGGGTCCCGGTATGGTCTTGACGAAGCGTGTCGGCAACGTCTATACATGGCTTTTGGGCAACCGGAACAGTCGCAGCCACATACGCTGTCTGGGGCCAATCCGCTTCCCCCTATGGCTTCCGGTTCGCTTCTCAAGAATCACAACTTCCCTCCGGCTGAGGTCCTCGATATGGCGCTTGATCTTTACTTTCGCGAATTTCACCCATTGGTGCCATTCATACATGTCCCCAGTTTTTCCGCCAGCAATATCCGCCCTTCGGTACTGTATTCCATGTGTCTTATCGGAATGGTTTTGTTGGGGACGAGAGGGACGATGGAGTTTGTTTGCAAGAATTTCTCAGTGAGTGAGCGAGCGAGCATGCCTCCGCGCGTGGTTAGTGCCGTGCTAATAGGTGAATGTCAAGTTGATGCTCGAGCGCCTAACGGTTGACCTGGCTAAATGCTCCGTGGGGGTGGAGAATTCGGTCTGCACGGTCTCTACCTTTGCTGCCTGTTTCATCTTCCTTAACCTGGCTGCTATGACTGGGGTAAGTTCAGGGGCATTGAGGAAAGCTGGGAGTCGCTGACAGTCAATAGGAAAAGGAACACCTCGCAAAATGCCAAATGCTCTATGTCAATCTCATATCCGTGAGTGGTATCTGCAACGGGGCTAGCTTAGCGGAGCTAATAATCTCCTAGATTGCGCAAAGACATGGTTTATTCGCAGCCACGGAAGGGCAACTGCTTGATATGAATCTTTTCGACACCTTCAGCGATGTAGAGACCCGATGGAAGGCGTGGAGCAAGGTAGAATCTGTCAAAAGGTTGGTGCATCGTTTCATTTTTGTGTATCCGGGCTGATCGATTAGATTAATCACCGGTCTATTGCTCTTGGATTCGTGGTACTCATCATTCATGTCGACGAGTCCTATCATCGCGCCCGACTCGGTCCAATTAATACTGCCGTGCGACGACGCACTCTTCCGAGCCATTACTGCTATGCGGTGGATGCAGCTGATCTGCAGCGGCAAATGCATGCTCATGCCTACGATAGTGGCACCGTCCGAAAATGTCGGCTTACCCGAACTAGAAACCCCGGTGGACGACTTCTGTATGCATGCAGTGCTCTCACTGGTGCAGTTGCGGTTATCAGAAGCTTACTACCGCCTGCTTTCAAACCGAGCGCAGTTTCCCTATGCGCCGTGCCACACTTATAGTATGGACGCTCGTGCTAGGTGCCTTGCGGCCCTTCAGCTGCAGATTGCCGGCAAATATGGAGACATACTCGGCCGGTTGAATCCCAATGCGGCTGTGACGTGGCATAATATGTGCTTGACGCTGTCGGCGGACACCCAGATCTTTGATTTGGCGGCGGGACGATCAGGTCCAGCCCCTGCCCGGAAAGCCTTGGATGACATTGCCGCATGGTCTCAGACACCAGCCGCCAGACGAGCCTGTCTGCACGCGGCCCACATCTACAAGGTGTTGACTAACCGCAAGACCTCGGATCATATGATGTTCCACTCGGTCTTTTCCCTCTTCTCCGCAGCGCTAGTCCTGGGACTCTATGTTTTCATGGTGCCTAATATTCCGGATCCGCAGGGAGGGGGCACTGCGATTGAGCTATTCGATGACATCGACTGGCAGAAGGTGGGCACGGAGGGGTTTACCAACTTCATGGTGCCGCAGGGGAACCAGCATTTCCCGCCGTCAGAAGAGCCTGCTGTGAATTTTATCCGCAATGGGGGCACAGTGTTCCTACGCGGGATACCCATCCAAGGCGGATACCAACCCGCACGACGCGTTTTGCTGGACTATGCTGGATTGTTACGAGACGCTGGCAAATGGAGCGTGCGCAAGTTCTCATATGTGCTTCACATCATGAGTGATGTATTGATGGACGTGGAATGAAGCATCGACTAGACTGCATCTTACCCGGGCGACTTGACTATGTCATCAAACAAGCTCGAGAGGACGCACCGGCGCATAGTGGTGGCACTGATCAGCTGGCTGAACAGGTTTCCACTGGCTTTATTGCCCAGACGGACGATCACGGAAAAGTGGTTGCAGTAGTAATTTTGATCAATTTCGTGTACAAATACGCACTGACGCTATACAATACCCCATAACTAACTGCAATAATGAAATTCCTGTGTGTCATTTTTCAAACCCACGATCGATTCCTGATCCTCTCATTCAGCACCTCCAATTCCTCCTTCGAGATCACAAGACCCCTCAACATCTTCTCGTTCTCCAAATCCCCGATATCCAGCATTTGATGCTCCCCAGCCAACACGACCCTCGAGCATCCGGTCTCAGGCCTTCTGTCTGCAAACCACAGCCCTTCCCCTGGACAAGTTTCGGTTTCCGCACTCCCCACACTGCTAATAGTACTGGTACTCGCCCGCCTAACCTGGAGATGCTCAGCATCGCCTTCCCCTTCCACCCCAACAACCACCTCCGCACCCTCGAGGATTGTGGTATCATCCTCTCCATGCCCCTCCGCGTGTGCGTGCCTCTGCCCCGGTTCCTCCCCCTCCGCCGGTTCCTCACTCCCCCTCCGCCCCCCAACCCCATACTCTGCACTCAAATCCCCCGTATACTTGGCAACACTCACCCCATTACACCGCGCATCCGGCATATGCAGCACATCATGCAGCACCAGCGTCGTCGTGCGCGCATCGTTCGGCGCCCGCCGCACCCGCAGCTGCACCGTCCCCACGCCCAGCACCCGCTGGTTGGCGATCTTGCACGGCGCCCGTCGGTATGTCTCGAAGGACGCGCGGTTCTTGGCGAAGTGCGTGTTGCTTGTTGCTGGGAGGAGAAGCCAGTCCCAGCATCTGTTTGTAGGGGGTTTTCCTTCTTGGTGGTGGCGTTTTCGGGTTGGTTTTTGGGTTTGTGTGGTCGGTTTGGTGGGTTTTGGGGGGTAGGGGTTGTAGTGTTTTGTTTCGTTCTTGGGTTGGGGTTCGGTTGTTGGGGGCATTGTGCTTTCGTTGTGTGGATAGGCTCCGTGGGATGGTACCAGGTCGTGGTTGTGTGGTGGTCGTGGTGGTATAGATAGGTTGGTTGTGGGCTGTATTGAGGATTGCTTGATATGTGTGTATGTGGGGTATTGTATAGGGGTTGAATAGAGAATTGAATTAGGTTGGGACGAAGGGGTGTGTAGCTTGCTAAGCTAGATATGGAGGGTGGAAAGAATAGGAGGGCCCCGGGAGCTGAGGGAGGATCAATACTCCGTACGCAGGGCTAGTCTACGCGTAAACTGCAGTGACAGCTTGCTTGCTTGCATGCAAGGGTCCATGGTGGCAACTATACTTCCGCTTTGGGAAATTCCACTATCAGGTCCATTTCTCTTCCTCTGGCATTCTCTGTAGATACCTAATGCTACTTCCACTTGGTAGTGTACGTCAATTGAGGGAAGTAATTGTAGTCTGGGACTGTTGGTTCATTGCTTTGGTTAATGGCTGCAATTGCTACAATGATTTTGCTGCATTGTTCTTGCTTCTTTGTCTCGACGGCAGGTCTTGACGTCAGCTCTGATGATGGCGAATATAGTGAGTGGTCCAAGCTTGCTGATTAAGGTTGTGTGGGGTGGAGCTGTCCGCTAGTTAAGGTTCTTGTGTAGACAAAGACAATAGGGAGGGGGTGTTGCTTTGCTGTGCTTCGTGTTGCTTCGCTTTGCCTGTAATTGCCTGAGATTGTTTGCGTATACTCATAGTTTGAATGGCTGGTTCTGCTGAGTTAATACTATTGCTTTGCTCCTATGGTTGATTGCTCCTTATAGCTAGTATTGTCTTCTGCATCATTGTATGGAAATACCGTTCTGACGCTTTTCTATCGCTTCATCGCTTGATCGCTTCGTATCAATTCTACCACGGAAATCAATATGTACTGTACAGAGCAAAGCTAAGCTATCTAGTGGAGAATCCGCTTCACCATCTTTCCAATGGCCAAACTACTCGTCAACCCCGGACTCTCAATCCCCAACAGATTCACAAACCCCGGGAACCCCTCCTCCTCTTGGATCACAAAGTCCTGGAACATGCTCCCCTTCGCCCAGGCGGAACCGCTCTCCCTGCTCAACTTGGGCCGGATCCCACAATACGAGGCACTGATGGCGCTCGCATCCACATTCGGCAGATACTCCCTGATCAGCGGCAGCGCCTGCTCCAGCCGGGCCGGGTTCGGCGCCAGGTCCTCGCTATCCTCCACCCACTCCGCATCAGGCCCGAAGCGAACCTGCCCGCCCATATCCAGCGTGAGATGCACGCCCAAGCCCGCCTGCGCCTTGGCCACGACCGGATACACCAGCACAGAGGTGCGGGGGAACGAGGCCGCGTACGAGAAGTAGGTGCCCTTAGCGTACAGCGGGGTGCGATGCCGGTCCGCAGGCAGCAGCATGTTGTTGATAGCACACGCGCCATGCCCCGCGCTGTTAACGACCGTCTCAGCTGTGATAGCCGTCTCAGACCCATCGGCCGTAACGGCCGTGATCTCGTAGCCCCGGCCCTGGCCGTTGTACCGGACGCCTGTCACGCGCGTGCGGAACGCGCAGTCGCCGCCGCGATCCTCGAAGTCGCCGTGCAGGTACGTGATCAGCGCATGGCTGTCCAAGATCCCCGTTGTCGGGCTCTCGAGCACCCCCGCCTGCGCCCGCACCTCCGGCTCCCGCCGCGCGATCTCCTCGCGACTCAGCATCCGCGTCGTCACCCCGATCCGCTGTGCCGTCTCGTGCAACCGTAGGCACGCTTCCCATTGCGCTGCGTCCTGCGCCACCAGCCACTTGCCTGTCCGGCGGTAGGGGATGTTCTGCCGCTCGCAGAGGTCGTACAGCAGCTCCTTGCCTTCGATGCAGAGTTGCTTCTTCAGCGTGTCGGTGCCGTAGTAGAGCCCTGCGTGGATTACCTGTTGCGCTCGTTGGTTCATTAGTTGTATTCCTCCCGAACTTTTTTTTTTCCCCCTCGATCTATCTATATCCATCATCCTGCTCCTCCACGCAGACACGAACAAAGCAAAGGGGACAATGATGCAATCAATCCTCACCTCGGAATTTCGACTACTCGTCTCCGTCCCCGGCGCGTCATGCCGCTCGAGCAGGATCGTCGACGTCCCCTGCCGACTGGCCAGTTCGCGCGCAATGGCTAACCCGACCACCCCGCCGCCTATGACCTTCGCAAATCAGTATAAGCCTGTGCCATAACGAACTGGAAACCAAATTGAAACCAGGAAAGCGGGGGCTGAAACGTCCTGAAGTGCCCAAGGAACCCCTCAACTCGACGATTCACTTACCGCATGGGTGACGTCGGCCTGGGGCGCGGACGTGCTAGCGAAGCCGCGACGGCAGAGGAGCCGGGCACTTTTGGTGAGGAAGTGGGCGGTGGGGCGAATGGTCATTCTTTGTTGTTCATCAATGGTATTCGGGTTCCAATTGAGAATTTAAAGGATATAGGGATACGGCGGTGTGGGATTATGAATGGGTAGATGTTGATCTGGAGGGTAGGTTTTATGTTATGTTCAAGTATGGAAGTCGGGTTGGTTATCGATAGCCCGCCGGGATGGGTTGCCAATGGATTTACCGAGTAACTTCTAATTAGGGGAGGATCCGCCGTGGGGAAAGTCGGTGTCGGCGCCGGTCCCGATTTTGGGTAGTTGATAAGTATCCCGTGACCCTGTCGTGGATGATAAGGAAGGTCATTTACATTGTGCATGGTCTGCGTCTACTTCGCTGATTGATATTCATTTATTGGGCGTAGGTTTGATTGTACTGTTTGGATAGTGAACGAGATGGAAAGGCTTTATTATAAGGGGCGCTTTAACCACGCTCGCTTACTTCAGGATCTATATAAAACAGAACCACGCGGTATATACAGGAATTAAAAAAAGCAACATATTATGTGATTATTGATCTATCAAGGTCGCTTCCCTACGTTCTTCAACATGTCGTCCAGATGCTGGTTGCGTCAGTAACTAGAATGATAATTGATCGGGGTCAACTTACCTGTTTCTGCTCGGTTGCTAATTTGCCATGGGTATCCTATTGGCCTGTCAGCATGTTTGTTGTCCCTGAGGTGGTAACGAGACTCCCGTACACTAATTATAGCCAGTACAAGCGAGTAATTGTTAAACAAGAACCGTTCTCGTCGCTTGGCGTCGCCGCCGATGCGGCTGAGCTTTGTGAGAAGATTGTCGAACTCCGCCGTCAAGCGCTTCAAGCTGTTGGCCACGGGCTCGTCATCCCCTGCATCACTGCTGAGTACCAGGATCCCGTGCAGAAGCTGGCCGAATCGCTGCGTTAGGAAATGGGGCGCCGAGGACTTGTTCAGATCGTCGCCCCCAGCCAGGGACAAGGCCGACACCGCGCTGCGACCCGTGTTCGCGGCCACCCGCTTCAGCGACTCGCACTGCGTGTCCATGATGACCTGGAATCGCGGCCACAGCTGCATGTTCACCCCGTTGATGTAGGAGTCCGCAACGGGAACCTTGCGGCGCTGCAGCTCGAAGGCGGCGTGCTGGTTCAACCGGACACAGATCAAGACGCCCAATGCGTCCGTGGTATGTTCGATCAGCTGCTTCGTCAACGTCTGCCCCTGACTAAACACCGGCTCGAATATCTCGACGGCCTTGCGGGAAATTTGCTGGAAAGATAAGGTCGAGAACATCTCGGTCATGAACGAGTACTCGGCTGACACATTGTCCACCACGGCCAGATTGAAATTCCGGAATGGAACCTCAAGTCCATGGAAGGAATTGTCCTCCTCTGCTAGGTATGAAGAAATAGCGATCTGAGCACCAGTCCGCATGATATCCACTCTCCTTCCTAGGGAGAAGGGATCGTGCGCAGCAGACCCAGCACGACTACCGGCGACAGCAGAGCCTAGCATCGTCAGCGACATATTAAATATATAGGACGGGCTCATTGAGCTTACTTGTCTTATGAGCCGACGGATCTCCTCCTAAAATCTCATTTCGATCACTGGGGTATATCTTGATTGACTCCAGCGCTTGGCGATATCGCGTGAAGTGCGACAAATAGTACCACCGCATAGTATTTATGTAAGCCTGCGTGATTTGTCCTGTGAGCTCTGGATGAGCCCGGGAGATATAGCTATATAGATCTTTGAATTTTACCAGCCGCTGCTGCTGAAGAATTTGGGCATTAATGTTGGGGGAACGCAGTGCTCTGATCTGGGACACCAGATAGTCCCGGATGCGCTCCACGGCCTGCACAAAAGGTCAACTTGGCTTTGCGAAGGGTGCACAAGGGCAACTGACCTTGTTCTTGATGTCTTTGAGAAGCGGCCGAACGTCCTCAATGGATTTCGTGCTGTTAGAGCCAGAGACCTTGGCTTCAATGCTTGCCGCCCGGGTTTCCATCTCATTCAAGGCCTTAACCCAATTCTCATCGATCGGCCCCTCCGCGATCAACCTCACCGTTTTGGGAGAGATGCTGATCTCTTCCACGGCAGGCCCGAGTAGCTGTTCGACATTGCGTCGGTTTTCCAACATGGCCGTCAGCTGAATAGACCGGGACTGTAGAGTCTCGATCTCCGCCGATACAGCCCCGAGTTCATTCTGGAAATCGTTCAGATATGTCTCCACCGAGCTTGAGACTTCGTCACAGCCGGTGATAGCCGAATGTAGATCTTGGAACTTGTCTCGTTCTTTCTCGAATTGCTGGACGGTTTGGGCGCCCGCATCGGTGCTGGTAATCCGTTTACGGTTGTCTGCCTGCGCGACGAAGTCCTCCAGACTCAGCCCTTGGAAATCGATGTCCTCCACGAGATCCGAAGGCTTGACGTTGAGGTCACCGTCAGGAGACAGATCCCTTTTACCATTCTGCTTCCCAAGGATACCATTCAGAACATCGAGGGGGTCAGCGACATCGGAGGGGCGGGATCTTGCAGCGATTTGTTTCAGCGGCGATCTGTCACGAGCTGCGGTTGCGGGAAGGGAGGTGGTCGAATCACTGGGAGTCAGGAGGACGGATAAGGAGGAAGCTTGTCGACTGGATCCAGGACGATTGTTTTGTATATTGGGAGATAAACGAGAGGATGTTCTTCGGGGTAGAGGCGAGTTGCTGCGACTGTCAATCTGAGAGCCCGAGGGAGTCGAATGACCAGCAATGCGGTCTAGCCACATCTTAGATGGCGGGCACGGAGTAGGGTGCGGATACCGGACAGCTTCCCGGACCTCATTGAGGGGGGGTCGCGGATATCCCCAAATGAGGGGGGGTAGGTGAAATCGCCTGGGGATTGAGCAAGAGAGCAAATACGACCTGCCACACCCTGAAATAGAAGGAAAGCGCAAACAAGGTGCCAGGTGAACTTGCTTGCAAGCACAGCACACAAACAAGAAGTGAGTGCCGGGGAAGTATACAAGTTAGTAAGTAGTAACTTAGTTCAGATGGGCAGGGCGAGATGCTACGGCGACCCACAGCAACCACGGATGTGGTTTCTCCGACTCTAAACCCAAAACAGACTAGCGACCACAAAACCCCGCCACAACAAGTGCCTTTTTTTCGCAGTCCATTTGTCGATTTCTTTTCGCCTGTTCCCCCTCTCTGCCTTCCATCCATTTTTCTCTTCCTCCTCACCTCCTCAGCGTCTCTCTTCCTCATTGTCTCTTTAGGTTTTCCTTGCATTTACCTTCAAATCCATCACCATGTCTGACGAGGTACGTTCTGCCCGCATTTCTATGCTCTTATCGCTATTCCCAGATCCGGCATTCTCCATACTATACTGCACCTGCTGGGCTTCTGGGCTTCTGGAAGCCTCGCATCGTGCTGCCTCTCCTCCCACCCCCACCTACATATCCCGCTTGTTCCTGCAGGCAATGCATATTCATACTGCCCTCCGTCTCCGGATTATACATTGTCATCATCATCAACATGTCCGTCATTGATCTATCGCTGACTGGCCGCGACCGTATAGCACCAGGAGACCTTCGAGTCCGCCGATGCCGGCGCCTCGACCACCTACCCCATGCAGTGCTCTGCTCTGCGCAAGAACGGTCACGTTGTCATCAAGGGTCGTCCCTGCAAGATCGTCGACATGTCCACCTCCAAGACTGGCAAGCACGGTCACGCCAAGGTCCACCTTGTCGCCCTTGATATCTTCACCGGCAAGAAGTACGAGGATCTGTCTCCCTCCACCCACAACATGGACGTCCCCAACGTCTACCGTAAGGAATACCAGCTCGTGAGTACCCCGCAATTCTACCTTCCTCTAGGAGATGCAGTTCCGCTAACACCTCGGCAGCTCGACGTCACTGACGATGGTTTCCTGTCCCTGATGGACGACAACGGTGCCACCAAGGACGACGTCAAGCTCCCTGAGGGTGAGGTTGGTGAGCGCATCGAGAAGATGTTCCGTGAGGAGGAGAAGGACTGCAGTAAGTGACCTTCCCGTTGCTACCATGTGGTGGTGTCGATGTCCGGATCTAACCATATCGTCTAGACGTCACTGTCCTCACTGCCATGGGCGAGCAGTGCTGCATGGATGTCAAGGAGGCTCCTGCTTCCAAGAACTAAAACACCGTGTTTATGGACCTTTTGACTGCCCTGTCAGCTCTTCTGTATCTCAGAAAGGCCTTGCTGTTTTCGCCCATGTGTCAGGTCTTATGTGATACATGGGCACCTTACGACATAATCTTCTTCAATATAAACTTGGGTATGTGAGCCAGTGACGCTAGTCATGATCACTTGGCAGCATCAAGCGTGCTCTGTCAGAGGAACAGTTCTTGAGTTCAGCACCTTCACGATAGTTTTACGAATAAAAAACCTTTTATTGTTCTAAAAAACAAAAGCAGAATCCTCCAATTTGTAGTAAATCGAGCTGTAATGTGATCACATTCAGTCTGTTTTTTTGCACCTGTGTCTAGGAAACCTGCAGAGAACTATAATCCTAAGCAATTGAAATACCGTAGGGGCCTGTGTTAGTTGACTATATGTGGATACTGTGTTGTCACGGGTCGATGTACTGTACTTAGTTTAACTACTGTACTTCCAACGGTTGCGGAGAAAAAAATCTGATGAGTACGGGAGAATTTACCTCCTCTCGTCCTCACTTCACCCCACCCGTAACCACGAGAATGAAGAGTGCTGCCCTGGATGGAATACATCACGCGAGGCGTCTGTGGGCAGGAAGGGTGCCGTGAAACGCGGTATTACCTCGACAATGGCCTCTGGTTCTGTAGGCGGGGTCATCAACAGGAGGTATGAGATGATTATGACTTCCTTCCATCCAACCCCACCTTTAAGCGCATTGGGATTGCCGATCAGGCCACCACTGCCACTGGTATCCTTCAATTCTGACGTCCAATACCACTAGGGGCGACAAGTCGAAGCCGATGGAGATGATTTTGGGACGCAAGGCCGAACGAGTCGCGTGAAGAAAGCGGCGGTCGAAAAGACCCAAAGGAGTAAAGCATCCCCCTTCCCCAGACAGCGATGTATTGTCTAGCCAATGCGCCCCCGACTAACATCAGGCAGTCTACCGGGGTCGTCAGGCATCTCGCTTGTTTCTGCAGGTCTATCAACTAGTCCTCTGGAAACAATCTTACACCTTGGTCCAAAGCCGCGGCTTTCCGCCAGAGTTTGAGGTATGCATGCTTTCCCTTTCCCAATTGGGAAATCTCCGTGTTCGCCGTCCGCGGCTGACGAAAGGGGTGGGCAACACATAGAACGTGATTCGAGATCTATGGGCCCTTCATCTGGATACCTTCGCGGACCAAGTCAATGAATTATCGGAGGAGGACGATGAGCCACGATTCTTCAGTTCTCAGCCGGCTTCCAGCTTCGATGACCCTCAAGACACGAAGCTCGGTACAACGCCCACAAAATGGCCTCGGCTCATCGACAGTATTGCCCTCTGCTATATCGCCGCGCTCCTGATGAGACTTCCTGTGAGCATTGAGGGCTTTCATCGGTAATGCTACTCGGCCGTCCGGAATCGCTATCGTTCATGTACTGATCTGAACTTGATGTAGGATGGCCATACGAGGAGAAATACCTTTCATCAGGATCATTAAAGATATACCTCGCGACATGCGAGACAGACTGCCGCCCCAATTCATTGCTATCCTCGAAACTACGGTAAGGACAAATTGCATCTATCGCGGCTAGAATGATGATTCCTGACCATCGGACAGAAGTTGATTCAGGCGGAGCATCTTCATGGAGCCGTGGCGGATCTCTTGTCGTACTACCACCATAGGTTCGGCATGCACTTTCCGCCCTTGAACTGGCCTTTCTTGTTGTATAGATACATCAAACGACTTGCGCTGCCGAGTGAGTAGAACGCTGCTAACATGTCGCATTCCGTGCTAATAACATTTACTTAGTCGACATCTATCCCGCTGTCAAAAGACTGCAACATTTACTGGGGTTTTCTTTTGAGTATCCCACGGGTACACATGGCAGGAGGAGACCGCTGCAACTACCGGAAGTACAAATAGTTGTCCTGATTGTCATCTCCACCAAACTTTTGTTCCCGTTCGACGACTACAACAGATACCCTCTCTCTCCGAAGGAACCTTCAGTTCAGGTCGTTGATTGGGCGCTCTGGGCGCAAAATCAGAGAAACTTCGACCGCGAAGAGACTTCTGGAGGCCGACTGGGCAAAGGGAACGAGATCTCGGTGACCGAGAAAGACATTCTGAGTATGACCCCTTCTCAGCTAGATGAGTATATGAATTGGTACGAGAGCTCGTGGCTCGACCACAGCAAAGGTATGATGTCCCAGAAAGGCTCCCCTCTGAAGTCATGAGGCTAACACTCACCCAGCGCAAAATCCATTGGCCGATTTCTTCCCAGTCAACATCAATGCAAACGAAAATCAGGCAGGCAGCACGCCGGTAGAGGGTAATGAAGCGGAAGCTCTACTTGCTATGCTGAGGATCTCTACAAGTCAGCTGAAGTCGACGAAGGTCATTACGGGAGAGAGCATTGATACGCCCCGGCCAGGCTCCGCCTATGCGCGCTACCGGACTGAGGCCGATCTTCCTGATATGGCAAGGCCCTTCTTCGAGACCACCGCCAAGATAGCTGGGATCTCGCTCTCCACTCTGGTTCGCGCGGTGTCTCAGGCCGAACATAAGATAACCAAGTGGCTAGAAGAGCACCGACGGGTCGAAGCTATCAGAGATACGTTGGGCACGGACTTGTCCAGTGAAACAAGCGAGATGGATGCCGCAGATATGTCAGAGTCCGAGGATGGGCAGTGAAGAAACATATACATCCAAGAGCATCCAAATGAAGTTGTATGACTGTGTTTCTCCGAGGGGACTCGAGAGCATGTGAAAGTTTCAATCTTTTTGAATAGTCTCAATGGAGCCAAGACCAAAACAATGGAAGTGATACAGTTTCAAAGATTATGCATTGAGATGGGTAGCGGAGAAACTACTGGCGGCAGATGTTGAAAAGGATGAGCCAACCAGAATGCAAAGCTTCACATCATATACCCGCAGCCCAGGATTAAAGAAAAAGCAATCCTACGAATGGCAGATAAAGATAAATAGGGAATTACTACTAGATGATGTATGATGATCTATGAGTATGGAGACATTTGCGGAGGGGGAGCCGCCGAGCGGAACGGCACCAGACTGCCCTAAACCCTGATCACGTGCCTGGCCCGTCCACCTCCTGCTAAGCGAGAAATCGTGAAATTGACATCGCCTCTTCCGACCGACCCATTCAGCGAGATCGTCAGCCAGCAACAACGAAAACCGCAGCCAGTACGTATAGCACTCGTTATTGATGGGAGGCCATATTCACGTCCTGTGAATCGCAAGCTAACATGTCGTTTTTTCCGCGCGCTTCCAGTGCAGATGTAGGTTCTTCCTCTCCACAAGTCTTTTGGATGAAATCGCCCGAATACTCCCACGTCATGCAACGCAATACAATATCGAAGGAACAAGAGGAATAGAAGGAATCAATAGACAACAAAACACGATATGAGGGACGAACAGAAGAGGACAAAATCAGTCGCTGACCAGTGATGCTTTTTCGAATAATATAGTTTCGTCAAGACCCTCACGGGTAAGACCATTACCCTCGATGTCGAGTCGAGCGACACCATCGACAACGTCAAGACCAAGATCCAGGATAAGGAGGGTATCCCCCCGGATCAGCAGCGTCTTATCTTCGCTGGTAAGCAGCTCGAGGATGGCCGCACCCTGAGCGACTACAACATCCAGAAGGTATGAACGACTCTTTCCGGAATCCATTTCTCTGGCACTTCGGTCCAAAACGCTTGTTTCGCTTCGCCTGGGTTTCGGGTCTTTCGGATGGGTTGAGGTTCTTTCGGGGACTCGTGTGGTATGGAAGGCATCGGCTGGTCTTGTCCGACATGGTCGCCTGTGGTTGTGCTTGCTTGATGATGGGCTTGATCCGGTATCGGGCTTGTTGGGATCTAGTTGCTTCCGCATCATCGCCAGTGGCCGTGTGACAAGATGACGAATGCGGGGATGAGAAAGAAACCCAGTGCTGCGAAACTACAAACGACCTGATATGCGTGTGCCTGTGGAGGAAATCATCTTGGCTAACCCTTCTGCTTGCTGGATCTATAGGAGTCCACCCTTCACCTCGTCCTCCGTCTGCGTGGTGGTATCATCGAGCCCTCCCTCAAGGCCCTCGCCTCCAAGTACAACTGCGAGAAGTCCATCTGCCGCAAGTGCTACGTACGTTCCGTCCCGCTGTGTATCGCCTTCTCCAGCGCGCACCCTTGTTTGCTGACATGACCCCTCCCCCGCACCAACAGGCTCGTCTCCCCCCTCGTGCCACCAACTGCCGCAAGAAGAAGTGCGGTCACACCAACCAGCTCCGCCCCAAGAAGAAGCTCAAGTAAACGATTCTCCTGTTCACGGTTTTTCTGCGTTGCTGGAGGGAAGCGCTGCTGGGGTTGTTACGACCGGATTGCAACGTAGGGTATTACACGGCGTTGGAATGATAAAACATTATGGCCGAAGTCAAGTGTCCATAGTTGGCTGCTCGGATGAAGTTGCAATCGAAATACTATTGTAAAATTCAAAATTATCTTCCTTCGTCAATTTTGATTCTTTCCGGAATACAACCATACACGCAGTCGCTTGGAATGACACCAAGAGCAAGACAAAGAAACACAGTTCACCATTTGTGATCGCAATGGACGCCGAGATACAGATTTGAAGGGGCGATCATGACCATGACATCGTGCTACCTGAGCAAATGTGTCTAGATGGTCTAGATGCGGCTGTTCGTTTGGTTTCCTTTCTGGTAACAGATGGAGGCATACATAGTGTCTGCAAGGGACAAGGACAAAAGACCGACAACGCTCTTTCCCACCCCTCTGTAGACTTCTAGAACATAAGCATCTGTCCCTTTTCGTTATTGCCATCGCCATTGTCGCTCTTGTTCTTCTTCGAGACCGGGCTTCCGTGACTGCGTAGATAAGAAACACACCCCACACATTAGCATCAAGTCCAGAAACATAATCACCCCCACTGTAAATATACCAAATGGAAAGAAGAACTTACGCAAAGAACAAGATCTTGATCGCCAACGCAAACCCAGCATGCAGCAGCACCACCAAAACCAAGAGAATCTTGCTAGCCTTGGCATCCGTGGCACTGAGCACAGGGTACAAGTTCCGGAGCAGGAAGAAGACAGTCCAGCCGAAGCCGACGCCGACGAGCGCCCAGTTCAAGGCCGTGAGCGGGCTCCAGCTGACAAGCGCGACGGCGATCCAAACGAGGTTGGAGTACCCGTAGAGCGCCCACGCCTCAACCAATTCCGCGCTGGAGCTGCCGAACCACTTCAGCAGGCCCCACAGCGCGATGGGGATGACGCCCGTGTACCCGTACACCAGGCCCGCGGCGCCGGACAGCAGCGTGAAGTCGTAGGCGAAGTGCGCGTCGTCGTTGTTGGACAGCCACTGCGAGATGGTGCCCGTCAGAAACAGGATCACCACCACCGTCGTCGCGATCCAGAACGGCCCGTACAGGTCCGCGTTCCCCTCCAGCACATCCAGGAAGTTGTTCCGCGGGTACAGCGTCGCCATGCACCGCCGCAGCACCTCGTTCGTGTCCACGTCGAAGTACTGCGCGTAGTAGTGGATCGTCCACCACGTGTGTTTCGTCGGCGTGCCCCCCGGTGATCGGTCCCGGCCGCCGCGCGATGTGCTGCTCCCCCCGACGCCGCCGCCGCCGCTGAGGAAGGGCGTCGACGCTGCTTGCATCTTCGCGCTGCGTTGGTCGTGCTCGAAGTCTATATCGCACGCATCGTGAGTTCTTTGCTTTGCGCTTTATGCTTGTGACCGGGTAGAGAGTTGTTGGTTCTTTGCTTACTTGAGTGGTGGAATTCAAGGTCCTCTTGCAGGTCGGTGTGGCCCAGGTCACCCTGCGCGGTGGTTAGTTGGCAGACGTTCTCTGACAATCCGTCGCTCCTTGCTGGCTATCTCACTTACCTCGGCGTCCACATCGACTACCACGTCGTAGCCCCGGTTTGCCATTTTGAAGGCCTCAGGGAGGGGTTCTTGGTTCTGGAAAGGTGGTTCTTTGGGAAGTCGGGGTTTCCGGTGCAAGGTTGCGGGAGTTGCAACTGAAGAGTACACATCAGCGAGCGGCTCGGGACAGCCACGCACTAGCCACAATGTGGAGCCGAGCTTCTCCAGGCCGCGCAATGCTGAAACTACACACGTTCCAAGTCCTACCAGTATGAGAATATGCGTGATACCTCAATGAATTTTCTTGGAGAAATAGAATTGGAAAGTCACTTTCCATCATTTATACACACATATGCAAGTTGTTCTATGTCGTGGTCTGCCAATGCACTTCTCAATACATAAATACCCTCGAGACATTGATCTTTTTCTGGAACATGTTCACATGGGTCGGAATGGTATCGAAGGACTACAGGTAGCCGCGATATTGCAGGGCCGATTTCAGTCGGCCTAGATACGACCAGATTGTACTGTCGAGCCCCTTGCATCTTATATAGATCGACATCGCCCCGATGAAGACGGTGACAGCCACCGAGCCGATTGTCCTTCTGTGATCCCACAGGAAAGTAACTGCTTTGTCCCTGAACTCCTCGTAGCGCAGCTGCCGTACCTGCTTCCTGAAGAGCTTCAGAGCCTCCTCTTTGCTATGCGTCTGCTCCAGACCCCGAGATGACTTGAGCGCACTGCACGATGGTATCTGGTTCCAGGCCCCATATGGCAACGACTCGGGCGGATAGTCTTTGAAGAGGCGCACTGCAGAGAGAATCAGACCGTCGAGGTCTAGCGGATTAGGTAGCTTGGACAATGTGAAATGCAGCATCTCTGGCTCCTCTTCGGGTATCTCGAGCAGCTCTTTCTTCCGGGAGAGAATGATCGCGGCGAAGAGATAGACCGGTACTACTGGTTCTTCGGCGAGCAGAAAATCGAACAGGCGGGCAATGTCGCTATACTCTTGGATGTCATGGGCATACAATGTCAGAGTGGCCGCAAGGGCAAAGAAGGGCTGGATCTCGGCAAGGTGATGCCGTAGCGGAGAGTCGGCTCTCTCGATAATCGCGGGCAGTAGTTGTAGGTGTTTTAATGCAGGAGAGAGAGTTGGAAGCATGTAGTCGCGGATCCGTAATAAGGAGATCTGCGCAACAGCAGGAGCAGCTTCGTGGCTGCCAAGCACAAGTAGTAGTACTTGCACGATATCATGGTACCCTTGGAAGTAGCATAGCATGGGATATTTCCGCAGGACTCGCTTGATTAGTTGTGACAACTCATCCTTTTTCGCCGAAAGCTCTTCACTAGAACCTATCTCGGTAATTAGTACTTAAAGTGCTGCTCTAGATCGGGGAAAGCGTACAGTCAGGATAGTACACAAAGGACCGGTTGACATCCAGCTGAATCTGCTCCTCATCTACATGGGGTGACAGGTCTTCCCACCCCGAGAAGTCGTGACTCGACTCCCTTCGATCACACTGAAGGAGAATAGGCCCTAGGCAGGGACGATGTCAGTGACTTTCCGGTAGGACCTGAAGCTCGAACAAAAGACTTACAAGCCACTCTTCTGACTTCGTCATTCAAGAAGCCACCTTCAGAAATAGCATAGGAAACTAATGCGTCGAAGTCACGCAAGTCGCATGCGCGGCGGATGGCGTTCGTCTTTTCGATTGCACGGGCCTCCTTTGCCTCATCCACCGAATCGGTCGTATGTAGAGATCCTTCATTTACTACATCATTTTGCTTCTTCTCGTTGACCAGTTCCGGGCCGCCTCCCGCTTCGTCGAACGGGTGCTGGTCCTGATCCATTATTGCCGAGGCAGGCAACGAATGTCTTAGCCGACCTCGTCTGGGACCAAGCCGTGCCGTTTGTGATATAACAAAGAATGAAGAAGGTATAGGAAGACGAGAACCGGAGGAGGGCTGACAGGTTCGTTCGGCAATGTGCTAGTTATCTATAACTCCACCTGGATGCGCACTAGGCAAGATCGACGAATGGAAAATTACTTGTATGCAGATGACGATTGAACCTCAAGTCATGCCGCTAGGCTTGTTGGCAGTTTATATTTGAGCGAAGGAAAGAACCCTGTAGTCCATTCCGATGCCATTGAGTACAGGAATGACAAAGCATTGAAACAAATATTGGTTCCAGAGAAACTGGAAGAAAGACTCGGGGAGAATGAAGTGCTCTTTACATCGGGAAAAGTCCCAAAGAAGACAATTCTTTCGGCCTGAGGCCATCAAGCGACCGTGTCCCGTGATTTGCCAGATCGGTGGACTCCGCTCTGCCCCCGACCGCCCAAAGAAGTAAGCAGGCAGCCAGGCATCGAACTGGAATGATCCGCATCAATTCCATCTCCCCCTCCGGGCGTTCTGGTAGTTGTTGTGCACATCACGTCACCGTGTTCACCCCTCGTCATTCATAAGGTCGCGGCCAGCCTGATGAATATATTTGATCTACAATCAATCAATTCAACCATGCTCTGCTGAGCTATCTTCTATAGTCTTGGCCCGAAGACCTTGCGCGCTTCTTCATCATGTGTGCCTGAAAAGTACTGCTGCAAGTTTGAAGGTTGCGGCCTATGGCATCATACTAAGAACTAAACATACCCGCTAGTCGATTCTCCCGCAGATTGACCGCACTGGGATTTCGCGGTTAGCAACTGCAGCCAAACCCGCAAGGCTGACGCCCAATCTCTCAGTATACCAAGCATTTTGAGATTAATGCGATTACGGGATCACTGCTTCGGTTACAGTTGATGAAATTATGAGGCACTGATATCGTTCCCTTCTTCAGCACGCAGCAACCGGTGGTTCACAGAACCAGGAAACTTGCATTGTGGGGTTACTACATTCTCGAAAATTGGGTTGATCTGTTTCGGAATTCAACTCACAGATCAGAACAGATTATCTCTCTGCATGACACTATTCATGTTTTTGCAGATTGCTTCTCCTGGCTACACTTGCGGAGCAGTCTTGCGCGCTGTGTCCATTCAGCACCGATCTTTCTTCTCAGTCTTTTCTCCACAGTGGCATGTGGCTCCTGGTCTGCCTTGAGCATGGTTAAGGCAGGACTGCACGAGCCGTAGCATCATTTATTCCCCGGTCTTTCTTCGACTTCTCCTTCGTCCCTGTATCAGAGGAGTCTTCCAAGCTTTCGAAACCAATCACAAAGCCTGCTCCGTCTACGACCATTTTTCGCCAGTCCTTTTCGTTTAGCTAGCCATTCAAACAGTACTTATCATCGCTCTTTATCTTCTTCATCTTCCGGGCGTTTTTAACGGCCCATCATGGCTCAATCGAGGATAGGCCCCGATCTCCTTGGAGATCGATCTGGGAACGGCCTCAGCGGAGACCCCATGGACATTGAAGCAGATGACCTATATGCAAAGGAACAAACTAAGGTCGGACTCCTCTCACATACCCTGGTATCAAGCCCTATCATACAGTGGGTTTTACCCGCGCGTCTACGGGGTAAAAACCAAAACGACGTCGTTTTCGTCGGCGAGAGATGTCTCCAGATCAAGGAAGCGGTGTCAGGCGTCCATCTCGAGGAAGTCACTTCCAAGAATGATTTCGACTCGCATATCATGGCCGCCAAAGTCATCAATGTGAGCACAGAGTTACCTTGGGAAGCGCAGATGAGGTTGGGTGCTAGTAGTTCGACCATGTCGGCAGACACGAACATGCACAGAGACTTGCCTCCTCAGATCCTGGTGCTAAGCCTCACTTCGAGAGAGCTCGCATTCTTATATTACTGGAATGCTGGCGACCAGTTCATATACCACCATCGACCATTGCCAAATGATGTCAGTGCCTTTGAAAGATTCGGTCGAAACATTGCTGTAGAGCCCAGGTGAGTATCTCGACTTCAACGATGATCGATTAACTAAGATATGCTCTGGCAGATCCCGGGTAGTTGCAGTTAGCGCTTCCTGTGACTATTTTGGAGTCTTCGTCCTCAAGGAGCCCGCCGTTCTCCAGTCGCAGATGGCACAAAATAAACTTGACCCGATAGCAGAGGTATGTGTATAACGCTGCTTGTGAATCACTTGTGGCCACTAACCGGTAACTTGGTACTGGTTCTAGGAACGCTTCTTTCGTGTCGATGGTGATATCATAGCCATAGAGTTCTTATATCCCAGCCCCGAGGATGGCGATAAGATCATTCTACTCCTACTTATAGCCCAGGACCAGGTCACGTCTGCAGTCTGTTACGAATGGAACGCGGATGAATCAGTACGACAGGCTGCCCCAAAAGTGACGAAGAAAGTGCTACCGCTTGAAGACAGGCTGCCTACGATGCTGATTCCGTTGACTAAGACGTCCTCATTTATTGTCGTTACAACGACCTCGATGGCAGTATATCAGAATAAACTGGATCCCCGGAGGCAACCCACTAGGTACCCGCTTCCCGTCCCTGATCGTGAATCGCAGCGACAACCGTTGTGGACTAGATGGGCAAGGCCATTACGCAACTGGCTATACAATCAGCAACACGATGACATCTACCTCTGTCGGGAAGACGGTAGGGTGTTTTATCTAAGTGTTGGCAATGAGGGCGAAGTTGAGAATCAGACCCATCTAGGGCAGCTCTGCTGTGATGTTGACGCTGCATTCGATATCTTGGACATTGGCTATGAAGGGGGCGACCTACTTCTGGCTGCAGGTACGACAGGGGATGGCGGGCTTTTTGTTCAAAAGGCCCGGGATCATCCAAGGTGTGTCCAACGGTTCATGAATTGGACGCCGGTCACGGATTCTGTCATTGTACGGGATGAGAGTGCTTTGAACTCAGGTACCCCAGGTGATCGCTTTTTTGTTTGCTCGGCTTCTTCCTACGCGCGCGGGGCTGTGGTTGAGCTTCGCCATGGCATTGAGGCACAGAGCGGTCTGGTCGTTTCTCTAGAAGAACTGTCGAGCACGACGGACATTTGGACCATGTCAGACAGTATGAATGGAGGCATATTCATATTAACATCTGATCCCGTTTCGTCGATGCTTCTATACCTGGCCGCTGATTTCGTCGAAGAGATCTCTGCTATTGATGAAAAGGAATCCGGCCTCGACTATGGCAGGCAGACTCTAGCCGCCGGATGCACTGACACAGGAGCTGTGATTCAGGTGACAGACAAGGCTATCCACATTGGAGCAACCTCCGATCTGTGGTCCAGTTATCGCCATGAATATGGTCCTGAACACCACATTGCAGTGGCTGCTGTCAACGGATCCTCGTTGCTTGTCGCAGCTGCAGTTCGAACATCACATGACGTACACCTCCACCTCAAAAGACTCGATTCAGGCGGTGGGCAAGCTCAACTCCAAGATATCGGTCCAGCCTTGCCGATTTGCTTTGACCCAGTATGTATGTCAATTGAGACATTGAACTCGTGCACATACGTGTTCATAGGCACGGGCAATGGAAAGGTGTTGTTATACCGCGTAACGGACAGAGTTGCCTTTATGTCTGAGACAAACATTGCTGTGGAGTGCTCCGATGATATCTCAAAGGCTATTGACAGCCTCGCAATCATGAAGACACCTAGCGGTAGTCTGTCAAACAAATATACCATGTTGTGCGGCCTTCGAAGCGGAATTTTGATCCCGTTTGAAATAATGATAGACAGCGAGACAGCCGCATCTTTCGATGGTACGCAATCACACTCCATGACTTCTATACCAGACTGACCCTTCTTTGTAACAGTCTTCAAGCAACTGGACCCACAGCGATTAGGACACACGTCGGTTAAGGTGCAAAGTAGGGGCAACCTTGCCCTGCTAACTTGTGGCCACGGATTCTGGCAAATGACATGCCGTCAAGACCCTGTGACGGCTAATTATATGCTCCAGCGAGTTTGGGTCACTGACCAGAACAATGTGAGTTCCATTCGACTATCAATCTGCCACTAGCGGTCAATATGGGACACTAATCGGAATGCCAGCCTGCCTATCATCCGAGCACGATCAACAGTTTCTGTGCCGCTGCTGTAGGGGGTCCAGGCGCGGAGGGTATTTCTGATACCCTCTTCTGTGTCGCCGAGGGACAACTAATGATCTGTACTCTGGACCAGAAAGCAAAGGCTGTCCCACGGAGGATTGATCTCCCAGGAAGTGCCAGCAAGCTCGCATATTCACAGCATCTCAGGACTTTGGTGGTCGCATACAACCAAACGGAATATGACACGGAAACAGATCCCATCAAGCGCTACACTCGGCCGTATATTGAGTTTGTGGACCCGGATTCACAGCAAGCTATGGTCAATACTTCGGAGAGCCCTGTAGACGAGAGCAGTCGTCCTTGGAGACCACGAGGTGCAGCTGGAGAAAAAATCAGCTGCATTGTGGAGTGGACTCCCAGGAAAGGTGATGAGGAATACCATTTCATTCTCATTGGTACTTCACGCAGGACTCACCAGGAGCGTGGTAGGGTCATCTTCCTCCAAGCATACCGTGACCCCATCAACCCATCACGTATTGAATGCAACGTGAAGCACATCCATAAGTTCGAAGGCCCCGTTTACTCCATTGTTCCATATGGTGCTTTTACCTTGATGGTTTCAACCGGCCACGTGATAGTACCGCTAGAACCCAAGCTTTCTCATAGCCAGGGTGCTCGCACAGCAAGGTACAAAGTTCACTCGCCTGCGGTTCTCATGACAGCGCGTGAACCCTATCTGTTTCTGACAACGTCGAGAGAATCACTCGTGGTTCTCAAGGCTGGCGAAGATAAGTTGACGCTCCATGCGCAGGACCGCCAAAGGCATGATGGTCTCTCCCACATACATCTTGATGGCAATTCCAACCTCATGTTGAAGTCCAGCAGGGGCGGTCGGGTCAGTCTTCTGAAGGAGATTGGCGGGACTGAACGCGATACCAGGATGCCTCCAGCTTTGTGCGAGGCGCATCTGCCTTCGTCTGTGATGAGACTCGGCGCGGGATCCAGACGATCTCCGCTGTCGTCTCAGTCGCAGGTCATCTACGGCACTGCCATGAATGGCACTGTCTACCGTCTCTTGATTGTCAATGAGAAGGAATGGCGCCTCCTCCGCCTTCTGCAGAACTTGTGTGTGAGGGATCCCATCCTTTGCCCCTTCACGCCCAAAAGACAGAGACAACGCAATCCGCTCAGTTTGGTCGGCAGCCAACCATCGCAAATGCATATTGACGGCGATATCCTGAGTCGCCTCTTAACGCGAGGGACTCGAGATCTGTTCCGGCTGTTGAACTCCGATCATACTAGTGGGCAACCTGACAACGCGGCGCAGGTGGTTTTCGAGAGATTCGTGGAACTCACGCGAGATGTTCTGGGAGAGACTAGTTCTCCGATTGATTCGGTGATAGGGTGGTTACAACGAGTCCTTCAGGTAGAATTCTAGACGAGATAAAAACCAAGGGATATTTGTCTCTATTATATAGATTATGATGAGACGGGACCAATGCCAATCTCTTTTTGGTGTATAATCCCTGCTAACTAGTAGGCACTTCAGTGAATAAACGGATTCACCTGGCAGAATCGGAGATGGCGGCAGCACACCAACTGGCGGGCGCCACCAGCAGCAGCAAGTTGCAACAACAAAGAAGGACGGACGGGCGGCGGGCGGAGAGTCTCGCATAAGCCGTAAGGAATCCCCACCACCGCCGGGACCAAAATTCTTAGTCCTTCCCGCTCCATCGTGTCTCCAGCCTTGGAACCGACCTTATCACAATCCACTTGAGAGGTGGGAAAAGGTATTGATTCTCCCACTCCTTCCTTTTTTGCGCCCGGTTTCATCGAGTTGTGTCTCTAACCCCTCGTGGTTCGAACCTGACTGTTCTTTATTTGCCACTCTTTGCCATCCCGGATTGCCGCAAGGTTGTCGTCGCCCGCCGGACAAGAAAGTAACTAGCTGATTGTTCGTTCGTGCGCCGCACCACCTCGCTCAGACTCTTCCAAGCAGAGGCAACTGGCTTATCTATTAAATCGATCATTTCTCTTCCGTTCTCTTTGCTAACTTCCGGTTACTTCGCATCAGGTCCAATTTCTCCGGCCGAAAGAAAATAGTTCCTTTATTTTCTATATAACCTTTCGCAACCATGGCACCCAAGAAGAAGGGAAACAAGAGACAGGAAGCGGACTGGGAGGCTGAGCTGGGCGAGTCTGCCCCCGCCACCGCGTCCCCTCCTGCTGAGGATGCCGCCGCTGCTCCCGCCGATGAGGGCGAGGACAGTGGCATGGGAGGTGGACTTCTCGCCGCGCTCCGGAAGAACAAGGCCAAGAAGGGTAAGAAGGGTAAGCCTGCCAACGACTTCGTCGAGGGCGAGGATGCCTCCGCGGATGCCAACGGCGCCGCTGCCGCCGATGACTTCGCCAGCAAGCAGCCCGAGGAGGGTGGCTTCGATGACGAGGACGATGTCTTCTCCGGAAAGGCGAAGCCTAACAAGAAGGCTGCTGCCGCTGCCGCTCCGGCTCCCAAGGCTGCTGATGAGGATGAGGGTGAATTCCGTGTGAAGTCGAAGAAGGAGAAGGAGAGGGAAAAGAAGGAGAGGGAGAAGCAGCGGAAGAGGGAACAGGTATGTATTTTTTTGGTTCTCCGAAATCGGTTTTGGCTGCTTTGGAGAGGGCCGATTTGGGTGGTGATGAAGCTATTGGGTTACAGTCTGCTGACGCTTGGTTTCGCTCTCATTAGGCTGCTAAGAAGAAGACTACTGCCCCCGCCGAGACGAAGGCTCAACCCGCTGCTAAGGCCGAGCCTGTCAAGAAGGAGGAAGCTCCTGCTCCTGTTGCTGCGGCTCCTGAGCCTACCGGTGGCAAGAAGAAGAAGATCCCCGCACACTTGCTTGCCATCCAGAAGCAGCAGGAGGCTCTGAGGAAGCAACAGGAGGAGGCCGAGCGCTTGGCGGCTGAAGAAGCCGCCGCTGAGGAGGAGAAACGTCGCCATGAGGAGGAGGAAGAGAAGAAGAAGGAGGAGGCTCGTCAACGGAAAAAGGAGAAGGAGAAGGAGAAGAAGGAGCAGCTCCGCAAAGAAGGAAAGCTCCTCACCAAGGCTCAGAAGGAAGCCAAGGAGCGCAACGAGCGCCGTATGCAGCAGCTGCTTGCTTCCGGTGTTGGCAAGGTTGCCGGTCTTGAGGAAGGCGGTGCGGAGAAGAAGAAGCCCGTCTACGACAACCGGAAGAAGCGCGGCCCCAAGAAGCAGGAGGACGACCTGGAAGCTGCTGCCGCCCGTGCCAAGGCTCAACGTGAAGCTGAGGAGGAGCGCCGGAGAAAGGAAGAGGAGGAGAAGGCCAAGGCTGAGGCTAAGGCCGCTGCTGCTGCCAAGGGTGGCGATGAGGACAGTGAGGTCGATGACTGGGAGAAGGCCGCCGAAGAAGACGATGTCAAGGACAGCTGGGACGCGCCTTCGGACGTGGAGGAGAAGCCCGCTACGAACGGTGCTGAGAAGGGTGCTCCTGCCTCTGCCGCTGCTAAGAAGCAGGGAGAGGAGAGCGACGAATCCGATGAGTCGTCTTCCGAAGAAGATTCAGACGAGGAGCAGTCCGCGGCCCAGAAGGCCATTGCTCAGCGCAAAGCAGAGGCGGCCGAGCGCAGAAAGAAGCAGCACGAAGAGGCTCTGGCTGCTCGGTCCAAGGACAACCTCCGCTCGCCCATTTGCTGTATTCTCGGACACGTCGATACCGGTAAGACCAAGCTGCTGGATAAGATTCGTCAGACAAATGTCCAAGAGGGCGAAGCTGGTGGTATTACCCAGCAGATTGGTGCCACCTACTTCCCTGTCGATGCCCTCCGCCAGAAGACCCAGGTCGTCAACCAGGACGGCAAGTTCGAGTTCAAGATCCCCGGTCTGCTGGTCATCGATACCCCCGGTCACGAGTCTTTCTCCAACTTGCGTTCCCGTGGTTCTTCCCTCTGTAACATCGCTATCTTGGTCGTCGATATCATGCACGGTCTCGAGCCTCAGACTCTTGAGTCTATGAGATTGCTCCGTGACCGCCGCACGCCTTTCATCGTCGCGCTGAACAAGATCGATCGTCTGTACGGTTGGAAGAAGATCGACAACAACGGTTTCCAGGAGAGTTTGGCTATGCAGAGCAAGGGTGTTCAGAACGAGTTTCGCACTCGTCTTGAGCGCACCAAGCTGCTCTTCGCTGAGCAGGGTTTCAACGCCGAGTTGTTCAGCGAGAACAAGTCGATGGCCCGCAACGTCTCTCTCGTCCCCACCTCCGCCCACACCGGTGAAGGTATTCCCGACATGCTGAAGCTGTTGACCACCTTGACCCAGGAGCGTATGACCAACTCCTTGATGTACCTGTCTGAGGTTGAGTGTACGGTTCTTGAAGTCAAGGTCATCGAGGGTCTCGGTACTACCATCGATGTTGTCCTGTCCAACGGTATTCTTCGTGAGGGAGACCGAATCGTGCTGTGCGGTCTCAACGGCCCTATAGCAACGAACATTCGAGCACTGTTGACGCCTGCACCGCTTAAGGAGCTGCGTCTCAAGTCGCAGTACGTCCACAACAAGGAGGTCAAGGCCGCCCTGGGTGTCAAGATTGCCGCCAACGATCTCGAGCAGGCCATTGCTGGTTCTCGATTGATGGTTGTTGGACCCGATGATGACGAGGAAGACATCGAAGATGAGGTCATGTCCGATCTTGAGAACCTGCTCAGCAAGGTGTCCAGAGATCAGCGTGGTGTCAGTGTCCAGGCTTCCACTCTTGGTTCCTTGGAGGCGCTGCTTGAGTTCCTGCGTGTCTCCAAGATTCCAGTTGCCAACATCTCGATTGGTCCTGTCTACAAGCGTGATGTCATGATGGCTGGAACGATGTTGGAGAAGGCTAGGGAGTACGCCGTCATGCTGTGCTTCGATGTCAAGGTTGACAAGGAAGCGGCTGCCTACGCCGATGAGGTCGGCGTCAAGATCTTCACGGCCGATATTATCTACCATCTGTTCGACGACTTCACCAAGCATATGGCAGAGCTGCAGGAGAAGAGAAAGGAGGAGAGCAAGATGCATGCTGTCTTCCCCTGTGTGCTCAAGACCGTGGCCGTCTTCAACAAGAAGGATCCTATTGTCATCGGTGTCGACGTTATCGAGGGTAGTCTGCGCCTGCACACTCCTATCGCTGCGGTGAAGACTAACTCCGAGACCGGCGCGAAGGAGATTGTCAACCTCGGCAGAGTGTAAGTTTTCCTTGTTTCATGTCCAGGATTGCTAAGTACCAATAACTAACGATTGCATAGTTCCTCCATTGAGCGTGACCACAAGGCCATCCCCGTCTGCAAGAAGGGCCAGCCCTCTGTTGCTGTCAAGATCGAGGGTGCTAACCAGCCCATGTACGGTCGTCAGCTTGAAGAGTCCGATACTCTGTACTCGCAGATCTCTCGTGTCAGTATCGACACGCTGAAGGAGTTCTACCGTTCGGACGTGACGATGGAGGAGTGGGGTCTTGTTAAGAAGCTCAAGCCTGTCTTCGACATCCCATGAGCGGCCTTCACAGCTTCTTAAGCCACCCTGGGACTCCCCCCAGAGCCGAGTCGACTAGGTTTGCGATCCGACAAACCATAGCCACTGGCCTGGCTGTAGCTGTGGCTGTAGCACGGGAAGCGCTCGGTCCCTTTACACGGGGCTTCGCGGATCATCATATCGTGTACCAATGTTTTCTGCTATCTACTTTGTCTAAAGCTGTCTCGAGGAGAGTCTTATAACACACGATGGATGGTCGTGCCCAGGAGTGAATGGAAGATGGACCGTTGGAAACCGTTGGACGTGGAAAAGGGGAAAAAAGGCAAGGAAGACGCTGCATGAGGAATGACTACGACTATTTCCTTCTCTCTTTTTCAGATCATTCAAAAAAAAGCAAGATGCCTGTACATGATGACCTTTTATATGAGGAAGGAGGGAAAAGCTAGCCGTGGTTGATACCTGTCTTTTGCTAATGAACAGTTATGGATCTATTTCGAATACAAGTTCTTTCATTTGAGGAGGTTTTGTCTGTATCTCCTACGATCTCCTACGATGGGTCGATATAGTGATTTCTTGCACAGAAGATCGTGTCGAATCTGACTCGGCATCCACAACATATTTGTCAACACGGAGAGGAACACAACTTGAATCCCCATACACATAGAAAAAAACATATATATATTCCTCGTACCCACGTGAAACCCTACCCCCATCTCCAATTTATTTTTCAACCCTCACCCAGAATGGATATCAAAATAATCCCAGGGACTTAATCCTCCCCCTCCCACCTCTCCACCCGTCCACCCCGATCCGCCCAATCCAACCAACTCCCCTCATAAACCCCGATCCGCGAAGCATCATACCCCGCCTGCACCGCCAACTGCGCCGCCGCTCGCGCCCGCACCCCCGCCTTACAGTAGAAGACAATCTCCGGTGCGTTGTCCTGGCCCTCGTTCTTGCCACCCTCGGTCTTGTTGCCGTCCGTTGCAGACAGGGTACCCTCCTCCTCAACCCCAGGCTTAGGAAACCCGAACCTCGTCTCGAACTCATCCGGCGTCAGGAATAGCGCGTCTGGCTGCGACGCCAGCGGCACGCTGACTGCGCCGGGGATTATACCGGTGGCGTTTAGTTCGGCGGGTTCGCGGACGTCGATTAGAATTAGGGATTTGAGGGGGTGGGAGGGGGGTGTTTTGGTTGTTGTGTTTGTGTTTGTGGTGGGGAGGGAGGATGTAATCTTTTCTCTCTCTGGGTTAGATTTGGGCTTGTTTTGAAGGGGTTTTGAGGGGGGGGGGGAGGTTGGATTGGATTGGATTGGATTGGAGGGATAGGCCCCGGGGGAAGGTTGTTTGGGACGGAGGGAGACGTACGTCTTCGAAACCCCATTGCTTGAAGCTGTTGTCGTTTGCTTTGGTGCTGTTTTGGCGGTGCTGGGACAGGGGCGACGGCGAGGGGGTTTGCTTAGTTTTTGTGAAGGTGTAGGTGTAGCTGTAGGTCTGGGGCTGCGTTGTGCATCGTGGTGTACTGCTGCTGCTGCTGCTGCTGCTGGAAGCTCGGGTGGGAAGGCGCCGGGGTAGGCCGGTTATGATGGTGCGGCGGGCATTAGGTGCTTGTTTGGTCGCCCGGGTGAGGAGTGCCACGGTGCGCCGCTGGATAGGCATAAGAGAGGACATTGTAGTTGTGTGGTTTTGTTGGGATGCTGGTGGTGGGTAGGTGGTTTGGATGAAGAGAGTGGTGGATTATGGAGGCGGAGATGCGATGATGCTGCGCCGCGGGTGATGTCAGGTTTACCCGGTTGACCGCCTGCCTATTGCGTTGTAACCGGCCAGCTAGGTACCGCATGCAATCTTTTGCAGATTAGCTGCAATGGCTCGCATGTAGCTCGGTGTATAGGAACTGTGATATAGAGTCGATTATTCAAACTTTATCGGATATTTTTTGCGAGTTTCTCTAAGTTTCGATGCACTAGGGATATATATACTAATCGAATCCACAATCGAGTCGCGCATTATTATTAATTCTAGGTAGCGTAATCTAAGAATGACATGTCACTTCAATGCTTCACGAACACTGAAGTGCACGAGTCACAGGTTCGTTGCAAAATCATGTACCTCCAGACGCCCGTCTCTTCGGCAAACTCTGGACACACCAATACAGCAGATGACATCACGCTCTGCCCCAGAAATGATAAGATAAACAGGCGGGCAATGCAATAAGTAGTTACAAGGTCGAAAAAGGTAGAGAGAAGGTGAATCCGAGAAGAAGAGGATCGCCTGCAGCCATCATATCACCAGGATAGGATGCAATGCAGCACATGCGCGACGCGAGTGCTCCTCATCCACCCTTCAATTGGTTTGACGGGCGGGTAGAAGCCAGAGCATCGGGCGTCCTGTCTCTGAAGCGAAACTGAAAATGCTCAAGGACGAGGACGGAATGAGAGCAGACAGTCATCCTAAGATTGAGTTAGCGAACTTGTACAGATGAGTCCGCTAGGGAGAAAAACATGCCTTGGGGAAGATAGTAGCGAACACCTTGATTTCCTCAGACTCAGGAGTAACGGTGTGCTCCCAGTCCATCTCCATACTGGCCTTACCAATCATGGCCATCAAGTTCAGTTGGGCATAGGTCTGACCCAGACAGTAGTGAGGACCAGTGCCAAAGACAAGCCAGTTCTTCGTCTGCTGCTCAGCAGTACCGGTGATCCAGCGATCAGGGTCGAAGGAGTCAGCATTAGGGTAGGCCTCCTCATCGTGGCAGGCGGGCCACACAGAAGGGATGATCATGGAACCCTTGGAGACGGTAACATTCTCGGTGATGGCGAAGTCCTTCTTGACCAAGTAAGGGACCATAATGACGGGAGGGCGGTAACGCAGAGTCTCCTTGACGACAGCGCGAGTATAGGGCAGGTTATCGAGCAAATCCATGGTCAGGGGGGCGTGGATGTCGCCATTACGCGCACGCAAGTTCTCCTCGCGGACTTTGTCAAGCACGTCGGGACGGTCAGCCATGATCTGGAATAGCCAGGTGCTGGCAGCGCTGGTAGCGTCCTGGGAAGCGAAAAGGAAAGTGAACACGGTCTGGGCGATTTCATAGTCGGTGAAATCACGGAGAAGCTGAGGCGGCTTCTCATTGGAGTCCACGGCAATACCCTGGGCAAGCTTCTCACGATACTTGGCGGAATCCTGCTGAGCCTTGACCCACGCATCCATGATACAGGTGATGTCTCCACCCGCAGCCATACGAGCCTTGCTCTTAGCGGCGCAGTTCGAGAACTCAACCAGAACCATGTCGGCGGCCTTCTTGCCGTACCAAGCCTTGGTGTAGGGAAGAATGACAGGGAAGTTGACAAGCTCGAGAGCGGCAGTGATCAGGTAGTAGTCATCGGCAATCTTCTTGATGGCCTCTTCGGTGATGTAGTGACCGACGAAAGTACGGCAGGAAACAGCACACATCAATTCACGGAATTCAGGCATCCAGGGAGTGGGGGTGAAATTGTTCTCCTTGGAAATCCGAAGGAAACGAGCGTAGTAGTCGTTGTAGACCTCTTCCATGCGGGGAAGGTAGTAGGAAAGCGCCTGACGCGTAAAGAGACCGTTCAGACCCTTACGGAACTCGACGTGGTCCTTGCCATCCAAAAACACCCAGTTGTCTGCACCAAGAAGCTTATGCGCGATGTCGACAACACAGGGCTTGACGAAGATGGGCGAGTTGAAGATCTTGCGGGACATATCACGGGTCGAAGCGATGACGACGAATCTAGAGAAAGAACGGTCAGAATCCTTAGGTCTACGACGTCGTTGTACGAAGTGCCGCAAGGGCACTGGGAACTTACTTGTGAAAAACGGAAACGCAGCTCAGCGCACCACTGTCCCACTTGGCCTTGTACTCATGGAACTTAGGGTTGACAGATTGGAGAAAAGGTCCCATGAAGGGCATTTTCCATGCTGGGCCAATAATCGAGCCCTTGAGCCAGAGATACCGGACTGTTCCGATTGTTAGCCACGTTGACGCACTCCAGACAAGGCAAAGCGAGGTGCGACGCAGAGGAACATACACTGATCGTAAATGACGGCAGCAACGAACAAAGTCAACAGGGCCTTCCAGACGGTGAAACCCTCGAGGACGGAGGCGACAACGCCGGAGGGCTCAAAAAGTCTGGGGGAAATCACGGCATCGGCCGAGGGAGAGGCAAAACTCCCATTGAGACTGGCCATGTTGGATGATGAATTGAGCAGGCGAAAAGTGCTCTCCAACAATGGGCGTGGGAGGGGGTTTAGGATAAAAGAATGGAAGGGGGTTAGGGAAGGGAAGGGTGAGAGAACAGGAGGAGGAGGAGGAGGAGGAGGAGGAGAAGAGAAAGATCGAAAGAACTTCAAGAACAAGAAGCCTTCCAATCCAGGGGAGACGCAACTCTAATTTGGCGAGGGAAAAATGGGTGTTTTGATTAGTTGATAGGATGGATGGGGACGGGAAAGACGGGGAGACTCAATAGACCAAGTATGCAATGGGACTTCACGTATTCAACTATCGAATGCTACTCAGGAGACAGTACTACCTACTGAGTTCAATATGTTCTGAAAGGTACGCGGTAGATCACAGTAGCACTGCAATCTCCAATCCTCACGGCAGGCAGTAGACTTTGAACTATGCATCTTGCACTACTGCACCCATATGCCTGCCTAAACCCTGCATAAAGTTCTCACCCTGACAGCCACCTTGCTTGAAGGGGAAATTTTGCAGTCTTCGAGAATGACACTAGTCCCAAGTGGGCTAGACTATCCACTGTCCACGGTGCAGGAAATCTGGTGTGATCCAATCGGGTTTAGGACAGGAACAGCCCAGCCCGCTGAGCAACTAGTAGAGTGAGTAGCCTGAAATTTAAGGTCACTCACTACCCTGCTGATACGTGCATGGACTATAGCCATTAGCCACTCAACCTTAGCGTGTGTAAACTTCTTCAGGCTTAATCATCTGCCCCCAGTGAACGCCCCGCCAAGGCTCAACTGCCATTGCCCGGGCATATTTGGATCACTGAGAAATTGCGATCGTGCCATTTGTTGGAAAATTGAAAAGGTGATCCGGTTATCAACCTTCCGGGTCGGCTTCTGCGAATGGTCCGTGCGGGCTGCATCCTGTCATTCGGCGCAGACAGGTTGTTGGAATTATAATCGAACCCTCTCATTCCTCGGTGATGATAGGCAGTAGTAGTCAGGGGATGGGAGGGTTTTATCGCGGGGTCATGAATGCGGAGTATATCATGCATGTAAGTCCCTTGAGCCCCGCCGACTCCTTATTAAGAACCGTTGGAAACAACTTAGTAGATATATATTTGAGTGCTGGTCATCATGCATGCTGATACTCTATGAACACACCGTTCAAAGCAAGCTCGAACAAGTGCTTCGATATAATGAACAGTGCGGCCAAGCCTCTAAATAAGAGGAAGGGCAATGATGCTTGTAGTGTTCCTTTCCAGTCCAGTCTTTGCTTAGCGCTTAGCGCAACAAGTCATCACATCGTATTTATTTCGGCTAAGATATTACGAAGCTGTAGTTCAAATAGTGTCCCCCATGTCAGCTGCGGCCCTACCGCTCTACCGGCCGAACCCGAACCAGCCGCGTCGCCCGCCATTCTTTTCCTCTGTAGCCGTTTCCTCTTGGACTTGAGGCTTGACCTGGGCCGCCGTACCTTGACGGGGGTAGTCAATGTAGTTCCACGCTACATCCAAGAACAAAGGCTTGACCGGAACTGGCTGCATCTGCGGCGGAAACGGAACGACATTCTTCAGGTCAACTGCATCGCCGGAAAATTCATGCAAACGCTCAATCACGGGGCGCTGGTTGATTGACCTCTCATGCGCCTCGACAGAAAGCTTCTCCACAGTGACAAGGCCACGGTATTGAGCAACCAAGCCTTGCAAAGTTGAACCTAGGGTGGAAACTTGGCTGCGTGAGATATCCAGCTTGGGCGGACCTTCCGCGCTGATTGAAGCCTGGAGAGGTTCAGCGGACTTCGTGACAAAGGACAAGGCTTGTGAGAACAGAGCCAGAGCATTGGCGGGTTTTCCAAGAATGCCGTGGGAGCGGCCGATGGTCAGGCATCTGTGATCCAGAGAGGTTAATGATAAACTTGACATCGACAGCTATGACATCCTACCTCAAAGCACGGAAGTAACTTCGCTTGGCTTGTAGCTCGGCAACGAACGCCGTGTCTGCGGCAACTCCAGGCAGTTCGAGAATGAAGTCAATACTCTGCAGTGTGGAGTCATAGAGTACGACCCTCTCACGCAGCCGCCCCAATTTCTTGCCAATTGTTTCCTCCACTTGTCCAGAACCCTTAGCATTCTTGAACCGCTTGGTGGGGCCTGCTTCGAAGGAGACACCATCATTTTCTCCGCACAGGACGCGATTACGCCCAATTCTCCATCCCACCAAACCATAGTTCACTGCAGTTCGTGTAATCTGTAGCGCCTGCATCCGATTATCGCTCGGATCCACACCCTCAGACGCCAGATCATCGATGGCAGTCTTCGTGGCATCCACGGCGTCTTGACTGGCAATGATTACACTGTCATATGCAGCGGCCTTCTCCTTCGACGAAGCAGATTGACCGGCGGTCTCTGCGAGCCAAGCGGCGAGACGAGACTCCGCTGCAGCTGCAGATGCGAGGGCCTGCGAGATAGTGGCATCTTCGAGTGCGACCGTCCGCGACCTCCAGGTGATGTTCTCGGGAAGTTGCTGCACCTCCCCGTCGGCAGTCCTCCGTGTTCCGGCAGCCTCCTCTTTTAAGCAATTAGGAGCAACCTTCTCGACTTCAGATCTGATAGTAGCGTCGGAGGGAAAATAGCTGATCGCCAGGGAAGGGAGAGGCTTAGACCGAGGGAGCTTCATCTGATATGCGGCGTATCTTATACTGGGGTCGACAGTGCCAGAGAGCAGGTCACGGAAAGCATCCTTCTTCACCTGCTGGCCTAGAGCTACATAGATCACCCGAGCGATAGCATAGCTCCGAAGACAATGTTCCCACTTGCGCTTTTCCAAGAACATTGCTCCTGAAAGCGATGCTAGGTATGCACGTGCTTCCAGGATATCAATGTCAGTGGCGCCCGAAGTGGCCTGGTCCTCTAGAATTGTAACCAAGTGCTTCGCATAAGTGGTTGCTCTGTTGAGTCGCGCAACAATATGACTTCTGGCGGCACCGACAATCCCTTTTGCTGACGGATCCGCCGAATGCGTGGTCTTCTCGTGCATCGCTTGCGCCCATGCTCGTTCGGCGCTGGTGAGGAGGACATGTACATATCTGGGAGGCGGAAATAGCAGGCCCAAGTCAGCAATTTATCCTGAAGACGCCAGAAAGGCAAGAGATCCCAAGTAGGGAACATACTCCACATTTTTGCTCACATCCTCTGCGCTGACGGCAGGTTTGGCTGTGTATTTCCGACCTTTGGGGGTAGTCTGTCCAAGCCGCTTTTGGAGTTTGTGCAGCTTCCGGCTTGTGTATGCATGGTAAGCATTATAATTACCGGTGAGAAGGGTCTCCTCCCGGTGAGAAAAGATATAGTCCGTGATTTCCATCTCCTGGCAATATGGATGAGGATTGATTGATCAATGTAGTGCTGGGTGGTGATGCTGTTCCCACCCGAGCAGTGCGGGCTGATGTGGTCAAGTCTCGGCCAAAAGATCGGCCGGCTGATTTTGCGGGTGTTGCTTTTCCAGCACGCATCAAACCAAGCTTGTTGCTACACCTCAAAATTTCCTTCCGCATCCCCCCAAATTCGCCCCCCCCCTCTAAAGGCACGAATTCCCTCAACGGGATATCTGGAGCTTGGACTACACTTTCCAAGTTCTCGTCCTTGTTCTAGGGTTATTTTGCAGCCTGGTGTGCTGGAGTAGCAGCACGTCTTCAGCATTCTGCATCGTCTTCCTTCGGCGTGGTACGACTGGCCTCCCCTTCGAACGCCACTGCCCCTGCTCGACCGATCGTCTGACTGAAGCTCTTCTTCCCGCTTATAGGTAGAGAACTCGACATGTTATGTATATTCCATTCTCGGTGATATTAGGGTTAGACGCCGCAATCTTTCGAGGTGATGCTGGAACGAGCGGCTGGATGTCTTGAAAACGCGGGACGGCGTTTCTTCCGGGATTCAAATGGTGCCATACGAAGTCGAAGGGCATTCTATTCCAGTGCTGTGCATTATTCTCCAACCAACTTGGAACTCCATCATGGCGTTCCGATCACACAGTCGCCGCAACGACCCGCGTCGAACGATCTGAACGCCATCGCGCCCTCCAACGATACACGAACGCCGGTACTTGACTTCTTGTATCCGCTTCCTACTCAGGAGTTCGCAGCCTCGTGCCTCCTTCATGCCCAGAGGAGACTCGTCCCGCGTCGAAGGAGAAAAACAAGCCCCAGCCTGGCAAGACACTACACATCGCAAGCCCCCGACCTCGAACAGTCGGATGAACTTGACCTATTGGACTCGGAGAAAACCAGTCCATTTGCCGATGAGCAAGATGCGAAAAAAACTCATGTTGAAAGGCTTGTTCCCCCAGAGGATGATGATTCTGAGATTTACGATGGTGCATGGGACCGTTACGTCGCTGCTGGCCGCCCTCCTCAAGTCAATTCGGCACTCCTAGCATTTCTCAGCCGTTCACATACGGATAAGGATTTTAGACGTGCTAGAAGTGTGTTCAATATTATTTCCCCCGAGTCACGTTCCCCAGAAGATTACGTGCACATGGTCAAGTCAGCTCTAGCCACCGACAGACTGCTCGACGCGAAGATCTACTGTGAAGAAGCCATATCTAATGGTATTGGCATCAAGTGCTGGGCTTTTCTTTTAGCGCATTACGTGAGTGATTTTCAGTGGGACTGGGCGCAGGAAATTTGGGACCTCGAGTCATCGCTCCTGGAGAACGATCGGGCTCGAACATGGATTGAACTCGCCCCCCATTTTGATATGTCGACCTTCGAGGACCCTTTGGTTGATCTGGCAGACTTTACGCGAGAGCTGACAAGGCACACATCGCTACATGATTTGGCTCGCTTCTTTTTTGATAGTGTTTGCTCTAGCCAAGATTTTGTCGAAAAGTCTTCGATTGACGGCATTCTGCTAGTCTTGCAAAAGTACAACAACCTAAATCTACTTCGGCCTGCACATTACATCAATATCCTCAATCTGCTTCGAAAATCCGAAAGTCGACAAATCTTCATTCGATCTGTTGTTATATACCGAAATTACCGTTGGAAAATGGATGGACGGGTTTCGGCAAAGCTTTTGGGCCATCTGGTACGAGGCCTCTCGTCCTTCCAGATTACGACCGGACTGTTATATTTTCTCGATGAATTTACCCATTTCTATGGAAAACCTTCGTTGGATGCTTATAAGCATGCACTGATTGCTTTCTCAAGAGCTGGTGACGTTGATAGCGTCAACGATCTTTTTGAGAAGATGGTGTCCCAACACGGGATGCCCAGAAGTCGAAGGCTTGTGACCCCTCTTCTCTACGTCCATGCGAGGGTTGGTAACGTGCGAGAAACATTGCGCCAATTCAACCGCGTCCCGGAAGAATTCGGCCTTCGCCTAAATACAGTATGCTGGAATATTTTGCTTACAGCATACGCCAACGCCGAGGACCTGAGTGGATGTTTCAAGATCCTGAGGCAGATGTTTGACCAGCACATGGATCCAAACTCGCACACATTCGGCATCGTGATGGGTCTTTGTGCTAATCGAGGTGACATCCAGGGTGTCCGTGATCTGCTAGAATTAGCCAAAGAGTACGATGTGCAGATAACAGCCCCCATGATTGACACTGTCGTGGAAGCACATTGTCAGAATCAGGAGTTTGAAGAGGCAGAAGAGATTGCGCAGACGTGCCTTGGTTTGGACATTGCAGGTTCGCGTGTCCGGATGTGGAATGTCCTACTGTGGAACTACGCTTTCAGAATGGATTTGGAGGCGATTGCCCGAGTTCGCTCGCGTATGGAGGAAGCCGCCTTGTACCCAGATGGCATGACCTATGCTGCTCTCATGCTCAGTTTAGTTCTCGTCGGCAAGACGGAATCGGCCCGTCGCATCTTGAGACAACTTCACAGAAACAACCGCGCATATGCCACTGAATTCCACTATGCGATTGTTTTGTTTGGCTTCGTGAAGAGCAGAAACCGAGATATGGTACATGTCATCTTCAACGAAATCCAAGAGCGATTTGGAGAGGCTGATCTTGCCGCGAGGCTCCTCATATTAAAAAATCAACTCCGGCGAGACTTGCAATTGCTTGAGCATGGTGGTACTGATGCTGCTGGCGCCCATAATCGCCTGGAGAATGCAGAGAAGTTCCTCAAGGAGACTATCTCAGAGTTCCACACCAGGAAGATGGCCACCAAGTCTCCTGTGCTGGGTGCCGGCAGAATGTCTGCCAAACAGGCATTCCCCATCGCATACTACGAACATATGATGAATGCTTATGGAAGACGAGGAGCTTCTAGAAGGGCCCGAGAGCTGTTCGATGAATACCTTCAGAGTCAACGAATCTCACCTTCCGACGATGTCGCTCAAGTAGCTCCGCTTCGCCTCCTGACAGCGCTGATGCTCGCTCATGTCAGGGCCTTCGAAAAACTTGAACTGGTCGAAGAATATTGGGACATGGCTTTCAAGCGCGCCATCAAAATGATTAGCCGACCGAACATCGAAGCATGGTTTTCCAATCCTAGTGCGCCTCTCCCGTCCGAGGACGACCTTCTCGTGTGGGCCGAACCTCGTGGGGACTTGTCAGAGGCCAATGTTGGAGCGTCAGATCGTGGGGGGTTCGCCATTCTGCATGCGCATCGCTTCATGCTCTCTCGGGCCCTCTCTCTGCTAATGCGTTCCCTGGCCTATAGGAATGAGATTGGAAGAATATCGACAGTCATAATGGAAGTCGAGAAGGCCGGCTTCGTTCTAACCACCCACAACTGGTCTACTTTCGTGCAGCTGCTCGCGTCTTCTGGGAATGAATCAGATCAAATTGAAGCATTCTCCTTGTTCGAGCATAAATTCATGCCTAACTTCCCCGGATGGAAGTATCTGAGGCGAGGATATGGTGTTAAGCCCCATGGTGTGCCTTCCACTATCGATTCTATGGAGATTAAAGGACAACGTGGCCCATCACACTTGCTTGGCAAAGAAGGCAAACGATACTGGAGCAAGATCCAGCCAGATTTCATGCAGCCCACTTACGTATCTATGGTGTATCTGGCCGCTGCATTGAAGCAATTCCGACAGAAAAGTATTTGGAAGGGAGCGGTTGACCTTGAAAAAATCAATGCTGTCGCCCCAGAGACCCTCACGGCTGTCGCCGAGATGCCTAGACTTGGTGACAAACTGCAGGGTGTCCTTCTTCGTGGCCACGAACAGAGGCCCGAACGGCCGCCGCTCGAGCGCGATCAGTTTGTATGGACCGGTGGTATCTTGAGGGCGGGTGGTCTCACGAAGACTTACTCATACGATGAGCCGCTGAGTGAGGAGCCTGCGGATGAAGCCCAGGCTGCGGAGCGTGTCACTGAGGCTGAAGAAGTTACCGACCTTGAAGAAGCAATTCCAGATATTGAGGAGTTCCGCGATCTGTTCAGGAGAACGTTGGAGAGGTCGGATGAGTTCGATCTGGAAGTTCAAGCCGTTGTGAACAGAAGACGTAAGGCCGAAGGCACCACTGAGGAACTCGGCGACGATGAGATGAACCAGTATTCCCAATTAATTTATGACAAGCCTGAGGATGATTATCCAGATGCTGAAGAGTATGAGGCTAGTGAAGAAGCCCAAGAAGAAGCACAAGAAGAAGCCGACGGAGAGGCCGCAGCTGGGCCTCACGGGGAGACCCTGTGGGGAGTTGAGGGGGAGACTCTGTGGGGTCCTGAGGATGAAGCTCTCGAAAAAGCTTCTCAAGACACCGCAGCGGCAGCTCAGGAGGAATCTTTCGAGGACGTTGAGGAGAAGTCCCTCGAAGGCGTTTGGAAGGAGTCACCAGAAGAAGCTTTGGAAGAGGCCGCAGCTGGGCCTCAGGGGGAGACCCTATGGGGAGTTGAGGGGGAGACCCTGTGGGGTTCTGAGGATGAAACTCTCGAAAAAGCTTCTCAAGAGGCCGCAGGGACGGTTCAGGAGGAGATTTCAGACAAAAATTCTCAAGACACCGCAGCGGCAGCTCAGGAGGAACCTTTTGAGGACGTTCGGGAGGAGCTCCTCGAAGGAGTTCGGGAGGAGTCTCTAGAAGAATCTACTGACGAGGCTGAAGTAGCAGCTTCGGAGGAACCTTCTAAAGCACCCCGGGAAATGGTTTCAGAAGAACTTTCTGAAGACACCACAGTAGCAGCTCAGGAGGAGTCCCTTGAGGAAGTTCTGACGGAGCGAGTTCAGACAAAGGCTCCAGAAGAAGCTTTCGAAAATGCGGCTCAGGAGAAGACTCTTTCCCCTGAAATTACTCCTAGAGAATACCTGCAAGAGCCCCAAATGGAAACCCAAGCAGATATTCCACTAGAAAGTCCCAAAGAGGGGCTGGGAGAAGCTGAGGAGGCTCCTGTGCAACCCGATGAAGAAGCTTCCGACTCACCCAATGATGAGGGTAGCGAGAAGAAGCAGGTGGAGACCCCGGCAAAAGGCCATGAAGAGGCTCTAAAGGAAGCCCGAGAGGTGGCGCCTGAAGAAGACCATCAAATTGCTGAAGTGGGAGATCCCAAGGAACCTGACGAGAAGGCCTGTGAGCAGTCTCAGGAAGCAGCTGATCGAAAGTCTCAGGAGGAGGATCGGCATTAAAGATAGAGCAGGGGTGTAAGTAGTAAAGGGATTCACGGCTGTACATATCAGAACATTCTCCTGTAAATTACCAATACAAATTTGTATAAGATTTGACTCTCAGTTCCTTGAAAAGAAGCAAATTATAGGTGATTTCTATCTATCTTGGTCAACCATCAATTATGCATGTTCTTGCGCATAAGCTGACTCAGCGGGGTTATCCACGGGTCGTCGGGCGCGTCCCGCAACAGCACGCGCTCTAATATTACCCGATTTGAATGTCGCGTTTCGAGCCGAGAGAACGGTTTCTCCGCCAACCCACCCTTCCATCAAGATCAAGCAAAAATCACTATTCGCACCCCCACGCTTGCGTTTCAACTCCGGGGACAGAGCTCACCTATCTATCCCTGCTAATTCATTTCCACTTTGATTATTTCTGAGATACCCTTTTCGTTATTAGCAAGAATCCATCCGTCATGGAGGGACAATTTGATGATGCCGCACAGGATCGTGTGCGTGCCGCTGTCGAGTTTCTCGACCCAAGTAAGCCTTGTCCATTGCTCGCCCTAGTTTACAGCGTACTGACAACTCAACCCCTCAGGCGATGCTAGAGCGCGCAGGTATGTCTGCTCCTGAAAATTTCTACCAAAGTGCAATGTCTTTCGGCGATCAAGGATCTAATCAGAAATTAGTTATCGAGCCGATATCCTGTTGATGCTTAACAGAGGGCTGCGGCGATTAATAGTGAGTCGTGGTCTGCTTCGAAACTTCGGATGATTCAGGCTAATCCTTATGCTTCATAAAGGTCAGCATTGATGAGATTCGAGCACATAGCCGTGAGATGGCCGATGGGTAGGATGCGCCGGCTGCTTTCGTCCGGACAATTTTGGCTGACACCCTACAGTCTTCTCACATCTCCTTACGAATACACGGATGCCTTCGAGAGAGCGCTGAAAGATATCATCAAGACTTTGCCCAACCGACCGTCCAGAGAAACAGCAGACGATGTGGTACGATCTTTCCGAGCTTCGGTGTCTGCTTGCACGGGAATTAACAATACATAGCATTATCACTGTGGCTTCGTTGGCGCATTTGGGGAATTCTCCTGCAATCCTAGAACACTCGGCTCCTCGCATCTGAACCGAATGATTTCTCTGGAGGGGATTGTTACTAAATGTTCCTTGGTCCGGCCGAAAGTTATTCAGAGTGTCCACTGGAGTGAGCGCACCAAGAAGTTCCTCACCCGAAAATACGTTGATGCGACAATGACTGCAAGCGGAGCGACTAGTATGAGCGTTTACCCTCAAGAGGACGACGAGAAGAACCCGGTACGTTTTTGCATGAAAAATACCACTGCTGACCGGCTCCGCTGACCTCCTCCGGCTTGACTAGTTAACCACGGAATACGGCTACTCTACGTACATGGATCACCAAACTATTTCAATTCAGGAAATGCCCGAAAGGGCACCGGCTGGCCAGCTTCCTCGCAGCGTGGACGTGATCTTGGATGATGATCTGGTTGACCGAGCGAAACCCGGAGACAGAATCCAGCTTGTTGGTGTATACCGCACTTTGGGAAACCGAAACGCATCTTCCACGTCTGCCACGTTCCGCACACTCGTACTAGCCAATAACATTATTCAGCTGGCATCAAAGTCAGGCGGAGGCATCGCGCAAGCTACGATTACCGACACGGATATTCGGAACATCAACAAGGTCGCCAAGAAGAAGAGCGTATTTGAGTTGCTATCTCAATCTCTCGCTCCCAGTATTCACGGCCATGACTACATCAAGAAGGCGATCTTGCTTATGCTGCTTGGTGGTATGGAGAAGAACTTGGACAACGGCACTCACTTGCGTGGTGATATCAACATCCTCATGGTTGGAGATCCATCCACGGCCAAATCACAGCTTCTTCGCTTCGTTCTGAATACTGCGCCGCTTGCCATTGCAACCACGGGTCGTGGTTCTTCCGGTGTCGGTCTTACTGCCGCCGTCACTTCCGACAAGGAGACCGGTGAGCGCAGATTGGAGGCCGGTGCAATGGTCCTTGGTGACCGTGGTGTCGTCTGTATTGATGAGTTCGATAAAATGAGTGATGTTGACCGCGTGGCTATTCACGAAGTGATGGAACAGCAAACAGTCACGATTGCAAAGGCTGGTATCCACACCAGTTTGAACGCTCGGTGCAGTGTTCTGGCTGCCGCTAATCCTATCTACGGTCAATATGATCCCCACAAGGACCCGCACAAGAACATCGCCCTGCCTGATTCCCTTCTGTCACGTTTCGACTTGCTCTTTGTCGTGACGGATGATATCGAAGATGCTAAGGATCGAATGGTGTCTGAGCATGTCCTTCGCATGCACCGCTACCGTCAGCCTGGCGCTGAGGAGGGCGCACCTGTTCGTGAACAGCAGCATCAGACGCTCGGTGTCGGCCTGGAGGACAGCCAGGATTCCAACCATCCCACTGATGTTTACGAGAAATTCAACGTCATGCTTCATGCTGGCATGGCTAACCAGCGGAGCAAGAACAAAAACGTCGAGATCCTGAGCATTCCCTTCATCAAGAAGTATGTTCAGTATGCCAAGACTCGTGTCAAGCCTGTGTTGACCAAGGGGGCTGCCGACCACATTGTGACGACGTACTCCGCGCTGAGAAACGATGAGCTGTCTGGCAATCAGCGCAGAACATCTCCTATCACCGCTCGTACGCTTGAGACCCTAATCCGTTTGTCTACAGCCCATGCCAAGTCGCGTCTCTCGAACAGAGTGGAAGAACGTGATGCCAAGGTTGCAGAGTCGATCTTGCGATTTGCTATGTTCAAGGAAGTGCTCGAAGACGAACGCCGTAAGAGAAGAAAGGTTACCACTTTCGACGAGGACTCAGAAAGTGATGACTCCGATTCCGAGAACGATGAGGAGACTCCCGCACAGACTGCAAGCGCAACCCCTCGTTCCACTAGACGGGGCGGGCTGAGCACTCGCGGTGCCAACGGTCTGTCCACCATGGCCGAGGATACAGAGATGGATGCGGAGGGAGACATTGTGTCCGAGGATGGCGATGGCCTGTACAACTCCAGCCCTCGTGGGCAGCGACTCCGTTCCAGCCGTACCCAGCCCGAGTCGCAGAGCCAGTCTCAAATGTCTGTGGCATCGTCTCGTCCGGCGTCGCAGCTCATCGAGTCCCAGACGGACAATTCCCAGTCCCAGACTGCCGATCCCACATCCCAGCCTCTCCAGCCTGCTCGCCTGACCATCTTCCGCCAGGCTCTAGGCCCGCTGATGGGCACCCGCCTGTTCACGCACGGAGATACGGCCGACGTAGAAACGCTTGTCGGCGCAGTGAACACTGCTATTCGCAGTGCACCAGCCCTCGGCGAAGACCACGTCTTCCAACGTCCGGAGGCCCTCCAAGCTCTGCGGGCTATGAACGAGAGAAACGAATTGATGTGAGTACCGCTGACTGTAACTCAATGCCCCGATCACAGAACCACATCCACTAACCATTTCACTCCAACCCACAGGTATCTTGAGGATGATGACACTGTTTACAGAATCTAATGAACCATCGGTTGAGGGCTATCCGGTATAGAATATGGGTATTTGTTGTAACGGCATCAAAGCAGGTCTGATTGTGCATGATATTTTGTCACATGCGAAATTTTACTTTTCCACATAGGCGGATTTGGGTGAAACAGTGGGGCGTTTTTTTGGGGTTCTTCACTTCTTTCCATTGTTGATATTTGTCCTAGATTAGTATGTATCGTCGACATTGATAATGCTACTACGATACGGGCATCCTTTGATGTAGTGGTATTTCGGGCCTTCCTTGATTCATTATTCCTTGTTAATTGTTTACTATTGTCCAAGGCCTTCGCGCCGGCAAGATTCACTGAGGAAAAGCATGAAACAGACAGACTTCATACAGCAATCCCGACGATTATGTTTATTTCCACACCAGGCAAACTAATGCACCTGTGCAAAACGTGACCATATGGACGCCGCGCCTAGATTCAGACTTCTCTGCCTTGATATCTTCCCGTCTCGTCGTCCCACTGACGAAGAGACAACAAATGAGAACCCAGATTTACGTATTTCACTTTACTCAACTCAAGACAATCAATCCCATCGATCATCCTTTTCCTTTTTTGTCCAAATCACAACACAACATGAATACAAAAGACATAGAGATATAACAGGGTATTAAAAAGAAGAGTAGGAGAGAGCAAGACAGAGATTCGCGGCTGAACAGAAGGTATAGAAGAGAGGAAGAAAAGCGAACAGTATGATGGAGGGCAGAAAGAGATGTCTACATCCAAAACAAGGAAAATGATTATGGCGGTGTTCGAACACGGAAGGCAAGAGAACGGGCCCGCAGGTTGGGTATAATTTATCAAGATATGATGCGGTTTAGGCCAGGAGTTTCTCCTTCCCGTGAAACAGGGTTGTTTCGATAAGGAAGAGGGGAATAGGCCTGGCGCCTCTCTCTTTTTTTGGAGTTGGGTTTCTTTACATTCGGGGAGTGGGGAAGGTGCTCATTTTCTCTCACCCGGAGTGCTGCTTTTCATGGAGGAGGAATCATCGGATGAGAAGGACGGGGTGCGCAGCACACCCTCTCGGATCTGACCCTGTGTCAATGGCGAGAGACCGCGTGACATGGACTTGGTGCCTTTCTTCTTGCGCTGCTGTTGCTGCTGCTGTAGGTGATGCGCATGATCCAGGTTCGCGATTGGGCTGGTGCTGCCCCTGCGAGGGCGGCCGCTGATCGACGATCGTGATGGCGGCCGCTCGTCCGTGTCCACGGGGGTGGTGCTCCGGGAGGGGGTCCGCGAGTGCGATTCGGAGCGGGTACCCTTCCGCGCGGGTGATCTGGGCTCGAGACTGTGTTTGGAGGAGATGCTGGAGTGGTGATGGTGGCGGTGGTGTTGGGGCCCGGTTTCTCCGGATCGGCCGAGGGTCGCGGCGGCCAGTCGGCGACGCTGCGAGGCCTTCCACCCGGATCCAATCCACCAGAACCAGCTGCGGTCCTGCTGAGCAAGCTGGCGCTCCTTCTGGAGCAGCTTTTGGCGCAACTGCGCGCGACGCTCGTTCTCTTTCTCCCAGAACTCAGTGCGGTAATCGTCCCAATTCTCGCGGAACTCCGGGGAAAATGATTTCGGGAGAAGAAGCAGTCGAATGTAGTCCCCTCCCGGACTTAGATCTTCCTGTACAAGACCTGATTCTGTGTCGTGGCCATAATATTGCTGGTAGTGCTGCCGACTACCGCGTTTATCGGACACGGGACGCTCGATGTAGTGGAAATCCCCGACGGGTGAGGGGGAGAAGGGATCCGTGAATGGAAAGAGGAAGGAGATATAGGAGAGCAGCTCTTGCCACCAAGGGCCTCGTATGACGACGATCTTGGTATTCATGGTGCGGAGGCCACGGTTGGCCACGGCGAGCCAGCGCCGCGGCCACCGCACTCCACGCTCCCATTGTCCCGTGCCCCAGACCAGCAGTGCTGTGACCACGCCTCCGAGTAGAGCGACTTTCTCGCCCATCTCTACCACCCAATAGACCGATCCGCCCACCCCGCGGCCATCTTCGCGGGGACGGAGGAAGAGCGCGTAAGCGAAATAGATGATCCAGATGGCCAGCAATAGCAGGAAAAAGGTGTTCTGTCTTCGACGCTCGCGCAAGGCTAGATATTGAGCTCGCAGGGAGCTTTCGAGAATGAGGAGATTAAGGTATATTTGGGGTGGAGACGAAGGCAGGTTCGAGTATGCGTCGGGCGTGGCTGGGCGTGGCGGGGAAGAGGGATCGGAAGTCGGAGAACCATTGAATGGGGCTGTAGTGGTCGACGACTCGGACGATTGTGTCGTAGGCGAGCCTTTGACCAGCTGGTCGAGGCTGGCAGAAGCCATGGCGTCCTCGCGAAGCACCCTTTGCTAAGAAGAGAAGAACGAGCAAGTGGAGCAGGGAAATCGGAGGATCCCTTGAGAAGTACAGCAAGTACTTTTGTACAGTTCCCTCTAGAGACTTAGCCGCCCGAACAAGATGAACTGGAGAAGGGCCAAAAACAAGAAATTAGGAAGGCCTTTGCGGCCCTGCTTTATCTCATCGCATGAACAGGAACAAGAGGGTCAACTTAGGCGTGGTATAGGGAAGATGGCTGGGGAGGAAGAGTGGGAAGCGGACGAGCGCGCAGATTCCAAGCAACCAAGCGATCAATCAGTCAATCAATCGTCATCCGCCAAATTGTTGGCCGTTGAGGCTCCACCACAACCTGCTCCATCTTTCTCCATCTTCAACAACTTTCTTTCTCCATGCAGTCCAGCTGAATTGCTTTCACGCGCTTCTTTCAGTTCATGACGAGTGTACAATCAAACAGTTATAGCAGATCTCGCACCTTTGTCCAAGCCTGCACAGCCTCTATCCAGCCTGCTACGGAATAGAACTGCTTAACTCCATCCGAGTCGGAATTATCGGTCTTTGGCGTCGCCTCAACCATTTCCGTTCTTTTCCTCCACCTGTCATCAACCGCCCCCTGGCCAATTTACCTATATCTCTGGCAAGCTCCGTCTTCTACTTCATCCTGGCATATACCCGCGAGTGACAGAGCAAATTCCTCTGTCACTCCGTCCCTCCGTGCGACAAGGTGTATACCGCGCGACTCTCTTGCCTTCCCCTCCAGGCCTCCACATTGCGATCCTGGACTCCCCGCAATTCCCCTCGTAATTCCTCCTCAACTGCCCCCGTCACACCCGGGAGATCGACATCCACTATGGCGTCTGAACAAATCGACTCGTCGAAAAACGAGTACAAGGAGTCCGGTTCCCAACGAAGGGACGGCACTCCCCACGCTGCTCTCGGAGCGAGCGCAACCCCATCACCCTCCGGCTGGTTTCCTTTGGGCTACCGGGAGGGCTTCAGCCAATGGGTAGGTTTCTGATTGCAGCAATGAAAGTGGCCTTAGTGCATATATTTGTGACCAGGGTCACTGAAACAGAATTTGATTTCTGCAGTGGGCATCATTACCGGCTGCCACCACCGAGCACAAAGTCCTTTCCTACCTACCTTATATGCAACATCAACCCCCGACACACCTCCAAACCGGAAAGACTAGCACACTCCCCAACGGCGGATCAGGGAGTCTCCAATCCGCGGATCATAGCGAAGAGGGCGATGTCACGATCAATTCCACCAACGACCCGTATGGCCCGCGACGATGGCGATCAAGCATGGTGGAACTCAGCGGCAAGAACCGGGCCTTGAATGAGTTTTCTGTGGAGCGCGTGGGTGAGGAGGTGGACCAACACCTGGTTATGGTTCATGGCTATGGAGCCGGTCTGGGATTCTTCTATAAGAATTTCGAACCACTCAGCCGACTGAAAGGCTGGCAGCTTCACGCGCTGGATTTACTAGGCATGGGCCGCAGTACACGCCCACCATTCCGCATCAAAGCCAAGGAGCGTGAAGAGGCCATCAAAGAAGCAGAGGCGTGGTTTGTGGACGCCTTAGAAGAATGGCGCGTGAAGCGCAAGATTGACCGCTTCACTCTCATGGGGCACAGCCTTGGAGGCTACATGGCAGTGGCATACGCTCTCAAGTACCCCGGCCGTCTCAATAAATTGATCCTCGCCTCTCCCGTGGGCATCCCCGAAGATCCCTATGCGGTAAATGCAGAGATGCCTAAGTCGTCCACCGTGTCGAATGAGCTCACGCAAAATCAACGCGCCATCGCCGAATCAGCCTCCTCGGTCGCGCCTGGGGAAATTCAGAAAGGAGACAACAACATCCTCCTCAGGGGTGCCCCCACCGATTCTCCAGATCGCCCCCCTCGCCGCATGGTCCCTAAGTGGTTCGCCTACCTCTGGGATGCCAACATCTCGCCCTTCAGTCTCGTACGGTGGGCGGGACCTCTAGGTCCGCGCCTGGTGTCCGGATGGACATCTCGCCGCTTCTCGCATCTACCAGCAGACGAAGCCAAGGCGTTGCACGACTACTCTTACTCGATTTTCAGCCTCCGCGGCAGCGGCGAATACGCCCTCTCCTATATCCTGGCGCCCGGTGCCTTCGCTCGCAGCCCGCTGATCCGTCGCATCCAGGGCGTCGGGCGGCAGTACATCGAACAAAACCCCTCCCCCACCTCCACTCTGCTGGACTCCGTCAAGACAACAACATCCGAATCCCTGGCCCCCTCTTCCTCATCACCACAACAACAACAACAACAACAACCTCCGTCAGCCAAGCGCGAAAACGGCCTCCCCGTGGTATTCATGTACGGCGACCACGACTGGATGGACGTGAAAGGCGGCATCGCCGCCAAAGCCAAGTTAGACGAAGAGAAGGAGCGTATCCTTAAAGACGCGACGCCGGAAGAGCGCGCCGCGGACAACGGTTCCGCCAAGGTGGTGATCATCAAGCGCTCCGGGCACCACATCTACCTCGATGGGTGGGAGGAGTTCAACCGGGTGGTCTTGGCTGAGATGGAAGAGGTCGAACGCAAGGAACGGGCGAGGAAAGAGTAAGGGTTCAAGCCGAGTCGTCTCTCGCTCTTTCCAGCTTTCTACGTCAATCTTTTTCTGGTGGGAGCAGCCACGCGGCATTCTTTCAAGGGTGTTGTGGTTGTTTTTCTCTCTCCATTGTAGCGGGGAGTTTTGTCTTGTTTTCTTGCCGGAAGCGTTGTTGATGTTTGCTGTGCCCGTTCATATACTATATATACTACCACATTACACAATGTCTATGATCTCAAGGTAGGATAATGAGAAGAAGAACACTTTTCTTTTCAAGTCAGATTTGGTTTCTGTTTGGCGGATCGAAAACACTCATAAAAAGATTCGTTAACTCGTATACTCGTTTCATCATGAAGTGCATGTTACCCGCCGACCTGTGAAATGTTGATTCAAGATTCATGGATATCGCCTGAATAGCATTTATAAAACACGGGTCGCCAGCCATTTGGAGAAAGTCATCGTGGGTGGAAACATGCGCACGCACACACACACACTACTAAATCAAGCCGCGTGCCACTACGACCTCAGGAATTGAATTCCTGAGTTCGGTCCGGATATACTTCTGCGGCGATAGCGTAGGCCCGTCGTGTAATGCACCATCGACTTCCCTGGAGGCCTGGGCGACTGGCCTCCTTCGAGGTTCGGGGTGGTGGATGCGCTGGAACTGGCCCTGCTGACGGGTTTTGCGTTGAAGTAGCCTCCTCCTCCACCGCCACCACCCGGAGGCCCGTCGACCACTGCTGATGCTGCTGAAGCACCCGACGAGTGCCCGTTCATCACCGTCATGGGGGTGCGAGCCGCCCCATCTCCGGGAACTGGCTCCGTGAATGTGGGGGGTAGCTGCTGGATCGAGGATGATGGGGAGAGAGCAGCCCTGAGACTGCGGGGTTCTGTGGACCCAGGATCAGGTCGGCTGGATAGAGATAAGGATAGGGAGCTGGTGGAGGGCTTGGACGCTTGGAGAGAGGATGTGGTTGCGGAGCGGTGGTGGTGGCGTTGTCGGTGGGCATGCGGATACTCTTGCGATGGGCGTCGCTGTCGCCAGAAAATTGGGGACGACGAGGGATCGAAGAGCTCCGAGGTACAGCTGCTGTTGCTGCGAAGGGTCAGTGGTTGCGAGGGGAGCTCGAGGCGCTGGTTAATGGACAGCCAGGCTCGCTCGTCGTCGCCGTCGGTGTCGTCCTCGCCGCAGTCATTGTTGTTGTTATTGTTGCTGTCCTCCCTGATAGTGCCGTTGGGCGAGGGCGACGCCGTGCCCGAGAGATGACCTGCGTACCTGGCGGTACTTGATGGTGAGCGCCAGCCGCCGAGTCCTTCGAAGTCCCGGCCCGAGTCGCCGCTGATGAGGCTGAGAAGGCCCGGGGCCGGGGAGGGAAGGTGGTGGGCGCCGGGGTGGCCATGGCCGTTGGATTCTCTCTGGATGCGAGTCGGACTACCACCGCCTTGTTGGTCGGAGGAGGTGGAGGTGGAGGCGCTGTTGGTCCGGGTGACGTAGCTGGGACGTTTGTTTTGAGCGCGGGACAGAGAGTGTGCCAGGTGATGGCTATGGTGCTGGGATATCACTGTGGGGAGCGGCTTGGTGGCCCCATGGTCTACGGAGAGTCTTTTCGGGGTGATCGCTGCTGGTGTTGAGGGCTCGGATGCAGAGAGGTTCAACAATGAGATGTTAGTCGCTGTCCGGATGACGAAGAAGTTGGCGATGATGGCGAAGCATAGTTCCAGGTAGACGATGAGTAGCCTGAATATTAGAGCCAGCAGCGAGAGGCTGATTGTGATCCAGGCGGTTATCACCAGGGGTATTGAGATAATGGCCAACAATAGTAGCGTGAGTAGACCGGATATAGAGACGGACATGAAGACGGTAGAGGCAGTGCTAGTTGTGCTCGATGTGGGTGGAGATGGGTGGTCGACGTGGGCTACATAGAGGCTGGTACTAGATCAGAGGTCGGGTCGAAAGCGACCTTCCACCACCATCTGAGTGAACGGCAAATATAACAGATAGGTTTGACCGTTGCATGGAAAGAGGCAGAGGTTGAAGCGAGAGTGGATGAATGATCTGCTGTTGAACTTCTACTTGGGGAAAGCTGAATCTCCCGGAATGCGGAGAAGTGCATGTGATGCCGGCGGCCCCAGGCAGAACACTCGACACCTCACATCTATCAGGCATCAATGTTTGGCTTGCTCAGAACTCGTCACAACATCGAAGTTGATAAAAGGTATAGATTCCCGCGTTGCATGTCAGAAGGAAAGAAAAGAAGAAAGGAGGTTGACTAATAAGATACTAGACATAGTTATCGTAGATAGTGATATGGCAGCACTTGGTGATGTTCGAATTACACCAATTCTTGTTACGTCACTGCAACGAGAACTTCTTCAACTTCCACTGTAAATAGCGCCATCACTTCTGAGTTCTTTTTCTATCTTCGTCGTTCGGTTCATCAGTTGCCACCGTATCACCCATATCGTCCACATGTCTGATCAGAAGCAAAATGTCGAATTTCCATGGCATTTGGGGGTCTATGACGCCCATTGCCATCCCACCGATACCATGTCGTCCATTGCATCCATCCCACAAATGAAAGCGACGACCTTGACAGTCATGGCCACTCGCGGAGAGGACCAGGACTTAGTGCTCGAAACTGCTCTATCCTTGAGCAAGGATGAAAACACCTCGCAAGGCACAAGGCCGGGACTTGTGCTGCCATGCTTTGGTTGGCATCCATGGTTCTCGCACCAGATCATCGACGATATGACAGAATCTTCCGATCAAAAGGATCTCTCGCTCAGTGATAGGAAGACACAACACTACAAGAAAGCCCTTACGCCGGCACCTGAAGATGCTTTTATCGCATCCTTACCGAACCCCAAGCCGCTTTCGCAGCTTATCGCAGAAACTCGTTCTCGATTGCAAACCTGTCCCAACTCCCTTGTGGGTGAAGTGGGCCTAGATCGCGCGTTTCGACTACCTAACGCATGGACGCCAGATGACCAGGAGAAGCGGGACGAGCAAGTGACGCCCGGTTCGCGCGAAGGCAGGACTCTCTCCCCCCATCGAGTTCAGCTGAGCCACCAGAAGGTCGTTCTCGAAGCACAGCTGCGTCTGGCCGGGGAGCTAGGGCGACCGGTCTCTGTGCACAGTGTTCAAGCACATGGGGCAGTTTTCGATTTGTTTAAGAAACTTTGGTCTGGCCACGAAAAGCAACAGGTATCGCGCCGACAGAAGCGTCGTCAGCAGGAGGAATCGGATATGAATGCGGAGAGCGATGCTGAAGACGACCAGGAGCAGAAGGAAGCATCCAAAACCAAAAAACAGCCACTACCGTTCCCGCCACGGATTTGCATGCATTCTTATTCGGGACCTGTGGACCCATTGAAGCAATTTCTACACCCGTCTAATCCATCCGACGTCTACTTCTCCTTTTCCGCAGTTATCAACTTCAGCAACCCTTCGTCTCAGAAGGTGATCGATGTTATCAAGAGTTTACCTGATGATCGAATTCTGATTGAAAGCGATTTGCACACCGCTGGACCGCAGATGGACGACTTGTTGGAGCAGATCAGCCGCCAAATTTGCGAGCTTCGTGGTTTGTCCTTGGAACAAGGTGTTCAGCAGTTCGCAGACAACTGGAAACGTTTTGTCTACGGTTAGAACCCTTCAGAGGCTAAAGAATGTACAGTACATAGGTGGAGCGAGACCATTATTGAACATACTGATTGAATTGTTTCCACTCTGTGTCTTGGGTATTTGTTGTTTCAATGGTCTTATTCCCTTTCGTCAGATGAAGCATTTGTTAAGCGCAGGATCGACCTGATAAGGCTCGGTTCGAGCTGACCAGTCACACCCAGTCGATAGGGCTGGCTGATAACCGAGTGGATCGGTTTGTTCCTTCCACAGTCACCGGGAGAGAGTGTCATCTTTCTTGTCTTTTCTGACCAATGAATGATAATGACAAGGGAGAGGTTCCTTTACCCTCTATACATACAAATAGGTACGCTTCTTGAGACGGCAGTAGGCCTCATCGTAAACTCTCCAGAGTCAATTCAACATTCTTTGTAACATTCTAGAAGCCACATCAACAGCCACGTTGGAGGGCGGGGATTTCTCCGCACTGCCACGTGACTGCTTTCCCCCAGACCCGTTCTTCCTTCCCTCCTCGGTCCTGCCCCACATTATCTATCCTTTCCCCTTCATCTTGTTGTCGTCTTCTTCTTCGTCCTCTTTTCCTCCCCACTTCTTCTCCCCGTCTCTCTATCTCTCATTCTGATCCTGTTCTTGTTCTTCTGTCATTGGTCTCTTGACACGGTTCTGTCTTGTTTCGGACTGGACCATGTTTTGACCTAACCTCAAGATTACGTCCCACTGATTATGCATGACAAACTAACGAGTCTCCGGACCTGGCATCTATATCGATGCTTCGGCTATGTCCTCCGCAGCGCATAACAGCCATCCACCCACCGGGAATGGCGTGACTAAGCGCAAGTCAGGTAACTATGCTTCCATTCTAGAGCCATTGCGTGATCTTTTCGACCTTTTGATCCTCATCGATGTCTACAATAGGCTCTGCTGCCTGCATTCACTGCCATCGACGTAAAGTGCGCTGCGATGCTCGGCTTGTCGGGTTGCCTTGCTCCAATTGCCGTTCGGCGGGGAAGTCCGACTGTCGCATCCACGAGAAAAAGAAACGCTTAGCTGCACGCTCAATTCTGAACCCCGTACCCATCCGCTGCCGTCCACCGGCCTCCGAAACTACACACAAGTCGTCGAGTCCTGCTACTTTCACTGCTCCATTGAACGCATTCACAACTACCCTCCGCAATGTTCAGCCGGACTTTGCAGCAGCCACTACCCTCGCAAATGTCCGCTTACTCCATCATGCGAGTGGTGATAATGTTAATTCTCAATCTCAGCACCACCAATCCTCCCCAACGTCCGATGCTCAGACCTACAACCGTCCAACAGGATCAGAGCTTTCCATAGAGCAGGACTCTCATTCGGACTTGGACAGACGATTAGTGAAACTCATCGACGAAGAAGAGTCGGGGAGTCGAGAAATCCGTCGAGGTGTACGAGCAATCTATGTCGGTCATGAACTGTCCAACATGTCCTTCTTGATCCGTCAGCAGCGAAACGAGGTTGACGACGTATATCACTTTGCCGGAAACGAGATTCCTCGTCGACAATTGAGGACAGGTCATGATCAACTTTTAATGGACGCCCTTACACTCCCCGAACCGGCTTTAGCCGATGAGCTGGTCCAGGCATATTTTGACCACGTGAACCCAGGATATCCCATCATCGATGAAGATCTCTTCATGACACAGTATCGGAACCGGGACCCTACGGATCCACCGCCAATTCTGCTGTTACAGGGGATTCTCTTAGTCGGAGCCCACGTGGCTCGGGCAAAAGCCGAACGTGACGTCCTGAAGGAGATCTTTTTCCGCCGAGCGAAGTGGCTATTCGATAGTCGCATCGAGCGAAACCGAGACATCATGATCCAGGCCGCTTTGCTCATGACTTGGTTTTCCGATAGCGCTGATGACGATGTCTCAGCCAATGCTCATTACTGGGTTGGCGTAGCTGCTAGGATTGCAACGGGACTTGGAATGCATCGAAATCCTGTTTCAAGCCGCTTTGTTCCGCGGGACCGCCGTATGTGGAGGAGACTCTGGCATATTTTGGTCCAATTCGATGTCATGGTCTCTCTTTCATACGGACGCCCGCAAGCTATGTAGGTGGTCCATATTTTTTCTCTCTAATAATTTTGACTGACTATCATTTCTAGCAACCTCGAGGATTCAGATGTATCCTCGTTAACACTTTCAGATTTTCAAGGATGTGGACCTGGAGTTCAGACCGACTTTGTTATTCATTTCTCAGGACTCTGCACAATGATCTCCAGTATTGTCCGCAATCGGTTTGGACTAAGAGTCAGCCCAGAGCGTCGCAAAGCGGTTCTGCAAGAAGCCGATGAGAGCCTAGCGAATTGGTCTCTGAAACTTCCTGACAAGCTACGGCTGCGGGCATCTGACATGGATCCTTGGTCTGCCATGCTTCACTTGACCTATAACAATTTTCTCATTTTACTGCATCGACCTCATCCAAAAGCATCTGCATATTCAGACGACTACGGTCCACATGATGCTGAAATTTGCAGTGCAGCTGCAGGGGTTATAGCCTCGATCTTCGAGGAACTCCGCCTCAATGATCGCTTGAAGATTCTGTGGTATTCTGCCGTCCATACTCTCTTCACGGCAATGATACAAGTGCGAGTAGAGCTTCGGTTTTCAAATCCGGTCTTGGCGATCAATGCCCTTCGTCGATTTGACTCTGCTTCCTATTCACTTCGCGAATTAGCAGGGTACTGGTCTCATGCCACTACCATCTTACGATTGTTCGAAGATTCCAAGCGTCTTCAGGAAGATCTTCGCTTGGCCACGAGCGAGAGACCCCGTGGCTTTAGAAACGCGCAAGAACAGGGAAAGAATGTGGCCAATTCTTCAGCCTCAGACTCTACCACAAATACGATAGATACACAAACCCCACAACAGCAGGAGGACCAAACTATGCCTTACGAAGTCCCGACGCCAGACTCAACGCATGCCCCAACCACCACGGTGTCCGCAGGCCTTCAACAGAACCACACAATTGACCATTGGATGTCATCCAGTAACATAACACCGGCAGAAACCATGGATGCGCCCCGCGACACCCTTGATTGGCGGCAGCTGTTTTCTTTCGCCGATCTGGATCAACCTGTTCTTCCGATGGCCATGGAAGGCCTCCCTGAACTAGAAGATGAGTGGCGTCAGATATACTGGCAAGAAACACCCTTGTCGGACCTCTTGCACGACGGAGGTTGGATGCATGGTTAATAATGCCGTGATTTTCGCCTCGTAGTGCTTCCGACATGACCTCGATCATCTATATTGAAGCAACTCAACATCTCTGGTGGGATTGCTCTCAATGTCGGATCATGCACTGTGCGCCAATAATAATGAAATGACGACTTTCCTACTGTCTTGTTTCGGCTTTCACAGGGATGTTTAGCACCATTGATCATGGCAGAGTACTAATGCGAGTTTATGACATATATCTTACATAGCTTCCTACAAAATCAAGTTGATAGAACATTCGCATGCAAGACTTCGTCTCAATCTACTCATCAATTCGCAAAGCACTAGAGGACAACGAAGTCCGATTCTTATTCTATTTGTCAACCCTAGTCCCAACCGTTCGACTGCATGTGCCCATGCAAAAAACCAAAAAAAAAGCTAATAATGGCAGATGGATATAAGACGTAAGACGAGCCACTCGACATAAACAGATAGTTACAAATGGTTCCAAATCCACGGAATCGGCATGACCGCCCGACCGGGTCATGCAAGATAGACCTCTTTTACACATGCCGAGGGGAAGGGTGAACTTCCGAAGAAAAACCGAGGAAAGCCGGAGGACCAGAGCGGGGAAACAGCAGTAGCTAGGCATTGCATGTGCCTGAGGAGAAATGGGAAGAACAGAGAATGTGTGGCTGACGTAGCCAAGAAGACACAAAACAGAGAACCATAAAAGCAGTGCGCCGCCCATAAACTGAAACCTGGGATCTGCCGAATTACTAACTGAAATGCATTTCAGTCCGTCACAAGCTCTGTAAGTAAGTGGTTAACTCAAGAGTAGGTTGAGCTGCGCCATTTGAAGACGCTGCGCAGTAAGAGAGTGACATTCGGAAGTGCATTCGAAACGCTTGTAGTAAGACCATGCATGTTACCAGAAGCCCCTAGGGCCGGATACACAGTGAAACCAGTTGCTGGCCCCTTTGTGCAGTGGAGACCAAGTGTAGATTCGACGGGGGATACTCGAATCCTTCAGAAGAATCGTGATTGCACTGCGTTAGTTGGATGATCCTCAGGCACGCACGGGTTTTACTCTAGTAGGAGTCACCGCCGGTGCCATTGTGAGCCTGGCCGACCATGGGAGGGTAGCCATAGGCGGCAGTTTCCTGCTCGGAGGGGTCCAAGCTTGGATTGATGATACTATTGGCAGCATCCGTGTTATCAGGGAATGCCCCCGGACCCGTCGGTGCAACTGGACGTCCGGATGGAGCGCCGCCGGGAGGGCCCCCTACGGGCCCACCGGTGTTGTACCCACTGCTTGTCGGACGGTTTTGATGTTCTCCCCTTGCGGATTGGGTCTGCAGGGGTAAGATCAGCATTGCTCTCCAAGGTAAGCACGCTATCGCCGGTTAGGGCGAAGGCAAGTTGGTAAGATGCGTTGCACAAGTCTTACCTCGCGATATTTCGATAGGTAGATCTTGAGCGCCTCTGCGTAGTTTTCGAACCCAAGTGAGGTCATGGCGAATAGAATGTCCTCTCCGTTGACGGTCTTACGCTTCTCCTGCTGGCATTTGTCCGAGGCTATGGAGTGGCTCGGCAGTTAGTCTTGAGTGCTTGTATGGAGATGGAATTGATTGTACTGACCTTCGCTGGTGATAAACGAGATGAATTCGCTCACACATTCCTGCATACACTCTTTGGCTTCCTTTGCGATCTTCGCATTTTCAGGTAGAGCTAGTTTCATGATGCGAGCCACTTCACAGCCATTGTTAGTATTCATACAAGCAAGTGATGATGGCAACAACAGAGGTGGTTTGGATTCGGAAGGCCTGAAACGCCCAGCATGCCATAGCAAGTTCCGGACAAGCCTACCCAATCGGAAGAATTGGTAGCTATGATAGACGACAAATAGGGATGTGAACCGAAAGACTCGTGGAGATCAAACGCAAAGCAGACGACGGCGGTTAGATGGAGAGGATAGCATGAATGGGTGACAAGTGACCGAATCAGCCTCCTAGGCGGTGGAGAGGCATGGGCAATCATAGTAGGGCAGAGAGCGGTTGACCAGCAGGTGAACGTAAGGTACGCACAAATCAGGACGAAGCGACAAGCTGCAAGGGAACGCAACTAACCATTTGCAATTGGTAGCCATCTGTCCTGCTCCTTCACCTCGAACTCTCCCTGACCCTGCGCCTGGGAGTCCTGTTGGTCTTTGTCCATTTGTTCCTGGTCTTCACCCGATTGAACTTCCGGTTCCACCTCCGGTTCCTTCGAGGGGGAGGTCGACGACATGATTTTTAGCTGTCGGAGAAACGTGCAGAGATACTGGATTTAGAACGGGAGGGCTGTCTCTAATTGCTCTGTTGGCAAACCACGTCAGAGCTGCGTACAGGGCGAGGTGGATTCTCGATCTTGGACGCTATGATACAGCCGCGCCAAGGGTAGTGGAGGTGTGCCTGGCTGGGCAGCGATTCGCTTCACAACAGCCTGAACGGAGAAGGATGACTGTGACAACGCGTGTGGGGGATTGGCACTGCTTCTGCGGTGGTGTGCCTTAACGATCGGAGCACAGCCTGATAGGATCTATTAGTCGGCTTTGATGACGAGACACGGTCCGGTAGCTGACCCTGTTTGTTATTGCTTTATTATGGTCGCTGGTTGTAGATAGGTCGCAAACGAGATGAATGGGGCGCTCTGATTCGAGGGCCGGTGTAGTAAGGGCAAGTTTGCGGCAGGATCTGGAAACATACACAGTTGTTCCTGGGTTTATTTGCTATGATTGGAGAAGGTCCGCTTTGGGACTTCCAAAAATAATGCTGTCTGAATGGTGTTTAGAATAGTCAAACTGGAAAAAGCAGTAACGTCAGCGAAACTCCAGTGTCTTGCGGCACGCATATTCACGGACGCGGGAGAGATCTGAGAAGGTCGAAAGGGCGGAATGTGACGCGGGTGATACAACACGGAAGTAACCGTGGGTCAGACAGAATTGGGGAGTGGCAGTGGCACGTTGCGCAGCTGGGCGACAAGATACTAACAGGAAAAGCGAGCAAAAGCGCGACAGCGATTGGACTGAAATGCAAGAAAGGAGGGCGTTGAGGATGGGAGGGGGCATGTAGTAGGTATTGGCTTACCGGCTAGTCAATGACATGTACCAGGGGGGTTGGGGAGGTCTGACTGGAGACGGCCGCGATGCGCGCAGCTCTCAATTGGCGAACCAGAAGTCCCTGGCTGTCGCGATGAATATCCCCAAGCGCCAATGAGATTACGACGCGGTATGCAATGGACAGATGCTGCTCCCACAGAGGGTTCAACAGATGACAATTAACCGAAAAGTTGAGGTGGAATAGAAAGCGATGTCTGGCTTGGCTGCGCTCAGTGTCCCAGATCGAGCGAGAGGATGAGAAGGAAGAGAGAGAGAGACAGAGAGAGAGAGAGCGAGATTGAGAGAGTGAGGAGAAGGAAGTCGAGTGTCGATGAGCCGCGGTGGGAAAGAACAACCAACGCTCGTCGATGGCCTTAGGACTTCCATGACAATTCTCGGACGCCGTATCGTCATATCATCTTCTGTTCTGGACTAGAGCCCGCATAACACTGCAGACAGCGGAGGAGGGAGATGTATCGGTACGGTAATGCACGTGATATTCGTCATCGTCCCCGGATCTCTTGGCCATCCGCTTTATCTTCGTTCGATCTCCAAGACATACCATCAGAACATGTCAATTGTACCCACAAAAAGGTTATTACTCTTACATGTCCTCCCTACATTAGATACTGGCACTGGTAGAGTCTTCAAGACTTTTTTAGGGCTTGATCTCACGGCTTTTGCACGTGCGGGAATGCTCGTCGAATACTTATCTCTATACATACTCCCAACACTGATACTCCAAATACTCCAATCAACCTCACTTAGGAGTGGGCCTGCCAAATCTTCCTCAGCAAGGGGCCATCAGACTCCCTCGCAAACCCTTTGTTTCAGAATTCGTGTTAGTTAGCCAAAGTGTATCAGTCTCTTATGTCATTATGTGCCCTATGAAGACTGACGGGCCGTGTATGGCGTCAGGCATCAACACCATTCCTTGACAATCTGACGCACCGTCGATGGGAAGCACGTACTGTTATGCATCACTCCGTCCCATCACATTTGCCAAGCCCTGCTTAAGATCAAGCCCCCTGCTTCTGTTTTACTGTTGAAAAGGTACCGATCACAAAAGTCACAGAGGCTCCACTCTGCAGCCCAATCTACGGAGGGGTGGATGAGGGCATCCACCCGTCTTGCCGCTATCTACAACATATGATCTATGTGGCTTCTACCCAAGCTGCTCGCTCCCAAGGGCAAGGATTCGCGATTCAGTCTCGAATTTCGACTCTCGAACAAAGTTGGCCGAGAGCTCGCTAATCATTGAACGTCACACGCACATGCATTGGGATAGTCCCAGATCTACTCCAAGGCTGATATGAAGCAGCCAGTAAGAAATTCCCAGAGAAGTCTTTCTAAACAGATGAACTCAGGAGCATTTGTACATTCGTGCAGCCGTCGTGATCCGGCCTCGATCCGGCCAACTGCAGACGAGTACAACAGATGCTTACTTCAGACGCCTTGTTCCACATGGCCAACTCGCCAACTCACCCGAGCCACACCATGTCTTAGGGGCATAAGCATTCTCGGGAATTGATCAGTAAATACCGACATTTTCGTGTTGTCGATGAAGCGGGTGAAAGAACATATTGGCGGACATAGATGTACACTGAAAGGACAACGTCCTCAATCAAGTCAAGATGAAAAGGCACGGAAGCTGTATTGTACACTATTTGCTGCCAAGCACAGCCAAAGCCTTGAAGTCAGCACAATAGGCTCCAACTTGATGGCCTGGTGTGAAATTCTCCCACGAGCTAGGCCTAGCGATCAGGCATGAGTGCGTCCAAGGCCTCGACCGTCCTGCGACATAGCAGTAGTTTATGTTTACCTGCCACAATGTCCTTGTCTGGAGCGAGGGAACCCGGCAGTATACTGCCCTGGCAGATGCTATGAGACACGATGGTTCAGGCCATGGTATTGTCAAGTTGGTAACAAACTGAGGCTCTGTAATGAGGTTTTTTGGACTCCAAGTAACGCCGCTCCTGCTCTGCTCTCTGGTTGAATCCTCCGAAGATAGCACCAAGGAAAGTGTGAAAGGGTAATTAATGAACCGTGGTAATTGCCAATTTATGGTATCCTATGGTTGTACGACTTGAATGTTGTTCTTCTTCTGTTAAGGGGGCAGTCTAGGTCAGAGCGAGGGTTTTCTCATGGTAGTGATGGCAAGTGACGGACCTTCCAGTTATCAAGATCTGACTGCTTGGACTTGTATTGCTTCAGGAGCTCATCCAAAACCTGTTTGAGCCCATCGGAGTTTGTCTTAAGGGAGGGCAGAACATCTTCGACCGTCCGCTCAACCAGAACTCCGTTGACCATGCGGAAACATTTTCTATCCTTGGGAAGAGGCTCGAGGGTCTCGATAACAAGTCTAAAGCGAGAGTTTTGACGTCAGTGGCCGATGCTCAAAATAACGGACCAAGTACGGGGAAAGGAAGGGTTACTTGTGCTCCTCTGCCTCCTGCTCAATGTCGCCGATCTTCTGCGCCAATTGTTGCAGGGTGTTCTTGTAATTTGAGTACTGGAGCTGGAGCTCTGCGAAGGGTCAGCACGGAGGCTTGGACTTCGTTTTTCATGACTGGAAGAAGAGCTTATCGAGGCATACCCTGCTGCTTTTTCGGGCTGATCTGCGCTTGACTGGCCATTTTGTCGGTATTCGATGAACGCAGCGTAGTTGCAAAGCTGGAGTTGCGATGCGGGGCGTTGGTTGATATCGGCGGCGGACCCGGCGAGAGAGAAACAAGCCAACGCTGAGTCCGGATCCACCCACCGCACTGCCACGTGCTACCTTAAACCAAGGGGAGTCATTATTCGAATGCAGTCTACTGTACAAGAGTCCTCACTGAGACTGATATTGCTGATTCCTAAAGCAGTCGCCAACACTGTGCCATTAAGCTGATGTGTATGACGATCACGTGCCTGGCTACCCTGTTTGCAGGGTTTGCATGGTGATATCGCCCGATAATCGATTGATTCCGCCTCCGAACCTATTCCAACTTATCGCCAGGAGGGCTCAAGCAACCAGCTGTGGCCCTTCCTCGCAGAGTCTCACTAACTTGTTATCTTGCATCACTTACTGGCTTGCTCCCTGAGAAGCTACTCATTGACGATTCAAATGGCACCAGACGACATGCCTCCAGCCAAGAGGCTGAAAAGCTCCAACCGGCCGGGTCCGTTGCGCGACGCGAAGCGCAAGGACATTGACAACTGGGAAACCAACCGGATGCTCACGTCCGGTGTCGCTCAGAGACGAGACTTCGATGGCGACTTCATGCCCGAAGACGAAGAAGGAACTCGAGTTCACCTGCTAGTCCACGACCTCCGTCCACCTTTCCTCGATGGCCGCACGATCTTCACCAAACAGCTGGAGCCCATCTCCGCTGTCCGGGATCCGCAGAGCGATATGGCCGTCTTCAGTCGCAAGGGAAGCAAGGTTGTACGCGAAAGACGCCAGCAGCGGGAACGGCAGAAACAAGCGCAGGAGGCGACGACGATGGCGGGCACAGCGCTAGGGAACCTGATGGGTGTCAAGGAGGACGAGGGTGATAGTGCAGTCGCTGTGCCCGTGGAGGAGGCCTACAAGAGCGGGAACAAGTTTGCTAAGCATCTGAAGAAGGACGAAGGAGGTCAAAGTTCGTTTAGCAAGAGCAAAACGCTCCGTGAGCAAAGAGAATTCCTGCCTGCGTTCGCTGTGCGAGAGGATTTGCTGCGGGTGATCCGCGATAATCAGGTAGTGGTTGTGGTTGGTGAAACCGGGTCTGGTAAAACAACCCAGCTGACGCAATTCCTGCACGAAGACGGTTATTCCAAGTTCGGAATGATCGGGTGTACGCAGCCTCGTCGAGTGGCTGCTATGAGTGTTGCCAAACGAGTAAGCGAGGAGATGGAGGTGGACTTGGGTGATGAAGTTGGATACGCGATTCGATTTGAGGACTGCACGAGCAACAAGACAGTCATCAAATATATGACCGATGGCGTTTTACTACGAGAATCCTTGGTCCAGCAGGATCTCGACAAATACTCCTGCATTATCATGGACGAGGCGCACGAAAGAGCGCTGAACACCGATGTCCTCATGGGGCTCCTGAAAAAGGTGCTGGCTCGGCGCAGGGATCTCAAATTGATTGTCACCTCGGCTACCATGAACGCCGACCGATTTTCTCGGTTCTACGGCGGCGCTCCTGAATTCATCATACCTGGACGGACATTCCCTGTTGACGTCCACTTTTCGCGTACCCCGTGTGAAGACTACGTTGATAGTGCGGTCAAGCAGGTCTTGGCCATTCACGTGTCGCAGGGACCGGGTGACATCCTTGTTTTCATGACGGGTCAGGAAGATATTGAGGCTACGTGCGACTTAGTGGACGAACGGCTAAAGTTACTGAACGACCCACCCAAGCTCAGCATCCTGCCCATATACAGTCAGATGCCCGCGGAGCAGCAGGCAAAGATCTTCGAGCGGGCCGAGAACGGCGTACGCAAGGTGATTGTTGCCACCAACATCGCTGAAACTAGTTTGACGGTGGATGGAATCATGTTCGTGGTGGATTCAGGTTATTCGAAGTTGAAAGTATACAACCCTCGGATGGGTATGGATACTCTCCAGATCACACCAATTTCCCAGGCCAACGCCAACCAGCGCTCGGGACGTGCAGGACGGACAGGGCCTGGCAAAGCATATCGATTATACACGGAGGTCGCCTACAAGAACGAGCTCTATCTACAGACAATCCCAGAAATCCAGCGCACCAGTCTTTCCAACACCGTCCTGCTTCTCAAGTCCCTTGGCGTCAAGGATCTTCTCGATTTCGACTTCATGGACCCACCCCCTCAAGAAACCATCACCACATCGCTCTTCGAGCTCTGGTCCCTCGGAGCCCTAGACAACCTGGGTGACCTGACTCATCTCGGTCGTCGGATGACGCCATTCCCCATGGACCCTCCCCTCGCCAAACTGCTGATCAAAGCCTCCGAGGACTACGGCTGCAGCGAGGAGATGCTCAGCATCGTCTCCATGCTCTCCGTGCCCAGCGTATTCTACCGCCCCAAAGAGCGTCAGGAGGAATCCGACGCCGCGCGCGAGAAATTCTTCGTCCCGGAGTCCGACCACCTCACGCTTCTCCACGTTTACACCCAGTGGAAAGCCAACGGCTACTCGGACGGCTGGTGTACGCGCCATTTCCTGCACGCCAAGGCCCTCCGGCGCGCCCGCGAGGTCCGCGACCAGCTGCACGACATCATGACGGTGCAGAAGATGCCGCTCGTCAGCTGCGGAACCGACTGGGACGTCATCCGCAAGTGCATCTGCTCCGGCTTTTACCACCAGGCCGCGCGCGTCAAGGGCATCGGCGAGTTCCTGAATCTTAGGACCAGCGTGAGCATGCAGCTGCACCCGACGAGTGCACTGTACGGGCTGGGCTATGTACCCGAGTACGTCGTGTACCATGAATTGATCCTGACCAGCAAGGAGTACATGTCCACCGTGACGGCCGTCGACCCACACGTAAGTCACATTCTTCATCCACATTTTCCCCGTAACCAACATCGTCAGAAAACTAACTCAAAATCCTATGCAGTGGCTCGCCGAACTCGGAGGCGTCTTCTACTCCGTCAAAGAAAAGGGCTATTCCCAGCGGGAGCGCCGCGTCACCGAGCAGGAATTTAACCGGCGCATGGAGATCGAAACGCAGATGGCCGCGGACCGGGAACGGGCCGCCGCGGAAAAGCAACGGGAACAGGAGCGCAATGATCCGTCGCGACGGAGGCAGGAGATCGAGGTGGGCAGCTCCGTGGTCCGCCGGCCGGCTGCGACAGCTCGTCGGGTTGGAGGCGTGACTGCCTCCAGCTCTGCACGTAACGGGGCCGGAGGAGGAGGTGGTGGTAGTGGTGGAGGAAGTGTGGTGAAGAAGCCACAGGTGAAAAGGAGGCCTGGAAGGGCGTTTTGATTATATGTATGTATGTACAGTACATTATAGAGGTATACCCCGATTTTATGCAAACATTTATAAAGCATGGAGCTTGTTTGGCAATATAGTCCACGAAGCCGGTTCAAACGTCGCCAGGCAGGCTCTTACATGGTATGATTGAATGCCGCCTACACGACAGGTCATAGACTAGCTGTCATGAAATGATTTTGATATTCGATGCCTCAAAGCTGGAAGTATAACAAATATAATCGGCACCCCATGCTTTCGTTCCCGGTAGTCCTACAAGAGCCTCGCGAACCAGGAGCAGACCAGACCAGTTAAGGCCACCAAACGGCATAGAGCATCAATCCACCAGGGACATGAACCTCCGTCCAAACCACCACCGAAGACAGCCAGCCCCAGCCCCTGAAACGACAGGCCTATGTCCCACTCCGGTCCGCCAACTCCTCAATCCGCCCCCAGAGACCACGACTCACCTCCGCCACCACCACCATACCACACAATCCAGCCCAGCCCAGAGTATCCCCCTCAGTTAATAAAGTTAATACAGAAGAAATGCAAAATCAGACTCCCGAAGATATAATCCGCGAACGCCCTAGACCCCAGCACAAACAAAACCAGTCAGTTATCCGAATATCCAAATCAAAATCCAAAAGCGAATCCCCGCACCACCACTAAACAAACCACGTAAACAGAAAAGAGACAACTCACCTCTCATGCGAGATCCCACTCCCCGTCTCCTTCCCAGAAGTCGCAGCAGCCGCAGCAGCACCCTTCCCCTTCCCCGTCTTCCCGCCAGCCGACGAGGCGACCTCCGACCCGGAAGCCGAAGAAGTCTGCATGCGCAAGCTAGCCGTCAGCACGAACTGGCCCACAGCAGCTGAGAAGCCGCTCAGGAAGGCGTTGAATGGCTATATTATTCCCGAAGGAGAACAGGGGTTAGCCTCATTGATTTATGTGATGGATGCGTATAGAGCATTGGAACGAAGGGAAATCAAGAGGTTGTAGTGGGAGACACCGAGGTGAATTCCCAATTGAACACCGTAGGAATCGAGTTACAGGAAGAGGTTATCACCGCGAAGGGGAAAGGGGACTCACGTAATTGCCCGCCAGAACACAGTAGAGGAATTGCACGCCGCCGACAAGGACCAGAAAGCCCATGAATGCATCCAGGAGAAGCGTGCGCTGGGGCGTCGTGGCGAGGTATTGCTGCCACACGGTCTGGGCGATGTCGAGAACGGAAGAGTTGGTGGTGAGGGTCTTGGGGCCGGAGGAGAGGGAGGCGGAAGGAGTGGTGATAGTGGTGTTGGACGGTGATGCTGAAGATGAGGGTATAGTGGGTGGTGAGGGCGCGGGGACGGGGCCTGCGGTCGAGGTAGCGGCGTTGCGTTTGGAAGGCATGATTGATTTGTCTTTTTTTTTTTTTTTCTTTTCTTCGCTCTCTCTGACAGACTGGCTTTCTCTCTCGATTGGATGTCAATTGGCGTAAAAGACGTGACGTGGATAAAGGGAAAGAGTGAGAGAGCTTCTGGATTGTCGACGGAGTCGTTGGTTTACCCCGGGGTTAATTACGCAAGCTGTCCGTTACGCGGTCTCACGTGATCGGCATTGTTATCAGCTTGTGCTCTAATTGCCTATTTGCTGGGTCGATAGAATCAGATGCCTTTGTCTCGCCGACTTTTTAGAGTTTCTGTGGGGATTATAATGTTCTGATTATGATACATGGCATAGGTTTGACAGACAAAGTTGCAGGCATATCCCACGCGATCTCATCAAGACAGCTTGATTGCTTTCAGCCGGCTTATCATACATACAGTCATTGCAGTCAAGTCATAATTCATCGCGATAGGGATTGGAGATGGGTATTTCTTGATCGTGAAGAGAGGGGAAGTTCATAAGAAAGTTCTGAAAGCGTCGCCAATTATACCGCAACACTGAGCCTGCTCGAGCGAAGGGCGAAAGACCTCTAGGGTCACGGCAGGAATAGAAAGGTTATACAACAAGGTAAGTGCATATTGTGTCCATGATACCGCAAAAGCACATCAGGCAAGCCAGTCGGAGATGTTTGCAAACGGATTCTCCGTGTTAGCTTCCTGCAAATCCATCTGAAAGTCATGCATGACTCGGTCCCACTCTTCCCAATTGAGCTGTGAATCCGGCTGGGTCTGGCTCGGCGTGGCCGTCGGTGCAACACATGAATTCATGGAGACGTCCCCGGTAGTCATAACTGGCTGCTCCATTGCTGCCGTTTGAGGGTTCAGCCAGTCAACGCCCGGAAACAGGTCAATGATTGCATCCATCGGCCCCTTCCGAAGATCGATTTCTAACCCGCTTGTCTGGGGCAATGTACCCTGTTGTGGCATCACAGATGATATCTCTAGATCTCGCTGTGCGAGGGGCTGGGGTAATATAGGAGGAAGCTGAAGAAGTGAAGGTCCAGTGCCACTGGTGAATGGCACATCCTGGAAAGAGCCTGCATTGAGGCCCATTTGTGCCCGCATCTCTTCCTGCTTTGCTCTATGAGCTGCCGCGCGCTTCATCAGCCTCGACAGTGGTCGCCAGAGCATTCCCTTCCGTTGCTTGCTGTTGCGTATCCAATCTCGGTAGAGATTACTCACAGCCTCCCAAGCACGGTTTGTCAGCGGGCTCAACGGGCGCACGCAAAGCTCCGACAAGACAAATGCGATGGCATGCCATTGCATGTTCGTGGCAAAAAGCCAGCTCCATTTGAATGTGTTCTTATCGGCACCTAGTAGACGCGCAAATTCAGCGACCTCAACAGATGTTGCGAACAAGCTCTCTCGATTTGCATTGGACAGAGCGGCGTCACGGTCAGACCGGGTCATAGGATGGTGAATGACAAGCCACAATTTGGTGAGAATGAGTCTAGCGACCGTAGCGCAAACCCATTGTATGGGCACATTCATGTCGCAATGCTTGATGTATCGTTCCTCGATGCGGGCATTGATGGCTTTGATCAGATTTCCACAGTTATCCGGAGACATTACTCGGGTGCCAGAAGTGAAATGACCATTCGGGCAGGCATAGCTCACCCGTCGAAGAGCTACAGTAATGTCGCAGCGGATGAGACAGAAGGTCATCTCAGTAAAACCGATTCTCTCTGGGGGAGGCTCTGGCATATCTGGTGTAATGTCATCGTCATTCACGTTCAACGGAAGCCGAGTATCATATATTCGTTCGTGGATCTGCGAATCCGTGCCATGGTCTTCAGATGAACGAATGTCTAGCAAACAAATATGCCACCACAGTCTCCGACGCATCTCTGTATCGAAAGGTTTCAATCCGAACTTCGTTCCGTCCCGATGAAGACCAAGCCCTTGCGCGAGGCGGAGGACGAGAGCTGTCATGGACCACACAAACTTGGTATCGTCCTCGCGACGAATTCCAATGAGGAAAATAACAGTAGCTTGCAATAGCATCAGGTTCTGTGTGTTCAAGAAATTGGCCTTCGCTAAAGCTTGCTCGACCGCAAAACGATAGCGTTTCACAGCAGCATCACGGTCCACTTCTAGCTGGACGATACATTGGTCATGAGACAAACTGATGACTGCTACCAAGCACATTGATAGGAAAAGTGCTTCCTGATTCTTGTCCAAGCTGCTCGGGTCATGGGCCGCGGTAGTAAAGAGCTGCTTGGCGGTGGGTTTATGAACGATGGGGACCATAGGGGCCACATTCTCGTGGTAAATATTCCAGAGCACTGAGACCTTCGGCGGCGGTGGAAGGAAATCGCGGAGTGAGTGCGAGAGCGAGTAAAAACCGAAAATGAATCCGTCATGATTAGCGGAATTGGTTGACGATGACCCCGGAGAGGGATAGTCTTCATCCTCGGATGATGATGGATCAAGGATATCCTGCAGCTCCTCAATCTTGATCGCACAGTCAATACAAAAATGCATGCCAATAGTAGCGGACGTAAGCAAAGAAGCGACTCACCTCATCACCAAGACTAGCCCAGAAACGGTTGCTCACATAGCGACTTCGGCCTTCATCAATGACCAGTCGACCAAATTCATGCTCTATGTTTCGCGATGCCATAGGCCTCAGGGGGTCCACATTAGCCGCATTTAGCATGAGCGGACACCCATCCCCATCTCCATCGCCTACGTGAGGCGCTGGCGGGCCTTGTGCGCTCACATTCTCGCTGCGTGGTTGACGCGGGGAAGGCGTATCCGATACCGACGCTGTTCGTTTTTCATTCAGATGCTCGATAACGCCCTCCAAGCGCCTGAGTCGAGACAGAAGCTCTGCGTCTTGAGGCCGCTTCGATTTGCGGGGCGCCCTTCCAGGTGGGGGGAAGATGCACTCGATACCCGCCTTGACGCAATTCGAGCACGGAGATCGCTTGTTGCAGCGCACTTTCCTCCGGCGACAGGTAACACAGCTGCGTAAGCTATGTAGCTCATGCGAGGAATGGGGATCGGTGTGATGGTCTTCGGTCGCAACCTGGCCCTGAACAATACTATCCGAGTCTCTTCGGGAGGGAAGCGCAGATAAGGCTGGCGAGGTCACAGTGGATAAAGCCGAACGTTGTTGTGCTGGGAGCGGTGGACTATGGAAGGACATGACGGTGCAGACGGGATTATCAATGTAACAGAGTCGCTAGCATGCCACATCGTCAATAATGACAGTGGCAGTCCGAAAAGAGTGGGCGCTGAGACAACAAAAAAGAAGTAGATGAGATGAAAGGAGGTGGTGAATTGGATCTGATTAAGATCGTTAGTTACTGACCAGGCTAATACTGCCAGCCTCAGTCATCGACTCATAGGTGGGGGGGTCGGAAAAGGTCTCGACCAAGCTTCATTGGTCAGGGTAGCAGCTTCTAACGTAATCAAGTCTCAAAGTCACGTGAAAGCAGGGGATGGCTCGTATTGATTGAGTCACTGGTTCTGACATGTGTTTCTGGAATTATTCTAAAAGAACATAACTTGCTCTTCCTGCGAAGCCTCCCTAGTACCTACCAACACAATGTGGAGGCTTGGCAAAGACTAGATATGTCAAACAGCCCCTGGCGTGGCTGACGTGGAGGTTTCACCGGTATACTGTTGCGTTAGTGACATATCTCAAACAGGCAATCTTTGCGATGACCCGCGCGGACTTAGACTTAGTGCCAGCCAGGAACTAGGCACAACTCAATGCAGTCTGGCTGCTTGCCTCGTGATATGTTCGCGAGCCTTTGAGCCAACATCCATATGCGCTGTTATCTCAGGAAACGTTGAGTTGTGTAATGAATATAGTATTCACAAGAACTGTTCGAGAGACTCGAATGCTCACTGGTCCGAGAAGTGATAGACCCTGGTCCCAAAAATATCTAACAGATGAATAGTCATGACAAGAAGAAAAGGCCGACGACAAGAAAGCCGAATAACGATGAAAGACCCAAACGCCGAATGTAGCCAACTTGCGAATAGGTGGTGATGCGCTCCGGAGGCCAACGCCATATATATGCAAACAAGTGACTACTATATAGAAAGATTTTGAACCCAATCAAATCATTAGTGTCATAGACAGGCGCCGATGTGCTCGCTAGGCCCTAGATGTTGGTGGAAATGGTCGCGTATCATCGAAACAGAGGCCCAAGAGGCGTGGTCCGAACAGGTACGTCGACTGGCTGGCGGCGCCAGAACTGACGCTTCCTTTGTTTATCCCATACTTCTGTAACATCATTGAAGTGGTGCCTAAACATCCATATTAGCATGTGTGACCATCTGGCCAAGGATTAACACCTTACCCTTGAAATGTGGTAGCCGTCATAGACTTCGAACCGTATTCCTTCTTGAGGAGTCGGACATACTCGAACGGAATCTTGACAGGAACACCCTCAAAGTAACTGTTCCGCAAAGGGAAGATTTCGGTCTCCTGTAAAACGATTAGCCTTTATACTGTGCCGGTGGTATGCGCGCCATTCACATCAAAGCGATGACCATCCTTGCACATCAAAGCGCCAGGGTCACCCTGTTCGCGTCGTTCGTCATCTTTGCGCACGGCTGTGATGTCGATAAATAATCCAGAGGAGGTGTCAACCCAACGCGCATCAATGACATTCAGCTTGTCGTCGGTAGACCGAATGACGTAATTAGGATTGATCTCGAGCAAGTAAGTCCTTCCGCCCTCGACCCCAGGAATCTCGAAATGATGTTCGGTCATATTGTAATAATCGGCCAGAAAGTGAATTGTCGGCTCCGAAATTTGAACGTCGAGGTCATTGTCCCAAGGAAAGATCTAATCAGCCGTCAGCAGGAGGCACAACGCATGTTCCAAGAGTAAGCGGCACAACCTTCTGATTCCACCACCACGCCAGAAGGGTTCCGTGCATGATCCATGTCTCCGCACCGAGGTCTGCCATTGTTGACAGATAGGTTCGGATGAGTTCCGACAGGTGTGGGATAGTTTCGTCGTCAGAGAGCTCCTGATCGGCAAAGCTGTACGCAACCAAGTCAACATATGCCTAGTACTATGGGTTGATTGCCAAACACCTACCGGCCATCATAATGATAATGAAAGCTAGCCAGGATACATGTCAGTTCAAAGGTTACAGTCTCCCACAAGATTTTAACCAAGATAGTGACCTACTCGGATTCCTCTGTTGTGGGTCAGCATGCGCTTCAATTGTTTACCCGGGTACCCCGCGTGTGGGCGCGATTGAAGATAACGGAATCAAAACTTACTGAAGTATTTTGGCCCTGGTTCTCCTCCTTTGCCAGAGTATTCTTTGGCCACAGTAGGCCTCACGCTCATGAAATCAACATCGACGGCGGACGACCCCACGGCAGCCAGTGATAACCCATAAAGAGCGATGAGCAACCAGGCTGTTGGAAACCACATTGCGATGACAATTATATATGTATGTACGAATATATGTATATCTCGTTCGCGCAGTCTCAATTCAACTGAGGCGACCGCATGCTCTGGTTCTATGTTGCACAAAATTCGGAGATAAGGCCGGGGGATTTGGGAGGCTGTGGTGATGATACGGAGTGGGCGGGATCACAGTGCCGATGTCACTTCCAGGGATGAGCGCGGCGATAAGAGGCGACCGGAAAATGGAAACCTTCAGGAGGATGACAAGGCTAGACTGGGGAATGCAGTTCGGATTGGTGATATCTCAGGAGGAGGTTAGGAATATGGTCGAAGAAAGACTATAGAAGGGAAAAAGAAAAGACGACGAAAGGGCAAGGATCGCAATAAGAATAATAATAATACAAGGTCGGGGACAGAGAATGAACACGATCCACAATAATGCCCGGGATCGGCAGGGAAACTGCGTACAAGAATAGGAAGACCGTAAGAGAACTTAAAGGACGAGGGGTCGCGTGCGCAGTTACCAACTTACTCGTACTTAGTACTGTACCGTCGTCCGCCGATAACAATGGTGGCAGGGCAAGAACCGGGCGGCGGCAATGGGCAACAGACGCAACAGGACGGACAGACAGCCTTGCAAGCCTTGGCGATGGTGGATGGAATTACCGTGCCGATCCGGCTCACTTTTACTTTCGCAGTTATCTTCTTCCCATTCCTTGCTCCGAGGGCATTCAACAGCAAGAGCAACATGAATCATAACAATAACAACTCAATTCCTCCATTGTCACACATTACTCCTCAGGCATAAGGCACATACAGTAGACGCAAGATAACTACAGACTCGGGGGTATCTGCACCTCTAGATGGTACCATATCATCGTGCTACGTACGACGCCTGTGCTGGAGGAACCATGGCGTCAGCAGGCTGTTCTACTCACCAATAGCATGGCAACCAGCAACACCCGCCTAGCCATTCCTTTGGCCCTTTTTCGATAGCGGCTGGGGGACTCGGTCTCGGTACCTCAATCCAGAAAATTGGGGCCGCGTCATAGTCTAAGCCCTGTTTTTCCGCTCACTCAATCTCTTCATCTTTCAACCACGACTTTATCCCCGTTTCCCTTCCCCCTTCCCGCCTGACAACTGTCCTTCTGCTGTTGAGAACAAACACGGGATGGGAGATAGGGGTCACTGCTCGGGATTTCAGCCTCGTTGGCAGCGTATTTGACAGAAGTCAGGGCTTGATTGATGGATCTCCACGCTGCTGGTGCAGGTATCGACAAGCAAAAATCTTTCCGGGCTCCAAGTGGGGGATTTCCCCACATGACGAGGGGGGAACCTTGTCGTCTGCTTTCCCAACTTCCGAAGTCCTTCAGCAACATTTTCGCCATGCTTGCGGTGGATTTGAGGCTCGGACTGATGGGCATGGTAGGGCTTTTTGCAGACGAGATCCCCGTTCGGACGTGCTTAGACCTCTTCAATGTTGTTCATGGACAATTCAGTCGTACTCTCGACATGTTAAAAGAGCATCAATTGAAGAGACTGCTAGGAAATTAGTTCAGGTGCTAGAGCCAGATGACTGCAGCTTTGTGTTCCTTCGATCCTGCCTAGCACCTTCCCCTCGCATGAGCACGCACTGCCTGACGCTCCTTCGCAAAGGCCAGGTATCATTCCCATTCCTGCGACATTAAATTATCCCCATTCGCGTAAGCTTTGTGTATGGAGTATCAGGTAGAAGTCATCCCTCCCTAGTCCGTACTTTGGCAGTTTGGGAAATTATCGCATGCCCGGGGATCTCTTGGCAAGCCCCCGAATGCTTGTATAGTACCCATGACAGCCATCAAATCTGCCAGGTATTGAGCGTACCGCTGACTCGTTATCAAAGCGTCGCCCTTGGCGTTGTTCGATACATGGTACATGAATACCGCCTCGCGCCGGACATGCATGGGTTCATACAGCACTGGCAGTCGTCATACACCGATACATTTTTGAGTTCAGTTGCAGTTCGGTCTCAATGACGCTCACCTCAACAGAGTACGAGTACGAAGTAGGATATCCTTTTCGAATAAGATATTCATCGATTGCGGGGATAGTTACATAACCTCATCGATATCCCAAATGCGATGCATAATGTTTGGATTGCGCTCGCACAAGTTTTCCAGTTATTTCTTTCTCTGGATTGTGCCGGCCTATGGGACAATTCAGAATAATTCATGCTGTGAACAATGCAGCTAGACATAGACTAGTTCCGTGGAAGGACTTCCGCTCTGCAGAGAAATGTAGAAAAAGGTATACATCGACTAGCCACTCCTGTAGATACTTGTGAACTGTGAAGATACAGTGGTTTGGCTGTTGAAGTCCCTTCTGAGTTTCTGATGACTCTTCTGAGACTTTCTGCCTGAGGGAGGCGCGGCGAACGACCAGAGTCGGCGGATTGATTGCCTGGACCTTTTCTGAGGGTCCGAATTTCGTAGCACGGGAAACAACAACCCCTGATTCGTCAAGTTTGACATTCTATCAATTTATAGTTGGATTATATTCTTAGCTCCCTCCAATGAGAGTTCCGCTTTCTGTCTCTACCTACTGTTTGATTCTTGGAGGGGTTTTCGATATTGCTTTCAAGTTTCAACAACCTGTTGTTCTTTTCTTCCCTACTTTTGGCCTTCTGCTACAATCTCGATGGCACAGCCCAATGCTTGCACCAAGCTTGAAACTCGGGTAACATGTCCATTTGCTTTCTCTATCCTCATTCAGAACAACAGTCTCATCAACCCTCGGTCTAGAGCTAAAAGTGTATAATGTACAGTACAGTCCACGCCCGCTCTCCGGGTGCTTCTGGATCTAGTCTAGTTGATCTCGTCTCTCCACTTCCGCTTTCCAGTCACCCAAACAGACAGCTCGACACTAGGGACTGCACTAACCAGGACCGAGGATTCGCCAAGTCCCCTCTGAGGAAAGACACCGGTTATCAGCCTTCATGGTTCGATCAAGAAAGGACAGGGGATTTCCTCCACCCCCTCCACTCCCCCTGTGGCTGGAACCTCACATGACTGAGGCTTGAATTCGAGTCCCACTGTCCCAGCTGCACTCTTCAGCTGCACTATCGACCCTGGAAAGACCTTAATCTCTCCAGTACGGGGTATATGGCGGTTTGTGCAGCAGTCCTTATCATCAGGCATCCAATTGGATCTTTTCCATGAACGTGCACTCCAGGTAGGCATTAACTGCCAGCGATTGTCTGATTGGCATCACTTTGTTGCAGAAGTCCAGCCTCGGCTTTGCAACTGACTCCCTCTAGGTGTCTTTTGATCCCATTCCCCTCGATCTGGCTTACGGCACCGGCATGGAGACGTTGACCCCGATCCTCCATACTCGTGTCTAACGTAACAAACCGATCTACCTGACATGAGGTTGAAGAGCATGAGGTCCACATTGACTGTTTGCTACGAGATTGACGAAGTATCGCTCTAGGGCTCGCGCCTTCCTGTACCCCTGCTTCTACGGTCGATCGCGTGCGATCTAGATACCTGCAGCGCGATAAGAGAAACGTGGGGGCCAAAAAGATGTCCACCACACCCAATATGCTCCCAGGCGATTCGCATCTCGTTCATCAGACAGCCGCAACCCCGCAACTAAACCGCTCCTGTGAATCGTGTCGCGGCCTGAAAGTTCGCTGCTTACCCGATCCCTCAACTCCCAACCAATGCCAACGATGCGCGAAAGCGAACAGAACCTGCGTGTTTGTGGCACCTCAGAGACGACGGCCGCGCAAGCGAACCGACTCTCGGGTGGCCCAGTTGGAGAAGGAGATGCGACAGATGCGATCGCTTCTCAAGGATAGGCTGCGTGCCGATGAAAGCAGTGCAGAAAGTGCAACCAGCGAAAGGGAGGAATCCCGGGAACCCGACCTGGCCGTCGAACCAAACGAGGCCATCTCCACAATCACAGATGCCCCTAGCAGCGGTGCAGATTCAAATCGACCCATGGACCTCTCACCCAGCTTTCCATCAACTTCCCCATATCCAAATACCTATGATGGTGGTCCTGTCAACACCCCCGTCGTCAATCCAACGCCAAACCCGTATCCGTACGATGCAATTCCAAGAGAGGATGTTATCGATCGGGGCTTGGTATCCCTCGAGTATGCGAATGAGTTGGTCGCCTTCTATGTTACCGAGCTTACGGCTTTCGCGCCGATAGTCGTCTTGCCCCCACATACAACTGCCACCCAACTTCGCAGTTCAAGGCCGGTCCTGTTTCTTTCCGTCATTGCCGCAGCTAGTGTCTCTCTCGATGCTCAGTTGGCAGCCCTCCTGAACCAGGAGATCATTCGAGTCTATGCAGAGCGGTTCTTCATCAACGGAGACAAATCATTGGAGTTGGTGCAGGCATTGATGATCATGATCGTCTTCTACCATCCGCCTGATTCGCCTTTGAAGCTGCAATTTTTTCAGTACACGCATATTGCTGCCACAATGGCATTGGAAATTGGTTTGGCCTCAAAACGCCGTGTAGACAAAAGCAACGATCGCAGAGCGAGCAAAAGAGCCACTTTTGATGAGCAGATGGCGGGACAAGCCAGGACGATACTGTACTGCTATCACCTGACATCAGTGTAAGGTATGCATCCGCACAAATGAAAGCAGGTATGCTAATCCCAGACAGTATCGCAATGAAAACGCGCCGACCGAATCTCCTTCTTTTCAATGATTGGTTGGCCGAGTGCGTCAAGCATTTGGAGCGATCGCCAAACGCTGTCGATCGGCACATGGCTACTTGGTTCGATCTCCAGCGGATAGTTGATGAGTCGATGACCTCCTTCGGCCTTGACGATACCAGCTCAACCGCGCCCCTGACCGAATCACGCCTCCAAGCTATTCTGCGGTGGTTTGACAATCGTATGCTCTCGTGGCGCAAGGAACTCCCGCTTGACATGCTCACTGGTAAGTCACCGTTGTTGGTAGACACTGGTTTCGAAACACCTGATAACTCATAGTGATCAGTGCCCATGACTTTCGAATACCATTACACCAATCTCGCGATATATGAGTTGGCCGTCGGTGAGGGATACCGTGACCCAGATGCAATCAAACAACAGTTTTATACTCTTCCCTCCCCTGAGGGCAAGGTGAAGTCGACCGGTACACAGCTTAGCGCGGTCCGCGTAGACATCACGATAAAATGGATGAATGCCGCCCATGAAATGCTGGATTTCTTCCTCAGCTGTGACACTGAGATGTTGCGCAAGATCCCGAATCTGATTTATACCCGGGTCGGGACGGCGATGATGTCGCTCTTGAAGATATACTTCTCGGTCAGCGCAGGTGCGCTCGGGAAGTTCATCACATCAGAAACTGTCAATGTCGACAAATATCTGGATGCAATGACTCAGAGACTCGCAGAGGCTAGCGGAGGTCAGAAGTACAAAATCCCGAGTCGATGGTATTACGTCGTTGCCGTCAAAGCGCGAAATTGGTATGACCGCTTGCAGCAGCAGCAGAGACAGAAAGCTGTCGGTCTGAGCTCAACAATCAATGCGGGACCATCGGCGTCCCAGTCACATGTATCGAGCCAGAAACAGCCATCGTTTGACCCGTCTCACCAAAATATGCCGCTTGGGATGGGCTACAATATTTTGCCTATTGCGCCTTTCCATCCTATCGCCGGAGGATATGGAGTACCGGCCCCTGTGGATCAAATCTGGTCGCCAGATCAAGGCGGTTTTCGGAATGTGTCCAATGCCAGCCAGTTTTCAGGCTACCAGACACCCAACCCCATGTTGTCTCCTCAATACGTGTATGATATGCAGCAACAGCAGCAGCAGCAGCGGACCCCATCAGTTAGCAGTCTGCAGGGTAATCCCTCACCTCCCAAAACAGGTATGGAGCTTGATGAGTGGTTGCCAGACGGGAGTGTATTTGCTTTACCAACTTTGCCTGGCTTCTGAGGGTCCGTGCCTACCTCAGATTCGAGCATAGATAGAAATTCAATAAAAGTTCCGTTTGTACAGGCGCAATCCAGACAGGGCCCTATCTAGTGGTTCCTAGCTTGTAACCTAAGAGCAGTCAGTATCAAGTCAGAGGGAAAGACCGGCCCTAAGAGAGATGAGAGCCTCCAGCGGTACAAGTTCGAAGAGACATAAGTTGTTTAGACGAAGCGAAATCAGCAACCCCGCTAGAAAGCAGTTCTCAGCTCGCGGTTGACTCTTTAAAGCACGAATGATAAAAGCTTGTCATCGGGCATCGGTTGACAAGGAACTTCCGACGATCCGAAAGCGGGACAATTACTATCCAGAAAGTCACCGAGGGTTCGGCAACGTTTTGCCTAGTTTTTCCCTTCTCCAATACCCAGAAATGAACAGGCAAACCCTGAACTAAAGCACGGAATCATCGGACAAATGATGACTAAGTGGAGTTTGACCTTCACCATTGAAACATGAACTCGCTCATTCGGCAACCTAACAATGTGGGAAGACACCAGGCAACAATTGGCATGCAGGACCTATGTTATAGCGTAACGTGCTAAAGATTTACCCCCAAATCAAGATAATCGTCGTAAGCCATCTGATTCTCCCCAGCAAGCCGATCGAGCACTTGACAGCTTGCTATTGGCGGTTCAAGTAGCTGCCAGCCAAGCGGCATAACCGAATTTATGTCCGCATGGATCAACTGCCTCAGATATCGAGATCAAGACATGGGCCATTCTACGGAGCAATCTTACCTAGAACGGAGTATCAATTTCCGCCCTGACCGCTACGATAGGCAGCCATCTCCGAATAATTTCTGCGTTCCACCTATCCTGTGGATGACAATACTCACTCAGACCTTGTCATTGTTTTGTTGTGTCTGCTTGATCAAGGCGATGCATAGCTCTCTTATCCGCGGGATGGATCGTCCAATAGATATGCTGGAATTGGATCTCGTTCTACCATGGAATTGGGGTCGTGCGTAGCGTCCTATGGAATACACCAACACCCTGGGGCATACTCTGCGCGCTTCCGCGTACCCTGATGGTACTAAATGAATTGATGCGCAAGGTGGCAAGCTGTTTGGTTGGTTTGCACTTGCATCTGCATCAATGACGAATTCAAGTTTCAGCGAGGTGCCTGGCCTGTTTGAGGGTCTTTGCAGCTGCCCGGCTCTGGTCCTTATATCGGCCACTTCTCCGGCTGCAGCTCAAGATGCCAAGAGTCGTTGAGTAATCTCATAGCCAAGCTTTGTGTCAGAATTCCGACGACCGTCACGCAACGAAAATCCCGAGCTGGTTTCTAGAATAGTTGGAGATTCTGGTCCCCTGCAGAAGGTCAGAGCAGGAAGTTCGATCGGACGATGCGAAGGCACGTTGTTGTACGTACAGTGGCTGGATCTGAGAGTATGTACAATTGGCACGCAGATTATGTAATGGATCGGTAACGGGGCCGCGTAAACTTACAGTAAGGGCGGGGATTATCAGTCAATGGATTTACATCCATGCTCAAGCCTCCCAATGCACATCCAAACCAACGTGGTCAATCATGATCCTATCGCTATAGTCTATCTGTTATTGCTCCAAGAGATGCGGTGCTTAGCATTCAGCGAGGTTTCCCTCTGGGTACTCCAACAAAGTGCGGACTCCATGACGTGACGTGATGCTCCTCCTTTCTACAGTGCTCTCCATTGTCCCGGGGCCACAATACACACTTACCGCTTGCGGGACGTGGTCGTCTCTCCCTCTTCCCCATGCGGGCCACCATCTCAACTAGTCTACTGTACTGATTACTACCTGGCCTGGTCGCAGGCTTGTTTCCAACTCGACCCCAAACAAACTTGTTTGTGCTGACCTACTGGAGAGAAGGGGAAAGAGGAATCGTTTGCATGTTGGGTGGACTCCCTTACCTTCTTTTTTACCTGCCACCGTCGATAAACTATCAGAAGAAACTTGGCTGATCGTCCCATTGCCCCCTCGTTCAATAATCATCAGCCATTCATTCCCTTCCCCCCTCCGCGTGCTCCACCCGGGATCCCAAGTTCCTTGAACCTACTAACCTTGACACCTCCGCGGCCTGCTTGCCTACTTGTCTGCCTGCCTGCCTCATTACTTTTGCTTCATCAGCCTCCGGAATCTCCCCCCCGAATTTGATACGTGGTCGCCAACCACCACTCTCCCTGCTACCTCTTCCTCCTCCCTGATCCACCGAGAACAACAATCTGTCCAAAAGTGTTCGAGCGCATCCGGAAACATCGCACGAATGGGTAGTCGACAACCCACATCGGAATCTGCAGCACGGTGGAATTAGGGAAAGAGACTTAGAAGATAGATCCACCAGAAAGCGTTGACTCCCGAACAAAAGAAATAAAACGAAAAGGGACAGCCCTTTCTTTTCCGAAATAGTGTGGGGCGCAAATTGAGCACTCAGATGAAGAATGAGCGCAGTCTCCAGTCCCAGTCCTGTTGACCAGTCTGTCGACGACGACGCTGCAGATCTGTCACACCATTCGCACACCTCGAAGCCCTCTGCCAACGCCACTGTTTCGCCAAGCGCAACCACGGATATAACGCTGAACGGGAATGTCAATGTCAATGCTGTTCACAGCGAAAGGGGGGAAGTTACTCTAGATAAGACGACCGCCCTCAGTAGTGAGTCAGGTAAACCCGCAGCAGCCAACCCGGAACCCCAGCAGCCGCAGGAGGAGCTTGATGATTTTGGATTGCCGATTCGGGTGCGTCCGAAGAGGGAATCTTCTGAAAGTGAGGAGACTTTTCATGATGTTTCCCAGCAGGGCCAGGGACGCGATGGCGATGAAGGAGATGGACTTTCACACACCGAAGTTACCGTGGCCGAGAAGCTAGGGTCCGATGAGCAGACAACGGAAAAGTCGCGGGTCGTTAGTAATGATGAAAGTGAGGGAGCAACACCACCCTCTCCGAAGCCTGTGGTGCAGGAGAAGGAAGTTTCGACCAGGGCCCCAACGGAACCTCCTGTGGCCCCCGAGAACCGCGAATTACCTAGGGACGAGGAGCCGCCCCCGCCGTATACCAAGACTCCATCGCATGACGACACGAGACATTCGACCGATCTACGCAAGACGAAACGGAAGTCCTTGGAGGCATCTGAATGGTCGCACCAACACTTGAACACAACTATAGATTCGGAGGAAGAGAGTGAGGAAGAAGACGATGATGGCGGTTGGAAGGATATGCCTGCGCTAGGTGACATGGACGTTTATGATGACTATGGTCGGCTTGTGGCAAAAGGTTCAAAGAATGTAGAAAGCGATGAAGCTGTTTACAGTGGCATGGGTGGGGCTGGCAAAGGATACACTCGGGTGCAGCTTGATGAGGATGCTCAGTCTGCGACCAGTATGGATGAAGACACAAGCTACCTCTTCAAAGACAGCCATGCGAACTCTGCTGGGGTAGAGGAGGAACTGCGTGACCCTACCAGCCAGATGCAAGCCACGAAAGACCTTTTGACCGAGAGCCAGAGGATTGCGTACGTTGGGGTTACTCGACTTACGTTGTGGCAGATGGCTCTAGAGATGAACCGAATCCCCTCCATCAAGGGATGCCGCAAGGCGAGACAAGGCGGTATCGACTCGATGCGCAAATGGGGCCAAACGATGATGGCCAGGCTCTACTCTCATATGGAGATAGACGCAGCGGAGCAAGTCATGATTGAGCAGCTGGCAGAACACGGCGTGCAGCCAGCAGATCTTGTCCGACCACTCATGAGCAATGCTCGCGTTAAGAACCCTCTTGCTGAGGCAACTGATACACCGAAGAGATCTTTGTCCTCGCCTTCGTCTCCTCCGTTGAGGGAAGAATACCGGAGTAGTATCTCAACAGAACTTGACCAATCATCCAGGTCAACATCCCCGCCCCCTTACGAGACACATGAGGGGGAAGATCTTCCGGAGGTTCGTACCCCATCACAATTGCCTACCTCGGCCAAGATTGATATCGATCTCCGCTGGACTGTGCTTTGCGATCTGTTTCTCGTTCTTATCGCCGATTCTGCCTATGATGCCCGTTCACGAACCCTACTTGAAAGAGTGGGCGAATCGATGGAGGTACCGTGGCTACAGATTGCTCGATTTGAAAAGCGCGTGATTGATGCTCTCGAGATGCAGGAGTCTGCAGACAAAGAGAACTGGGACGAAACGGAGCACATGGAAAAGAGACGCAAAATGGCGCTGAAACATAAATATATGATCATGGGCTTGGCCACAGTGGGTGGCGGTCTGGTGATCGGTCTCTCCGCGGGATTGCTGGCCCCAGTCATCGGCGCAGGCTTAGCGGCCGGGTTCACTACCGTTGGCATTACAGGAACAAGCGCGTTCCTTGGTGGTGTTGGGGGCACAGCGTTGATTGCTTCCGGTGCTACCCTAACGGGAAGTACAATTGGGTTGAGAGCGTCTCAAAGGCGAATGGGAGCTGTCCAGACATTCGAGTATCGCCCGTTGCACAACAACAAGAGAGTAAATCTTATTATTACTGTCTCTGGTTGGATGACTGGCAAAGTAGATGACGTGCGGCTGCCCTTCAGTACCGTTGATCCCATAATGGGTGATCTCTACTCGGTTTTGTGGGAGCCTGAAATGCTGCGGAGTATGGGAGATACCATTAATATCCTAGCCACCGAGGTGAGATGGTAACATGAGCTTGTTCTGCAGCAGCGCTAACATACACCTAGGCTCTGACGCAAGGTCTTCAGCAAGTTCTGGGACAGACCGTTCTAGTAGCTTTGATGGCATCTCTGCAACTACCTCTTGTACTAACCAAACTGTCGTATCTTATCGATAACCCTTGGAATGTCTCGCTTACTCGCGCCAACGCGGCAGGTCTAATCCTAGCAGACTCACTTATGGTGCATAACCTGGGGAAGCGGCCTGTCACGCTTGTGGGATACTCTCTTGGCGCCAGGGTAATCTTCTCTTGCCTGAAGGAACTTGCAGATAAGGGCGCCTATGGACTGGTCCAGAATGTTTACCTCTTCGGGTCACCGATGGTGGCAAACCGGGATGAATATCTGAAGGCGCGGAGTGTTGTCTCTGGTCGGTTCGTCAACGGTTACGCTTCGAATGATTGGATTTTGGGCTATCTGTTCCGAGCGACGAGCGGCGGTATCATGAAGGTAGCAGGCCTTGCTCCTATAGAAGGCATTCCAGGATTGGAGAACTTCGACCTCACGAAGCTTGTCAATGGTCACATGGACTACCGTACCGCAATCCCTCGGTTACTAAAAGAGGTTGGATGGGAGGTGCTGAGTGAGGAGTTCGCAGAGATCGAAGACCCTGACCCCGAAAACCACGCAGAACGGCAAAGAGAGCTCATTCGTGAGATTGACGAGGCGCGACGTGACGCTGAGCAAAAACCTGAGAAGAAGCGATTTGGTCTGTTCAAGCGTGGCAAACTTGCTCAAAAGAAGAAGTGGGAGACATACGATGTGGATCGCAACAATGCGACAGCCCGAAGCTCTACTGACACCAATAATGGAACCGGGTCAGTCTTGTTCGACATTGATGCCATTCGGGCTGAGCTGGCTTCGGAAAATCTCGAAGTCAAACAGCTTGAGTCGACCCTTCCACCTATGAAATTGGACCTGAGCGCCCCTGCGAGTCCATCCCCTGCTCCCTCGCCGCCAAAAACACAAGAGACGAAGTTTTACGAGCCAACGTCGCCTCCTCCGCAGACGCTTCCGGAGAAGCAACCAAGTTATAGTCCTTCCCGCCAAGCTCCACCATACTCTCCACATCACGAGGAGGAAGTTGAGATGACCTTCGATACTTCCTTCCACGAACCATTACCACGTTCTCATTCCTCATTCGGGGCTTCCAACTCATATGATGCCCAGCCTACCAGGCCAGAGCTTCGGTCTACAGTCACGATGCCCGCCCTGGGCGCTAGTACTATGGGTGCTATGGCTCTGGAGCCCAATGCCTGGGCTGAACATGACATCGGAGACGGTGATGAAAGTGAGATCCAAATGACTTTTGAGTGATGACGAAGCATGATAATATGCTACATAATGTGAATGAGATTTCTGTTCGTGTACATGCTGGCGTTGCTCAAGCGCTGACTCAGTGACTTGCTCAACTGCCTCTTCTATGATCTTACCTTGAGCTTACGGGTCAATTTCCCTTGGTATCATACGTGCCACATGCCACCGCTATGGATCACATGGCTGAATGAGAAAATTAGACTCGGTACTGTGCTAATGTCCCTGGATTTGTTGCAAGCCATGCGGTCCAAATCTTTGTGTTTTATTGTTTGCATTTCATTCTTCCGGGTCAGAGGCCCTCTTCGGCGTGCTTGAGGCCATTATCATTTGCGTTTTGTGAACATAGGCCCGCCATTATTTATTTCTGGGTCTATGTCGTCAACATATATCTGTCTATCTAATTACATATCTTACCTAACATACAATGTGCATCAGTCTTCATGTCAGATCTAGGAGTTCTTATCGATAGCCACGCTAGCGTCTCGCACGACAAGGATAGCCCTGCATGGATAGACATACCTAGTTTAGCCTACTAGCTGAGGAAATTTAGTACAAGACCAGACCTGATTCTCCATCTACCCTTGTTGACCATGATTAGTTCAGTCGTGTGCTTGAAACCAAATGGAGGATCTTTTCTCGGCAGCTCTATCGAAACAAAAGTCCCAAGCCCGCCGTGCGGAGAAGCGGCCCCCCGATAGCGTGTCACCCACGCGCGTCCCTCCTCGACCGCATCTTTCAAACCAGTTCATCTCGCTTCTCCTCTCCAACACGCCCACCCCTACTGGACATACTGCTTTCTTTCGGTAATAACTGGGTAGATACAGCCTTACCGGCACTAATATGAGCTGACTATAGCCTGCTCCAATCATTCCACTGTCGAGGAAATCGTCTTATGTTTATCGAACTACGGAGTCACTCCTTATACCACCACCAGAACGAGAAAAGCTCCAGCACACGACGTTTTACGAAGTCTCAAACTATCCGATCGATCGAGCAGTAACACTCACCAGCGTACCGCTCGCAACCTCCTCGTGTGCCTATCTACCTCTAATTGATCCACCAATCCTCCTGCTCTCCCTCCTCAGTCCTCCACCCCCGCGCCGAACCGTTCGCCCAGAATGTCCCTCACGACCCGCGCACGGGCGAAGCCCAATCCAAGCTTCGCGTCGAACCGGCTAACAAGAAACGACCCCATATCAGGCGGACATCTGCTCACGAGTTTCCGCACAGGCGAGGGAAGCCAAGCACCGGGGAGCGCGCGACCGGAGCCCGCAACGGACGACGAACCGCTCAGCCTCAGCGAAGACGAGAGCCAAGCCTCGGTGGATCTGTCGGACGATGACCTGGGCAAGCCGAGTCGCTACGCGCGCCGAGCGGGGCCTACACTACAGGAAAAGAAACTTGCGCGGCAGTCGCCAGAGGGCGGGGAGACGCCGCGGGCTTCGCGGCAGCGCGCTGGGACAAAGAAGAAGTCGCAGCTTCCCGCCCCCTCCTCCTCCGCGTCGTCGGCGGCGGCCGACCGGAAGCGGACGAGGACGCTACTTGATATGACGGATGATGGGGAGTCGACGAGCGACGGGGAAGAGGTGCTCTTTTCGTCGCAGTTTCGGTCCTCGAATAGCTCCAAGCGGAGGAAACCGACGGTCAGCTATGCCTCCAGGAAATCCTTCGGCGGCAGGGTTTCTCCTCCCAGTTTGACGTCTCCCGTCTCCGCCGCCTCGTCGCAGTCTCCGGTTAGAAAAAACAGATCGAAGAAGGCGTCGAAGGGAGGAGCGAGCAAATCGCGCAGTAGTCCACAGGGCGCGGAGGAGTTCAAGGTGCCACGTGCTATTATTGACTCCAGCCCGAAACCCGAGTTCAAAGCGCCGCCCCCGTTTCCCCGCGATACGGTCTCCAGTTCCTCATTCGCCACATCATCCGCTCGGGATATTATATCTTTGGATCTTGACGACGACAGCGATTCTTCGCCGAGCACGCCGCTAAGCTCCGCATCGTCAACCCTGCTGGAGGAGCTCTCTCGATTTGACGAGGCCCTGCTCGCCTCGGGCGACGACGATGAGATGGATAGCGCGACACCCTCCCTTTGCCCGTGGTGCAAAGAACCCGTCCCGCGTGAGCTCCTCATACGATTCGAAGCACAGCCGAAGCAACGGATGCGCGAACAGAGACAATTCTGCGAATCGCACCAGCAGCCGACCGCCGAAAGGAAGTGGCAGGAGCAGGGCTATCCGACTATCGACTGGGACGGACTCGACGCGCGCCTCGGACCGCACGTAGAGAGCCTGGACCAAGTCCTGGAGCCGGGCAGCTCGTCATTCTACAGGAATATCCTAGACACGAAGCTCAAGGCCGGCGAGGCCAAGAACTTCCGGCTGGAGATGCTCGGCGAGGGACTGGTGAATATCTCGTGCGGGTACTACGGGACTCGCGGCTCCACGAAGATGTAAGTGTTATTTCCCCCCGTGTCTATCTATCACGCCTTGATTCCCCCGCGCGAGACTCGACTAATGCATCTTACGCAGGCTCGAACATATCACGGCACGATACGCTCGCAAGCTGCGCCGTCTAGCGCCCCAGGACCATATCATCCACACCGCCGGCGTGGTCGGGTATGCGCAGGCAGTACTAGTGCCGGAGCTGGCGGTGAGACTGGTGAAGGAGGATATGCAGGTGGATGACGAGCGGGCAAGACAGATTCTACGCGACAGTATGGAACTCGGTGAAACGGTGAATCCTGCATTGAATGATAAGATCACGGTCGAGGAGACGACGGACGAGCCCACCAGTGTGGAAGGGACATTGTCTGTTTGATTTTTGTAAAAATTGGTGGCTGGCTGGCTGGATTGCCTTCAAAATTCCTCCTCTTTTTTTTCTCTTGTTTCAGCCTGTTTCTTACTCCTTGCTTTGTTCTTGTTTTGCGTGTTTGTTGCACTGGCTAGGGACCTTGGTGCGGCGCTGTATATTCTATTTTCGACGATTGATACCTATCTGTTTAAGTGGAGATAGTCAAGGGCTTTTTTTTTAGCGGAATGTATGTGAAGGGAGGTTGGTGGAAGAGTGGATTCTTGATGGTGTGCGATTCCGTGATTGTGAGTAAATAAGCTGTTGCTGGAGTTGGGAGAGACTGCCCAGGGATTCCATGGAACGGAAGTGATGGTGCCGAGACTGTCACAGTGGAGTTGCTGACGCTAAACTAGTTTGGGTCGCGGACTGATAAGATACGCTGATTCATCTGCGGAGGTGCAACTGATAACTACCTGACTGACCCCATCCATTCTTCCTCTTCCTCTTGCTCTTCCTCTTCTCTCTTCTCATCATCCTCCTTGCGATGGATGCTGGCGAATTAGCTATCTAAACTCCCTTTCACCATTGGATCTTGATCCATTTATTTCACCACCACACCATGTTCCCCGAGATGAGGGAGAAAGCCATGGCTCCCTCGGAATCGACCCCGTTGCTCACTGCCGTCACTATCGCTCCCCGGCGATACCGGTACCCTCACCACGCGCTTCGCCGATCCTGTAATTTCATCCTGGGCTTCATCCTTGCCCTCTCTGTGCTCCTGTTCCTCGTCCCTTCTGCCATCCTTCCCCGCGAGCACGGGTCTATCTGGTCTTATCTTCCCTGGGCGAATCCCTACCCTCACGCCTCCTGGCCTCACGGTCACGGTCTGGGCTTCGAAGAGCTGCAGGCTCTGCTCCAAGAGACCCCTTCCGCCGAGAAGGCCCGGGAGTGGAGCAACTACTACACTGCCGGCCCTCATCTGGCCGGCAAGAACCTGAGTCAGGCGGTATGGACGCAGGAGCGGTGGCAGGAGTTCGGCATCGCGGACACCAGCATTGTCGCCTATGACATCTTCCTTAATTACCCCGTAGACCACCGCCTGGCCCTTCTGAAGAAGAAGGGCGATGCCACCGAGGTGACCTTCGAGGCCACCTTGGAAGAGGACGTTCTGGAGGAGGACCACACCAGCAGTCTGCCCGATCGCGTGCCGACTTTCCACGGATATTCGGCCAGCGGCAACGTCACAGCCCCCTTTGTATTTGCCAACTTCGGCACCGTGCATGACTTCCAAGATCTGATTGACGCGAACGTGAGTCTCGCGGGTAAGATCGCCATCTGCAAGTATGGCCGCATCTTCCGCGGTCTGAAGGTCAAGCGGGCACAGGAGCTCGGCATGGTTGGGGTCATTCTGTACGATGACCCCGAGTCTGACGGGGAGATCACCGAGGAGAACGGCTACGAGGCGTATCCGAATGGGCCCGCGCGGAACCCGAGCGCTGTGCAGCGTGGTAGTACGCAGTTTCTAAGTACGTGGCCCCTTTTGTTCGCCCTTTCAGCTACCTGCTGGCACGAGTAACTGATCGTGACAAACAGGCATAGCACCTGGTGACCCGACTACCCCTGGGTATCCCTCGAAGCCAGGCTGTGAGCGGCAGGACCCATTTAATTCGATCCCGTCCATTCCCTCCCTGCCAATCTCGTATCAGGAAGTCATTCCGCTTCTGAAAGCTTTGAATGGACATGGCCCCAAAGCATCGGACTTCAACAAGTGGTGGCAGGGCGGTAAGCTCGGCTCCAAGGGTGTCGAGTATAATATCGGGCCTACCCCGGATGATGTCGTCATCAACTTGTACAATGAGCAGGAGTATGTGACCACACCCCTCTGGAATGTCATTGGCGTTGTCAAAGGCCACATCCAAGATGAGGTGGTGATTCTGGGTAATCACCGCGATGCGTGGATTGCCGGCGGCGCGGGCGACCCGAACAGTGGGTCGGCCGCGATGAACGAGGTCATCCGCAGCTTTGGGGAGGCCCTCAAGGCCGGCTGGAAGCCGCTCCGAACCGTTGTCTTTGCAAGCTGGGATGGTGAGGAGTACGGGTTGCTAGGCTCCACAGAATGGGTGGAAGACCAGCTCCCGTGGCTCACCAAGGCCAATATCGCCTATTTGAACGTGGACGTGGCTGCGGCCGGCACCCGACTGGAGCCCCGCGCAAGCCCGCTGCTGAACAAGCTTATCCACGAGGTGACCGGCTTGGTACAGTCTCCCAATCAGACTGTGCCGGGCCAAACTGTGCGCGACGTCTGGGATGGACACATCTCGACGATGGGCAGTGGCAGCGATTTCACCGCCTTCCAGGATTTTGCTGGCGTCGCCAGTTACGATCTTGGATTCGGACGTGGGCCCAAGGATCCCGTGTACCATTACCATTCGAACTATGATAGCTTTGACTGGATGGACCGGTTCGGCGACCCGGGCTGGAAGTACCACGAGGCGTGCACCAAGATCTGGGCGCTGGCTGCAGCCCAGCTGATTGAAACTCCGATTATCGCCTTCAATGCGACTGACTACGCGCTGGGACTTGAAGGCTACCTAAGCCAGATCAAGCCGGCGGCAAAGCAGCTCCCGGAGGGCACTTGGTTCGACTTTGCGCCTCTGGACCAGGCGATTGCCCAGTTTCAGGCGGCAGCGGCGCGGTTCGACGCCCATGCAGCGGACCTGGACTCGCAGCTGGGCGAAGATGTGCCATGGTATCACTGGTGGAAGAAGGTTCGACTCCTCTTCCAGATCCGGGTGGTGAACGACAAGTACAAGAACATCGAGAAGCAGTTCCTGTACCAGCCGGGACTGGATGGTCGCAATTGGTACAAGCACGTCGTGTTCGCCCCCGGCATCTGGACTGGTTACTCCGGGGCGACTTACCCGGGCTTGGTGGAGAGTCTGGAAGCGGGCGATCTGACGAATTCCCAGGTATGTTTCAGCTAGTGGGGGGATGTAGAGTCACCGCTAACTTTGATTTGTTTCTAGAAATGGCGCTCTATCATCCTGGAGCGCATCGAAGCGGCCACTCGGCTGCTGCAGTAGAGTAGGAGGGGGCCCATGCAGGATTGCATGCCAGCTGACCGGAAGAGAGAAGATGCATGCATGCATGCATGCAAGGACACTGCAAGAGGCGGTAGCGGATTGGAAATTGTTTCTCCTATTTGTAGATCGAAAGTGGTCTTGGATTGTAGATGGTGTACGTAAAAGTGGTCGAGACTCGATCGTAACACAGCTGGAAGGTAGTTCTTGTCTATAAGCAACCGGAGATGTAGGAAATTGACTCATTCGGGAGATGATTCATGGCTGCATAGAGCAGATCAGAAGCCAAGACAAACCCCGGAAAAGAGAAAAATGAACCGAGAAGCTTGTGTCTCTCATGGATAAATGAATGAATAATGAATGGAAGGCTGTGGGTTGTTGATCATCTCCGGTCACACGCCCTCGCGCCGGCTGGACTTTAGCCTCTCTCTTTTCTCGTCTTACTCTTCTTCTCCTCTTCTGCTTTTTCTTTTCGCTCTCCTCTCCCCTCTCTCCTCTTTTCTTTTCTGTCTTTCCTCTTTTGCTGGGTTTCCCACCTTTGTCACATTTCTTCTCCTCGCGCTGACTCTGTTTTTCGTCAGCATGTTGAAGAAAGAGCCCCAGCTGCCCGTGCGGCAGCTGGTTATTCTCTGTAAGAATCTGTTCTCGGCGAATATCGAAAAGATTTTACTGACCGTGCTCACCACAGCAATATGTCGCTTTGCAGAGCCTGGTATGCTATCCCAGTCACTATCCTTGTAAACTTTTTTTCCTCTCCATCCTAATCCTGCTTTGTGACCAGTGGTCCTCACCTCTGTCCTCCCCTACCTAGTAAGTACAGTACATCCGTACATCCGCATAGGCCCCCCAATATCCTTCTTCACCACCATCTCTGACCAACCACCCCAAAAGCCCGAAATGATCGAATCTGTCGGCGTTCCCAAGCATGAGGTTGCCAAATGGGTCGGGATCACCTCAGCAGTGACCTCGTTCAGCCAAGCCGCCATGGCCGTCACCTGGGGCACGGCCTCGGACCGCTTCGGCCGCAAGCCCATCATCCTGCTGGGGCTGACTTGCACGATGCTCCTGTCGCTGGTATTCGGGCTGTCCCGCAGTTTGACGTTTTTGGTGCTCTCGCGCGGCCTGCTGGGCCTGATGAACGGCAACGTCGGCATCATCCGCACCATGGTCGCCGAAATGGTGCCTGAGAAGGCGCTGCAGCCGCGCGCCTTCAGCGTCATGCCGCTCGTCTGGACAATCGGGAGTATCTTTGGGCCTGCGTTTGGAGGCGCGCTGGCCCGCCCCGCTGAGAAGCATCCCGAGGTGTTTGGGGATTCAGCCTTCCTGAAACGGTATCCGTTCTTATTGCCGAATCTGGCGGCAGCGGCGTTTTTTGTTGTCGGGATTACGGTTGGGGGCTTGTTTTTGGAGGTGAGTTCGGAGCTGGCTTGGATTCTTTGTGAGAAGGGCCAAGCTAATCATTGCCTTCCTCTTGCTATGGTGTAGGAAACCCTGGCTGCAAAGAAGGATCAACGGGATTATGGACTTGTGCTGGGTCAGGCGTTGACGCGGCCATGTCGGAGTGCCAGAGCTGATAAAAAGGCCAAAGCCCGATCAATCGCCACGGAGGAGGAACGGACGGCGCTGTTGGGTCATCCGCGCAGCAACAACAAGCCACCCCGCAAACCCAGCTGGGGAGAGGTGTTCTCGCCGCAATCGAACCTAATTCTGCTGGCGTACTCGCTCATGTCGATGCACACCATGGCGTTCGACTCATTGTTCCCGGTATTCCTGCACACGCCCGTGCAGGAGCTCGAAAACAACCCGGACGTGCATCTGCCATTCAAGTTCATTGGCGGGTTTGGCGTGGGTAAGTAACATGGGTCCCCCTTTGTGTATTTGCCCCATCCATCACTGCCCTATACTGACACAGGAAACAAGATTCCCAGACCATCGGCATCTACTACACCTTAATCGGGATCATCGGCATGATCGTGCAGTTCCTCATCTTCCCCGCAGCCGCCAAGCAGTACGGCGTCCTTAACTGCCTCAAGGTGGTCTCAATCGTGTTCCCGGTGTTGTACCTGCTGACGCCGTTCACGGCCCTCGTGCCGGGCTCGCTGCGCCACGTGGTTGTGTTCCTGCTGATGCTGGGCAAGCTCGCCGCCTCGATCTTCGGGTTCCCGTGCACGACCATCCTGCTCACCAACTCGGCGGCCCGGCTGAGTGTGCTGGGCACGCTGAACGGCGTGGGCACGAGCGTCAGCGCCATCGGACGGGCGGTTGGCCCGGCGCTGACGGGCTCGGCGTTCTCGTTTGGCGTGCGACGCGGCTTCATCATCATTCCATGGTGGCTGTTGGCTGTGTTTGGGGCGGTCAGTGCCATTCCGGTGTACTGCACGGAGGAGCCGGAGGGATTCCATGGGAAGGAGGAGGTGGATGAGGATGACGAAGATGAAAATGGGAACGTGGTAGAGGAGGAGAACGAGGCTGGGGGATATGGAGCGACTGAACATGCCTCCAGGCGAGGAAGTCAGTAAACAGAGCAAGAGCAAGCGAGCGGGTAAGAGCCAGAGGGAAGGCGCGAGATGTATATGCTTGCTACACGTATAGTACGACGAGATGTCTATGATATATACACATTATGAACTACGATAGAGACGACCAAAAATCAATCAGTCAGCGTTTGCCGTCCAGATATCTATGCATCCCTCCCTGCCTTGTAAAGTACTGTACATCCATCCGAAGTATGCATGAGAAAGCGGATCGGCAACTCGCCGCCCCGCCGAGCCGGAAATCCGAACTGATCTGGACTGGAGCGAAGCAGGGCATTACTAATCCGTCCCCATCATCTTCCACATGTCATACCATCATAGTAAACAAGACTAAGATAAGTAGTCTAGACGGCTGCCCAGTAGGTGTAACTTATATCTGCGTCACCCCCAGACAGACAAAACTTACAAAGCTTACTTTGACCCCAGCTCAAGCCCATCCAATTACTACCACTACCACTACCACTACCACTACCACCACTACCGCTACAACCATAACCATCACAATGGTACGTCCTCTTCTCTGCAACGAGCGTCCCGGGGGAGAACCCCCGGACCCCCCTTTCCTTTCAGCTTCCCAAGCACCTCAATCTTTCAGCTGGATACATAAGTATCCGGGGGAGAACCCCCGGACCCCCCTTCCTTTCAACTCCCTGGTGTTCCTCATCTCAAACCAGTGACCCCAAGAACCCCTTCTTTCAACTCCCTGGCCTACCCAACCCAGAATCCCAAGTTCAACTCCCAAGCACCTCAACCCATGAACCAGATATAAAAGACCCAAACCCCCTTTCGACTCCGCAACCCCCTCATCAACGACCCCGGTAACCAATGACATATGACCCGATACTAACGAGAATATCTAGTCAACCTCCGCACTAACACTGGGCCTGCTGACCTCGCTGGGCGGCACAATCGGCTACCTGCGGACGGGCTCGGTGCCGTCCATCGCGGCGGGACTGGCGGTGGGTGCGCTGTACCTGCTGGGGTGGGCGCGGCTGCGGGCGGCGCAGCCGTACGGCGCGGAGCTGGCGCTGCTGGCCTCGGTGGTGCTGTCGGGCAGCTCGATCCCGCGGGCGGTGCGCTCGGGCAAGCCCGTGCCGACGTTCCTGAGCGTGCTGGCGGTGTATGGGCTTGTGGTTTTTGGGGGGTTGGTTTTCCGGAAATAATCTTGTGTATCTGGTTTAAGGATTGAGGTGCTGGGGAGTTGGAGGATTGGAGGTATCTGGGAAGCTGAAAAGAAGGGGGGTTCCGGGGGTTCTCCCCCGGGAACGCCTACTTCTAGTATGGGGGACTGGGGTGTGGTTTACGGTCATAGTCTACGATTGATGGTTCACGCTTTACAGTTCAATAGTTGATGCAGAGGCATTCTATTGTCCAGGTGCTCAAACTGGTCGCAGCTCATATTCCTTAGTGTAATGGCCTACCTTCTAGACTGGACTTACATCTTACCCCAACGGCCCGCCGCCGCACCCAAGATGTCAATCGAGGAAACCTGGAATCGTTCGGTCTTCGAAGATAAAGCATGGCATGTCAAAGGTGCGTCACTCACCAACTTCTCTTTCTTGCTGCACATCGGTGCTCACTTTTCCGCGAGAAAATGGGGGGTCGACCCACTGCCACCGGGTCAAGTAGTAGGAGTAGCAACAGCAAGAGACAAAAGAAAACGGCCATTGACGTTTAGTGCGATGTGAACAGAGACTTAGCTGATGTTTATGGAGTTTTCTTTTTTTTTTGTTCTGCATCTTTTTCTTCTTCGATGTCTCGTGTGCGTTTTGCGTTTGTGAGTGTTTGTGTGTGTAGGCAGTCGCGCAAGCAGGCTTAGTCCGTCGCATCCACCACCGTGTCCGATTCCCGGATCGCGCCCACCACGACGGCCGATGGAAGCTCTTCGAGTACCGTCTCCCCTCGCTGGTCAGGAACATATGCGTACCTTGACAACCTAGCCATCTTCTCCTCCGGGCTGGTCTCGTTATCCGAATACACCAAGCGCGCCTTGGCCTTGTCCTTCTTGGGCTTCTGCTCCTCGCCCTCGGCCGGTTTGCCGGCAGTCGTGGTCGTGGTGGTGGGGGGTGTCGCCGCTGTAACCTCGGCCTGTCTCGCCGCCCCCGAGATCAGATCGTCCACTGAGCCGGAGAAGCCCGCGCTGTCCGCCGCCCCCGGAACCTTGTCCGCGCCGTTCACGGTGGTCGGCGGAACCGTGTGGCCCATGTGCATCTGCTGCATCTGGTATGCGTTGACCTGCGGAGCGCCAATCGCCGGACGCTGGGGGAGACCAGGCGCGGCGGGAAGTCCAACAGGGCGGGGCGGGAACGCGGCTCCGGGCTGAGGAGGAGTGTGTGTTTGGGGCGGGGGCTGTTGCGTCGCGTAGGTCGGGGGCGTGGCACCGTACGGCTGTTGGCCGGGGGTTCCAGTCGCGAACGGCTGCGGGGAGAAGCCCGCGGCGGGGGCATACTGCGTGGTTGCCTGGCCACCGGGCGAGAAGGTTGGGTAAACAGGGCTGGCCGTTTGTTGCGGGGGTTGTTGGAAGGGAGAGGCGGCGCCGTAGGACTGAGGGTAGGAGAATTGGGTGGTAGTGGTCGCGGGTGATGCATTGGAGGTGGCGGCCTGTGTAAACGTATATGTCGAATCAGCATGAGTCGAATCGACTCGCAAAGGGCCTCAAACTTACGTATCCGCCCATCGTCGGCGTCTGACCGGCTCCCACAGGCGTGGCCTCGCCACTGCTGCCGCCCGCACGAGCCTCCGCCATCTTGGCCTTGTGTTCCGCCAGCCGTTTCTTGAGGTCGGATACACTCTCCAGCTTGGGCTTCTTCGCCGGCTGACCGCCCGGCGCTGTCGTCCCAGGAGGCGGATTGCCCGTCACGGCCTGCCGCTCGGCCTCTGCCTGCTGGAACTGCATCGCCATCCGCTGGTTGTGCGTCTGGATGATGTCCTCGGGGACACCCTCCATGCCGAAGATCTCCACGTCAAGACTGGACCGGTTCGGAAGGGCATTGTCGACCGCAGAAAGCTGCTCCTTGTGTACCTGACTCATGTGCACGGACAAGCCTGACAATCGAAAACAGGTTAAATGATGGTCCTGCATATTTTTGGGTCTGACGACTCACCTCCGGCCGTGTTTAGTCTGCGCCCACATCGCTCGCATTTGAAATGCTTCGCTTTCTGATGTGAGATAAGGATCTTGAGGTCATCGAAGTCGCGCTCGCAGTAGTAGCACCATGGACGAGCTAGTACTTCTTCTAACGTGGGTCCACGTCTCTTTTTGCCCATTTTGTGAGTCTGAAGCTGGCCGCTTCAAGAAAGTTGAGAAAGGATGAAAGGAGAAAGGGTGATGGAGTAGTCTGGGATGGGGAGGGTTGATCGCGTGTGAGTCGCCGCTGATGGAGGTTGAGGTTGGGTGAAGAGGCGTCACGTGCAATAAGGCTTGTGTCAAGGGTCACATGATACGACATCATAGTTTCTATACTTGTCGTGTTATATGAGAGAGCACAGTGGTATCTAAAGAATTGTTATGATATGATCCCGTTCGTCTTGTTATATGCCAGCTTTGCATTCTGCTTACCCTAGACTACCCAAGTCACTATGTCACTAGACACCCCAACCCATCGTGTCGGCCCCGGATCGCCGGTTCTTACTGAGCGCTCATCATAGAAACAACAGCTGTTACGAAAACACCCTTAAAGGCATAAACCATTACGAGCACGGACATTGTTTCTTGAAGTAAGTCAGTATTGTCTCGACGATCATTATAGTACATTCGATAGCTTTTCATATGCCAAGCCAATGAAGCCTCCATCCAACAATGTACATACTCCACGTAGCCGCGAAATCTTTAAATCAATGCATCACAATAAACCTATTGTATCAGCCAGAATCCCACAATGATACAGTAGAACAAAACCCGGGCGCCAATCGCTAGCAAGACACAAGTACAAAAGAGACAAATAGACAAACACAGTAGACATGCAAGTCTCCTGTCTGCCTCATAAGAATGATAGTACATATGCACAAGAAACACAGTAGTGTACACGGTGCATCCAATGTTTTCCTGAAAATTGCGCAAAGATTATTTTGACAATAAAGGCAATAAGGACTTAGGCAGGCCGCGGGTGACCTGGTGGTGGTAGCGTAGGTGGACCGTATGGACTGTAGTACTCTGGATAGGGAGTGCGGTAGGGAGGAGGTGCTGGTTGCTGATATAGAGTGTGAGGTCCAGGAAATGGAGGGATTCCTCCCCGTGTTTCGATAGGGGGATAAGGGAGAGGAGGCCGAGGTGCAGGCAACGGCGCCAATTGAGGATGAGCCGGGTGACCTGGCGCCAAGGTAGGGGGTGCGGCAGGCTGAATCGGAGCTGGGGCCGGGGCAATTCCCTGCTCAATCCTCGGGCCGCCATAGCCCGGACTGTCCATCTTCTTCTTGCGAGGGCCAGCCTTGGGCGGTTCGGCAGCCTTTCGGGCAGCTTCCGCCAAGCGATCCGCCTCAATCTGGGCTTTCGAGCGTTTGGGATTGCGAACCCGACCCTCTTTGTTAAATCGGGCCCAGTGGTTGAGCATGGCTTCTGTCCGCTTCGGATTTTTCGAGTTTGCGATCTTTTGTCGTCGAGCAAGCTCCGCAGGATCGATCGAGTCTTCTGGGGAGCCTGACACTGGCGTGTCTACCGGAGGTGTAGTTACTTGGCTACCGCTGGGTGCTGGCTCAATGGGCGCCAATTGAACTGTTCCAGGCCGGGCCTGCGCCAGCCCAATGGCAGGTTTCTCAATGCGAACTGTCGACGAGCGAGGAGGAGCCACCGGCGCTGGTGCTTGAGACGACTCGGAAGAGCCATTGATCGCAACGGTACGAATGCCACCCCGCCCGCGCCCACGACCGCTACCACGACCACGCGTGGCAAATCGAACGGGTGTCGCGAAGTCGGATTGATCCTCGATATCCGTACCTTGGCGGCGAGTGCGGGTGCGGCGTTGGCGCGGATTCTCTTCTACTTCCACCAGAGCAGGTGAATCGGTAGCAGCCTCGTCGGAGACGGATGACGCCTTCTCTCTGTTTGCTGCCTCAAGTTCTGCAGCCTTGCGCTTGCGAGTAGCCTTGCCGACAAAGTCCTCCCGAGGCGGGTTCTGGAATTTAGGAACATGCTCCACGCCAAACTTCATGACAGTAGGCCAACCGTCTGGGTTGGGATGATTGGGCCCGAGCTTAGCAGTCATCTTGCGATACTGGGCTGGGGTAGGTTTAAAACCACCCTGAGTGAAAGGATTCTGACAGCCGACCTTGTCTTCTTTGGGCTCGTGCTTGTACCCATAGAGCATGGCCTCTTTCTTGTCCTCAAAGACTTGAGGCCTTTGTAGTTTTCTAGGATCACTGGTTGGTTTGGCGTTGTGCCGAGTGGCGTGCTTGTTGAGCTTTTCAATAGCCAGATACTCATCTTGCCACACCTTGAGAGCATGAGCAACGTTCTCAGTAATGGCATAGAGTTCTTCGAATGTGCGATGTTCGGGGTCTCGAAGCTGACTCAAGAATTCTTCGAGAGGCGTGATTTCCAGGAACTCTCCAGGAGAGACCTTGGATCTTTTGTATGGATCGGGTCGGTCTTGGAGTTCATCACGTGTATCGCGCTTTTTGGATCGCTTCGATTCTTGAATCACTGTTGCCCATGAATGGTCGAGGTCGGCAGTCCTTTCGTCATGGTCCCTGCTGAAATTGTGAACGTCGTGGACATTCCAGAGATTATGGAGACGCTGATCCAATGTCACTGGATCCTGAGCGCGCGAGAACTCATGCAACTGACTCGAAAGAACATCGGCGTCAGGTGCGTCGATCTCTGGCTCAGCATCTTCTTGGAGCTTGTAATTCTCGTCGTCAACCTCAGTCGTATCGACCACGCCATTTTTCAAAGCGTCATTTGCATTGTTGTTGTTGTTGTCGTCATCAGCTTCTTGCAGCTCACTTGCGTCAAGTTCTGCATTCTCGTCTACACTTTCGTCTTCCACTTGCTCATCATCCTCGTCAAGCTGGGATTGATCTTCGCCATCTTCCTCAGCGACATCATGCGTCGCAGGTGCGGTGATGCGCGGGTGTGAAGTAGCAATATGCTCTTTCAAGACAACATTTGGAGAATCCAAACCTTTAGTATACTCGAGGAGCTTTCCGCACAAGGTGCATTTGGCCCATTGAGTCACAGGAGAGGGGGATGGAGAAGCCTGGGTTGATGTAGAACGAGCATTGAGTGGCTCGGAGAATTGTCGGCGCAGAGGGGAGTCCTGGCTGGCCATGTCCGAAGTATGACTGTCCATGTCTAAGTCGCTTTGAGCGACCGAAGCCATGGCAACACTAGTGAGAGGGGTTGAGAAAAAGACAGTAAAAGAGAATCAAGGGTGATCAAATAAATTCGACAAAGGGGATCTGTAAATCGCCCTTCTCGATGCCCAAAACTTGGGGGGGGAGGATCTGGAATGGCGTTAGTGAGGGAACTTCGAGGTTGAAAAGTTCGCTTGTGGTGCCAAGCCGCCATAAGTAACTGCAGCGCAAGCTTCTACACCAGATGTTCCGATGGGAAGGGGGAGAAGACAACAAGGCCAAACACAATCACTGGTTAAGGGGCTGTAGCACTGGGGAAGGCATTGGGCAGCCTCCCACTGATCCATAATGGAACGTACATTGACAGAAACGTGGCAGGCAGGTTTTTGTAGGCACAAGGAGACAAAGTATGGCTCAAGCAGGTGATATGTAACATACCTTGTGAAAGTTGAGACAGAGCCAGTCTGTGTTGCAGAGGTAAAGATCGGTAGTCAGAAGTAGAGGAAAGCAAACCTCACTGCTTGATCCGAGCGATAAGCGAGTAGAGCAACGGTGTGGTTGTCTACAGTCAAGAGTAGAGGGTAGGTGGTCGCGAACGGTGGGCAGGGATAGTAGGAAGTCGTACTTCTGGAAATGGAAAAGTAGAAGCCGAGCGGGTAAGCAGAAAAAAAAAGATGGTCCCAACAACACGGGCCAAACAAAGGTCACAGTGGGATAATAAAGTGCAAAAAGGAAAGGTCAAAGTGCGTATTAAGGGGAATTGGTATGATTAGATAGCAAGCAGAGCTTGAGGCTGACGCGAGTGTGGAGAGAGAGAGAAAGAGAGAGAGAGAGAGGGAGAGGGAGAGGGAGACTAGTCAGGTGTGGACACTGGTAAGTAACAGTGGGAAGTATGAAGTCTGCCGGGCTGGAAGTAGGCAGATGGGCGAAAGGAAGAAGGGGAGAAGAGTGTGAAAAAGAAAGGGAGATGACGACAAAACTGTGTGGGTAGATACAACAGCCAGCAGTGGAAGGGAGGAATTCAATAGAGGATTGAAGTTCTAAGTAGACTGGAGGAGAGAAGAGGGTTGTGGGATGTTGTAGTTGAGAATGCTTTGGGGGGAAAGGAAAAGAAAAAGACTCGAGTTTGTAGACTACAGCCAGCGAGCAAGTAAGAGTAAGTCGCCTTCACTACTGTAGAGCGAGCACACAGCGCGGGAGTAGTTAGTAGTAAGTTGGTAGGTAAGTAACTTAGTCTTGAGGTAAACTAAACTAACATCGTACCTCGCCGTGACTGTACCTTACGCCGACCTTCCCTTTCTACCCTTTTTACTACCACTCCGACTCCACTTCGTCGACGAATTGCTGACTCTGGAAGTCCCGGGAAAAAGCCATGTTCCGGTCCGATCCCTCACGCAGCCGCTTGAATACGCTTGAATAGCCCTGGGGAGCCAATGGCCGTCATTGTAGTTTCTTCTACTCCCCGGTTATTACCTGACAGTAAATGGTATTTCTCTCTCAATAATACCACCCGATTGCCTATGGCAGGACTACCGCGTCGTTGGCCATGCGTTTCATCACCCCCATAGACTCCATCTCCTTAGTGGGTTTGTAGATAGAACTGCTGTGATAAAATAGAGCGCCGACCTCTAAAGTCGCATCCTCTGGCTAAATTGACTCAGCCTCAATGAAGTCTAAGGATTGAACTGCGTCTACCCGATGAGAAGCCCAGTGTCTTCCACGCTATCATCGGAATCGATGCTTGGTAAGTATCGTCACCCGATGTACGTGACATCATCTTAGGTCGTTCAGATAGTGAGAATGCTAGAAACCAGGACAAGTACCCAAGTAGGATAGAATTCTGAGAGGAACCAGCCTTAGTATCCATGTCGATAATGGCCTGATTGACAGCGGAAAATCTGATCGTTTGGGCCGATTGCTCCCTTGGCTGTGGAATGTCCCGGAATGAAACCATGGTGAGCGCACTCTATACTCCCACCGGTGGTGGGAGACGGGCGGGGGAGATTCGGACATACTATGGAAGTGTTGTGTCTGGTTGTCAGCCCTTCTGTGGCTCTGTGGATCCGATTTCAATCGCGGTCATTCTTCGCTAATAGACTACTTAGTCTAGTCAATTTGTGTCATCAAATTGCTGCTGCTCAGGACACCAGCAACAAACAATAAACGCCATAACAAGTCCCTTGTTCCGTACTATCATTATTCTCGGAACTCAATTCTTAGAATTTAGAAGTGCATAATTAAACACTCAATCCAATTAGTCATGCCAACACTTGCACTGATTCCTCTCTCCCACATCCAATGCGACCAAGAACCGACTAACACAGTTATAGGCAGCTACCGTCGCCGCAATCTCCACCACTTGCTTATCGTTAAAATGCCCTTTCACCTCCTGGAAGATCTCCTCGGGCACCTTGACCGTCTTGGTCATAGCGTCCGTATACTTCAACACCGCACTTTCCGCCGGACTTAGGACCCTTTTCTGTAACTCGGGACAGATCTCGGGATGTCGGATGGCCTCCATGGCCTCCTCGCTGAATCCCTCTGCCTTCAGTAGAGGAGCGTGTTGCTCCCACTCGAACAATGCGTCATTAAGCACCGCCACGCGACACATGATCATCTCGCGGATAATGGTCGAGATACTCGTTCGCGTGCGGATGGCGCCCATGAAGGCGTTCCAACCATCCGTGATCGGGAAGGAGTGCATCAGTGCCAGATCGAGTGGTAGCAGAGTTCCTGGGGCACGTCGGGCTTGCGTTTGTGCCAGGATCTCAGCCTCCTCGGCATTGCTCGTTATCGGAGGGTTGGCAACGTATGGAAGGCGCATGGTGGGTGATTGATAGTGTCTGGGTACGTATGGGCTCGGGACTTAAGGTATGTTCTCTGTTTGATGTCAGCATGTATACTTAACTCACTCGTCTGATATGGTAGTTGGACCTTTGCCTGCACAGGTGATAGCGGTTGCTGCTAATGTTGCGACGACCTGTTTCCGAAAGCCCTGGTGTGCGTGATTCTCCAAAGGTTCGGGGCTCATGCATGCTAAACAAGGTGGAAATTGATCCCTCTTATACCATGAACCGTCCTCTATAGATTGATCGACTACTATCTATCCGACAGGTGGCGGATAGGGTTCGCTGTGGGACGTAGCGCAAGGAGCGGGTTATACGTATTTGGACCTCATCAGATCGACAGGTTGTTACTGCTCCTGTATCCCGTTAAGCAGTCAATTGCTCTGGAGGCCGACTCGAACACGATTGCGAAACTCTAAATGTCTCAAAGATGGCAACTTAGATCGTGGGAACTATTAGGCTATGGTCACGGGGTGGCCCCATCAATAGCGGTACAATAGACGTCGTTGATCACAACAGAGATTTAATGACATGCGAAAGTCACTTGTAGATCAGTTGCGTGCTATGGGCTATTCTGGAAAGAAATAATGCTTGCTTTTCTGGTGTGACAGAATACAGATCAGATCTGGTGGATCGTGGATTGTGCAGGCGGCGAATCATCCTCAGGCGTACTTAGACCGTCTGTAAGGAGTTGAGTGGGAGAGAAGGATTTGACAGCGTCAGCAGACTACCAATCGGTATACCTAAGTTCGTTATATCACATGTAAATGCAGCACTCAAAGCAACTTTTGGTCTCGTCATATCACCTTGGATGGTGAAGAGAGGGTGCGCGAGGCAGTCCGCAAGCTGCCGCACTGGATTTTCGCTTAAGCTCTTAGAGGGAATCTCAAGTGCACCTTTGACGGAAAGAACTTCCTTGACTGAAGAAAGCGAGGGAGAGCTTACTTTTGAAGCAAAAATCTGGATATATCTTAGTGTGATCGCCATCTTCAGATCGATCTACAGGCGGTGTGAAGTGTGGATTCAAATCATGGCTAAGCTGAAGACTTTCCCGAATAGACTTTGATGCGACAGAGTCCAGCTTAGCATTGCCAGTCTTTAGGCAATGCTCCGGGACTATCAGGTGCATAAAAAGAGTGTCATTACGATCTACTCATCTTACATAGCATTGTCTGCATTTATATTGTTTAGCCAAACTAATAACCCAACAGCAAAAACAAAAACAATAGTAAGGAGACGATTTGTTCTAGTATGAGGTAGTCTCAAGCGAAGCTCAATGCTCAGAGAGTCGCACATAGTATCAGCCCAGATGGTGCTATTCACAATGTCAACCGAGTCTGGATACCGGTATACTGATCCTCAATTCTAGTTCTAAGTAGTTAGTTGTAGAGTCAAGCCTTCATTGTCAAGGCGGAAGGCGGCCACGCAGTTAAGCCTCTTGGCACAGGTCATCCCGTCCCCACCGCCCAAACAACCCAGAGAGCTTCACTCCACCTTCGATCGGTGCTCCCTCCTTTATTCCCCCATCGCGAACACAATACACTTCACCTGCTGAAGCACACCCGCAGCGAACGTCACCATGCGTCCCAAGTCCTCGAAGCCCACCAACGATGAGCTTCTGGCTCAGTTTGACGACTTGACCGTGGAGTCGGCCGTCGACCAAGAGCCCTCCAAGACTGCCTCTAAACCGGCCACCACCACCGCTGCTACTGCGACGCAGTCGGAGCAAGACATCCTCGCAGAGCTGGACAGCTTGACTACCCAGCGCCCCAGTAGCGGCCCGGGTACCCCGCGTGTGTCGATCAACGAGCCCCGTCCAGTTATCAAGTCACCCAAGCCCGCTCCAGCGGCTGCGACACCCGCGGCCGGTCGGACCAGTGAGGAGAAACCCGTCCCGCGGAGATCGGGTGAAAGTGTGCGAGCATCGATTCCGGAAAAGAAGACCGTCAATGTCCCGAAACCCGAGTCGGAGCAGCCCGTCGCAGCAGAGGCAGTTACATCTAGCGGCGGCGGCGGCGGAGGATGGTGGGGAGGTCTGTTCGCGACAGCTTCGGCTGCTATGAAGCAGGCCGAGGCGGCCGTGAAGGAGATTCAACAAAACGAAGAGGCGCAGAAGTGGGCGCAACAAGTGAAGGGGAATGTCGGTGCACTGAGAGACTTAGGTATAATCTCCTGGGTAATTGTTATGGAACATGAGACGAATGCTAACTTCGGATCCTAGGCGGCGAGCTTCGCAACATGGCCATCCCGACCTTTACTTCCCTCATCCACACTATCGCTCCTCCGATCTCCTCTCACGAACGTCTTCAGATCCATATCACTCATGATCTGTCCGGATACCCCAGCATCGACCCTCTGGTCTACGCAGTCTTCTCGCGCGTGATGGCCCAGGTGGAGGGCGGCGATCTCCTCGTCATCCAGCGGGGGCAGGAGTCGGCACCCAAGCGCGGCCTCGATATCGGCGGCATTCAATTTTCGGGACCAGGATGGCACGACGGGCCTTGGTGGCGGACGGTCACTCCCGGTCACCCTCGGACGCTTGCGGCCGTCCGCGGCTCCGTGGAAGCTACCAAGCTCGCCCGCGCGAGTGCCGAAGCCTACGCCACCGAGCTCTTCTCCGCTCGGGGAGGAGTGGAGGAAGCCGCGAGACAGGCCACTCAAGACCTGAGCGAAAGCAACCCCGTGCGCAGCAGCGATATCTTCTTGGCCATCCAAGCTGTCAGCCAGACCACATCCGCGGAGCTCTTCCAATCGGGCCCCACGACCGAAAAAGCCAGCCCGCCGGGAGTCATTGACGCGCCAGCCGAGACCGAGGAGGAGGTCGTCTTCGCGCTGTATCTCCATGACCCCATCCACGGCATCTCCTTACACACGCTCTCCCAGGCCGTGCCTCAGAAATGGATCGACTGGCTGGAGGCCTCGGCAGCTCCCGCCGAAGACCCCAACAGCGAAGACCCCAACCTGCCTCAGACCGTCGTGCCCGAGGAGATCGCGGAGATCATCGAGGGCGGCGGAGTGGATCCTCGCGAATGGGCGGCGGAGTGGATCGAAGAGTCCCTTTCCCTGGCCGTCGGAGTTGTCGCGCAACGCTACGTCGCTCGGCGCATGGGCGTCGGCGAGCGGACGGCGGCTAAGGGCAAGATGCGTGCTGAGCAGGCTTCGGTGGTCGAGAGCGGAGCCGGTGAAGTTGCGCGGGCGCTGTAGGGGATGGTTAGTTGCCACGGTTCCTTTTGTTTGCTTCAGTTTCTTTTTTAAAGTTTCTCCCCTGATGATCAAATGATACTCCTGCCCGCCGTTTTTGTCCTGCGCGCAATTACCTGTTCTTCTTGAATGCCTTGAGAGTCCATGACATTGTTTCGTACATTGTCACTTAATCGCGCTGAAACCAGCGTACATAAACCAACCTCTGACTCCCTATTGAATTAGCGAACCTTGCCCGCATAATGAAGCAGAAATAAGAGCGTATCTGCAATGCACTATTTATGATTGATGTCGAGATAATATCTTCTTTATGTGTGTGTCCTCATCCAGCAATTGCATCCAAACAGATCCTCTCATGCCATCATAAATCTTCCAAGACATTTCTTCTTTCCCAGTTCTCTCCCAGTATAAGATCTAATAATGCCAGCGCGGCAAATCAAACCAAACCAAACCAAAAAAAAAAAATCAAGAACCGTTGCGGGTATCTAATATCGAAAAAAGGGGACTCCGTCCCATGCTGTTCCATCCGTATGTTCCTCTTTCAATTCTTTGTGGTGCCATTCCTCCACTTCCCTGAATTCCCCGAATAGATGGGTCTCACGCATCCAACTCCAGAGCACCCTCCAGACCGGGCACATGCCAGAAGTTCGCGCGAAGGGCCGTGACACTATCAATTGATAAGAAATTAGTTTTGAGTCCAGTCAAATCAACAATGGGAACAACAGGAACGACGGCGCGACTGCGCAACTGCGCAATCGCAACAAAATCCAAAGAGTAATGGAGATAACCGACCTGGTACACCCATTCAACACGGTATGCGCATCGGTGCCCTCCTCACTAGCCTGCAGCGCCTTCTTCATATCCAGCAGCTGGGCGCCCCATTTAAAGTCCTTCTGTTTGAGGGTTGTCGTTGAAGCGTCCGCGCCGTTGAGTTCGTGTTGCGGGGTGTCGGCCTCGGCGTAGAGGTAGCCCTTGGCCCAGTAATAGGGGAGGGTGCGGGTCCACAGGATGGGGCGGGACTCGACGTCGTCGCGCATGGGAACGTTGATGTTGTACAGCTCGACGCGGGGGTCCCAGTGGGCGAGCAGGTGGTTGACGACGCGGACGGCGAGGCGGGCCGCGGCGGCGATAATCGCGGCCGGCTGCTCCTCCTTGCTGCCGAACGAGATGGCGATGCCGCGCTTGCCGCAGGTGGCCGCCTCCAGGGCGCCGCCCACCGTGCCGGACGAGAGGTTATAGATCGTCGACGCGTTGCGCCCGTGGTTGGGCCCCGAGATCACTAGGTCAACTGGCGGGCGGTCCGGGAACAGGTTGAAGAGCCCCAGCTGCACGCAGCTGGCCGGTGTGCCGTTCGTGATCACGACCCATTCGTTGTCGCCCTGGGAGTTCGTGTGCGTCGTGCCGTTGGGGGTGTCATTGGCGGTGGTCTTGTCGTCCGGGGTGTAGCTCTCGTTCCAGGTGCCGTCGTTGTAGAACGCTTGCGGCGGCACGTAGATGGCTTTCAGTGAGGCTTCAATCAGATGCGCCTTGCCGATCCATGAGCGAGAGGCGGCGGGGATGGCGACGGAGACGAGGTGGCCCGCTGCTTCGAGCGTCGACACTAGCGGTTGGATGTATGGAGAGAGGCGGCGCGACGGCGGCCCGTCGTCGTTCACGACCTGTTTTTATCGGCCGCTGGCTTTAGTATGGGTTTGTTCATTCCAGTTCGTGTCTCTTCATGGTGATGGTATTGTAGCGCAATGGTGGTTCATCCTTCAACTGGTTGATATGAGAACAAGGGGAAGAATAAGCGTACCAGGATATGCATGTTGGTAAGAGGTATAGTAGGTATAGCTAGGCCTAGTCGATAGCGCGCTCAATCCAGGTCTGGTATGGTATAGACAGGCAAACTCAGGCTAGACTCGGCTGGCTCTGGGTCGGATTGGGTCGACGAAAGGGGTTTAGTCGGCAAGATAGGCGGAGTTTCAACTCGTACGTAAGAAATCTCCCCAACTCCGATTCGGTCGTTGATTTTAGTATCAAATGTTTCCTCCTAGGTTCATCCCCAGACACAAGGGGGAAAAAAGAAAGAAAGGCATTCCGTTATTTATAGCGCCGACTTGGGACTGGGCATTCCTTAAGCCCGGGGAGTCCAAATCCGTTCTTTTCTCCTTCCAGACCTTCATTTACCCCGACCGGCGAAGAGAAACCGGGGAGAATTGCAATTGCATCTCGAATCTGGTCACGGTGAAGCTCTTTGCACTGCGGGGGGCCCGATGGAATGGGCAGGTTTCGGGAGACTTGGTATTGTCGTCATGACGAGCGCATAACGGGGGGTTTTGCAGGGAGGGGGGGAGGCTCTAGTGCGAAATTACCATCTGGAACCAAATCATACCAACGGGAAGCCGAGGGCCCGCCGAAAAGAGTCTGCGGTGAAGCTGGCAATACTGCTGTAGTCGGCATCTCGTGGGGAAACGCATTCCGATCCAGCCACGAATCGTTGATTTCTTAAGGTAAGAGAAAGAGAACCTGGCAGAGAGACGCGGCAGTGACTTTCTGCGGTCAGCAGAGGGGGAAAGGCGCTGGCTCAATTGCTCCGCCGTCTATATAACCGGGTGCAGTCCCGGTGGCAGAATACATAGCCACCGGTTTGGACATCATGATATAGAGAGATACTGTAGTTCGTCAGTTTTCTGGGTGGAGAGAAGAGGGCCTTGGACGCCTGATAGCCTCAACACACCATTATCCTCCCGTGACCACTTCGACTCAGCTAGTGGTGTGATAATGTGAGGTGTTCCCTTGATTATCAATGGAGCACCATCGATCGCAGTCTACTGACTCGGACATTTTAGTTGCAGTGCATATCTGGGCGGTGGCAGGGTGTACAGTACAGGACAGAGAATCTACTACAGATCACCCTTCCTCGGATCAAAGACATCATTCTGCATCCAGAAGATTAAGACAGTGGATTCGGAGGAGCATGGCCCTACTGTCCACGGTGCCCCAAACAGCCTGGAGGGCAATGATTGTGTCCACAAGGTATATTATTCCCTGTGCAGACCCAAGCAACCGCATAGACAAAGCTATGTGACGGTGTGTTATGAATGACTATGAAGAAGATAATTATGCGCTAGTCTACGGATCAACCGGTCAGTTGATTATCAATCAAGATCTTATTGTTGACAGTCAATGGAAGAGACCCTGACAGGGCCACGATGAATTTTACTGTTGCACAACCGGAGCCGGTGGGATCTAGAATCGCTTCCAGGCCGTCAAACCGACCTTGTTTTCTGATTGCTCGGTGCTTGTGGTATTCTTAGCAGTTCAACTGATCAAGAACTCTATGAGAAGTTTAGTTTAGGTAAAACCGTGGACCTTCAGGCGCCTAGCCGCCTTGAGAACCTCCCTCGAGTCTCCAGGCTCTCTCTTTCTTCCCCCATTCGCATCACGCCGCACGGAGAACTCCAGCCCGTGCCGAACTTCCACTGCATTCTCTCGCGTAATCCCCATCTGTCATCTCAGGTTCGGACTTCTCGGAGACACTATCAGACAGATCCTATCATCAGATCACATCCCTAGACTGACTGGCTATCACCCCTCCTCTCGCTTGACAGGGTTTAGCACGGTGGGATGAGCGAGTACCCTCAAGGTTGGTATTGAGTATGTAGACTAGTCTACTGTATGCAGGGCGGTACAATAGCCGACACTAGAGAGGAATGATCTCCTGGTATGGTTTCAGACACGGTTGAATGAATGGTTTGGATCAGTTGATGATTGATCCACGGCAGCAAAACCCCTCCTGCCAAGAAGCTATTCTGCACGCGCACACACACACAATACACACACAACAACCGTGTGTGTACTATACTTATAGAAGTACCTTTTTCTATGTACTGTACAGTAGATAACCAGATATAGACTTGCATGCATCTCGACCTTTTGGATCACCACTAAACCCTTCATTCCAGTTCTCTGACCCAGGATAGTTGATCTGCCAAGATCCATAGTCGACCACCAGCAGGAAACCTGCAAGCTGACTGGTCTGTGCGAAAGGATTTCTTGCGACAACATCAACGTACTGAGGCCGATCGTCGCAGTAAAATCTTTGGTGGGGAATTAATTATTATTCAACACTCTCACTCGGTCCCAAACCAAACTAAAACCAAATCAGTCCGGACAGAGTCAGCCACGAAGGCCTTCTTGCGCCATCAAACCATTCCACTGTTATCTTCTTCTTCTTCTTTTCTTTCTCCTTTCTCTCCCTTCTTCTCCCTTCTCCCCCTCTTCGAGAAATCAATATCATCGTCATCGACCACCGCACCGCCCTCCTCCGTCATCGCAGCCCAAAGCTCACCCGTTCCGACGAGTGTGCTTTTTTTGCCCCGCGCGACCATTCGCCGGTTCCCAACAATCGGGAACGCGCTAGAGTCCTGGCCAGCTCTTCGAGGTTTCCTCGATCATCCCTCGCAGACCCTGTATGGACTGCGGGAGTACTGGCAACGCTGCGGGCATCGACCCCAAAATCCTCGATAACTGGCAAACTGACAACTTTCCCATCTCCGCTTACGAGCATCCCGGCTACGAACAACCGCTAGAGTGGGACACCAGCCAGGAATCCAGCCAGGGTGATGCGGATATTCTCGATATGAATGGCCTCCATGGCCTCCCACGAGATCAGTCGGGGGTCGCCATGGTCGGACAGTCGGACGACTACCAGGGAAGTGATTACAGGTGCGGATGTCTCAGCCTCTCCCCTCCTTGAACCCCTCCGGCTGATGCGCCTCCCGCCCCCCCTTGCAGTAAACAACCAGGAACTTCCACCCCCGACAAGTTCAGCATAGTCGATGGCACCATTTCGGGCACCGTCAGTGCGACTATCAGCCCCCGAACGCTGCCTTCTTCCGCCGATGACAACTTCCATCTGGATGAGTCATGGCCGCCTTTCCACCTTTTTAACGCCATCTCGGTTGGCATCCCCGGCGAAGCTGGCCTCCTCTACCCATACGCCAAGGAACCCGTCGCCTCTACCAACACGGTGATCGTGGAAGACTCTGGGGACTTGCCTCAGGGACAAGGATTTCAAGATGTCTCCTCCGACCAGTTTGTGCCGTTCCAAGCACTCCCACCGGCGTTTTCCTTCCCTCCCACGGAATCCTGGTCTGAGCCCCCCACCGCTGCCGCTGAGAACATTCCCCACCAGTCTCCGATTTCGCTTCCGATGGGCCCGCAGCCGGCAAACAAGGGCCTTTCAATGCGCAGCTATCATGGACATGTGCGGTCTCTGGATTCGCGCTGGCTAGATAGCTTGGAGGCCCAATTACCGAGCAACATGACCTCCCCTGCGTCGATGTCAATGCCGCAGGAGTCCCCCTACTTCAAAGAAGAACCGAAAGGTCAAGACGGGTTTCAGTATAAGTCGGAGAGTTCGTCCGTATCCGGGGAAATCTCCACTGTGTACGACCCTTACTCGAGCACTACGGATGGCATCACAGCCTTTGCCGACCGCCAGCTGGACGATGAATGGAGGGATGCGCGAAACGATGATTCGCCGTCAGACACAGCACAACCCCTCCAGAATGCCACCGCTTTCATGGTCAGCGAGAACCCAGCAGAATCATACTATGTTCCGGTTGATTCTCAGCCGAGAACTTCGTCTGCCGCTCAGCGAGGGCCGGCGCGGCCACAGGCTCTAGCCATGCAGTCGGTCGCTACTGTTCGAAAGCGCAAGCAGCGTAACCTCAGTGTGAACTTGGATCAGACACAACCCAAGCCATTGCAGATCGTGCAAGAAGACGGTCAGGGCGGTTCTATCGCTTCCGCCGATTTCATTTCTCCGCCCCGTGGCGCGCGCCGCAAGGGGCCTCTCTCCATGGTCGGAAGGGCAAATGCTGGATTGCGAAGAAAGAACAAGGACACGTGTGTTCAGTGCCGATTGAACAAGCGCAAGGTTCGTATTACACAAGTGAAACACCCTTTGGAGAGCATAGCTGACTCTGCAAACAGTGTGATGGGAATGCTCCGTGCGATGCATGTCGCCCTACGCTGCATGAGCAGCCGTGCGCTCGCGCCTGCTTCTCCAGTATCGTCGAATATGGTGTCTGCAATTATATCTGTACGTACCAAGGCTCATTCTTTGATGTGTGCAATTTGACTGACATCATCAGCCCAACGAGCGGTCAATCATCCCACCCTGGATGGAATGAGACGAGTGCGGATGGAGATTCCTTCTGAATTCGATCTCAATGATCTGATCTCATTCCTTGGAGAGCGCCAAGGACGATTCAACATCCGTGCCAGCCAGTCCTGGGGGTCTCTCTATACCCTCGACTTGGCGGAGACTTATCGGTTTCTGCGTGGCTTAAGCGAATACAACGGCAACTCCAAGTCGACCTTCCTCGAGTTCGTCGACCGACGGCTCGTTGAGTCTAAGGACAAATCAAAGAATTGGTTCACTTGCGTGAAAGACTGCGACCCAATGACCAACACTTACGTAAGTCTTTCTTGCCGCGATGGCAAAAAGCATCTCACTAATGTGTATCGCCAGACTCTGCTCTCGAAGTGGAACAATATGCCTAGCCGTGCGAGCTACAGCTTTGTCCCTCTCCAGTCTGGTGACTCAGAGAGACCGATGGATATCGACAACCCGGAAGATCGACGGGAAATTCTCATGGCAGCCCAGTTGTCGCGCATCATCTGTCGGATGCTCGAAGTTGAAGGGTTCCGCAAGCTGGAACGCGACTTTTACAATATCAAGTGGAAACAGATCTCTCAGGATACGCACCTGCGATTCCTTAACGAACTCGGCCACATTCTGCTGACTCTCCGTTGGCGAATGTCCTGGTGGAAGCAACTGGGGGATGGCGGCCGCGAACCCGATCCCAGCAAACAGCACTATGTCGACCGGGTTCATCTACTGTGCAGGATTCTTTACGTGTACTACACTTGTGTGATGGCGAAGCTCCCTTCGTGGTCCGCTTCAGAAGTGCCAAAGGGGACGTGGTCGACGTACGCCGACTCGGAGAATGCCGTCTGGGATGATTTTCCTAGCGACCCCACTGACGACGGCTTTGCTCGCTGGGTCGACCGCGGACAGGAGCTGATCGAGCAGTCCGGAGCCCCGATCCGGGTATCGAAGATGTGAACATGCCTCTCGCATCCCACCAAACCAAGAGGACGACGAAAAGAAGAACTGCCGGATTTGACTGATACTGCACCTGAGATACCCTTTTTTTGAAGCGTTTTTTCCTTCTACACTTTGATGATTGATGATTGTTGATCTGGCCATTGAGTTTCGGGCATGGATATATGTGGTTATGTACTATTTTGGACATAGACGACTTCTCTTCTCCATTTTTATATATAGTTTTGATTTCTTTTCTCTACCTTAATCTTATAGACTTTTTCTCACAGATGTCCGACCATAATTCAAAGTACAAACAAACCATGTAGCCCTCCAAACCCTCAGGAACCCATTTCAAGAAAAACAAACGAAAAGCACAAAGAAAAAAAAAGGGTATCTAATATCATTAATGTACTCGTATACAACCACCCAAGCAGGAAAAAAAAAAAAAGGTAGGTATATCCATGCATCCACTATCCCCTCGGAAAATCAACCGCCATCAAGACCGCAAGAAAGTAAGCAAGAAAAAAAAATCATTTCTTCCCCTTGCCCGCCTCCCCAGTCTTCTTATCCTTCTTCCCTCCAGCCAACAATTCCAAATGTCCCGCCTTCTCCGCGAGGTTCTTCTCCGTGCGCGCAGTCAATCCAGCCGTGAGTTTCTGTTTCCGCCCGGGTGCGATTAGCAAGCTTTCCGTGCGTGGTATTGCTTCCACCCCCGCTCGACTCTCCACTGGGTAGGTGGTACATACCTTGGTCAACTTCTGCTGTTTGATCAGCGAGGCCTTCTTAGGGGCGATCTGCCTCGGGCCGCGCTTGGGGGCGAGAGCTGTGGGACTTTTCTCTTGTTAGTTTGGTTTGTTTGTCGAGGAGCGAGATTCTGGGCCTGGGGTATGGTTTGCTTTGTTTTTTTTTTTTTTTTTTCCTCTTGATGGGCGTTGGGGCGGAGGGAGGTACCGTTTTGAGGTCGAGCCCGAGGGCTTGGTTTTCTTGAGGGAGCCTTGGACCATTTTTCTATTCTTTGTTTTTTCTTTTCTTCGTGTCGTGGTCAGAGGGGGGTGTACACTGCCTGCAGCGATCAGGGTATTCGGCTTCGAGGGGCTGGTGGAGGGAGTGTTTGTTGGTGGTAGGAGGTAGGTATGGGTGGTGAGGTGAGTGAGGGTTGGAGATAACTTAGGTGCGGTGGGAGGGAAAAATTGCTTATCGGGTTTGGGGATCTTATCTGTCACGTGATCTTTGGAGGTGTTTGGTGGGTTGGGGTTGTGTTTGATATGTGCAATTCGGGTTGGTTTGGGGGTTTTTTGATCTGGTTAGCTATGGGGCTTTGGTTGTATACTGTGTGTCTTTTGGTTCTGTGGTTCTGTGGTTTTGTGTCGTGGTGCTTGGGGGGTTGTTTGCTGGTGGATTGGGGTTGTAGTATATTTTGAGGGTTGCGGTGGTGCCTGGGGTTATGCATGTACAGTACACGTTCTATATATGTACGCATCCTGATTGACTAACATGACATAACCTAGTCGCGACAAGGATAGAAGTATTGACAGTATATTATATGAAGCAAGTGCGAGAAATTGATCAAAGGGTACCTGAGCAGTGTTTGAGCTTGCTTTCAGCGACCGAGTTAGACAGAGGCGGCGGCCACATCGCAATCTTATCAGGCAACACCACCAGAAACCGCAGACCCCAATCTACCTGCAGTTAGCCTAGATAACCTAGAACACGAATCGAATCACCTCTGACAACATCAGCACCACCGGAAAGTCCCGAGCCGCGATTAATACCGACGCAGGCCATCGGCGGCATGGGATAGAGTAAAGACACCCGCGCCCGTGGGAGATTGATAGTGTCATAACAGCATCGCGATAAGTCCGATCGAGATTCCGACCCGCACGAGTAGTCTATGATATTCAGCCCAAAGGGGAACTAAATATCCGTCCGGGTCCGATTGTAAGATTATATCATGTTGTTGGTATTACGGGGAAGGTTGTTGAATCCATCAAGATGAAACATTAGTGGAAGATCAAATTAAGTACAAGGGCCACCAACCCAACATTCGGTCATTGACTACTTACTCCCGAACAAGTGACACAAACACAAATACAGGAGGTTGTTCAGGCTTTGATTTTTTGTTTGCTTGCTCATCAGATCTTTCTCCCTTGGAGGTTCATTCATGTGTTCGAGATAAAAAAGGGGGTATTAACTGAGAAGTAGTGTAAAAAGAAAATCATGTCGAAGAAAGGTAATTCCACGATCAGAGTGTGGAAGATGAGGGGTTTCTTGTACAAAATGTTGAAAAAAAAAAAGCTTAATACATCCGAAGTTTAGATTGGTTTCCCTTGGCGAGAGGAAAGTATCGAAGCAACAATGAATAACACCGACTACCGTCTTCATCGCAACCGCGACACTACTACTGATCACCGACAAGCTTAGATGGCAAAAACGGCAACGATACCGGCAGCCAGAGCGCCCATGCCCAAGTTCATGGCGTTGCGGTCAGCAGCGCCGGTGAAGATGGGGGAGACGGAGGAAGAGCTGGCGGAGGGAGTGCCGGAGGGAGCAGCAGCCGAGCTGGAAGCGACACCGCCGGAGGGCTTGGAAGTCACGAAGCCGGTGGGCTTGATGACGGGGACGGAGGTGGCAGCGGGCTTGGTGGCGTCGGCAGCAGGGACGGTCTCAACGACGGTCGAAGTGGCAGAGCTGACGGCAACCTCAGTGGTGGTGGCAGCGGCAGTGGCAGTGGCCTGAGTGACGGCGGAGGTGGTAGCGGCGGCGGTGGAAGTAACAGCGGAGGAAGACGAGTAGGCGGGGTTGGAGACACCGAACTGGGTGGAGTACTGGTACTGGCCGGTGCCCTCGACAACGAGGAGGAGGCCGTAGTGGGTGGTGTCGGGCTCCAGAGCAGTGCTGGGAGTCCACTGGAAGCTACCGCTGTTGTCGATGTCCTCGGCGATGGCGTACATGGGCTGGACGTTGGTGCTGGGACCGCGGAGGAGCACCAGAGAGATCTTGCCAGTGGTCGTGGGACCCCAGGTGATGGTGTAGGTCTGACCGGCCTCGACCTGAGAGTTCAGGCCGGGGGTGTAGATGGCATTGCCAGTGGGGGCCTGGCTGTAGTCGGGCTGGGTGTAGGCAGTAGCCAGGGCTGCAAGGGCAGAGAACACGGCGAAGAAACGCATCTTGATTTAAGTTTATGTGGTTGGATTGGGAAAGATTCCTTCGTGAAAGAGAGGTATGAGGGGGATTGGATCAAGGAGTGACTGAGTAACAAGACTCGAAGCTGTAGTGCAAAAGAGTGACTACCGTGGGAATGGTATGAAAAGAACGAAGGACACGAAGGATGGGAGAGAATCGAAGGGGGAAAAGAAAGAAGGAGGAAGGAAGGGAAGAGAAAGAGAAACAGGGGGGGACGAGGAGGTTTAAAGATGAGATGTGAAATTGTGATTGAGGACCATAGCCCCCAATCCCCATCTCATCATCTCACACCCACACCCCCCTATGGAGGGGAAACCTTCTAGGCTCCCAGACCTGCGGCTCATTTGCGATGGTGGGTCGAAAATGAAATTACTTTGTTGGCCAAAAAACAAGCGTTCATCCATCGTGTGCTAGTACAAAGATGATACATACTTACCTGAGACCAGAAGTACTGTACATACATACTACGGAATACTTGCCCGGTCCAGCTTGGGGGGATAGACGGTCTCAACCCTGAGGAAGCCGTGGAATGTACGGTATGCAAGCCTTCTTAGCCACCCGACTTCACCTCCCGGCAAAAATTAGCGATGTCACCTTGGTCCGATCTCTGTCATCCCACTGGCTCTTCCGGATGATTAGTTTGAGTATTAGCTCGCTTGGATCACAGCATCCCAGTCGTCCCATCAATAGTTCATATCACGAGCACTGGGCGGGTAATCTCGACCTCCTGTGACCAGAACACCATTGGCTATCGACTCGAGTCAAGACTCCTTGAGGATAGGGATAATAGGGGAAGGCCGATATCCGAGAACGGAGGCGAAATATTCTCGCCTGAGGAATTCTCTTAAGGGAAGTGTTGATGGACTAGAATCGTTAGCAGATAGAACTAACCCAGGCACCCACGGTACCAGGCTCGATGAAGCCCTAGATCATGGAGTCGGGGGGAAAGTCTAAAGGAGTCTAAGAGAGTACAGGTGAAACACACATAACCTTATGTGAGAGCCAGCTCAGGAACAGGTATAATCACGATCACGATGAGGAAAGTGAAGAGGCAGTGAAAGAGACAATTGCAGAGGCAATTGAAAGTGCTGCCGGATGATGGGCGGCAGAAATATTCTGCTGTCACTTTTCTTCTTCCCTTTTTCTCCCCCTCTCCATTCAACTCATTCCGTTGTCAAGTTCTCTGCCCACGGCTAATGTCCGGTTCTCCTCTCTGACGCTGACTCTTTCATTTCCCTCCTGCTGAGACTGTGATTTCATCCGGATTACACTGCCTTGTCTTCCCGGTCTGTGCTCGATGTATCCGGTAAAGTCCAGACCTCCAGGAAATGAGGCCGGCGCCACGAGGCCGGAGCGTTGAACGAATTGGATGGCGACATTGGCTCAAGGAAAAACTCCGATTCTTTGGGCCTGTAGGCGAAACACTAATAAAATCCACGCCAAGCCTATTGGGAAGTCCAAAGTCGTTCACCCCCACCATCTCTCTACTTCAGCCGGGTTTGTTGACTTTTGAACCTGATGGCGCTGGTGATGCACTGTGCTCCCTCCCCGACCGTTGATCTGCGCATTCTTTCAGGAGGTGTATTACTTCTGCGTGGAATAATTATATGGTTGAGACTGTACGAGAATGGTGATCACTGAATACCGCGGCGCTTCCGACTGCTGGCACATGAAGTCATCTTATCCCACACCAAGCTGACGATGACCCTGCCCCTTGGCCATGATTTTCAGGTTCCGTTCCTGTCGCTCATTTCTCGTTCCTGACCAGGTGTGTGGAGTGTGTGGAGACTCTATCCGAGTGGCGGCCACACACAGCCTTGGATCCTGGACACAGCAGAAACTTACAGCACAGGAAAGACTGATTCCCCGGCCAATGGTCGCGTTCAATGTCCCGTTCGAAGAAACGTTCCTGGCGGATGGCTGACCTTTTTCCCTCCCCATTGGGTAAGTAACACGAGGTCAATCCCAGAATAAGCACAAACTTGGCCTCGCAACGTTGATTGTGCCAACTAGGTGCTTGATGCGTATCGCCGAAGGGTTTTACACAGGGGTCCAGCCTACTATGACCAAAGTCTTAAGTGCTTGTCCACGTGCCCTCCAATGCACAGGTGTCTTTCAGGCATGGGTTCTTTTTTATCTTACAGGCTTACAGTATAGCTTGAGTATCGGACTACTGCTCATGTCTCGGGTCTGATCGCTGACTGCAACTTGACTGATAAAGCTAGTCCCTCCGCCGGTGGAGAAGAACTGGCCACGGAGGCCTGAACTAATTTAGTCGACTATGCAGGACCGGTTCGCCGTGTCGGTTCTATCCCAATCCAGATGACTTGTCTTACACCCCTCCGAGCTTGGCAAATTTGTGGCATAGGTACAGTACATCTATTTACAGCTCTCGTTCAATACGGACGGAAATACACCCACGCGAGGAAGCGGTTGTGAGACGCCAGGAACAATTAATGTCAACACAGAATCAAAACCCACGGCACAGTGCAGAGTCGAGACTGCTCTTGTCGCATAACTTCCAGGGTCTGACACGCTTCCGACTTACATCAAGAACTAACGACGGAAAAGGCAATTCGGTTGGTGGAATTCGTATAAACTAACTAGGCTCTACCCTGTTGAACCCTGCTGCAAGTGGGTATCGTAACAAAGAAAATCTCCTGGGCCCGTCGCTGTAATCCTGCCAGCTATGGTCCCGATCACTGAATCAAAGAAGCTCGTCGCCTCGACTTGACCTCATTCGTGATGATGATGTCCGGCTCGTCTCTGGGCTTGCGAATTATGTGCAAACAATCATGGATCTTTGCGTGTGGATCACGCGGTCCGATCAGACCTATTCCACCCAGGTCACGGTCTTGGTTTGCAACCACTCATCGTAACCACCCACACCCCCGAACCGGCCGTATCCGCTGCTCTTCCAGCCGCCGTGCGGAAGGACCGGCTCGTCATGCACGGTTAAGGAGTTAATGTGGACAGCTCTGGGTCATTGCAAGATCGGTCAGGTACAATCGCTCTTTAGGAAAAGGGTCTGATCTACTTACCCGGCTTCGAGCTGTTTGGCAATCCTAAGCCCGCGGAACAGGTTGCTCGTAAAGACCGCAGAGGTAAGGCCGTACTCCGTGTCATTGGCCAGTGCAACCGCTTCCTCCTCGGTATCAACCACAATCAGGGACACGGTGGGGCCGAACGACTCCGTTGAGTAAAGGTCCATATTCTTAGTGACATCGCCCACGACCACCGGCCGCATGCTGTTACTATTGGGATCGATACTCCGGGCATCCCCGTAGATAAGTTTGGCGCCCTTGGAAAGTGCATCTTCCACCAGCCCCTTATTTTTGTTCACGGCAGCTGAGTTGACGAGGCCCAGCGGCGGCATGTGCTTCCCGAATACCTTCTCGGACGCTTCTGCCACCAGCTGCTTGAACCGGTCGGCGATTGATCGCTGCACAACAATCCGCTCGGTGGACATGCAGATTTGACCAGACTATACTTCTATCAGCAAGAGTCACGAGTAGGCTGAGCGCCAAAGGAAGGCGATGGTCCTTACGTGCAAGAAGGCTCCCATGGCGCAGCACATCGCAGCCTTCTCTAGGTTGGCATCGTCCAGCACAACAGCCGATGCCTTACCGCCCAGCTCGAGAAGCACCGGCTTCACATACTTACCAGCTGTCGATGCGATAATCGAGCCAACGACGGTGCTACCGGTGAAGTTAATCTTGCGCACAGCTGGGTGAGCGATGAGGGCAGTGGTGACGGCTGCGGCATCCAACGTCTGGTGGAAGACCACGTTCACGCAACCCGCAGGAAGGCCCGCCTCACGAAAGATGTCCCCGATCGCCCAGAAGCACTTAGGTGCCAGTTCGGATCCCTTCAAGATCGTTGTGTTGCCCGCGGCCAAAGGCAGGGCGACGGCGCGGACCCCGAGGATGTAAGGAGCATTCCTAATTCGGGGGTTAGCTAATGATCAACTAGCTGCTTCGCTCTGAGACAGGGCGTTGCCGGTGTTTGGGGTGATGAAAACAATACCAGGGCGCGATTCCCAGGACCACTCCGTACGGCTGCTTGATGACCATCGCCGACTCTCCATTGACAGAGGGCACCGCACCCTCAATGGACGGAATCAATGCCGCAAAGTCTTTCAAGAAACCGACGCCCAGCATGAACGTCTTTTCCACAAATAACCGTCCCGCACCAGTTGCTTCCATCTGATATCGAATCAGCTCCTCTTTCCGGGAAAGCATGACATCCGCAGCCCTGTTCAGGATGTCTCTGCGGTCGGAGGGCTTTGTCTGGCTCCATGCGGGGAAGGCAGCCTTCGCAGCGGCCACAGCACGGTTGGCATCATCAACCGAGGCGCTGGCGCAACGGTCGATGACTTCACCAGTTGTAGGATTTTTGACGTCGAATGCGACATCGCTTACCACCGATTCATTGTTGATGATCAGCGGAATAATAGCTGGTTGACCATTAGTGCTGTTCTTAGCGATCATTGTGACTTGATTGATCGTCGAATGATCGACTGCCTGATGTCTAGGTGTGGAAGAGGTCGAGTGACGGTGGCGACCTGTGCCGGGTGTGGGAGGGCGAGGAAGACAAAAGCGACAGGGATGCGAGATACCCAGGGGTTGGGTTGAGGAGGGGGGTGGTAAGGTTGTTATATCTTAACACCTGACAAGGGAGGGGAAGAGATGGACGAGGCGATGATAAGAGCGAGAAGAATTGGGGCCGGCGGCGCAGCTATTCGTCCGTTGCTGACGCTTGTCCCATGTAGCTGCAGCCACCGAAGTGAGGGGACAAGGCCGTTAAGTTGCCCGGGGGGAAGAGGGGCGATGGAGCCGAATTTTCCCAATGTATGGGACGGCCTCTTATTTGGGGAAGGGGGTGCTGGCTAGTAACTACTAGGAAGGTAAAAAAGAAGGGTCGCTCGCGCATTCATCCATGGACCATGGACTCGGCTTGTGGGGGTGGGGGGAATTCCCGAGATTCGCATTGCCCTCCCATATCTTCTTTCACCTGATGATGCGATGGTTGTTTTAGTCGTGTATACTAATGCATAGTTAGTCAGTTGGTTCAATTGGTATTGGACTGACTGACTGCCTTGTGGCTTCCATGAGTGTATCGCGTGTTTGTCTGCATTGTAACTGCAGGACATATGTGTGTGTGTGTGCATGGGTATGTGTATGCAAGTGTGTAGGTAAGTACTCTAAGTATGATGCGCTGTGACTTCCCCACCGGGATAGGGAATATTAAGGTTGACAGCTGGATGACGGTTGAGAAACGCTCAGTCCTTCCAACTCAACTTCCAGCGTCTCCCCCTTTAGACTATCGTTCGTTCCCCTGAACATCAAATTCGGGATACTATTCATTCTAACTTGCTGGCCAATCACTCCTACTTTGGCTCATTTGCCTCAGCCTGATTCCGTGACGAGTTCCCGAATCTGCCTTGCGTGCAAATATTGGAGACTCACTCCAACGGTCTAACGCCCCCCTCGGGCCCCTCTTCCAGATTTTTCAAGGAGCCGGTGGAGAAGAAAATCCATTGGAATCCAATGACAATTAATTCTCGAGCCCCTCGCATGCCCGCTGCAACGGCGATCTTATCCATCATTGGATCCCGTGACTCGTGGCGTCCCCATTTCTTACTTCATCAAGCATGGCTGATACACTACTACAACTGATTACACCAGTAAGTAGCTACTAGCTTGCTTCAACGCCAAACGCTGACGGACTACTCCAGCTTCTCGGCATTTCGGTGTGCAGCTAGATGTATATTAGGTTATAATATATTTTCGTTCAACAAGACTCCGCTGACATGTCAGAGTGCAAATGAACCAGGTACCATCGAGTCAGTCACGGCCCACCACCCCCTTATCACCCCCATGTCGATCTCGAAGTAGGGGGGAATGACTTGCAGCTCCCCTCGATTGCACTTATCAATCTAACCAACCAACAAGACAGTCACCTACAGAGTACTGTATACGATTGACGAATATCTGGAGAACCGAACACAGGTCATGATTGACAGAAGAGGTGTCATAGTGCCCAGAATTGAGTATACTTCTCGGCCGCTCACACGGATTCCTCATGCATTACTTCATCGAAATAGAAAGATAAAACTCTAGACACCAACACGCAAAACCAATGCCCGGGAATATGTATACCTAACGCCCGCTATGCTCCTTGTCCCTTTATAGAATCTTTTCCGCACAACGACGGATTGCAAAACTCCGTGGCTCAGAAAAGAGCTCACAGTCTGCCCCATCATTTTCCAGCCCAGATCTTCGTTTCGGATGCAGTCGGTGCCATGTCAGCAAAAGGGCAGGCAGGAGTGTGTGTGGCCACATTGCCGCTTCGGATGCTGGAGCGGTCATCCTCGCTCGATGTGCCAGAACTGCTGTCGCCCAGGATCTTCTTGTCGCCCAAGTAACCTTCTTTGTCATCGACAATAATTTCGGACATCTCGTCGGCATACTCCTCGCCATCTCTCATGCGCCATCTCGCCACGAGGTCGTTCTGGATCCAGATGATTTTGCTGATCGCCCGGATCAGGGCGGTCTTGCGTGGCAGGGAAAGGTGGGGGTGCGACATGAGAGCTTCGGTGAAGATATCCTGGATGTATCCCAGGCATGCGCCCATGTGGATGTATTCGATATTCAGCGAATAAAGTCGTTCTTGAGCCGTGTGCATCATTCTAGGTTCGTCAGTCTTCGAGTCTTACTTGGACGGCATCAGTGTCGCGAAAATGAACTCACCCAACTTTGTTCAGGTACCGCCAGAATTCCATCTGGGACGGGTCGGAGCAGAGCTTGGTCAAGTACCATCGCAGGAACATCTTCCGGCGTTGAATCTGGGGGCTGTCTTCGGAGAAGAACTCTTCTATCGGTGTCTCGTCGGCGGTGTCTCTAGTGTGGAAGGCACGTGCGGTGATGTCGCTCTCGAGGAGTTTCTTGTACACGATGTTGACGACCGCCGGAATCAAGGCTTTGATGTATTTGGAACCTGCTACCAGCGCTTCGACGTCGCCTATTATCCCACCACAAGGGTTAGCTCGAAAAGGGTCGATAGAGCGATGAGATGCAATGGACACTCACTTGAGTTAAAGTCCAGGAAGTCTCGAAGATAGGTGATGCGTGCCTCCAGGTGGGTATACAGAGCCTTGCGATCGACATGCTTCATCGGCCGACCAGTCTCGAGTGAGAATTCCATTGTTGCAGAGAGGTGTTCGTTCTCACGATCTCAAGGTATGACAGATTAAGGATAAAAGGGGGCCGTTCCGAATGGGGCTATCTGAAAGCGGCAGGACTTCTCACGAACTCCTGGGGTTGGATCAAGAGATAAATCTGGCGATGATGGAAAGATAATGGAAGAAAATCGAAGAAGGATTGGAGACCCATGAGAGGACGGCGACATCATGCAATTATATATGTCGACTGGGCGAGGGGGCCGTCCGAGAGGGGCCCAAAGATCACTGGGCATATCAAGATTCTGCACTGATTGCCAGTTCAGAAAATCCGAATCCGACCCTCCTCCACGCGGGAACGGATCCATCATGATAATTGTGGGCACTTGATCGAGGCGAGGGGAGTTTCACTATGCCACTAAGAAAGGCGATGTATCCAGCACGGGTCGCAGACTCGCAGACTCGCAGACTCGCAGCATCAGACCAGACAAGGACCGTCCCCGTCCAACGGCCACAGAGGATCCCGAGACTTGGCGATTACTTTGCTTTGCACCTCGGTGGTCTGATGCACTTAACCCACTTTAGGCCTATGGCCTACTGTCCACTAACAACCGGCTCACATCATATCAACATCATATCACCCTGCTTCTCTCTTTCACAATCATACTCATCATTGCCGCTCTCAATTGTGCGTTCCCGATTGCTGCCGGTGCGCTGGGATGCATCCACCCTGACTTCGTATCATTTCGCATCCTTCCACGCGTCGCCCGCCGGCTCTCGGAAACATAACCTCCCACGAATGGCAAGGAGAGAAATTCTCCACGAGAATCACCGGAGAGGGCAAAAGGAAAAAAGCATCGGAGAGGGTAAAAGTAAAAAAAAAAAATAATTAATTGTTCTAGCGTGGGGCGTTCGATGTGTCCATGTCCCACGAAATGGATTTAATCAACCTAAATTAACTCCTGTGCTAAACAAAGTGTTTGGTGCAAGGGAACAGCCGAATGACTACTGTCAGCTCCGTCGATTAGTAATTGCAAAACAGACAGAACTTGCACCATCTAGGAGTCCAGACAGAATTAAGATTCCCCCTTTCGATAGCAACCTAAGCCAGATTGGGGGTTTCGCAAATTAGGGGGGCAGCTTCTCATGATTTAGCTCTGCTTTTTCTTGTCATCTCCCTTCACCGGGCCCGACGTCTTCGTCAGTCGGAGCCGATGGCCGACCGACAGAACGCAGGATTCATGGGCCACATTGGAACGCCGGCTCGTTTTCGATGCCCAGTCTTCCCCAGTAGTAACGCCTCGGAACTAAATACTATACTACAGTCGCATACTTTCCAGCCACAGTCGATAATAGGAAGCAGTTCTATTATTGCTCCTCCGCGACGCGCTTCTGCCCACGGATGTCGACACCAGTCTAGGCACTGTCGCAAGTCACTTATCGAACTCTAAGGGAGCGTCATAGATCAGAAAGCCAATTCCTTTTCAATGAGAGACTACGACTTTCCGGTTGAGCGAGCGAGCGATCACAGGGGGTGTGTGGCTGCTGGCAGTAAAAAGGGAGTCCGATGCAATGTGAGCTGTCGACCACAAAGTAGGTTTTCTCCCTCGGCCGAGGGAGAAAATGATCAACAATGCCTAGACTAATAGGAGATCGAGCCAGAATGGGGGAATCCCCATTACTAATAGGCACAAATAGAATCGGGGAGGGAGAAGAAAGGTAACAGAGACGATAGCAACAAAAATTTTCACCCGACTGCGCTGTTAGGCGAATTAGATGGAGAACCGGTTTCTCCCTGAGATCAGGCCACTGCGACGTGGAGTCGTGGACACACACACAGAAAAAGAAACAACCGACCCCCAAGAAACCAAAAGGGAAACTGAACTAACAATAATGACGATGAAGATTTAGTACGAAACCAACGTGATTGTTCATCTGGCAGCAAATAGTTAATCCCGTCCGTCATCAGTGGTCCCACTCCGATTTTCCTAGTGTTCATCACGCGACTGTCCCCGGGTAGCAAGAAAGCGAAGCATACAGTGCTCAGTTATGGTAGCTTCCTGCGCATCATCTCGCGCCTCGGCAGTTTCGGATCTCTGATTGTCATGATCACGGCTTATACTCTGGCTTGAGCCGCGGTTGCTAGTCTACTGACTCTCTTCGATTTCTCAGCAGTATTCCGGTGACATCACTCGGGCTGACCTCGACATCTAGCCGCATTAGATCCACTCTTGATTATTCTTTGATGGCAGCCTGTCACTTGACCACTGGGGTAGCCATAATGAAGAGGGCGGACATGACTCGAGATTATGGATAACAGTTCACAACTCTTGAACTCAAGCATTGTGTCGTGGGCCAGCCATGCTCCTACTCTAATACCGGGCCGCAGTCGAAGAACGCCGTCGGGACGCGATGGGGTTCGGTGGTCCACCCGAGAAGGTATGGAGTCCGGCTAATTAGCTTGCTCGACCAGAAGAAACAAAAAACAAAATAAAAACACAAACCATGATTCTCATTATCCTCATTGGCGTATCTCTCAAGATGCTAGGGCGACGACAAGGGGTTGGATTGAGATCAATGACCCTGCTCCGAAGACTAAGCCTGGCCCTAGAACTCGCCGAGTCAATCGAGCCTTGGCTTCCCTGAAAAACGATGAGCATGGACTTCAATTGGGAATCTCACCGACCGATATCGGTTCTCTTCTCTAGTCAATCGCCTAGCTACATCGCTACCAGGTAACCTCCAGGTGCTAAATTATGCAGGCTTGGATCAGTTGATTGTTGTTGATGTTGACTCGGATGCCCACGAGCGCTTCCTGGGTTACTAAATGCCTCACTTGATCGATCTGTCCACACCGGATGAGGCTGCCCGGTCTACCGCGATATGCAGCACTAGCCTGGCAGCAACATGAGTTTGCACGTCTCTACGCTTGACCGGTGGTTTGTCTGATCCCTGTGAAAATAGCGATCCGGCTCAATGGCTCAATGAGACCAGCTATGATTCGCCAGCGGGGTTTTCACATGTTCCTGTTCTTTTCTCCGTCCCCCTCTACATATGGCTATTCGCTCCGGTTGCAGCTTGTGCTCCCCCCCCCCCCCCCCGAAGGCCAATTCTTCTATACTAATTCGCTCAGCACCCGTACCAGAGCTTCTATAGGGTAACGTAGCATTGCGCTTAATCTCCGACGAAGGAGCAGTGCCACTCTGTTGGCGGGGATTTGACAGCGGTGTTGTGTTGTAGATGGCTACTGCACCAGCTGATGCTTGCTTCGTTCGGAGCTTACGATCAAAGCTCGATGCAGCAGATCTGAGCGTCCCCTTGATATGGGCTTCTCTATAGCAGTATAACTAGCTACTAGAGCGGGGCAGAGATGTTATACGTACTGTACCTATTGACATGGTTCCCTGCGCGAGGCTCGTCTCCGCCACACAGTTGAATGCCCGCCAAGTGTTAACACAGACAGGGTTTGCGAAACAGATCTCATCTCAGTTCACCGAAGGGCCTCGATGCTGCCGCGCTTCCACCATGGCTAGCACTTAGCAGGGATTTCTAGGAAGGAGCTTTCAAGGTGAGACATGTCGCGTGTCTTACTGCCCCTTCTTCCTCTTGGCAGATCATAGTTCCCGACTCGCCGATCTAGTCAGCGCACGTCACCAGATCTCGAGCAATGAAGGGAGTACTCGAGGGGAGGGGGGTTTCTCCATCCTCCTTGATCCTGATCTCTGAAAGCACCGACGGGGTCGGGAAGTTGGTCCTCTTGTCCGCGTTTCCCGTGATCCGATCCTGTCCACACTGCCAAAACAACTGGAGGAAGCGTGAGCCACTGAGGTCAACGATCTTGCCCATCGAATCTCCGCCGGACGGGGGAGGGGCGCGGAAGGATTCCGGAGCTCGGAGAAGGCTTGAACGATTAGGAGCAAATCTTGCTGAGATTTTTTCATACGGGTAGCATGAGGTATTTTCTTTCCCGGAACTGGAGTAGTAGATCGTAGCTTAGCCTAGACTAGACAGCTAGACTAAAGCAGACTAAAAGCTGCTTCCATGCAGGGGTAACCCGCTTTAGTCATCCGGGATTTGTTTTTGATTCGGCTTTGGTCTTTCTCCGCAGTGGGATCGGTGATGGTTCGATGGATTGGGGGGGGTGTACGTTCGAGTACTCCGGAATGGTCGGTGACTTGAATGTAGTGCGGCGGTACAAAAGCCGCGAATCGTAACCTGTACTACCGATGTTCGATGAGAGCTAGTCCACTCTAGATTAGAATAAGGCGGTATTCAAATCGAGATTGGCTTGATGGTTCTGGATTCGTCCTTCCTTGTCGTGAGCTGAGAGTGGGTGAACTAAACTTTCAGGCACCACCGTTTTATTTGATGTTGTACAACCCACACACAATCGAACCGGGGATGATCTTCGTCTTTTAGTCAGGGGAAGCGAGCCGGAGGGGTGTTCCATTGCCGGTTGCCGAGATTAAGATCGTAGGACGTGGGATCTTATTTTCTCTTGGGGACGGGGCCGAACGCCTTGGAGGCTCGATTCAATCGCATTGGTGTTGGTTGGTGGAGGAAGTGGGGAGTTAGTTGGCTTGGCTGGTTACTGGTAGACTGTTTAGATCTGTTGATCATCTTAGATGTTAGTCCGTGGTGTGGGTAAAGGTAGTCAGAGGAAAGAACCGCTTTGTCGCTAGTTGGTATTTTTGGTAGTAGAGCATTATGGAGTAGATGGTGGGTAGGAGGTTTCTCCGCGGAGATGAGCTTGAGGCCACTGAAAGGAGGGTATCTAGTTAGCCTGATAAGTAGAATGTCGATTGAAACTAGACTAGGCCATGTTACCCTCGATTAACTCTTTCAGAGTAGAACCGAGTGCAACATAGGCGTGCAACGCGCGAGTTTTATAATGAGTATTGTCTTAATTACCTGTCTGCTTAAGCGCGTTGCAATCAATCTACGTATTTACTGAATTTACAGAACACAAGAAGTCAAGTCGCGAGGCGCATTACCTGCGATCGAGCTGCGTTAAAAAGCTAGCTATTATGGAGCTTCATTTGGAAAGGAACTTCGTCTTTCCGAGCTTCTATTGTACATACCATGAATCAACGAACCATTTCGTGAAGTGCTGACACCCATCAACTACCTTTTAGATAGCTTTCTTAGGTGTGGACCGTATCATGTCTTTTCGGGGAGAGCGCGCTTGTGAATTCATACCCAGTTTCGCCAGCCACCAAGTTTTGTGCTTTCTAGAATAAGTAGCTAGATCATCCAATCCCTTTGAGACCGCAGTCTTCTGAACAGGTGATAGCACGATCGGGCCCTTCAAGCTGAGATCTCGAAGGATTCGTTCAGCGTCGCTGGCGTCACAGTTCTTCTTCGCGGTTGTGGGGCGCATGCCACAGCTGTAGATCTTGAACACCAAAAGGTCAAGCTCGGAGATATATGGAAGATTGCCAGTGCTGATAGACGAAATCGGGACCGCGGCAGAGGGAAGATAAAGTGGCTATTGACATGTTAAAAATCAATGGTTGTAGTATTTCATATTCAACGCTTACCAGATCAATCGGGCACATGTCAATCTGGATCACCTTTCCATTTCCAGAATTGTAGACAAGAAATTCGGCCTGCTGCTCAAAGGGGCTGTTTTTAAATGTCGGTCAGCCTCTTTTTCACACTGGCGGGCGCTCCCTGCACGGTAATGAGGAAATCGACGTCCTAAAAGATAAGCTGCGTGTTAGACTACTGTAACTCGAAGCTTCCGACGGGCCAGAAACTAACCTAAGTGGTGCGGAAGTAGCGAACGTATTTCATAATAGTCAGGCCACCGATGATGGCAATCTTCGCATCAGCGAATTCGGGAAGATATTTGAGATTGCGTATGACGACGTTAGCGGCAGGTTCAAGTTCAGCAAACGCACGGTCCGCCATGGTGACGAACGGTATACAGAATGCTTAGGACGCTTGAACGGAAGAATGGAGTCAGAAAAGTAAGGGTCTGGAATGGATGGAGACAAGGAGAAAGAAAGGAAAAGGATGAGCCAGGAGAACTAGAGGAATTGAACTCTTTCCTTTCACAGATGGTGTTGTATAGTGAGGAGTAGCACGAATTCATTGACTTCACTGACAGTGTTGTATAGAGAAGAATAGCACCAATGAGAACATCCATCGCCAGTACCCACCAATAGAATTGGAAGGAGGGATGAGACCGGGCCCAGGCCCTACCTACAGTGGCACTCACTCAAGGCTGCATACAGTAGGCAGGTAGGCCCATAGTCACGTGCATGATGGATATCGCTCTTGTTTACTCTTGAAGCTACCTCTTGCTTCTCGGTGTGATACACCTCAACGTGTTGACGTGCTTGCCCATGATGTCCGACTTCTTGTTCTCTGGTCAGCCCCTGGATCATGAGCTCGTCGCGTCTATCGCTTGTCTTCTCGACTTGGCGGACGTTCCTAGCCTTCTTTGGGGTAACTATCTACATACAATCTATGGGGTTCCTACTGTTGTCGACGTCTGTCACCGCCTGAACCTGAGTTTAATGAGGCATCTGCTGACATATCACAGGGCGCCGCCTTTATTGTTCCCGATGAGCTTATGGATACTGCCTTCTAAGTCCTGCTCAAGGCTAGTTTTATTCCTTGCACGCCAGAATTCGATTGCGGGCTTGCAGATGAAATCCTTGACCCTGTTCCCGCTGCACATCTCCATATCAGAGCAGATCTTTCAGTGGGGCTCTATCCAAAGTCTACTGTGCTCTTGGATTTCCCGAGCTTTGATATTCATTCCTCAGGAGCTGGCAACGCGGACGTGATACTAGCGTCAGATCCTCGTCTTCCCTCTGACCGGATAGGGCGCGGCCAAGGTTGTTTCTCCGAATTGCTCTATCCTGTTCGAATCCTAACCCCCGTTCGATACTGCGAGAGCATTATACTTCTGCTATGTCGTGACCTAGGGGGAAACTATCATTGCTACTGGAATGCGATGCTGATATACGTGTGGGAATACGTCGAGGAAACAGATATTTTCGATGAGGAAAGTCTTGGTCAATGTTATAGGGACTGGTATCAAGCGTTCAAAACCCCGGATATGAAGATATGGTCAAAGCTGAATGAGATCCGCAAAGACTTTGTAAAGCGACAGGTCCTTCCAGATGTCGATGTTGATTTGTCCTGGGCTCCGGGTTGATCGTGGATTCTGACTCTGCAATGGTCCGGGGATGAGACTAATCCTTTCCAAATGTTCCTGTAAATTTCTTACGCCACGAACTGGTGGTTGATTCTTTGTCTAAGTAAAGCGTCTGGCCTTCACAATGCATAAGTGATATCACATTCTGCTCCTGATAAAAGGCGTATTACGTACGTCATTCGAGAATAGAAATATCGATTTAGCTAAAACCCCGCTCTAGGACGTCGATGTCCTTGACATGACTTGAATTTGAATGACCTCTGCACCATCAAAACATGAAGATTGGAAAAGTAGTAGGCTCACTGTCTCAACGGATCGATGTTCTTGGCATGAGTTAGACTTGAATGACCTTCCCGGCATCGAAACCTGAAGACTGGGCAAAGTAGTAGCCACGCTGATTGGTGAACACTCTCTTCCCAGTGGTTGAGTCTTGAACATCACAGTTGAAATGGGTATGCCCAAAAGCCCAAAGCTTAACGACCTCATTTTTCCAACAGACCTCGCTCGACAGATCGGTCATGAAACCAGACGAAATCTTGCTGCTCACATGTCGAGGGTCGATAACTTCTTTCTGCGTTGACGGGCAATAATGGGTGAGAACGATGACCTTGCGATGTGGTTCCAAGCGGGCAATGGCTCCGACTTCGTGGTTCAGCCAAGCAAGATCGGCTCTGTGTGCTTCCTGCTGCGCCTCGATCGGCCAGTCATCAATGTGATAGAAATCATTCAAGCCGAGGTTGACAGTATCGATCTGATCATCGCCGACGTGCGAAAACAAGGTGCAGCCGAGGATAGTGACCGTGGGCGAAATATCGTAGCGTACCTGATCGAGGATGACAAGCTCCCCAATCAGCTCTCCGTTCCGAAATGAGCGATCGGCGTCGTCCTTGAAACGTTGCACGTGAGACTTGGTCTGGCTCCAGGTGCTATGGTAGGCTTCGTGGTTCCCGAGGACGAGAAAGACGATGCGGAAGTTTGCGAGTTGTTTGCGAAGAAAGAGGAAGAAGCCCTCGTCTCTCACGTAGCCGATATCACCTAGCAAGGCGAGATATGGTGCGCTGGGACTGATGTCATAGATATCGTAGGCAGCTGGCGTCTCCAGGTGGAGGTCTGATAAGACCTGGAGCTGTATTCCGGCCATAGTCAGGCGGTGGCATGCGACGCTGATCAACCAACAAGGTTGCTGTATGGTCTAGTATGCAGGCTTTTGTGGGCGTTGACCTAGCTCTACCCAATTAGTTTAACACTTGAAAGGAACCTTGAAGAAGGTAGGTAGGTAAGCAGGCTTGCGGGGCCGGCTCTACTGAGCCTTCCGGTGTAACTCCTTATTCTATAGAACACAGAGGTATAGCAAAAATAGGCTCTCAGCTATCCTAGCTACCTAGCAAGCAGTTACAAGTTGAATGCAGGTGATGCGCCTTGCGACTTCTTGTGTTCAGTAAATTCAGTATATACATAGACTGACGCCAAAGCCAGATAATGCTGTGCATGCCATAGAAGGTGGTCGGAAGCTTTATGGAAGTTGAACAATCACACCCATGGAATCGAAGCAATCAGATGAACTTTTGAAAGAGCTGGAAGTTCGTCTGCATGGCTATCTTCACATCTTCACATGAACGGGAGATGCCGGGGTTCATCCACGTGATGTTCTTTCTATCTCCGGATGCGGCCCGTCGCTGGAGTCTGTTCCTCATCACCTGGCCTGGTCCAATTGTCAACTTTCCAGATGTTTTGTCTCTCGCCGGTTTCAGAATCATGCCCAACTCTACTTGACCTTCGCAGCATATTTGCCGCTCAAGACGTTGTACTCAGGGATACCAATTGGTGCCCAACGATCTGCACAAAGAAAGGGAGAAGGAGAGAGGTGGGAGCCAAGGGCTCAGACTCACGGACTCACTCCCCTCACTATCAAGCCGGGATTGCAATCGACTCTCTATTGCCCGATTCAAGCTAAAGAAAGATAAGGACTGGAGGGCTTGGACATGATCTTCTCCTTATTCCACCAAGACCATGGTAACCTACTTGGTCCTCCTCCCTTGCAAAAGAGGAAATGGCCGCCGATCTACATCTGATCGCCATTCGTGACGTCCTATTTTAACTCATGCGGGGAAAAAAAAGGATCCAATGCCCCAAGCTTGAGAGCCTCGGCCGCATGGATTCATGGCGGACGGTCGACCTTGCATCCTAATTCTCCCTCTGCTTCCCGCGCCTGAGGTTGTGGTTCATCCACGCTCCTAACAGCTCTCCGGATCTTTTTGCCCTCCTGCATCCGTCAGGGTGACTTCACTTCTCGTTAATTGTAGGATCATGTGGCCGGTCTGAATCGCAAGGCGGGTCGGGGAAATCCTCCCAAGTGATCGGTGATATGTCACTTCCCACTGGAGCTCGTCCCTGACTTGACCCTAACCTGTCACCCTGTGGCGCGCGCGCCTTTGTACCGTCGTGATCGATCTGATCTCCAAGAAAGCCGAGCAAACCTAACGCTAGGTTTATTTTAAGGCTATTCTCCTTTTCTGTATGTCGCGAAGAGAGAGGGCCAAGAACCATCGCTTCCGTACCTATAGATCTTCTACTATTGAGCTCTCGCTAATACGAACGCTTTTTGTTTGGCCTGCTTTCGGCGTCTCCGCATCGTCGGTCTAACTTCAGGGCGTCGACAAGTGGTCTGGCCGCGAAGCAAAATTATCTGAACGCAGCCCCAATTGCGATCTGTGCAGATCACTTCGCGATCCCCGCTCTGGATTCGGGGTGTTTGTCTGTTTGCGTTCGTCTGACTCCCTGCGTGTTCGACTATTCTTTACTTAAACCAGAGGAATTCCATTCCTTTCAATGCAGATCACAGCCAGGATTCCTCTTCGCATCCCAGCCTCCTGATTCCTTTCGAACAATCACAGTGTGTTTGCAGAATGTTGGGTAAACGCATGCAAAAGGCGCTTCTGGCGCTTAGTCTCGTCGCCGTGGGCGCGGATGCTGCTGCAGTGTTCGTATTCCTGCCAGTCCTGGATTGTTTGTTTGTCAACTAACACACATACACAGGCGCTTGGAGAATGGAGCGAGTGCATTCGATTACAAGAACCAGAAAGTCCTTGGGGTCAACCTTGGTGGTTGGCTGGTGACCGAGCCATGGATCACACCTTCAATTTACGATAACGCTGGGAGTGCAGCTGTTGACGAATGGACCTTGACTCAGAGCTTAGGCAGGAGTGAAGCCCAGTCCCGGCTTTCTGCTCACTGGAGCACGTTCATCACGCAGGATGACTTCAACCGAATCGCCCAGGCTGGTCTCAACCACGTCCGGATTCCTATCGGCTACTGGGCCCTTGCGCCCATTGAAGGCGAGCCTTACGTGTATGGCCAACTAGAATACCTTGACAAAGCCATCACCTGGGCCCGAAGTGCCAATCTCAAGGTCATTCTCGATCTGCATGGCGGTGAGTTCTGCTTCTCTCCACCCCTTGCTCCCGATGTTCGGAGCACGATTTGATGCTGACGGAAAGATTTCCAGCGCCGGGATCCCAGAACGGGTTCGACAACAGCGGCTGTAAGGGCCCCGTGCACTGGCAGCAAGGGTCGACGGTGAACCAGACCCTGGTCGCATTCAACGAGCTCGCCAAGCGCTACCTGCAGCAGTCGGACGTAGTCACGGCGATCGAGGCGCTCAACGAGCCCAGCGTGCCGGGCGGGGTCAACCAGGACGGCCTCAAGCAGTACTATTACAGCACGCTGGCGACGGTGCAGAGAACCAACCCAAACACGGCGCTCTGCCTGCACGACGGCTTCCTGGCCGTGGACTCGTGGAACGGCTTCATGCAGAGCTCCAACGTCGTGATGGACACGCACCACTACCACGTCTTCGACACGGGCCTCTTGGCCATGGACATCGACGCCCACGTCAAGACCGCCTGCGCCTTCGCCAACCAGCACCTGGTCACGACCGATAAGCCCGCCCTCGTCGGCGAGTGGACCGGCGCCCTCACCGACTGCGCCAAGTACCTGAACGGGAAGGGCGTCGCCGCCCGCTACGACGGCACCTACGCCTCCAACAGCGCCGCCATCGGCAGTTGCGCCGGCCGCTCCACCGGCACCGCCGCCGGCCTCTCCGCCGACGAGCGCACCAACACCCGCCGCTTCATCGAGGCCCAGCTCGACGCCTTCGAGAAGAAGTCCGGCTGGATCTTCTGGACCTGGAAGACCGAGGGCGCCCCCGGCTGGGACATGCGCGATCTGCTGGCCGAGGGCTTGTTCCCCAGCCCATTGTCCGATAGGCAGTATCCCGGCCAGTGCTCCTGATTTCTTCTACTTTTTTTTTGGCACCTCATCTAATCTATTCTCATAACATCATTTGATCTTTTCTAGTTTTTCTTTTTTTCATAGGATGTTTAGCAAAGCCAGCAGGCATAATTCGCCATTATTATTGTTTGTTTACATTTGACACGAGAATGAACCATTTTGATCAGTCAGCCCACTGAGTAGTTATTCCACTTGATTGCTCAGTCAGCCCACTGAGTAGTTATTCCACTTGATTGCTCGGAAGTTAACTGAGGTGCACAATTGACCTTGATGTCTAGTGACGACAGTCATGTGACTTACTCTTCCACTGCCACATGGAGGCTTGCTAGCACTACAATCCTTGACGACGTAACACCTCATAGGAGAAGACACAAAAGACCCATGTTCATTGACGTATCCGCAAATTGCATTTATTAACATGGTCGATTGACTCAAACAAGAACAAAAAGAACCTAACCATCCGGAGGACATTGATTGAGAAAAACAGAAATAATCACCATACACCCACGCCAGAAGCACAGCATGCCTGATGCATCTCATTCAAACCCAAAGCGCCAATCCAGGTCATGTTGACACAATTTCAAATCAATTCATAGAGAACAAACACAACACCCAAGGAACAGAAAGCCGAAGTTGGACAAGATGCAGCGAGAGTCCCTGGACTGCCACCAGAACGAGATAAAGCCTACCAGAAACTCCCCTGATCTTGCAGCTAGCCAGCCAGCCAGCCAGCCAGCCGATAAAGGATTCCTCAGACTCAGATTCTGCGAGTTAACAATCTGTGCAAGTGATGTAATAGACAATCGTAAATTTAGTCATGCAGATGTGTGTTGCACGACGTAATGCAATGCTCGAAGCAAATTTATGAACGGCCCTTGGGCTGGGAAAGCAAATGCAGACGACTCATGGTCAGCACGCCTCGGCTGCGGGGACGAGCACTGCCCGGAGTGGTGCTGGTGGGGCTGGGACGTCCGGCGGAGGGTCTGGTTGCAGAGCGGAGAGGAGTGTGGGACCGGGGCTTGGTGGGAGTCGGAGTGGGCGCCGCACTCGAGAATATGGTCTTGGAAGCACTGGGTGTGCCTGAGGCCTTGGCGAATAGAGTGGAAGGACGGCCGGTTTTCTTGAACGGCGAAGGCGAGCTCATCTTCATGCGCTTGGCGCTACGCGCGTCAGCACCCGCATTATCAGCTGGCGGCACGTTTTCGGCATTGGTTTCCTCCGCCTCAACAGCCGTGCGGTTGCGCTTCTTGTGGCCAATACCGTGAGGCACGCCGGCGATCTCGGGCAAGGAATCGGCGTCGGTCTTCTCCTCCTCGACAGTCGGACGGTTGCGTTTCTTATGGCCAATACCGTGGGGCACGCCGGCGATCTCTGGCAGGGGAGTAGCGTCGGAAGGACGGACTTGGCGGATCGTAGGTGTGGTGGTCTGGCTAGTCCTGGGAGAGGTGCCACTCTTGCTGGGGCTGCGGTTTTGCTCCGGAGTCAAAGTAGGTAGGGTGGGATAAACAATGTCGGAAACGACTCGAGAAGCATTTGCAGTCGGAAGCTTAGACGGAGAAGGCGAGAGAACGGTTTCCTCGTTCCGATCCTTGACACAAGGAGTGAATTCGACGCGCTTCTTGGGGGAAGGAGTGTGCGAGTGTTCTTCGGTGGCATCCCAGGAGGAGCCGAATAGCATGTTTGAACCGAAGTGGGGAGCTGCCACATGGGTGCCTGCAGCAATCTTGAGAGGATCCTTGGAGAAAAGCTGGTGGGGTTGACGGAGGATCGACTTGAGGTGTCCAAGGGTGGGCAAGTTGCTCTTCAACCGGGGGTTGAAATCAGTCTGAGGCGTGCGTGGAACTTCGGGCTGTGTAGGAGCTGGGGACCGAACCAATGAAGGAATCATTGAAGTACGAGCAGGCCTCACAGTCGATGCACGCGCCGCCGAGGCCCGAGTCGGGGTCATCAACGACTTGCGGAAAGAGTGTTTGGGGCGAGGCAGTGCTGGCTTAGGACTGTTCAATGTAGGGAGACGGCTAGTGGAGACATCGTCGGCCGGAGTGTGCTTGACGCGTTTCGCAGAAGCGAGTACCGGAGCAGGAGAGGGTCGTGCAACGGATGTCTTGGAGGGAGACGGCGATTTGCTGTGTGTCTCGTCCAGCCGCGCCTTCGAGTTTGTTCTCTTGAGGGAATTCTTCATAGCCGGCTGGTAACGACCCGGAACGGCACGGAGGACTGAGGCATGGCTGGCAATAGAGTCCATCTTCCTGAATTCGGCCAGATGGGCGTCGGTGAATCGGTCGGTCTTCCCCTTGGGCTGCACAATCTTTCTCTCGATCTGCTCGGGTTGGTCCTGTGAGACACCATTCGCGCGACCCTGGATCATCTGGGCCTTGATCTTGGCGGCGTCCTGGCGCACAGTCTCCATGAGCTTCTTGGCCTCGTCGCTGAGCTGGGAATCCTGGTTGGTGAACTTGAAATCGAACGCGGGAGTGCCGTAGTATGCCGACGCGGGGGAGTCTCTAGTTTTGGTCGGAGTGTTCTCGATCGTAGCATCCTTGACTACATTGCCTTCCGCGTCTTTCTTGATGGGGTTGAAACCCAAGACCAAGCCGGAGTCAGGCTGCTTGGTGGTGCTCTGGTGAACCTTGCTGGGGTGCATTTCCTGGTGAGATGGACGCGCCATGACAGTAGAGGGGGTCTTTGCACCGGGGGCTTTCGTCGCCGCAGGTGTGGCTCTGAGCGGAGTAGAGACGCTAGGGATCCTGCTAGGAGTGCCCTTGAGCGGCGAAGTCAACTGCGCAACTCTCTTGGGAGTGGCTTCAACTCGAGCGGACGCGCCATTTGGAGTTTTCTTGGGCGTCGCTTCAGTCTTGTCGGACGCGTCACCCGCAGTTTTCTTGGGAGTCTCTCCGCTCTTGGAGAACGCGGCGCTCTTCATCTTCTTGAAAGTCGACTCCGCCTTGTCAAACGCGGCGCTAATCGATCGTTTTTTCGTCCGCTCCGCCCTTTCGGCCGCGGCACGCGTAGATTCGGGTTCAGATTCCTTGGATGCAGTTTCGGAGGTCTCGGCTGTCGCAGGAGCAGGCAGAGGTTGAGATTGTTCGCTGGCGAAGGCAGACTTCTTTGCTTCAACAGGAGTGTTGTTGACTTCGGGTTCAGGTTCGGGTTCAGAAGGGGTGACAGTAGCAGTCTCCTCGCGTTCGGCAACAGGAGGCAGGTTGTTTAGTTCCTGGGTGGGTTGGGTCGGTTTCCTGGATCTCGTCTTTCGTCTAATGTTTGGCTTTTCACTGGGTTGGTCGTCATGCCGATTGTTGACGTGATCCTTGTTGACGTGACTGCTCTCAGCGGGGCCAGCTGGTAGCTGTGGTTCCTAAGCGGGTCATCGAACATCAGTGACTGCAAATAGACATTCCTCACCCAACCCCCCGCCACCCGTAGGATCTCACCTGATCCCTTCATGGTGGTGGGTGGGATGCTTGAACGGGCGAATGCCTTACCTCGGACACGGATGCCTCGCGATTGCGCAGACGGGCGGACCGTCGGACCACCATGATTGCTATATACAATGGCTCTTTGATGGGAATCGGTAATATATCAGAATAAGAGGTGTGATTGGGATAAGAAGGGCAAATTGCAAAGAGAATGACGATAAGAGGAGAAATGCACGTATGAGGTAAAGGGCGAATAAACAAACAGCGGCAGGCGGTGAGCTGACGTCAAAGCTTAGATAAGTCCATCACGTGCAAGGTGTTTATGTGCATCTATTCACAATAATGCTCATTCTGATAACTAACTACAGCCCAAACAAAACAAATAAAACTACCTACAATCCAAACGGATACGTCTCCTCCATGCCCATCACCGTCTTCGGCTGCACCTTCTCCAACGGCCTGACAGCCTCCGTCTCATCGAACCAGATATACGCGTCGAACTGCTGCTGCAGGTCCGCCTGGGAGTAGTGCGACATGCGCTCGGTATCCGGCCGATAGATGACGCCGATAAAGCGCTCGAGCCGCTGACTCTCGGCGGCCATGGCCTCCTTCAGTTCGGGAGTGATACGGTCGTCTCTTAGATCCCACACGAAGCTGGGGATGCCCGTCTGATGGGCGACCCACTCCCAACTATCCGGGCGTGACGGCCTGACATCCATGATCTCCATGTCCTCATCCCACTCGTGCGCGGCCGCCACGGTGCCGGTATGCGTGCCACAGCCCAGGGTCGCGACATTCTCGCGACCGAAGCGCTCCCGACAGAGCTGGCCGATGTTGACCTCCTTCCGGCGCGTGCCCATGCTGGTGAAGCGCGCGTCGCCGCAGTGGGAGTTGTGCGCCCAGACCACGGCCTTGCTGCCCGCGGGGCGGTTCTTGAGGATGCGGCGGAGGGTGTCGACCATGTGGGTGTCGCGGAGCGTCCACGACGAGGCCGAGCTGTAGTACATGGCCTTGTAGTAGCGCTCGGCGTCGCGCACCAGGTACGCGTTCTGCTGCCCGCTGTGGTACTCGTCGCCGTCGTGCGCATCCTCGGAGTACTCCAGCCGCCGCGCCAGCAGGTCGCGGAGCATCTGCACCACCCCCTTCTCGCAGTCCGCCAGGCCGCGGAGCGAGGCTAGGCCGTACGCCGTGGGGTCCTCCACCCACGGTTGCAGGCAGCCGTAGCGGCGACGGGCCTCCTTGCCGGCGGCCGGGTCGACGTGGTCGAGGTAATCGATGACCGCCTTGATGGACGCGCCCATGCTGTAGAGATCGAGTCCGTAGAACCCGGCTTTGTGCGCCGGGTCGGTCAGGGTCGCGTTGCGGTTGCGCATCCATTCGACCAGGTTCTGGGTCTCGCGGTTGCGCCACATCCAGGTGGGAAACCGTTTAAAGGGCTCGTGGTCGTCATCCCCGCCGCCTTGTCGGATGCGCGCCTGGGGACCGGGGCGCTGGCGCACGTACCGGTCGATGAATTCCGCGTCGGGCCAGTCGGCTTCCACGGCGACGATGTTGAAGCCGTGGTGCTCGATCAGGTGCTTGGTGATCTCCGCGCGCGCGGCGTAGAACTCCGAGGTCCCGTGCGTGCCATCACCGAGGAGGACAACAGGGTAGTCTCCGAAGGAGTCGAAGTGGGAGCCGAAGCTGGGATCGTGGATAGCAGGGAGAGGTTGCGCTGCTGCGGTGAACAGGTCTTGAAATGGAGACATCTTGGGAGTAGATTTGAAGTGTCGGGCTAGACGCCAAAGTTTACTCATGAGGGAAGTCAACCCATTGTTTGGTGGGGGACGTGTTTGTTTGCCTGGAAGTATAAGTGAAGGTCGGTCCGAAGTACGGTTGATATACCGAACGCTGGATGTTGTCCGCTTGGGGTTCCGGCGGCGGCGAAATGAGATCACCACCGGGTCATGGTGACTTGACCTTTGGTCTTGCCACGACCCATCCAGCATTCTTTCACTTTTTGCACAAAAAATCAATCCCAAGTCTCCTGCAGCACTAGCTGACAGACTATCATCTCTGGCTAACCCATCGCCGATCCCTTCCCAACCATCACTACTCCTACCCCATACATACCCCACACACATAGTATACACTATATAGCACCTAATATCCATATGACCATAATATCACAATGCCAACCTCATCCCAACCAACAACAAAACTCCAAACCTTCATCCGCGCCCAAGAAACGCTCTACGGGCCCATAACCACAATCCGCGATGCCACGAAATGGACACCCCCAGGCAATTCAGGCGGGCACCGCGGCCGATACCTCTGGACAGACGCCTTCGGGGTGCTGAACTTCCTAACGCTCCACCATGAACACAACCGGCTCATGAGCACATCAACCTCAACCTCGTCGCCCAGGATGCACCCTCAATCCCAGCCCCAACGGAACAATCACTACCTAACCCTAGCAACCGCGTTAATTCGCACCGTCCACAACACCCTAGGCACAACACGCACCTCCAATCCCGAAAACCCCACGCTCTTGCCCAAAGCAACCCCGACGAACCCTCTAGGCGGCGGGCTGCGGATCGGAAAGCCCAGCGCTACTGGCCCCGATGGCGACGGCCAGTACCACCACTACCTCACGCTGTGGATGTTCGCCCTGAACAGGACGGCGGTGGCCACGGGCGAGGCCATCTGGAACGAGCAGGCCATTGCATTAGCGAAAGCCATCCATCCGCGGTTCTTGGTGCAAAGGACGCCTCCGCGGATGGTGTGGAAGATGGATGTGGATCTGGAGGAGGTGTTGGTGGGGTCCGAGGGGAATCTGGATTCCGTGGATGGGCTGGTGGTGTTTCGGTTGTTGCAGAGGACTGCGAGGTGGTTTGGGAGGAGGCAGGGGCAGGGTTGTCGCGGGGAAGGAGAGGAAAAAGAGCAGGAAAAGAAGGAGGAAGAGGATGATGGCCCGCTGACCGAAGAAATCGAGGACTATCGACGGATACTGAAGCGGAAGGGCGAGGAGCAGTATGTCTCGTATGATCCGTTGGATCTCGGGATGGCCATGTGGACGGCGCATTGGTTTGCGGACACGAAGGGCGAGGAGTGGGCGACGAGGATGGCGGAGGTGTGTTTGGGCAGGGTTGGTGAGTTGAGTCATTGACTGCTTAGCATCTTTCCAAATCCTGTTTCGTCCTTTCTCTTCTCTTCTCTTCTTCTCTTCAGCGGTGAGGAACGGTGGGCGAATGCTGACGGCGATGCTAACACCTCTTTTGTTGAAGATGATCTGTTCGAGAGAAGGAATTATCTCGCGCGCGACATTCGGGCCCGATTGGCCTTCCGCGAGTTCGGGACGTGTCTGGGTCTTCGATGTATGGCGGAGCAGTCGTCCGATAAGGATCGCGCCGGTGATCTCAAACTCTACGCTGATCGACTGCTGGGGTGCTGGGAGCCGTACATCTGGTTGTCGGCGGGACGTAATGCAACGCCAGAGGACTTGCAACCCATCACTCGCGTGATGTATGCGGCTGCTTTGATACCAGGGGGTGAGAAACTCGGCGCCCATTTGCAAGATCATGCATGGATGATACTGACACTTCAACAGCATTCTGTCGGGGCTACTTCGGATCTGAACCTGCCGTTTGATTCATCCGCCAGAAGTCAATCGTCAAGCAGGGGAACAAATGTAATTCTAGACAAATATACATTCAGGTAAAAGACTAATACAGCCTCAGCCATCTAAGCCCAGGTAAAGCCCGGGAATGCAAACATGCATGTATGTATCGCAAGCCGAGACGAGTTCAGACAGACAATCCACCAATATATCAACGCCACCTAAGCCAAGAAAAGCATAATCCATACACCCCATTTATACGCCCGGCAACCCAACAATCTCCCTCCACGGAATCACCTTCCGAGGGAGAATATAGATCGTATAAACGGTACCCAGGGCAATCAACAAGCCCGTCAGCTGTGAAGACAGCATTAGCTCCAACCACCATTACGCCCAACCAGATAAAAATATCAAGAGAACATACCTTCTCAAACCACGTATGGAACCAAATAGCCGTCATCAACAACATCCACATCCCCAGGCCCACAACAGCCCAGGCCAACCTCACCGACCAGACCTCCAACCCACCGCCATCAATAGTATCGGCATCCTCGTCCTTCTTCTCCCTGGGCCCTTCGCTCTCCTCCTTCTTCCTCACACCATCATCTCCCTCAAATCGCGGCTGGCACCTCGTAGCCCCCCAGACCTCGAATCCGACCAGGGAGGTCATCAACACCAACAAAAGCACATGCCCACTCACATCATGCCCGCCGCGCCAGGCCCCGCCCGCACTCTTGCACGCCACCGCCGTCACCAGCGTCCCGAAATCCGTCGCCGTGTAAGGGTTCTCCACCTGGGGGATGGCGCGCTCGCAGTTGCCGCCCGTCAGCACGAAGCTGCGGTCGATGATGGCCGGCCCAAAGAACCACTGGGTGGTGAGGTACCACACCATCGTGGCGAGGCCGTAGCGGATGAGGGCCTGCATTGTGCGGCGCGCGCGATGGGCCTCGGCGACGGCGGCGGCGTGGGCGTGGGCGTGGTTAGTAGAAGGGCTGGTGTCGTTGCTGGGGCTGGTGCTCTTGCTCTTGCTCCTGTACTTGTTGACGAAGGCGGATTGGGTTTGCAGCAGCAGCAGGAAGGCAAGAGTCGTCCAGATCCAGCCGATCTTCACGAAGTAGAGATTGAAGACATTGTCCTTGCGGGCGAAATAGTTGACGGGTTTGGCGGCGGCGGCGGCGGCCGAGAAGGAGGAGAGGTGCAGGTCTGAGGCGATGGTTGGGGCAAAGGGCGATGGGTGGTTCTGAAGTGGGCTGGCGTTGTTGCTGGCGCTGGGCTCGCGGCTGCCGTAGGCGGTCGGCGAGAGGACAGAGAAAAGGGATCCCACGAAGAGGGTGAGAGGGTAAGCAAGCAGAGCGGTGATTGGAGGTTGGGACGGTCGTGATGTTTCTGGTGTTGTGGCTATTGTCGTCGTCGTCGTCGTCGTTGTGGTTGCTGCTGCTGCTCCTGCTGGAGGAGGAGGATTGTCTGCGGATGGCATCGTGGTTTTTTCGTCGGTCGTCTAGGTGATTGTACTCGCCCTGTGCTAGCTTGCTCTTGAATAAAATAGCAGAATTGAGTAATATTTTCTATCTGAGCGAGAATAGGGGAGATAGGTCTTCAACCAAATGATTGGCAAACAAAAGGACATGAAACCAGGCAGGGTTGTGCCGGAAGACACAGTCGAAGAATAAGGAAATGCGAATGAGAAGCTGAGTCGGATGACGTCGCTCGCTGCCTTCCGCCCGCCCGCCGTTTTGCCGGTCAGTGCAGTCACAATAGCCACACAGCCACAGCCACAAATGAAACCCCGACAAGAAAACATTACGCTATCATGACAAACATTCTACGCTTTAAATTATCCTTATTGACAGCATCACAGGCATTAAATTCGTAGTCTCTACGATTCACAAAAGGGTAAAAAAAAGGTATATATCATCAGCAGGCTCGAAGCCCTTCAGTCTTCAGTGCCTTCACAACAACCCTCTCCTCATTGCACAGTCGGCAGAACCGCGTGAAGAGGTAGCTGACGCGAAGAGCTACCAACATGGACCTTCTTGGGGTAAGAAGTAATGACCCAGTCCTGGGCCGCAACATCCCAGTTGGACAGATCGCGACGGGTCAGGGTAGTGGTCCAGACGGTCTCCTCGGAAGGGTTGAGGGTGATGCGGTCGAATTGGCGGAGCACCACCTTGGGCTCATTGGGACCACCGAGGGAAAGGTACTAATCAAATGTTAGCTTCTAGGTCAACATCATCTGAGATGAATGACTTACTAGTTGAGGGACAGCGTCACCGGCAACACGACCAGTGTTCTTAATGGTTGCCGAGACACGGATCAACTCATCGTAGAGGCGGGGGTTACCACCGAAGCCGCCACCAGCAGGCAGGACAGGCTGAGGAGAGCTATCAGTGGCACCCTCGGGCACGTGCTCCGAAGTGTCCACACCATAGTACGGGTCGCCAGATGACTCCTTGAGGTCCGTGGAGTTAAGCCAGGGGTAGATAAACTTGGTGATCCTGGTCAATCCATCAGGATACAAGTAGTCCGAGGCTTGGCCCATTTCGCCCAAAGTGGGAGCGGCCCCGGTCTCGGTAGCTATCTGGTGGTTCGTGGAGGCGTTCAAGACTTGAACGTGAAGCTGGGAGTAGTTGAAGGTGGTATAGCTCAAACCGTGTCCGAATTCGTAAATCGGGGTCTCATTGCGCTTGTCAAAACCGCGGTAGTCGATGAAAACACCCTCGGAGAAATCATCTTGAGGTGCTCCATTACCGTTGTTGAGTTTAGTGAGCAGGTAGTCCCCGTAAGACGCCCTAGTCTTGCCCCAGGTGAAGGGAGTTTTGGCGCCCGGGTTGACGCGGCCGTAAAGCACATCAGCCAGGGAGTTACCAGACTCCTGGCCAGGCAAGCCAGCCCAGAGGATGGCAGTAACGTTCGGGTGGTCATACCATTCGTCAATCAGAACAGGTCCAACGGAGTGAATGACGACGATTGTGTTGTTGCAGTTGTTGGCAGCAGTCTTGATGAGGTTGTCGCCATTCTTCCACAGGGTGAGATTGTTGCGGTCACCCTCGTTTCCATCCACCGAGATGTAGCCCTCTCCGGAGTCGGAATTGACAAATACAAGGGAAACACTTTAGGAATATTCGTCAGTCTGCACTCACGTCACATAACAAGGAGTAATCCGGGCGACTGAACTTACCTGGCTTGCTTAGCGAGGGTCTCCACCTGGCTCAGGGCCCAGTTGTCGGTGATAGCATAGACGCTGCCCTTATTCTTGAGCACTTCGGCTTGAATGGCTTGCTCGGGGGTCACAAGGTAGGGAAAGTCCGCAGTACCACTACCCCAAGCCATAGCGAGAGTACCGTTGTCACAACCACGGTCACTGCAGCCGTTGGCACCATAGGCGTTGGAGCCCGCATCTTCACCCAGGATAGCAACTTTGCGTTCCTTGCCAGTCAGAGGCAAAGCATTCTTATTCTTTAGCAACACAGTGCTGTCTGCCCCCAGCTTGCGGATGACCTCACTGTGGTCGCGCTGCACGTTGACAAAGTGGTTGACCTTCTCGTAGGGACCTTCCTGGGAATAGAAATACTTGTAGCCATACTCGTCACGAGTCCATGAGCTGAAGCTGGGAGGCTGATACAAGCGGTCACGGCCAACCTTGTAGTAGGCGGCCATGATGCGAACAGCCATGTCGTCGACGCGCCACTGCGGGACGGTACCGTTGAGAACAGCGATAGTCAAGTTGGTACCCCAGAAAGCAGTACCAGAATCGAACGAGACGTCGCCAGGCATGGACATGTCCAAGCCGGCCAAGGCAGCACCAACACCACTGTGGTGGGCACCCCAGTCAGTCATAACGAATCCCTGGAAGCCGAGCTCGGCCTTCAGCAGCTTGTTCAAAGTGTAACTGTTCTGGCAACCGTAGCTGTTGTTGATCTGGTTGTAGGAGCACATGATAGCACCAACGCCTGCGCGCACGGCATCCGCGAAGGGCCAGAGGTACATTTCATGGATGGTCTTGTCATCGATGTTTGCACTGACAGTGTCGCTAATGTTGAACCCATAGCCCGCAGCCTCTCCAACTTGCCGGAAATGCTCTTGCTCGTTGAGAATATAATGCTTGGCGGTGGCCACGACACCAGCGTCCTGAATCCCCTTGATAGTCTCGGCAAAGAGCACACCAGTGAGAGCAGGGTCTGGGGAGAAGCCCTCCCAGTTACGACCTCCATCGGGACTTCTACCGAGGGGACCTGCCGCCGGTCCCAACTGGATATCAATACCCTTGTCGCTGAACTCCTGACCCATGGCCTGGCCACGGAGGTAGGCAAGGTTCTTGTCCCAAGACGCAGCAACATTGACACCAGCAGGGAAGGCCGAGTTGTAGTCCGCTGTAAGACAAATTGTCAGCAAAAGTCGCAGTGTCCGAGGTCGGCGCGAGGGCAGTCTTACAGAAACGGATTCCCAGGGGACTGTCTTGAAGACACATGCCACCGATATTAAGTCTAGACGACGATTGTCAGTCGAAGAACCTCAATCGATTCTTCAGATGATCGACTTACCTTGGGACACCACCAGTTTGACCTACACATTTCTCCAGCTCCCATCTAGAAGCTCGTTAGCAGGCAATTCACTTCGCGCGACGGTGAAAATGCAATTACCCAGTTCCGGTGGTCAAGTTGACCTTCTCAGCCAAAGTCATTTGAGAGACAATGTCCACTGCACGCTTGTATGCTTCCGCCCACTCACCCTGACCATTGGCCCAAGGGGAGGGATAGAAAGGAGGAGAAAAGGCCAATTCATCCTGTAGACCACATAATCGTCAGCCATGAGTTCAATCACAGTTGCAAGGGCTTTTAGCGGCCATGAGAACAAGGCATTGAAGCGAAACATACAGCGCTGACGACCGAAGCAGCCGTCAATGCGGCCACCTCAAGCCAACCGAGCCTCATGATGGCGTGGAGGTAGCTAAAGGAAGAAGAAGAGACGAACTAGCCAGCCAGACAGCTTGTGTTCTCGAGGAGTTGACAAAGATGTCGAGGTAATACAAGGGTGGCAAGACAAACAAGATCGATGAGAAGGGGGGAAGGGAGGAGATATTAATAACCCCAGCAACGGGGGGGGGCGCCACAGCTATGAGGAGCAACCAGCGACAGTGAATACCATTGAGCAGAATCTCTTGGCTTCTGTGGAGCTGCCCACCCAAGGAAAATGATGTCTCGCAAACAAGAAGTCAGAGTGAGCAGGCACCTGGTCGGTGGTCGTAGACTGGCCGAGTGACGAGTGGTTCCATTGGCTTGGCTCTGAGCATGGGGATCGACAGGGAAGGATCCAGATTGAGCCTAAGACAGACAAGGAGAGCATGGATGGAACGGTCGGAGCTCAGGCAAGTCAAGCGATTCTACTGACCATTCATCCAGTGACTGCCTGCCTCCTGCTGGGCAGGAAGCTGCTGCTGCAGTGCTCTTGCTTGCATTTAGCTCGGCAGCGTCAACTGCGCACAGTAGACACTCTCGAAGTGCAGGTCAACAGGGCGTGGAATGTCTCATTCCGGCAATAAAATTTTGCCGGAAGGTAGAAAACTGGACCGGGATGGCCGATCGACCCCCACTCAGGTAGACAGTGCATGCAGCGACCAGCCATCTGGAATAGTCGGGATTGGGGAAATGAGGAGGTGAAAAGCAGGCATGATGAATTGAGCACTACCTCCAAGGGACTAAACAAACTGTCTTCTGGTACCGCAGTGGGTCGGGCAGTTAGCGGGCCTAGTACTACCAGTAATATCTGGATTGTATGTGTAGTGTAATTCTGTTACAGTCCCATCCGCTCCCTGCATCACCCTGACATGAATCTCAAGCTGCACTCTGTATGATGATGTCTACCCAACAGATCAACAGCATCCGATCGGGCGGGAGGTGCCTGGAATTCTTGACTGAGACCAAAATAAACTTATCATGCCTCATCTTTGCGCATTCTGATCAAGTTCGGAAAACGGAGACATACACCCGGCCGCCGCACTGGTATACAGCAGGATTACGGTATCTAGTTGTCGGGCAATTAACGGGACTCAGATGAGGCCTAAGAAGCTTGGTCGTATGGAAGGAAGGTAGTATTGCATTCAAACCTTGAAAGGTGGACAGATGTCCCCCGCAGGGTCATTGCTAACCAACTAGTTGAACTAACTGACTATCGAGATGCTCGGTTGGCTGACAATACTATAATGTGTAGTGGTATAGCACGGTCATGTTACGGTCCCGTCCCCAGCCATTCCCCGCATTTCCACTTCTGCAACCCGATGGTCAGCCCGCCCTGGCAAGAGAAAGTTGACACCGCTTTCGTGAGGACATCACGGGACTTCTCCGTGCCGTGTGCGCTTAGAGACACTCACTGACCGCTCACTGAGCACGCAACCAATGCTCCGCTTGCTCCCTCCGACCTGGACTTGTTCTCCACTTGACACCACACGGGTCTCTAAACCGTGTACAGTACATACATACTAAATAGCACTAAGTCTCTCAACAGCCGACCCGTCGCTTTGGTGAGGGCATTAGGAAGACGAGGACCGATACTTGTCCTGTCACAAAACCTTATGTCTCAAGCTATGATCTCAAGTCATTGTCTGCAGAAAAGGAAAAGCGTTTTTGCTGATACTCGTAATATTCTAATCATCATATAGTTCTCTCAGAATAATCTAACCATGGGCTTACTCTCCGCTCTGTCATAATAAATCCTACATACAACGTCTTCCACTAACACGATACAGTAGTCCCACCAACCTGCCATTTCATTCTTCTAGCCCTCGAACTCAATAGGAATCTGCTCAGGAGTATGTCGTAAGATTTAGAGTCAACCATATGCCTTTCTCTTGTAGTTTCCACCTTTTTCAGATTGCCTGCAGCTAGGGTAATCACCTAATTTCCACCCGATATTAGGCTGAGGTTGGCGACCGATCACCAAGCCCCAGCACTGAGGACTAACCAAGGGCCCGCTCACCTCACGAGGGAAGTTAAGTTGTCCTTTTTGCTCACTGATGCATATCAGAGCTATCAATATACCTGCAAACCGGTGGAAGTAGCAATGACATCTTGTCATCACTATCTCCATGGTTACGGCTACTTGATAACGGTATCCTTTCCACCCTGCAAGACATGTTGTGAGGGCATTGCCTCAGGTCCATGTGTAGAATAGCTTCGCCGCTGGGCCATGAATCCACGATCACGCCTCCATTACATATACCAGTCTTCTATGCCTTGCTTGTAACTAGAACCTAGTGGTAGTAGCATCTGACTAGCGAGTCCGATGGAGACTACTGCTGAACCCCATTTGTAACTATGATACCTGGATATGATATACATGGCTACACTGTGTACTGTACATCTATATGATACTATGGCTCCAATGGAAGATTGACCAGCCTTGCCAAAGCTGGACAGCAAGGTCCAGTTTGAGATTCAGCCCATCTTATCGCTATGCTTAGTTGTTGGACCTTTATTGCCATACTCCCGCATTGAAATGACTGTTGTTATCCACACTCCGGTCCACAAGTACGTCGTGACGGCACGCACCAGCGCGGCTCGGGCCGCCGCCCCGACAGAAACTGTCCTGTACATTAAGACCTTCCCGAGTCACTACCAGTGAAAGACATTCTCAAGCCCAGTTTTACCATTAGAATCTAGGGGAAGTAGATCAACTCCAAGCACCCGGGGCTGCAGCCCATCTACTCCGAAGGGAAGAACAATATCGCGGCGATCTATATCAAGCAAGATCTCTTAATGGTAAACAGCAGGCGCTGTCAACAATTCTTTCAGCTCTTTTGCTTGTTATGTGATTAGATATAGGTACAGGGTGGCAGTAGGCAAATGAGCAATAACAACAGAAGTCTTTCTTCTACTTAACGTTACTGAAAGAATGGAAGCTGCAGTATAATCGAGTATATCAGTTGAATCGTTGGTAACCTCGTTAGACTAAGATGACATATCGATTGCCTTCTCCAGATTGTCAACGACCTTACAGAAGATACGGACAAAGACTAACGATCCTTGCTCTCCTTAGCTAGTGCGGTTGATAGCTTATTTAAACTCCTCTGGTTCCCCGAGTTCTAGATTACCATATACAAAGGAATATCCACGCAGGCACGAGCGTCCACACGAATAGCAGACACACAATATCGTCTCCTCGCCTACCAATATGCTAGAGGTTGAAGAGAATGACATGGGCAGTGGATCAGAGTCCGGGAACGGGGACCGTAGCACAGACGCTGGGACTATGAACAGTGATACAGACGTTAAGATTATGGACGGTGAAGCAGAACGAGACAGTGCTGGTGAATCAGAATGGGATAGTGAATGGGGCAGTGATGATATTGATGACAGTGATGATGACTCAATAGAGCTCCCTGACATTCCGCTACTAAAGGAAGCTCTTAGCATTGTATATCAAGTAATAGATGGAGAAGTGGACCCTGATACTGGAGCCCAGCGCATTGACGCGCCCGTCCGCTCTGTCCTCACCTCTCCCATGGACGAGCGACGGAAATCGGACGAGATTTGCGATTTTTCCTGGCTGTTCTGGGATCCGGTACTCGATGCTGCTCGTGGGATTCGGAATGATGATGAAGGGCGGGCTCAAGCTCGCCGGGAGTATGACAATGAAGGGCTGAATCACCTGGCCGACCTCATGGCCGCACTCGCTCATTTTCCGCCGGTGGTCATAGAGCTTGGGGGCGAGGGTGGCGTCTGGTCCATGTGGGATGAGTACCCTTGTCTTGGAATCCTGGCATTTGAATATTATGATTCAGGGCTACCTGTCTGGGATTCCAGCCCGACCACCTGCTGCACATTGCTTCATGGGCACAGGATCCCCGGTGCCCCAGCGAGAGGCCCATGGACTACTACTGCGAAAAGGACGACTTCATCCCAGCCATGATGGGTGCGATTTCCTTCCTAGCCAGAGTCATGGGGCGGCGTGTAGGTATATTGGATGGTGAGGCAATGCCCTCTTTGTCATGGTCGTTTGAGCGCCCGCATGAGTGGCATCGTCTGGTAGATTATCATCTCGCTATCGTGCGCGAGTGGATCATCCATGCTGGGGCCGAGCTATACCGTCAGTTGCACCTTAGATCCCCTTCTAGAGCCTGGTAAGCACTATCTTGACTACCGCCCTGGTTATCTTTACCGGAGCGAGTCAGAGGTCTGGTGTCAGGAACGCTGGGACTTCTGGAAAGAACGTATTACGGACCTTGGAAAGTTCGCCTCCCATAATTATCGAATGGTTGCTACGACTCTGGTTGAACGAATGAATGAGATTGAGGCGCAAGCGCAGCATGAGTCAGATCTCAACTCGGCCTCGTAGAGTAGGGTCTGGCTTGGGAGTCCCGAAAAGCAACTATAGCATGCTTGAAGCTGCTCGGCTTCAAGTTATGATTATGCTTCGGTCTTCTTTTGATCTTTTCAACAGGAGGTGTTCCTTTACTAAACAGAACAATATTCAATGTGAAATTTGACAATCGTTACATACATCCCCTAGATTAAAGTAAGCTTATACCGTATAAAGTAGTCCTGCCCTAACAGGGTGTTAGCTTGAGTACTGTTTAAAAGGTGGGAGGGACCTGGGTCAGTCACGTGAATCCCAGGGAAATTGCTCGGCGTTCCTGCAGTCATTTAGAACCACTCAGGGATCACTCAGAACACGCACTTTTGTACTAGACCCACGCACCAGAATGCTGCTTACTGAACAAAAAGCGGCACCAGAATCGAGCCCAAAGCAGAAAAAGAAACTGACTCGATTTCCGCAGGAGTTTTAGTAAGTGAATGAAGTCATCTCTCTCTAGCATCCGGGGCATAGATCAATGAATCCCCGATGTAGTCACCCAGTCGTCTCCCACTACGTTCGTCGTCCGCGGGACCTGCCAGGAGAGCACAACAAACAGACACAGACACCACTGCCAAGTGGCCAAACCCCCCCCAAAACCCCCCTCCCCTCTCCAGGTCGTAAACTTGTAGACCATGAAAAATCGTCATGTCTTTCCCCCCATGGCCTGACGGCACCTTACCTCTTCCATCCGCAAGGGTCAGCCCATAAGTCTACTCCTTCCGTCGCAAGTCAGAGACATTCCACTCCCTCCTCATCCTCCCCCCACGCCCCTCTCGGCACAAGTTCCTTGGATAGTCAGAGCCAAGTCGGTCTATCATGCGCTTTGCTCGGCTCACCGTCAAGAACTCCGACGGGATCACTGGATAACTTTTCAAGGGTTTGAGGACCAAGTGTTCTAGCCTTCTCGGGAATTTATCTCTCACTTCCCCGAAGTGTGGAAGTGTGGGGTGGGGGTTGTTCTGGCTGTCTTCCACTGCTGGGGTTCTGACTCGTTTCCTGCCTTGGATCGTCCTCCTCTATGCCGAATCAGGGTGCTCGGCAGTCGGCAATGGGAGCAGCATGGGATTCTCTTTTTTACCTCCATGAATCAATCGTGTACAGTACAGTACGGTCTGACAATATATTTTCCCACGGTTTAGCCAGAATGATGGTTAGCTCGGGGGATCACTTCCGACGAATCTGTGGCGGGCTATGCGTGCGGTGGTAGAACAGCTGGATTGAGGATATTCCCGGTGTGCATGAGTGTGCATGAGTGTGTGTTGTTCCTCGCCAGTCAATCAACCGAGGCAAGCAGCCACAGAGATAGTGCATCATTCACGTCACGGCGGTCATATAACCTTCTCATGGCATATAGACCTACCAGAATGAATATGTCAGCCCTTCCTGCGCAATAAAGCAGGCAGCCAGTCGCGGTTCGTCGAGATTTCCCAGTCCGAAGTTGTGCTCGGTCCGCGAGTAGTATTGGGGCGGGCTGGTGGTTGCGGGGAAAGTCTCCGTGGGGGAATAATGTTTGGAGGGGTTGTGGATTCTTTGGGTCCATCGTCATCCCGAAAGACTGCCCGACTCCGGGACTAACCAACAACTAGTCTAGAGATGAGATTAGGCTGAAGACTTGTGTCTAGTACTACTGTCTACACTGTCTAGCACTTTCTAGCCCCGACACTGACAGACATGTCCTTGGAAGTGGGGGAGCGGGCGAGAATCTCTCCACACATCGTTTCTTCATGTTCTGTATTCGCAACAACCCGTCTTTCTTCCCTCATGGCCTCATAGACCGTTCAGGGTCTTCCCCTGGTATCGCATGATACCTCTGGGTCACGAATACCAAATACCGGCCGCAAAGCGAACGGGTACGCTTCAGCCGATGACGGTCCCGAAATCGCAACAGCACGGCATGACTTTGAGAGCAGCCAGACATATACTCTGACCGTCACAACCTCGAGATTGGAATCTCATTCTGTCCTCCTATGCAGAATGTGTATCTATGTATCTCTACAATGTGGTCTTTATCACCTCATGCTGGGGTTTTGGCTGATTGGAGGAAGTATACTATACACTGGGGTCTTGTCTTCCAGTATACCTCGATTCCGAAGCATTCCCGACATAGCTCTGAATTCACACACTCTCAATTGGCATATCCACGGATTTTCTATTCGTTCAATCTGACACCATTCCGTCCAGATATTATGAACGATCTTGGAGCCATACACAGTAGATCCCATTCGTTTTTTCGTCCTCAAAGCATATGCAGTCAGTCCAACAGTAAGACAGTGTCCAATTAGCCTGCAGGCATATCGCACATCCAATCCTCAAGAATTCCATTCCATCCTTTATTCTACTCAATCAAGATCAAAATAGCCGAAGTACACGCATCCGTCTAAGGAATTTCTTTTCTCACGTGATCTCAAAGCATGTCACTCGAGAACGCTGATTGGTCGTCAGCCCTTCTGCCCGCTGTATGCAGTGAAAAGGGCCTCAAAGGGTGCACGTAAAACATTGCCAACAAGCAACAACCATTTCCCCTTTGATTTAATCCATCCATTTTTCTACTAGAAACCAGGAAAGTCAAAGTACACACATCCATGTCTCCGGAAAAGCCAGCCCCAGCATTGCCAAAAGACCTGGAAGCATGCAGCGCAAGCGACCGGTATCGTGATGAGCCCCCGAAGTTAGATCCAGAACCAACCGGTATCTCTACCTTTAAACAGCTCGCCATCCTAGATCAGTTCCTCGCCCTGTGGATCTTGCTGGCCATGGCAGTAGGTATCATCCTTGGCAATTTTGTCCCCAATACCAGCCAAGCGCTGGAGAAGGGGAAATTCGTGGGTGTCTCTGTGCCGATCGGTAAGCTAGCCAGCTAGCCAGGTGTCTACCTAGCAGTCCATGCCTACGTTAGAGACAGATCTCTTGATGCTGACGCTAGGGGCATCAACGCAGCGATCGGTCTCCTGGTCATGATGTATCCCATCCTCTGCAAGGTCCGTTTCGAAACGCTACATCGGTCATTCCGGGAGAGGGAACTGTGGATTCAGATCGGGTTTAGCATAGTGGTCAATTGGATCGTTGCACCCTTGTTTATGGTATAAATCTCCCTCATATTGGTCAATGGCGGTGCTGATAACGTTCGATGTGATGGGCAGTTGGGTTTGGCGTGGGCATTTCTACCAGACGAAAGAGGCCTGCGGGAAGGTTTGATCTTGGTAGGGATTGCGCGATGCATTGCGATGGTATGTCTGGTCCAATCCCTCCATTCTCGGGTAGTATTCGGCGAAGCTAGCGTAAGGTTAACGAAGGCAGGTTCTTGTCTGGACGGGCCTCGCAGGCGGTGATGGCGAATACTGCGCCATTTTGGTAGCGATCAACTCGATATTGCAAATGGTGCTGTTCGCCCCGGTAGCAATTCTTTTTATTCGAATCATTGGCGGATCGGATCAGCAGGGCTTGACGATTGACTATTCCCTGGCTGCGAAAAGCGTAGGGGTATTTCTGGGGATCCCATTGGGAGCCGCGATTGTGACCCGCTTTGCCCTGCGCTTCTGGAGTAAGAAATGGTATGACGAGCAGTTCCTGAGGTGGATCAGCCCGTTGTCATTGATCGGACTGCTCTTTACGATTTTGGTGCTTTTTGCCGCCCAGGGCAAACAGGTGGTGCATCAAATCGTTTCGGTGGTTAGAGTAGCAGCCCCCCTGGTGGTATACTTCGCCGTGATCTTTGCGGTCACGCTGGCCGTGACACGGCGGTGCGGCTTTGGATATCGGCTATCGTGCACACAGAGCTTCACTGCAGCAAGCAATAACTTCGAGTTGGCAATCGCAGTGGCAATTGCCACGTTCGGTGTTGATAGTGACCAGGCGTTGGCTGCTACTGTTGGACCGTTGATTGAGGTCCCTGTATTGTTGGGGTTGGTATATGCAGTTCGGTGGTTTGCTCGGAAGCGGAAGTGGGAGGCTTAGATGGTAGACCTGTCTTTGTCCTTCAATGATAACACAATATTCTTCCAATCTCCTCATGCGCATTGAACGGTTGAGCTTGGCAAAATCAGAGCCTCGGTTGCAGAGCCGAACTAGTTGTTGCTGATTTCATCGAGGACCTGAAACAGAATCTGATTCTGCACTCTGCATCCCTCTTCCGTAGTGAGACCCTTGGAGAAGCCGGCCCAGAGCTTGTGTCGAATCTCGGCTAGCTCGACGCCGCGCGTGTTATACTGAGTAATGAGCTCGTCGGCTATGGCACAGAGAGTGGTATTGAGGACATCCCCACTGCCACTGGCCGGCCATGATACTTGGTCTTCATTGGGGGAACAGCCACAAACTGATGTACCTTGAGGTGGCTTTTCGCAGCTTAAAAATCTGGTTGAAGATCCTTCTACACTAGAGCATGATCCCACACCCTGGAGTTTCGATACTACACCAGTATCAGAAGGAGTATCCTCAGAAGAGCTTGACTGCTGGCCACAGCAAGATTGAGTCTTGACTTCAGACCGATGAAGACTAGGAATGGCGATCTTCCGCATCGAGTCCGAGCCATCTGCTGTGTTCAGATACTCCCCAACCGTGCTAGGGGAGATGCCCACACTCGCCAGTAAACTCCTCAATCTTCGATTCTCAGCCTCAAGGCCTTGAACGGCCAATCGATGCTCAACATCCTTCTGACGGGCCTGTTCCTGGAGGGAGGCGAGTTTCTGCTCCAACTCGCGGATATGCGCCTGTTTCTTGGCGCGACTCCTCCGTTGATTTTCTCGGATGCGTGCAAGTCTTTCTGCATCGGGAGAAGGTGTTTGGTCGGAGTTGTGGAAGGTCTTCATCAGAGCGAACACGGAGCGTTAGCAACCTTTGGTGCAAATTTATGGACCAAAAGAGTGCCACGAGAGAGCAAGTCTCAAGGTTAAGGCATGTCGCTCTCTCTGGGAGGTATGGCCTTCAAATTGCAAGTGTGAGTAGAAGAGACGGTCCTTTCCCTGCGTTGCTGGTGTTACTTGGCTGCCGTAATCCGCCGCGGGCCTCGGAGGGCGTTGCCAGAATAGGATGTATATGGCGAAGACTCGGGACGCCCGAGATGGGGATCGGATACGAGAGATAAGGCGCAACAAGAACACCCTGCACTTGCAGTGAAAGCCGACCCACTGCCTGGCCCAATGGAGGTGCTAGCTCAGAGACGGCCTCGGGATTTCAAGCTTTCAGCTGCGGAGTAGATCCCAGTCTGTTTCATATCAAGGTCAAGATGGACGCCCTGGAGATCTGGAATCCGGGGTATCACGTGGTTCGTCAGTTAATATTCAGCACCGATTTTGCCTCGTACCTACTGTGCTAAGTTGAGAATAGGATGCCACTGAGTTGCCCGATGTATTCTGTCAGGATAATTGTGCTGATGAGATCGGTTCGAGCCAAGCTCCGGTAGGGCATGACTGATATGGAGACTATTGTGCATCGTGTAGTGTACATAGATGGCTTAAATTTATATAGAAACGATAAACTTATGTCACAATGCGACGTGCCCACCAACGAGTCAACTTAATTGACCGTCATGGAACCAGCAGCGAACCAAAAGCGAACCAGCGGCAACATCGACCCTGAGGTGGTCGACGTCACTATCCGCCCCGGGAAAGTGCGACGATCATTCACAGCTCGAATCCCACCACAACCGACTCCTTCAATGAACCGCACCACCCAATAACCCTCATTCCAACATCTTCGTCTCATCATCAAACCAAACACGACCATTCATCCCAATTGACCCCCTCTATCAACAATGGTCTCCACGCGCCACCACCCAAACGACTTCCCACCACCCCCAACATCCACGACGCCGACGACGCCGACCACCCCATCCCCAAGCAGCAACAACAACAATACCACGACCACAACCAAAAAATGGGTCCACACACCCTCCACAGCAATAACCTTGTGGCTCTTCTTCTCCACGCCCGTCGTCCTCTGGGACGCAAGCTACGTGCTCCTCCGGCCGCACTCGATGCCGGGCCACGCGCTGCACTCGCCGCTCTGGACGCCCTACGCGCTGTACGGCACAATCGACTACATGTACGGCTGGCCGGCGTTCAACGCGCGCAACGGCTTCACCGCCGCGCAGACCGTGCTCAACCTGTTCGAGTGCGCCGGCTACCTCTACTACTTGGCGGTGGTCTACACGCACGGCACCACCCAGACGGCGGCCACCGGGCGCGGCGGCCAACGTAACCATCCCGGAAACAAGGGCGTGAAGTGGCTCCTGACCGAGCCGAAGGTGGTGGCGGGCCGGACGGGCGCGCTGGCCTTGTTGGTCGCGTACAGCGCTTCGGTCATGACGTTGGGGAAGACGGTGCTCTATTGTGGGTTTTATCTGTCCATATACCCTCCCCTCGAATTCAAGAGATAGCGGTGGTAGAGGAGGAGGAGGGGGGGGGGGACTGTTGAATATCGCTGAGAATAAGTGCTGACATGTTATTCGTCGCGATAGGGCTTAACGAGGTATTCTCCGGGTTTGATAATGTCGGACACAATGATTTCTGGACGTTGCTTTTCTACTGGATAATTCCCAAGTAGGTTTCCATCCTCTTTTGGTGTTTCTCTTGTCTTTTTGCCTCAGAATAGTGCAAGAAAAGAAGCTCTAACAGAAGTGTTAGTGGTCTGTGGATCATTTTCCCCGGCTATAATATGTATATTCTCGGGGCGGAGATCGTTGCCGCGCTGGAGACCGCCGTTCCGCGGCAGAGGGTTGGGCGGCCGAAGTCGTCGTGATTCTGACTCTGATTCTGCCCAGATCGTCTGTGGTGGGGAAGAGGAATGGGATGGTCTATCAGGGATTAATATTCTAGTCAGACTACATGGCGAAGGGACGGCGATGGGAGTGGCGTTGGTGGACTTAATAGATAGAGTAAGCAACCTCGATGGTCCATGCCGTAGAATATATAGCAGCTGGCTATACGTGTACAATGATGTACAATATCTATCAACCGCCAGTCAATGGCAGAGGAGCTACAACTCCCAACCACACTTGGGAGATAACGCACGACGCGATAACACATTGTATACTCCACGGGAAGCTCTCGCCTCTCCAGTGTCCGTATGCAAGGTTGGAAAAGAGAGGCGGTTAGACCTCTGGCCACAAATAATCGGCAGTTTAAGTGAGGGAGGGCACAACGAGCGACTAACTTACCTAGTTGTCATACTATGATACCCGACACCAGTAAGCACATCAACACCTCGGGCACTATGTCATATCTAGAGACTTGCATTGTTTCCCTCTGACCAAAGATTCGTTTTCATTGCCTTATATTTCCTTGATAAGAGAAAATGATATCAACAAGCATCATTGGTCTAGTGGTAGAATTCATCGTTGCCATCGATGAGGCCCGTGTTCGATTCACGGATGATGCATTGAGATTTGCTTTTTGCGGAGCCGCCACCCTCCCTCAATGTACGTCTAGATCTTCTCCTTTTTGTTTTTGAAGGACTCGTTCTCAAATGTAAATGCAAATTGAAATATCGCTTGGTCAGTCCCTTTAGCGGACGTCGTTGTGATTGCTTGGTCTCAGCACCCCTGGAACTACAATCACAAGCCCAGCGCCCTATCTATAGCACATAAAGTTTCCCCAAGAACACAACTCTAATCCAGAATGCGTGCTCATTTCCTTGGATCAACGTCTAACCCAGCCCTCGGCATCTTGGTGAGTAGAGTATATAAATTTATATATTCATCTTGGTATATAGCGCCTAACATAATACATCTAGACAGACGAGCATAAAGACATCACCTCGACCATGCGACCAACCATCCTCAACGCATAGCGCTTTAACTCCGGTTCTTTGTATCCAAGAAACAGAACAAAACCGCCCGTTCAACCAAAAAATCATTCCCTTGAAAAACTGAGATCAAAAAGTTATATGTGATATGCTGCACAAGGCAAAAAGTAAAAGAGGTAGATAAATGCTGCGCATATGGCAAAGGATTAAGTGTGCGAGCTGCGATTTACTCCCATTCCCATGTCATATGGGCCCATAGGCATACCGTGCGCACCTCCGAAGCTGGTGAGGTCTGGCGCGCCTACGGGGTTGCTGGTGGGCCCGCCCGGCTGTGAGGCTGGATCGAGGCTGACTCCTGCTCCAGCACCAACTGGGTCGAGGTTGAATGGAAGGAACCAGGCGCTTGGTTGATAGTACTCCCCTGCGCCTGATGGTGCGTTGGGGTCGATTTGCCCGGTAAAGATAGTCGAAGGGTCTTGGTCTGGAGGAACGTCAGGTGGCACGGGCGGCATGGCTGGTTTGTCAGGTACAGGGGCCACAAATGATGCAGCCGAAGGATCGAAGTCGCTAAACGAGCCATACACAAACTGTCGATCAAGTTGTGGGAGCTGATCAGCAGCGGGCATGGGGAAGTCGAAAGCAGACTGCGCGAACGGTGGTTGTCCGTTCCGGTTTTGATTGAACATGCTGGGTTGAGGGAACCCGGTTCCAGTGGTGCCTAGCATTCCCGGAGCACCCTCCATGTTTACCTCACCTGGTGGTTGTGGGGAGGTGGATGAGTCGAAACCGGCGACAGTATCGCTCTTGCCGCTCCTCTTCGAAAATCGACGCGGCATAGTGGGCTGTGGCGTGGGCGAGAGGCTGGCGAAGAACTCCTCAACACTTTGTAAATCAGGCCTTTGACTCATTACTCCCTCGTCATTCTTTGCCTTTGCCGCCGGGTCGGGCTCCTCCCAATGCGATCTTGACATGCCATGTGGATACTTGTCGAACCAGTCGCCATACTGGAACATGGGGGTGATCTGGCCACCATTCTGCGTGATCACCGTACCCTTGATAGCAGCATCTGCAAATTGTCGATATCGATCCTTCGCGCTCTCAACCATATAATGAAACATACCCCAGTATTTCTTCATTTTGTTGAGGTAACGATACGTATGGCGCAAGTTCTCCTTGGACCGGGCCTCCAGCTGTGCGTTCTTGGAGAAGATCCCCCAAATATGAACAGTACTGGCGGAATATGCACAGTACCCAGCGAACGGAACTGTGAGAGGATAAGCCGAGGCACGGTCTATAAGAACCGAGATATGATGCGCAGCTTCTACTGCCGCGCGCCCAGCATTGCTCAGGAAGACCTTTGGCATGTCGCGCGGGGGCCGCCCGCCTGGTGACAGGGGAATCGCGAATTGGTTGAGGAAGAGCATGTTCTGGTGGATAATGATATGCAAAAAGAGAAACTGATTTGCAATCCGATCGGCTGCATGGATCTGCAGGTTCTCATAGTTGAACAATAGATGGCCTGGGAGCGAAGCGGAGAATTCTTCGATCTGTCGTTTGAGGCGCATGTAGCCAGACTCGGGTGACCACAATGGCTGCGTATCTCTTCGCTTGCCCCCGAGATTCAGATAATCAACGATGCGCCCCCAGATGACGACAGCGCGAATGATATAAGCGGAAACTCCCATATTGTCTCGAGCGTTAGATAGTTGGCCCACGTCTTCGGGTACAGGGTTGAGAATGACGCCATCCAGATCTTCCGTTGGACCCGGAATTTCCATCTGAAAGTGAGTCTCTTTGATCGGAAGCTGAATTTGCAGGAATTTTTCATTGCCAATTGGCGGGCGCTGACTCCCAGACGAATTATATCGATCCATCAAAAAACATGCCCACATAGTGCGCCTTCGGATCTCGCGGTCGGTGAAGCTGAGCTGCTGGGACCCGTTACCGCCCTTGTGAACATTTAAAGGGTCGTATTCAAGCTCCCGATGTAGTTGTAGAGCATAAGCCATGCGCAGCGCTTGCCCTCCAAAAGACCAACTCCGCCCACCATGACAGGTACCGAATTCGTGGAGCCCCAGCAATAAGAACACGGTCAAAATGGTTATATTCGGCTCGTCATGTCGGCTGAGGGCAATTGCGGCGGCCGGGTTGGCCCAGTTCTCACCGCGCAGGAAAGGTGGCTCGGAGTTAATCTGCGGGTGAGTGGAAAATCGCGCCGAGACGGCACACAGAGCAAGGATTAGGACCGGCGGTACGGTCCTAGCCTTCAACCTTCGCATGAAGCTGGGTTTGTGGAGAAGAAGGTAAGATTGCCCGTAGACACAGTCGAAGAACACCTCCGCCAAATGTTCCTGAATCTCCAACGATGGTAGGAACTCGGACCCCTCCGTCATCAAGCCCGACGCATCGCCTGGCTTACTCTCACGGCGCATTGGAAAAGTGTCCTGCGGGCCCTCCCGACTGCCCCGGCCCCATTCGTCCAGCTCCGCCGCAAAGGCTTCCTCCGCCGTGCGCTTCTTCTGGTGCGCCTTGGAGGCCTGTCCCGGCTGTGGCGGCCGGACCACCGACCGGCCAATTGCGACCATGTCTCTCGTTTCTTCCTTCGGAATAGTCTTGATCACCCGGTCCTCCATTCGCTTCAACCTCTTGTCGAGCATCGCCATATAGTCCGTCCGGGGCGCCGCTTTTCTCGTGGTGACCTTGTAGACGCAGGGGATCCGGGAGCGCGAACAATGCTTACAGGCAGGCTTCTCGCCCGAGCATCGAATCTTCTTCCGTCTACAGGCGATGCAAGCCAACGGCAAGCGCTTGCGCTCCTTCCCGGCCTTGGTCTTCATCTCGCTCCATGCGGGTTTTTCGTTCTGTTGTAGGTCATTGTTATGTTGTGCGGATTCCCCTTGGGCATCGTCTCGGTACCCATCGTTGCCTGACTCCTGCGGAAAAGCTGAGTCGCCAGCTGCAATGGTGCTGCCAGGATCGCGCGAGCTGGCGGGGCTATGGGTGTCGAGGTCATCGGGGAGAGCGATATCATCGGGGCCGAGGGCCAGGCCGGCAGAGGCCAAGGGAGAGTCGCCGGACTCGGTAGCCATTATGATGGGTGCAAATACCCCAAGAACCAGGCCCTGATCATCATTTAGTAATATGGGGGGTACCGCAAGATCAGGTCGGGTCGGGTCGTGGTGGCTGTAGTGGCGGGCTATAATGGTCTTTACGAACGGGACGAAACCGCGGGAAGAAGAGGAGGAGGCGGTAGAAAGTGGAAGAGAGTTGATGTGGGTATGGGGAAATCGGAACTCGGAGGGTCGCTGACTGGTTGCTTGGCGGGACTGTGCCGCCTTCCTCTACATAGCTCCGATTACTAATGGGCGATTCGTCGGCCAAGTTGGAGTGAGAATGCTGCCAAGAGGGTTTGTATGGTTCATTAGTAAAGGAAATAATAATGGGAGCATTTATTGAACTTTGCTTAAGATTGTGCATGATACATGATGCAATGGACTTGGGAATTCCAATGCTCTCGTAGTTATTGATTACCTAATAATGCTATGTGCAATAGTTCAGATAAATCAGCAGTGCTAAGGTTTTGTGAAGCGACCTCGTAGGTTCGAATCCGACCAGTATCGTTCTACAATTTCTCTCTTTCTCTCATTTCCCTTTGCATAACAGCTTCCTATTACTTTGCCTAGTTTTGTGCTCTTCCTCTGGCGAGGAACCTGCAAGCCAGTAGATTTGCTCCTAAATATTAAACGTCCACTTGCGATGGCCGATGTTAGCATTAAATGCGCTCGCTTGCATTGGACTCCACAACCTTTGCCAACCAAATGCCCAAACCTGGAGCCCTCATATCATAATCATGGTATAATATACTATTGTTCATAACAGACAGACACGCATAAGCATCGAACACATCCAACCCCATCGTATCAATACGACTGCAAAGTCACAGCACGCCCAGTACCAGAATTTCATGTCACGCTCTAAATCGATTCCGAAGAAAATGTCATGCATACACCCTCAACACACAGCAACATAATGCACCGCGGCGATGCAGGGCAAAAGCCCACTTGGCGGTCGTGAATCAGTCCTCCCATTCCTCGTCCAACTGATCTATCAGTCTGTTTTCAGCATCTATATCGCCTCGTCGCCCGTAGTTGGGGGAGGAGCGCGTGTGCCCGAGGGTCGGAGACCGCTTGAACCGGAATAGACGGCCGACGGAGGAGAGAAGGATGACGAGCATGTCCTAGGGATTGGAACAGGGAGACTGGATTAGCATGGGTTTCACATTGAGTAAAAATTAATTAGATCGAAAGGAGCACAAGCAAGGATGACAGAACGTGTCAGTCCGATTGAGTACAGTAGATGTTCAGTATATGATATAGGAACTGGCTAGAGATTGAACGGCATCATAGGAAATCCGGCTTGCTCCATGATGGCCTGCGGTGGACAACCAGCAACTTAGCCAGATGTAGGTTTACTCGTGCCCAGCACAGTATAGAGACTCCGAGGAGACAATTATAGAGATAATAGCAAGAGTTTGCTCTAACACCTCAGTGTTCAAGCTTTAGACCGGCTAGAGCGAGAAGATCAATCCAGTCGTGAGGTCGGAAGCCTCGTACTGCCAGATTCTTTGTATGATGGTAGGTCTCGGCGCAGGGTTCGAGAGTGACGGAACGGTATCAACGCCAATATACTTACTTTGACGAAATCGACAATGCCTGCCCAGAGGCTATAATTCGGACACTGTCTCCAGCCGCGCTGGTGCATGACAGTTCGCTGATAGGCGCAGCCACCGACGAGATAGGCTGCCACAGCAATCAAGGCACTGTGGAATATTAGCACTTCATTCAATTGAGCGGAAAATGACTGCGTACATGATGCCAAAGACTCCAGCGGGCGAGAGACCCTGATTTGTAGGTATCGGAGCGGTGGCTCCGCAAGCAGCCGAGCTGCGGATTTCGAAGAAGTACGTGCATTGGTCCATTGTGCCGACGAAAGAGACTGTTGCCTGGGAAGCAGGCGAGTCACGTTCGCAAAGGAATGACATGATGGTAGACTTGGTGTGGGAGCTGCCGTTGCCTAGGTAGTCACCCGGACATGGGGAGCCGTCCGTGTAGTTCATGACCAATTTGCGGCCTCGGAAGAACGGGTCAGACGCCTGTTGCCTATATGCTGTCAGACATACCCTTCAAATAACGGTGGAAAAGCCCTACCCGATCGAGTATACCTTGCCTTCTTTCTCGTAGTATGCGCTGACGTTCTTCCACCTGGCGCGGTCGACCCCTACGACATCTTTCACGTCTTCCAGCACAGGAGCGCAGATGTTGATAGTGAAGTTAGCACCATAGTCATGACCCCTAGCATGCCAACTGCCTTCCCGGGCGTTTTTGCGAGGCTTCTCCGCCTCCGCAGGCGGAGGCGATATGGAAATCGCATTGAGGTCGTAGAATAGGCCCGTGGTTGGTGAACGGACCACACAGGGTGAGAGAGAATTTTTTGAGCCCGAAGAATCGGAGGCTGCATATACAGAAGATAGCGGCGCGGTGATACAGAGAAGCAACCTGAGCAAAGAAGATGATAGGGGCTTCATTATGGGCGAATGGGTCCCTTCCGGAGGCAGTCGGGATTTTCGGCGATAACAGCTGTGTCGAGAGATAACAAAGAAATGAATGACAATCCTGTTGTCTAATGAAGAGAGAGTGACGTGGTCAGATCAAGACGACAAAAAGATATCAAGGAGAAGATATAAAGTAAAAAGGAGAGAGCACAAACAACACGGCCACGAGCGAGGGTGATAAACTAAGAGCCGCGGCGTCGTCGTCGTAATGTGCGGAGATGAAACGTCGCATTCACGGCAGCAGCAATGCGGAGAGAGATCGGAATCAGTTCCGACCGGGTGTGGCTGACTCAGCCCGCTCACCAACTGGTTAATTAGTTAACTTAAGCTTTCTTTCTTTAACTCACCGCCCGGCTGAGCTTCATCCGGCTCGGACCAGAACAGCTCAAATGGATGCCTGCTGCCAGAGCTGTTATCTATAATCGCTCTGCGTCCATTGATCAATTGTTCGGTCATCAGTACCTCAAGATGGCCGCGAAGAAAAACTTCAAAACCAAGATTCCCTTCCAACCTGTGCCCGAGAAGCGGGGGTACGAATTCTGTGGCCCGTATGTGATATTATCACTTCTCCCTTCCTTCATGGAACATGCTGACCCACTGCGCAGACCCGGTGCCTTTGGAATTGTGTTCGGACTTCCTCTTCTTGTTTACACCTTCACCTTCCTGTGCAACGATGTCTCCGGCTGTCCCGCGCCCTCTCTGCTCCACCCGTCGACCTTGTCCCTTGAACAGTTGAAGGAGGAAGTGGGATGGCCAAAGGGAGGCTTGGCAGACCTCTACAGCACGGAAGTGACCTTGTGGGTGCTCAGCTACTACTTGCTTAGTCTGGTACTCTATGTTTTGCTTCCCGGTCAGGAGGCTGAAGGTACCGAGTTGGCATGTGGAGGCCGGCTGCGTTACAAGTTCAATGGTCGGTTACCCGGTAATATGTGTGTGTAGCACCTCTGACATTGGAACAGCATTCCCGACAGCGGTCTTGATCCTCTCCGGCCTCGCGACAGGTACCTACATCTACGGCTCCGACTTCGTCGTTTGGACTTTCCTCTGGAACAACTATGTGCAGGTCCTCACCGCAAACCTACTGATCTCGACAGCGATCGCCGTCTTCGTCTACGCGGAGAGCTTCACCGTCCCGGCTCCTGGCCAACCCAACCCGGAGCTGCGTCAACTAGCCCCTGGCGGTCATACCGGGAATGTCTTGTATGACTTCTTCATTGGCAGAGAGCTCAACCCTCGTGTGCAGTTGCCCATTCCATTCGTCAGCGAGGCCTCGCGTACTATTGACATCAAGTCTTGGTGTGAGATGCGTCCGGGCCTGTTGGGATGGATCATTCTAAACCTGTCCAACATTGCTCGCCAGCACCGAACCTACGGATACGTTACCGACTCGATCATCCTGTCGACGTTCTTCCAGGCATTCTACGTTCTCGACGGCCTGTACATGGAGCCCGCGATCCTGACCACGATGGACATCATCATGGACGGCTTCGGCTTTATGCTCTCGTTCGGGGACATGGTTTGGGTCCCATTTATCTACAACTTCCAGACCCGGTATCTGGCGGTCTTCCCGCTGGAGCTGGGATTGCAGGGGATTTTGGCTGTGCTCGCCGTCACCGCCGCAGGCTACTCGATCTTCCGGGGCGCCAACAACCAGAAGAACCGATTCCGCACCGACCCCAGTGATCCCCGTGTCAAGCACCTCAAGTTCATCCAGACTTCGAGCGGCTCAAAGCTGATCACTTCTGGGTGGTGGGGCTGTGCCCGTCACATCAATTATCTGGGTGACTGGTTCTTGTCGTGGTCGTACTGCCTGCCCACTGGCATTGCGGGGTACGTGGTTATCCACGGAGTCAACCCGGCCACGGGCGACCTGCAGAAGCAAGTAATGCAGACCCCGGAGGTACGTGGCTGGGGCATGGTCTTCACCTACTTCTTCATGCTCTACTTTGGTGTTTTGTTGATCCACCGCGAGCGTCGCGACGAGGAGAAGTGCAAGAAGAAGTACGGTGCCGACTGGGACCGCTACACATCTCTGGTCCGTAGCCGCATTGTTCCGGGAATCTACTAAGTTAGGTCAGCCATAGACTGTGATACTAGTTGAGGAGGAAGGCACCATAAAAGGCGAAAGGCAGGCAAGGAAAAAAAAAAGCTTGGCTTCTGGGATTGGGGTTTGTGTCGTGTTTTGTACACTATTACTTCTATGGTTATTGTAATATACTCTATTGATTCATTCACCGCTTGCGCTTCTTGGGGTTCGTGTCTATCAAGACCTCCAGTCCCCAATCTTCATCACCTGAGTTCGGCACCCAAGGAACCAAGACTGTCTTCGCGGCTTGCAGAGCCTGTTCACGCGCCCGGCCAGAGTCTGTGGATGTGGCGATTGCTTGTTTGAATTCCGCATAAGTAGGCACACTCACAACCTGCCGCAAGCGCTCATCGACAAGCGACCCAGTTTTATTGTGCTCATCACTCAGAATAACATCCCGCAGAGCCCCCCACATCCTCACCCTGGAGAGCGCCGACGCCCCCCTCACCACCGGCGCCGACGCCTTACTCCCCTGCTTCACCCCACCGATGATACTCTCATACAGCCCGGTGCGACTCCCCGCCAGTTTGGGCAACTGCTTCACTCCGCTGGCGATCCCCGAAACCACCTGGTCGGCCCCAACGGAAGGGGCAACCACCCAGAGCGCCGATATCGTCCCAGGCTTGTACTTCGCCGTCGAAGACGAAGAAGCGGGCGGTTGTCTCGGCTTGCCATACTTCCAGAGGGAGTCCGCCAGCGCCGACGGGATGGAGAGGATCTTGAAGGGGTGGAAGCGATATCCGGTAGAATCCTCGCCCTCCCTACCATCACCCCCAACCAACCCAGAAGAAGAACCCACCAAGCCCTTCATTCTCCCGTCTCTCCCAAACGCCCTCTGACACCCTACCTCACTAATCTCCGTCTCCGGCAGCACGACCCCAGCCAAATACGCACTAGCAGTGACGTCCACCAACAGCGCCGTCTCGTGGTTCAAGAGAGAAGAGACCTGGCGGAGGGCCAGCTTATCAGAGCAGGATTTACTCTTAGTAGAGTCTGCGTCGGCGCGAGCGGGCTTGCGGCGGACGATGCCGAGTTTGGAGAAGTGGCCGCGGCCATCAAGGAGGGTCGGGGAGGGATCTGGGTCTGCTTGCGTTGCTGTAGCTGTAGCTGTAGCTGTTGCACTAGCCATACCCGCGTCAGCGGGGGTAGTCTCCTCCCACGGCGTGGGATCCTCCTGCGCGGCCATGGTCAGCTCCATGCTTGCATCGCCACAGGGCGCGCAGGTGCAGCACATGTAGACTTTGAGGTCGGGGTGGAGTTCGAAGGGCGGGTTGTTTTTGGTGCTGGGGTGTCGACGGCGGATGAATCTGGATGATGGCGATGCTGATGCTGAGCTTCGCGATCCTGTATCTATATCCGTAGCAACAGAAGCAACGCGCCTCTCCCCCTCCAGAACCCCCCTCACCTCGTTCAAAACCCAGTAATTGAACGCCCGCAGGGCGAGGATCTCCGCGTGCCAGTCATGGAGGACAAGGCCTTTGCAGCCTGCGAGCTGGGAGGCGGCCAGACATTTGGCGCCTGATCTGCTGCCGTCAGTATCATCTATACCGAGATTAGACACAAGAGAAGAGAAGAGATGCCATACGTCACAGCTACACAGGTCAACTCCTCTTCCGGCGTATTCTCGCCTGAGATAGATAAGAACATTAGCACGGTTTCTTGACCAGAAGCAGATGATAAAAAAAAGGAAAAATACCTCTAACAACCACCATCCCCGCCATGGGAATCCACTCCCGGGTGCCATCATCGCGGACAATGGGTTTACTGCGCGCGGGCAGGGTATCGAAATGGGTATGCACTAGGCGGGCGATTCGAGAGGGGAGGTCATTCTCTGGTGATTGTTCTCCCATATCATATATAAGTGTATCAAATGAATCAAGACCGCAAATATAAGCTAAGAATCCAGAATCTCGAAAGAAAAAAAAAATCAACCTTAATATCAGAGATGAAATCTATAACTAATCTATCGCCCCGATAAGTGAGCTAACTGATCAATAGATAACCAACCGATAGAGACACCCCACATCACGTGAACAGACATCTCCCGCCGGGCTCGAGCCTTTCGATTCAACCCTCCGCGGCGAAACACCCAAGCCCAGCCTACCAGAATATCACGAACCTCACCAAACCCAGCAACTTCGAACCCTCAAACAAAAGCCCCACTACACCACACCCAAACCACACCAACCTACCCCCACCATACCCAACTACCAGAGAACAATATATTCAGAATGGCCGACAAACTCCGCACCCTCCAGAACCTCGAGGCGATGCAGGCCCGCTACATCGGAACGGGCCACGCCGACACGACCAAGCACGAGTGGCTGTCCAACATCGTGCGCGACAGCTACGCTTCGTATATCGGGCACCCGCCGCTGCTGTCGTATATGGCCGTGGGGATGGGCGAGTCGAAGGAGAAGGTGCGCGCGGCGATGATAGAGAAGATGGTGCGTGGCGCGGGGAATCCGCCTGAGGTATGTTCTCTTCCTTTCTTCTTGGGTCTGTTATCGGGGGATTAAGGGTCTGGGGATGGGGAAGAAGGTTTAGAGAGGGGAGAATTGGGGGTTAATTTCGTGAGCTGGGCTAATGCGTTTCGTTTAGACGCAGGAATAATCCGGGGTACTGGGGTCGGATTGGGTGTCTTAGATGGAAGAGGAGGTGGAAGGAAGGGTCGTGATGGTGAATTGTTGGATTGTCGGATTGTTAAGTGGTCTGCACCGGGATGGTGATTGCATCTGGAAGGATAGGATCCATTAGAGTAATGGATCTCTAGATGTCTAAACTGGGACAAGGAGTTACGGGCTGGCGTTTGGGTTTGGTTTGATTTCTGTTCCTCTCAGCTGAGTCCCCATAATCCAGCGACTTCAATCAAGCTTACGATAATATTATATTGTATCATTCAACCATGCCATGTAATGTAGTATCCTGTGCCTCACGCCAGTCTAGCATAATGTACAGCGCAAAACAAATCATCTAGATCTTTGAAATGTTCATATCTGCGAAAAAGATCTACTTCTTCTCTTCCGCCATCACAGCAGCAGCTCCGGGATCCTGCTGCGCCGCCAACCTCGTATTCTCCGCCTGCAGCGACCCGATCAGATCCAGCCACTGCTTGCGCTCCGACCGCAGCCGATCGACTTCCTTCTTCAACAGCTCGACCTCACGCCGGAGTGCCTCAGCTTCCCCGCGGGCCCGCGACTTCTCCTGCTTCTCCGCGTGCTTCTGTTGCCGCGCCTCGATCTTCGACGCCTCTTTCACCTGGTCCTTCTCGATCTTGCCCAGCTGTTTCAGCAGCTTCGACTCCTCATTGAACAGCCCAGACGCCACCTTGTGCATGCGCGCGGCCTCGTGCCGGCTGTGGCTGCCGTGACTGTTGGCACTGTTGGACGCCACCCCCCGGTGCACGCTGCTGCTCGGGCTGCTGCTGACTTGCTCGCTGCCTGCGTCTCCGGCCGCGGCCAGCGCCGCCGCAGACGCCTTGTCTCGCTTGCTGCCTTCAGCTGCGCCCGGAGCGGGTGGCGGTGAGGCTTCGACGTGCAGAGCCTGGATCTCCGAGCGCACGCGGTCCAGCTGCGCATCGACGTTGCGTTTGCGCTCCGCTAGCTTGGCCAGTTGCTTCTCGTGCGACGTCAGCTTGCCTTTCTTGTTTAGCGCCATCTGCTCAATTGCCGAGACATCGGGCGGCGCTTCGACGGTGGAGTCGAACGCTGAATTGGCTGAGAATGCCACAGATGCTTTGTCCTGTGACGCGGCGTCGTTGAAATCGGGTTCCGCTGGTTTGTCAGCGATCGCTGTAGCTGTTGTTGGTGCGGTCTGCAGCGCTTCCTTGGACTCTGGCAGATGACCATCTTCCTCGGGAGCACTGACGGTGGACGACTGTCGCGAGTGACCGTGCGGAAGGTAGTCGAGCACAGTCTGCGGCGCATACCGCTCCAACCCGGCATTAACCAAGTATGCGAAACTGGCAATGAGACCATGATGCTCGACCTCCGTGTCGAAATAATCCGACTCGCTGGATGCCTCCAATTCACTGTCGTCATCGCCCTCCTCCGCCGAAGCCTCCGCGCCAGCGTCATGTTGGTGATGATGCTGGCCCGCCTCCCCAGTCTTGTGATGTGTGTGCTTCTTATGACCTTCATCCCGACAAGCCCAATTCAGGAACTTAATGGCATCCTGACAGATACTCTTGGGGGTGCCCTTCTCTACCATCCAGCGCGGGATGTTGCCCCCGGGATCACTCCTTGTCACCATCACCCATTCCACCGGATTCATCTTCTGCTCGACAACTTTCTCCCGCCCCTCCTGCTCCCCTCCCGCACCATTCCCATTCCCATTCCCATCCCCATTGCCATTGCCATAAACCGGAATCTCCCGAATAAACTCTACACTCTCATACTGCCCGCGAATATAATCCTGCGTCGGGGGCACGTCCGGATGCTCACACGGCCTGGAAACCATCATCCACCTCCTGGCCGCCTTACTGCCCCCGCCATTCGCCCCCACATCACCGCTCTCAAACTCCTCAGTGACCACCTCCCAACTAACAATCAGACTCACAAAGTCCCGCGGAGCCGTCGGCTTAGGAAACATGGCCGAAACATGATACACCTGCACATGGCCGATGACGCGCTGGCCATCCTCACTCTTGACCTCGATATCCTCGACCAACCGTTCGGCTCCGATCCCGCGCACCGCCTGGTCCGGCGCCCGGCCCTTCTCGATCTGCCGCTGATTCATCTGGAGCGTGTGGCCCATCTCGCCGGCTAGTTTCGTGTGCCATTTCGTGAACGGTAGGCCCCCGAAGACGCTGCGGCGGCCGAACCAGTGGCCCTTGCCGTCCGCGCCGGGTAGCTTGTAGATCGGGATGTGGAGGGGGTTCTCCTTGGCGGAGGAGATCTTAATGGGTTTGCTCCATTCTTTGTGGTGGGGGTTTTGGACTGGTGATGGTGGTGTTTGTTGCGGAGGTGACGAGGAGGACGTCGAAGAGGAGGGGGCGACTGGTGCGGAGAGAATGCTGGAGGCGCGGGCGTTGGAGGGGTGGAGGACCGTCGCGGCGGTGGGGTGGTTGCTGCTGTTTGTTGTTGTTGTCGAAGGTTGAGGGATGTCTCCGTTTTCGACGGGCGGCTCCGGGACGGACTCGATGATTAGGCGCGCTTTGGCGGAGAGGTCGGTGAGGTAGGCGCGGAGGGCGTCCGGGTCATTGCTGGGGATGGCGTCCCATGTCGTGGGCGAGAGGCAGTTGAGGGCTTCTTGCAGGTCGGCCATTTTTTGTGTTCTTGTCTGATTCTACAGATGTAGTGGAAATGTATAGTTCATCTGGGGAGGCGTGATGAGTTTTCTTGTATGTAAGTCTTCGGTGGTAGTAAGGACAATGGATGGAATGATGGCTGTGTATCGGGTGGAAGTCTGATGATAAGGATGAGATAGTGTAAGATGCAGTAAGCAGATGCTGAGTATTGAGCTGATTTAGCAGTAGCGCCGGGTTGAATAGGGGAGAAAGAAGCGTGGCACCAAGATCGCGGGGAAATTACTTCATTTACGAACCATCGTTCGTAGGGATGGTAATAACAATAATGATGATGATGATGATGATGAATGATGGATGATGATTGACGATGAAGAAGCTGTGTTTCCTCCTCCTCCTCCGCCTTGCTGGGCTGGCCTTGACGCCATCTCGGGCCGGGGCTTTTGTTTAGCGCCCGCGGAGATCCCATAGGGCAGTTTCAACACGTCGTAGCCTGGTAAGAGCAGAGAGCCATTCATTACGCACCCGGGCCTTTGGATGTCAGTCTCTTTCAACTTCATTTCGTCGATTATATCAGACTTAAGTACATCTTGCCAATCACATACGGAACAGCAGAAAGAAGAAAAGAATCTCAACGCAAGACGTGGGCGCAGCCCTCCAGCATCCGATTCCCGTCCGCCTTCCACGCCTCCACCAGGGAAGCTTGTCGTGCGGACGGGCGCATCCAGGTAACCCGAAAGAAACAAACAAGTAAAACCCAGCCTGGATGATAGGAGATGAACCTATCGGACAATACAGGACCAAAAAAGGCTAAATCGCCTCCAAGCCTGTTCTCTCACTCGAATCTTGGACGACGCAGAGGTCACAGACCCCAAGCTACGTCGGGCCGACTGGTGTGGCTGCCACAGACAGACCTTCAACCAGATCAACGAGATCAACAACAGTCCAGGAATTGATCAACACAGACTTGATCCCGCCTTTGTCAAAAAAGCTGCCGTCATAGAAGCATCACAGATGCCTTCTGCTGACCGGCAGCGCCGCTGCACATCTCGGCTAGTCCCGACGGATAAACCTGTATCCAGACTAAACCCCTTGAGATGCTGCCTGGGAGGAGTGCGGAGCAATGCACAGCATTGTCCGACTCAATACTCGAACCAGCAGCGGCAACGAAGCAAAACGATGGTGAACATTTCCTCATCCAAATCATATCCCGTGCCGTGAGGCTAACCAGGTCTTCATGACATATAACGAAAGCAATCACAAATAGCCGACCCGCCGCTTCTTGATGCTGTAGAACAAAGTAAACACGCTAGCGCTGTTCGAACCAAGATAAGGGGGAAAAAAAAACAAAATGCAAAACAAAGAGAGGCGATCTCAGCAGTCAATGCAAAAATATAGACGATATGGAGTATCATGTTTGGTCGCAAAGTCAATCAAGGATAACGCCGTCATTGATGCCAATTAATTGGATGTCTGTCGTTGGGAGAATTCGGCCCCGGTCGGTTCAAAGCTGGTGGGATCGGGCCAGGCGGCATAGGCGAGCTGTAATATTCGTGATGTCGGTTCGGACCCTGGGATCTGTTTCCAAAACACACGCCAAGTCAGGGAGCCCGTTAACATCAAGTGTCTGGTTCCATGGACTCGTTTACATTATTGTCCCGTAGGGAAGCGAAAGCGATGAGAAATCCTGGTATCGATCCCCCCATCCAAACCCAGACATGTTCGCCGCCGTGCTGCAGAGCATACTCGGCAGCGGAAGGGCCGCAAGGGCCGCCGAGGTCGCCGCGACACCGTAGTACTGCGCCGTGCTGTACGGCGGCGCGGTTGTGTACGGCGGACTGAAGGTCGATGGTGGCGACGCCAGCTGCGCGTCCTCCATGCTGCTCATGTGAGCCCAGAGTCCCGGATTCGCATCCCCAGTCGTGGTGGTGGCTGGGCTGGACGGCAGGACCTTCCACGGCTCCATCGGGAGAGGTTGATGCATCGAGTCCTGCCACCAGGGGCCCGGCACAGTTGAGCTGGGCAAGAACGGGACCGAACGGAGTACGTCGACGACACGCGGAGGTGGCGGTTGCAGGGGGACGAACAAGTTGGAAATGGCCGCTTTGGCTTCCTCGCTGCGGCCAGCCAGGAGTTCACCCGCCCCGTCCTCCTCCAGCCCTTCCAGGGCGAGAACGCTCGTGCGATAGACGAACTTGTTGGCTGCTTGGACAAACTCCTCCTGTAGCTTCTTGAGCTGGCTACCCTTGTCGGACCAGTCCAGGGTGTTCGCAGCGGTATCGACGGAATAGACGTCCTTGTGGTAATCCACCAGCGCTTCGATCGTCTCCGGGGTTAGCTTGAAGGCGACTTCGTTCTGCGACACCATATCCACATGAACGACGTAGGCCTCGATATGAATCATTTGATAGTTGAAGAGGCCCTCCACGAGAGGATTGTCGTCCTTGCGAAGTTCGGCGTCGGGCGCCTTGGGAAACATCATCGAGCACAGTGTCCAAATAGCGTTAGGCGAGGAGAGTGTCTCGGTCAGACACCTGGTATGCTGTGTGACATTGTTCAGCGGACGCTTGACTCGGTTGACCCGTTTCAAAGTGGCCGTGAGCCACGGTTCGATGCGGGTGTTGAGCACCACGTTTGGTGACGACCGCGGGGCAAATGCGGCTGCCGACGAAGGCAGTAAGACGGTGGGCATTCTCAGACTGCGCGAGAGCGACGAAAGACGGTAGTGTATTTGGCAAAAAGAAAAGAGCGAAGGAGAGAAGGGCGAATCAATAAAGAGAGAGATAAGATAGGATGGAAAAAGACCATAGAGGCGACATTCGCCCACACCAAGTGAATTTTCCTGATACAATCCGGTTCGTTTGTCGAGGCCAGACAGAAAAACAGATAGATAAAGCCCCAAGTCACGAGGACTCAATCCGGTCCCGAGGAAAGGCACGGAGGGATATAGAAGAGAAAAAAAAAATAAGTAAAATAATAGAAGCAGGTGTGGCTGGGTAAAAAACCGCTGCCTATCCGGTAGACGATGGGGACGGTGGGATCAGAAAGTGAGTTGAACAGTTAGGGTATAGATTGAAAATCCCCACCGTCAAGTTAAGAGAAGTGGAGTGTGGCAGCGGGTGTTGTTGTAGTAGTAGTAGTCGTAGTGTTTGGTGGTAGGCAAAGTCGTGGGAATGTATAGGGCAAAAAACTACTGACTGTGTGGGCGAACGCGCGAAAAGGAAAGAAAGGAATGGCAAGGACTGAAAAAGGATCGAAAGCTTGTGATGAAGAAGAGGGAGGAGAAGAGGAAGAAGAGGAGAAAGGGGAAAAGAGGAGGAAGAGGAGAGGGAATAACGCCAATGGATGAGGAGAGGAGGGGAGGGGGCAAAAACAGCCTGGAGACAGATGAAGGCTGCCTGCAATTCAATCAGTGTATGCAGCAGTCGCAGCAGTAGTAGCAACAGCAGCAGCAACAACAACGATGGGAAGTTGACTCGGGAGCTGAATTGACGGTACAGATACAGTATGGTCCACCGGGAATGGGGCTTTGGTATATGTATCAATGCACGAGAGTCTATACAGCCACCCATCCATCCATCCATCCAACAGCCACCAGAGACAGACAGCAACTTCCACACCCACACGAATCTTAAACCGAAGCGTCTGGATTTGTAAACCCATTCAATAAGACAATCGAGACAAGCTATAGCTGATATTGCATGCTGGATCTATCTCCCTTCAGCTATGCCAACCAACCGTGATGGTATCGCTGCTGATACGCACAGCTAGCAAGCACAAGCGATCAAGTACAGGAAGTAGTTAGTACTGTAGATGAGGGGGGCAACTCTGTCTGTCTGCAATGGTGCAGTCCGGCGACTTTTCCCATGCGGTCGTCGACGCGGAAATCCCGATCGTATGGTACGAGTGATTATTTCGCAGGTTTTTCACCTAGGAATTTTCCCTACCTGGAGATTTGATCGCATTAATTATTATTATTATTCACTCACTCACTTTTTCTTGATGGTTGGAGCCACCGCCCGCTTTCCCAGGTGCGCTCTCAATCACTTTCTTGCTCAGTAACAAGTCTTAGCCAGATGCAAGTGTCCAGAAGTGTCATCGGCAGTGGAGCAAGCAACCAGAAAAAGACAGGCAAAGAAGGGGAGAAACGAGAAAGAGATTCACCACCCTGGAAGCCAAAGTCAAGAAAAGAGAGCACGGGGCTAGTTTAGACCAGGTGATCCGCCCATGATTATTTTGGCTCATTGAGTGATTTCTCTACATTTACTACCAGTCCACCACCGCTAGACTAGATCAAGAGGATAATAGATTGATTAGCCTAGTTCTTACTCTTCACTTACTAAGTTGGCAACATAATCAACTCAATAGTGAACTAACACACTACTCGAGTCAATCCCCGATCCCACATAAAACCGTTCTTACCTCCCCCTCGAACAAAGAGAGTTTGGCCCAAGGCGCCCGTAGTCTATCTAATTCTTGCCTACATCGCCGGGCGATACCTTCTGATTTGGAGGGTTCCGGTCGGATGCAAAGAGAAAACGATTTAACCTTTTTCTTTTCTTGTAGGCTATCTTCGAGGGTAATGGATCAACATGTTCCGATATGCCACAGTGGGATAAGAAGCCGCTTTCAATCCAAAGCAGGTCACACAAAAGGGCACCCACCGCTGAACTTGAGTTTCTGCCCAGGACGGCCGGACGGCCGGGCGGACGGACAGAGAGACAGACAGAAGCTGAACCATGGGTCAACCACAACAAGAGTTCCATTCTTCTCAATGAGAATTCCGGTCTGACCGGGGAGGGGCGGCGCCCATTGTGCTGAGCTGGTGGCACCGGGAACGGGAGGTAACCAAGCTATAGTACTTTTCTTTGACTGATCGGTTGTTGGATTGACTCCTTATACAACAAGAAAAAAAAAGAATGACGAATCGAGTCTACAGATCTAGAGCATAACCATGTTGTAGACCGATAGAAAAAGAGGCGTGTTGAAGGTGCGGCTTGCAAGTCGGTTGAACTTGAATCAGGGCTGGCTGGGCCTAAGCTAAGCCCCCTCCCCTCTCTCAGCTTCTTTCCCTCTCCCTCCGCGATGGGCAGCCGCTCCACTTGCCATGCAGGTTTCAATTTTTGATGAGTAAAAAGAGTGGCAGTGACTGCATGTTAGTGCTCGTCCATACTTTCACTATGTAATTATGTATCGTACTCCCGTGCTCGGCTTTCAGGTAGGAACAGAAAGCCGAATACGACCCATCCCCAGGTCTGAGTTTGTGGTGTTTCGGTTATCTGATTCTCAGCACAAAAGTGAGCTCATACATCTGATTATAACTAACTACAAATACCTCTTGCACTATCCCGATCACAGAGTCACCAATCAACGTAAGCAACATTCAACAAGTATGAAGTAGTGTATCTCACGGAGTATGTACCATTTCTCAGAATCACTAGATAATAGATACAAACCCCACCCCACATCACTATTCCAAGTGGTTGAAGATCATCCCTCCGCTTCCTCATCTGGCTCTCCGGCGCGCGATCCCGCCACCCATACTTTTGCGTCCTTTGACCAGTGGGACGGACCTGATTCAGGTTGCGTGCGCTTGTAGATTACTTACTACTAAGTGCACTCTCACTAGTTATCGGTATGTAGGCAGGTTTAGCCCTTTAGCCTTGAGATCTTGAATTCCGGGGTCAGACTTTCAATGCTCGCACCTAACATGATGAAAACAATTCATTCGAGCATATACAATGCCTCAATATGTAGTCCTACTACAAGTCATTCAGAATATTCCGTGAGTATGCCATGCAAGTGACAAGCAAGCCACCCCACAGAGCGAAACGCGGAACCGCCTCAGCTCCAGGCAGTACTAGGTACGTAGTTATCATCCCTATCCCGCGGCTGCAGGTTCTTCAACAATATACTGTGCTGTACCTATAAGTGCAGTACAACCCTGTTAAGCAGGCGCGTGTGCATCATCGCGCATCGTACATTTCTCAATATCCATGTGTAATTTAAGAATTCCTGAATGATGGAGATGTGGAGATCTTTACCTTTGAGCCCACTGTCCACTGTCCAATGTTACAATGTCTTTTTCCTTGCCGTATGACTCACCGAACACACACATATCCCGATTGTGTATAGATCCTCCGTGGGCATCGGGCACACTGCATCGGGCGGTCCCTGTTTTTGGCGCCTACAACAGCTGGGGGTTCCATGCATGCGGTAGTTGCGGACAAAGCTGTGGTGCTGTTGCTGTTGCCTGACAGATGATCCTGGTAAGGACGACAAGGGTTTATTTAAGCGTTCATTCGCGATGCTGAATATCACATGAAATTCATCGGAGCGCGAGAATGAAGATTCAGAATCATCTTGTGCGGTAGATTAGGAAAAAAAAAGAAGGCTGGGAATGCCGGCCCACATATACGCACGGTCCAGTGGTACCCGACTCGAGTCCCGATTATGAGGGTCGGTCCCTACCCTACTGGTATGTAGTACCGTAGTATACTTGATGATCTCCAACGAGGCTGAGAAGTCTTGAGGGACTCCGTAGGGTGGTGCACATCCTGTAGAGTCGCATCGACCCGGAGTAAAACCTCCAGGATGATGGTTTACCCTATTTCTGCAGGATGAACAAGGGGGAGAGAGGGCTTTCTCTGACATGCGGATTTTTCTCTCTTTGAAGTTATACAATGTTCGGCGTGCGGGAAAAGAACTCCTGCTGTTCAACCATGACGGACAGAGACCCGCTGCCTAGTTATTCGCTTTGATGATGTACTTGCGGTATTTGGCGGAAACTGGGGTACGATACTGAAGTTTTCGAGGTTCCGATTCCATTCCAGTACCTCTTCATTGGGCTAGTGCTGACCTCCCGTTATAGATGTGCATAAGTATAGATACACACTTTGGAGTAACGCTATCGCGAGACAAGTAGAAAAAGCGACCCGGGTCCGACTCCCAAACGATGCACTTTTCAAGCGCGCGTGAGATTTCTGGATGTCCTCCCTCTTTCGGTCCGCTGATACCCGCATCCTATGCGTAAGTCGCAATCCAGCGCTGGGCCATGGCTCGACTCTACAATACCTACCATACCTTTGGCCCTGTTCGCCATACTATGGGATTTGTCCGAGTTGGTCCTATCCAACCAATATTTACTCGGACCCTCTATGTTGCCCCCTTAGATTTTACTCTCATACCGTTTCGCCAGACTGAGAGTCCAAAAGAGCTCATCCGCTCAGCTGATGGGGGAAATGGACGGCAGGGAAAATCTCCAAAAGAGGCGTCGTGGGGCGAGCTAAAAGCCCTGGGCAGTTGTGTGAGAAATGCCTCTTCTGGCCGCAGATTCGCTGACGGGCCACAGAGGCCGGCTCGCTCGCCGCAGCTGGGATCCCCGCTACGAGCTCTCATTGGACTGCCCGTCGACGACGGTCATCTCCAGAATTTCTGGAATAGGAAGGGCAGTCGGAACGGGGAAGACACTTGTAACGAGACTCGTTACTCGGCCCTTACGAGTCCTGTAATAGAGAGAAGGGTAAGGCATGGCCAATAGGGGGGACAAGGAACAAGGAGAGAAGGAAAAGACTTTTGTCCCGATCTGCATGCATGCGCTCTTCACTCGCATTGTCTTGGAACGACCGTAACGTTTGGACTTCGACCGTCTAGTATGCACGCCCGCATACACGCGGCCGCACAGGCTGACTGATAGTCCTGTGGTTCGTATCGCGTTGCTAGGTGGCACCGCACCGCAGCGTCTGCTGGAGATATTACCCTTCCCAGGTAACAGACTCCGATGCTGTGGCCGGGTGGCAAATTATGGCGGAGACAAGGAAGATAACAGACGGAGTGATGAGATCTCCGGCGTTACCGAGACAGGCCGAAGGCCAGAGAGTCCTGTTATGGCTCCTCGTCTGCCTGTCGGTTTGTCTTGCGCGACATCAACCCAGCTAAGACTGTCTGTCAAGCATTGTGGCAGTGACGAGCGGTGGATGTGACTGCGTCTGAAAGCCTCAGTACGCGCTCGAAAGTGGGTTTACCGACAGACGCAGAAATGCGAGTGTGAAAGGATTGGACGAACAGGATGATCGCGTCGTATAACGTGAATAGCGGTTGATGGCCCGGTGCCAGAGCGCATCGCTTGATCGGCTGGAGTCGGCTCCCGACGACAGACGGGCATACCGCAGTATCAGACGCAGCCAGCGCGTCGTCAGCTGCGCACTAGGAACTAGATGACCCATCACATTGGATAGCGAGCACCTGAATGAGCGTTACGATTCTGCACAATGACATATCGTGGACCCTGGTGTCTTATACAAATTCAGGCCGAGGAGTCGCGAGACAAGCTGACGGGGGACATGTAGCACTCCACTGAGGCGAGTTTGTCGGCGGATGGTACTTGAGATAAAAAAAGAAAAGTAAAGCGTAGCGTCTGCACTGTGTTCCGAGGTGAGAGAGGAAAGCGGAGAATAAAGCTGCCTATGGGAGGAGGTTGCCCCGTCGGAGTCGGCGATGGCCGAGTTGCTGCGCCTCACTAAGCCACGACTCTGTGGCGAAGTTTCTGCAGGCGCGGGTGACATCATGTCCGGAGAATAATTGGAGAGCTTGAGTGAAGCCAGCCAGCAGGCAGCATGGGACTTCAATACCAAAAAAAAAAAAAAAAAAACAAACCGAGACTAGGGTCATAATTGACTGGCTCGGATCACCAGAGCGAGTTGGGCGAAACGCAGGCAGATATCGTCGTCGTCACCGTGAGCGGGTAAAGCCTTGATACTCAACCCTGTAGAATCACAAAGAGCGTGTGAATGTGTAATTGAGTGAGTGAGGGTGAGAGAGAAAATAGATACAGGCAACTAATCAAACAGGGAGATTTTTGACTCTCAGGTGACTACTATCTAGCGCTTAAAAGATCCTTTCCCATACCAGTCTAGGTGCAGCAACTGGCGCTGATCACCAAAGGCTCCCTGCGAGTGCTCCAGCGTTGCGCATGAGCTCTTGAAACACAACAGGTGAAGTCTGAGCGATGGAGGACTAGAAGGAGACAAGAGGCCATTGTGGTCAATCCCGTTGTGATCGAGAGACAAGAGAGGAGGAGGAGGAGGAGGAGGAGGAGGAG